AMCMMCSAGATCTACRCCACGATGGGCATAGACCATCACGACTTCTCCCCGCTGAACTCCATTTCCCACCAGGTGGTGGGCCAAGATGTTGGAGGACTCGTTGATCGTCTTGTAGCTGAAATTCCGCTCTCTTGAGGTGGACGATGCTGTCTCGACTACACAAGATCGGTCGGGATGCTTTTCCGCATTGGCGGCAAATATCTCATGAATGGCTCCCCTAAAGTCCGACCAGTGAAGGTCGGACGTTGGGTCAGGCCGAACATCCTTCGCGTCCAATGCCATTGTGGTTGTTGCTATTGTTCCAGTGCTTGAATTTGCTTGCCTTCAGATAAGTGTCATGGAATAGAAGATCACAGGCGAACTACTGGCCGGTGATGTTTTCAATGAGTGAGGTTGGTCTGGTTGGAGTGATGACTGGTCTCACAATGTTTGATCTTTTGCGAGCGATGTCGGGTGTGGATGCACGTCACACCTTGAACTTTTTGGCGCAGCATTGACTTTGACTTTGCAAGCCTCAGGTGTGAACATCCTCCAGCACACAGCGCGAAGTGAGGGAGAACCAGCCCTCGCCGCTTTCTTAACTATCTCGATGCTCGTACCTCCGTGGTACTGCAGGTCAGGATGGTGAATACATAAGGTCGGGACGCTTGGCGGAAGCGTTGGCTGGTGATCATGCCTGATCATCGTACCAGCATCACCAGCCACCATGCACCGTGCGTGGCCTCATAAGCACTTTCATCCATCAAGAACAGTACAGTAAGCATCTTTATTCCATCATGTCGGCCAAAGTCAGCAGTCGTAGTCGACAAAGCAGCGATGCCACCGTCCGATCACATTGGTCAAGACCCTCAACCAAACGCCAAACGACATCAAAGACGACCGAAGAAGAGGACGTGGATGGAAAGCCTGCAGGAGAGGAAGGTCGGAAGAGGAGGACAAAGCACAGGAAGACTTCCCTCTCCGACTCAAGAAGGCTGCATAAGACGAGAACCAGGTCACAATCAAGCAAGACGGACAGTCAAAAGTCGCGGAAGAGTCACCAAAGCAAGAGTTCCTCGCGAAGTGCTGAGAAACATGGCAGGAGAACAAATGCTGAAGAGCATGTGCACATAATAGAAGCAAAAAGCTCCAAGGCTCGGTCACGGAGTCCCTCCCCAAAGCCCAGCTCCCGACGCAGACGCAGTAGCCCTGCGGCGTTGGAGGTTGAGGTAACCCCTGATGATAGCATATCGCAAGTCGGATTGAAACCCAGAAGCAGCCGACCGGAGACGAAGAGGCGAAGTACACATTCGAAGCTGGCACGCATCACCGAGGACGACGACGATGCGCCAGGTTATGCTACACCGCCGCGTCCTGCCAAGAAACACTCCATCTTCGACACCCTTTTCGGCCGGCGTCGTAAAGACGACGACGTGACTGGGGAAGAGAGAGCTAGATCTGATCGTTCTCAGAGGGAATCTAGAAGAAGTATGTCATACATGGATGACATCGACGCCCGCGCTCGACATAGACGAGATGAGGAAGACCTCACCACGCGGATGCGACTTGCAGACCTAAACGACCACAACAAAGACTTTCTTGCACGAAAGCATGCGGACGTCGAGACTTGGGGTTTAGGAAATGCCGCCGGACATTTCATGAACGATGACTTTGTACGGCAGAATGCCTCGCGACTTGCCATGAGTTCGTTTGGAGATGCCAAAATGGGTCGACGTGGTGAACGGGCATCTGGTCGCCGTGCACAGCCGAAGGTGGTTCGCGAAGTGGATGACTCGGGATTGGCACCCAACTTCTTGGGAGATCAGAGTGTTGTTGGATTTGGAGCTTTTGCGCCGCGTACGAGCAGGCACCCGCGTTGATGAAGCGGCTGTAAACGATTTTGACCAGAATMTTTCGGATATTTTGCAGCCGAGAGCATCTCCCGGACATAGATACTACCACCATGTATTACTGTACGAGCTGGAGGCAACGCCAAACTCACACTCATCCTTCCACAACCTCTTCACAATAATCCCAACATTGCACAAAGACCACCTCGGATCGGATTTCGCAATGGAGGATTATGCTCTCCGAACCCCTGAGGATTACAGCACCACCTTTACATCATCATGTCCCATTCGCTTGCGGACATGGCCATGAAGCTTAACAAGTTCAGCCGGATATTCCTCGACGCCATCATCACAATTTTCACAATGCGGATGTACGGTAGCGATGTGAAACAGTACGTACCTGATAGATACACCATACCCTATACAACCCCCTCTGGGGAGGGGAGTAACGAATCTAGACTCGGAACTTAATACAAATTTCAACTCTCAAGGGTGAATGCCAGTTGCATGGCCTGACCTGTTACGGAACGTGACCTTTGCTGCGCTCCAGGGGAGGAGGCACCCATTCGTCACCTTATCACTTGGGGAAGGCCTAAATGTGGGGATTGTGACATTTGCGGTGGATTGGGGTAGCATATGGGGCACAGTACAATACTCGCAACATGACGGTAGACGATTGCCCTGGCCGATTATTGGAATTTTGCGTGCTTCACGTGAGCAATATCACACCGTCACTTACGAAGTTTGGAAAGGCGCAGTCATCTCATGTCGTCTTGTAGTCTTGTCATGTAGCCTTGGACTCTTGGCTAGCTGTGATGCTACGGTAACTTCGAGGCTCCCCTCCTCAGACTCGCTCCGAATTCAGTATACCGCTGATCGCGATCTCTGTCACGCTCGCGCGAGCAGACGCGAGAAGTAAGGCCAGTTCTGCCGCTGGGGAAACGCATGCAAATGGCAGGATAGACCGTCCCATCTTCGTGTAAATCGTCTTCACTTCGTCTCCGCGGTGCGGGTATCATACCAACGCCGTGTCCATGAATTCCACGCTTGCTTATATCGCATCGAGTAAATCAAAAATGATGTAGAGGTGTAGAGGTGTAGAGGTATAGCAAAAGGCATCATAGTCCATCTTCCATGCAGGCAACTGCGACCGCCGCTCCGAAGATGGAGCTCTCAGGAGCCATCTTCAAAGTCACGGCACCCCGTGAAGCTCCAGATCGTTCGCACATGTCGTCGAGATGTTGCTGGCAGAGTTCCTTATATCTAGGATACTTCTCGATGACGGTGCCATTACAAGCCACTGTAACATGTGTCGCTTCGCCCGGCTCGAGATGTTCTGCCTCCGTGCGAATGACCCACAGTGCATGCAAAGCAGTGGCGAGGTAAGCCGCTGCTCGTCGTGACACCAGTCCGGCAACGTCGCGGATGAACTCAAGCTCGCAGAGCCGGATTGTAGACCGGGAGGGATGTGCCTGTATGAATGTAGCTTTTGCAGTGTCAAGCGTGGGCGTCGTATCGCTCTCAAATGCCGCAATAATGCGGGAATCGAAGCTGTAAGGCTGGTCCAAGCCTTCGGGTATCTGTCCATTGAAAAGATCTATCGTTTCGGTGGCGTCTAAAAGTATCAAACGTACGATTTCGCCCAGGTAGCGACCGGTGATGAGGTATTCCAGAGGTTGAAAGTCCGGTAAAGGGTGGTCGGCGTTGAGCATGTCATCCCACCGCGTTGTAGGGAGGACGTCTTTTCCGACCATGCTGAGCTCAGTGTTGATGAGAACACGGTGAGCTTCTGCGTACCAGCTATCGGGTCTCTCTCCAAACTTTGCAGGGTGGAGTGCCTTCACTGGAAGGAAAACTCCAGCATTTGTGCCAGTGCCCAAGATCAACGACATTCGTGTCGACGGGTCTCGGTAAGCTTGTGACATCAAAGTTGCCGCTCCATCGTTGACAATCGCACGCATTTCGACGTTCAGTCCTTTGCGAGTGCAAGATCGCATGATGAGCTCACTCAAATCCTCGCCATCCACTCCCCAGGTAGCTTTGAATCCCTTTCCCATAGCGAGTAACTTTCCGCTTCGTGGTGAGGTCTGCTCCAACGGAAAGGACCATGTGAGACCCATCAGCAGCGGTTTCTCCGGCGCACCACACATGTATCGGTATTGACCGAGCATGTCGCCCATTCGATCAGCCATCCAATCGAAAAATGCCTGTCCTTGCAAGCCGCGAATCTGCTCGTCAATGTGAAAACTCCGTATACGTCTAATCTGCAACCCATCGCCGCCAGGTTTCGACTTTCCAGTAAGCCGTATGAGAGCAATGCGGAATGTCGAACCACCCACGTCCAGCGCGAGAAAGTCACCACATTCGTTACCCGTCGGTAGTGTGTGTTGATATGAGGGTAGCATGGATATATCCGACTTCCGTAGTCTTTCTCTACATTCCTCCTGTAGTTGTAGTGATATAGCCAGCAAGCGCTCTGTTTCCAGCGGTGCCTCGAAGAGACACCGGACGTCGTAGGTGAAGTCGTCCATGCTCTTCCGCTCAGCTACATGTTGCACGCGAGGCCGTTTGGTGTTATGGGAGGGTTGAACTACCCGAATGGCCGACTGTATCATGACACTCATCGCGTTCCCGATCGCGGTGGTCGTTGCTATGAGGTCCAGCAACAAGCACATGCAGAAACGACCCGCTCCTGGGCAAATCGATGTCATGGAGCATGCAACGCGGAAAGCAGAAGACAGGCTAGCAGGTCGGAGGAGGTGAAGGCGGAATGAGGTGAGGTGTTGGACGAGGCCAAGCAAGAGCGAGTGTCATGTGCCAGGCGGGACGTCCTCTATAAGGGACTACAAGGTGTGAGTGAATGGTAATGACTATGGTAATAGCGCCGGGCTAGCATCCGTATTGCAAGGGAGCCAGTGTGTTGAACATTCATGCGGCATGGTGGTGTTGATGCATCTGGCGGGTCCAGGACGGGAACACAAGCCGTGGGACGTTGCGGGTGGACCTTGAGGAAGGTTTCATCGATAGCAAATGCTTGCGATGAGCGTTGCCCTAAAGGCCGAGCGCAACAGGATCCAAGCGTCTGCTCGCTCAGCGATTCAGAATTATGATAGACGGCGGGGGAGAGGCTGCGAGTGCGGATAGATTCGGTGGGTCACCATGGTGTGGGCCATGCAACCTTGAGCGTTGCATCAGAAGTGGTGGACGCCATGCTTCGACGGCTGACAACCGAAAGGATCTGCGACAGAAGCAAACACCTCATGCCCGAATAAGCACCACGATTGACATGTCTGCTCCGATACCGCACCATCGGCGCAATCCTCATGAGGGTGGAGTGCACATCCTTCATTATTATTCTAGGTATACAAATGGTTGAATCACCCCACTGCAGAAATCGTGCCACTGGCGCGTGGCGTGTCGTTGTACCTTTACTACCACCTCGCCTTGGGCCGGATGCTACGATACCATTCAACGTCGCCTTGGAGATTTCGTCTTACGCACCCAATGCTGGGCATATCTACTAGAGCAGCCTCGGCGTATTGCAATCCTCGCTAGTACGAAGACTGGAAACCTACGAGCTGTCCTGTATGGTGGATGTAAGCCCAAGTATCACGCCAGCGCTTGGCCGCTCAACATCTTTGACCCTAGTATTGCCAAATAAGGCAGCTGTGAGGATTTGAACCGAGAGAGTTGGATATCTGAACACTGTGCTGCTACATCAACCAGTCCGTTCGTCGACCCCAAAAGGCCATCGACATCTCAATCAACTTCGCCTCAAACGCCATGCTAGACCATCCATTCTCATTCGTCAATCGTCTGTCGCTGTCATTTCGCTTCGCTGGTATCAAGTAAAAACAATTCGCTCCGTCGCTAAACCTTCTCCGCGAGTGAAGATTCGCGTCCTTCCGGCTTCGCGCCCACCACGTCGGCGAGAGTCTCGTCCGTGTCCTTCAGGTCGTCCTCGATTGGGACAGTGTCTTTGATCTGCCAAATCATCACAGGCAGGGCGATGACCAAGCTGCCGGCGAGGAGGCCCCAGCATGAAGCAAGCATGTTCATGTATGGAATTTCCCGACGATCAAGACCCCAGGTGATGGCCGCACCAGCCGATTGGATGCCCTTGTAGAATCCCGCAAAGTTGGCGAGCTTGCGACCACTGTTGGTGATGGCGCCCATGAACCAGTAAACAGTCACCTGCCAGATGGCATCGTAGAAGCCATAGAAAATGTACAGGAACATTGGTCCAATGTAGCGTTTGTCCGTCCAGTCGATGTCGTCGTTGTTGACACGGTCGTACTTGAGCTGGAAAGCGTAGCCACCACCCCAGACCGCCATGGTGAGCAACATCAGGCCCACCCAGGCACCCTTTGCACGTGTTGTGCGCCTCACGCCCTTGAGATCGAGCAGGTTTCCAGCAGTGACGGCGCCGAGGATCTGCGCGGTCCAGTAGAGAACACTGTTGAGCGAGCGAGTCCGCAGGTTGAATTGGGGTAGGTTGACGTCGTTGAACTGGTAGGTCGTGAACCAGTTGGAGGCCAAGAACATTGGGAAGAGAAGGATGACGTATGGATCAGAGCGCAAAGTCTCCCAGAGTCCGAGAAGTTCTGTCTTCCATGTTGGATTCTTCATCAGGATGACGMGAGTACCGTCGCTGCGAACGACCTTCTTCGCATCAACGAGACACCATGAAAGCATGCCTCCAATGAAGGTGAGAATCAGGAATCCAATGTACGTTCCGTTTGAGACGGTACCGTTGGTGGTCTGGTGGATGTTCTGGCCGAGAGGCACCTGTAATCATGTCAGCTTGTAGCTCAGCGTTTCAAGAAGGCGTGGATATTGCTTACCAGACTGCCAATAACACCACCCAAGTTGAAGATCATCCAAAACCAGGAGATGAAGCGACCCTTCTCTTGCTCGGTGGGATACGACAGGATAATGACACCCTGSGCAGACCACAACATACCAGCGCATACACCGAGGAGGGCGCCGGCGAAGATGATGTAGCCAAAGTTCTGGGTGTAGTTGTAGCAGAGGTAGGCAGAGATGTAGACACTGTAGCCTAGACCACCGAGAGAGAGAGTCCAGCGAATACCCAGCTTGTTTGTGATGGTGCCGGCGAAGAATCCGACAACAGCAAAAGTGCTGTAAAGAGCGGTGTTGGAATCGTTGCTGGGCTTGGGGTCGAGCTGACCTCCACCACCGAGGCCATTGACGGCATTGAACATTCCTTGATTGAGTCAGTAATTTCCTGCACCAAAGTTCTGGCCGCGAAGTCACTCACCGGGGCAGAGGAAGCACACGAACGACACCAAGAGCAGCTGTGCCTTGGGCGAGGCGTAGTATGGGAGCGTGATGCCGGCAACCTTGCGGCTCTTGTACATCCAGCCTGTCGGTGCTGGGCCGGCGGACTCAWCGTTGACGTGATCCATCGAGTGCGTTTGAGAGTCGACTTCTGGCGAAGGCGCCGCCTTCTCGTTGGAATCCATGTAGGACATGTTTGTGTTTGTTTTTGGTGGGGTGTCGGTTTGCGCGGCGACGTTGTGTTTGTGATTCAAACCGGGTGTGGAAGTTGATGTGAATCGATCAGCCGCCTAAACAGCAGAGAATCATCAAGTGACTGATGAGAACTCCTCGAAGAGGCACGCGATCAGCGTGTTGGATATTGGTCTTATATAAAGGTCGCGATCCTTCACAATCCATTCGGTTTCTCCACGCGCGAGGAGCGGATCACTGCCCTACTCCAGAAACCCTGCTTCTGGTGGCGGACAACAGGCGCTGTGATTGATCAGAACGACGATAAGCTATCGGGACCCGGGTCAGGCCAGCTGCCAAGCGACCAGTCCTCTCGTGTTCTCTCCCTCTCGCTGCAAAGCTGAGTGTGGTGTGTGCAGTGAGATACGAAATTAGCTCCAAGCTGACAGCGTGGTGTTCTGTGCCTGGAGCCGGATAGCACCACAGGCAAGGCTTTCGCGTGTGACTGTGCGGCAATTGTTCGCGAGGTTCCACGACCTTGACGGCAGCAAGGCGTGAGGAGTAACCTCAGACATCCTTCGGTTGCGCGCCGATGCTACCACGCTATCTGCCGCCAGCGCGACCAGCACGACCCCTCCCCTCCTCGATCACCTCCTCACGAGCAACCTCATGATAGTGTTTGACCGGCAAGATATGAGCAAGGAATTGTCCGAATGTTACTGAGGAGCATGTACCATCGCCAGCGAGCCGTCACGTCCTTGCATGCTAGTGAGGTAGACGGCTACCTACCCCACTGGAGGAGATTGGAGGATGTAACAGCTCCAGTCCTGCCAACCAGGTTACAATCAGATGCCACGCCGCACCTTTGCCGCACGTGCAGACATTGAATAGGTAAAGTATTATCCGCTCGCCGCGATGTGACATGTAACATGACGACATCCTGGTATAGCAGGAACGGTAGGAGTAACTTCTTCACGATTGTCAAACCTCACGCCTTCCGCTGTCAAATTTCCAACCTACCACTTCTTTCGATAATTAGAAACATCCTACTCAAAAATCTAAACATCCACCACTCACCCGCCTGAGTAACATCATGTAAGCTCAGCCCTAGTTATCACATGTCAGAGCTGACCTGGAAGCAGGAGATTGATCGTGAGGGACGACAAGGCCGCGGCCTCGAAGTACATATCTGACTACATCATTCGTAAGCTTTATCCTATTCTCAGCTCCGCCAGGACGGAGGATACATTTCGCTGACTTGTTCTTCAAGATCGCATCAAGGCGTATGCGCCGACTCCAGAAAAGCCCTTTGTTCTTGGTTTGCCGACTGGATCTTCACCCGAGGCCATCTACAAGAACCTTGTCAAAGCACACAAAAATGGCGAGATCTCGTTTCGAGATGTCATCACTTTCAACATGGTACGCATTGGCTGATGTCTGGAGCACACAATCGATCATCTCATACTTCATAGGACGAATACGTTGGAATACCCCGAGAGCACCCCGAGTCCTACCACTCCTTTATGTACAAGCACTTCTTCAGCCATGTCGACGTCGACCCAGCCAACATCAACATCTTGAATGGCAATGCACCTGATCTCGAGGCAGAATGCATCGCGTATGAGGAAAAGATTCGAAGAGCGGGTGGCATCGAGCTCTTCCTGGGCGGAATTGGTCCCGATGGCCACATCGCGTTCAATGAACCAGGTTCCAGCCTGAAGAGTCGGACAAGAGTCAAGACTTTGGCATATGACACAATTCTCGCCAACAGCCGGTTCTTCGATAACGACCTTACGAAGGTCCCAAAGATGGCCTTGACTGTTGGCGTCCAGACGGTTCTAGATGTAAGTGTATGAGGGTGAGCTGCAACAACGCTTACTGACAGTCCCTAGGCCCGCGAAGTCCTCGTCATCATCACTGGTGCTCACAAGGCCCTCGCACTCCAAAAGTGTATCGAAGGAGGTGTGAACCACATGTGGACCCTTTCCAGCCTGCAGATGCACCCATACGCAATGATCATCGTAGACGAGGACGCAACCTTGGAGCTACAAGTCAAGACTGTGAAATACTTCAAGTCTATCGAGCAGGTCGCAACGTCACAAGGTTTTGGGCAAGCACTGGCTTCCGAAGAAATGACAATGCGCAAACGTGATTCCGTCTTGGAGCAACYCGACAGTCCCAAGAGTCCTACCGCCAAGTCGTTCCTTGCGGGTCCGAAGCCTATTTTGACGCGGATGATCACCACTGAGCTGAACACACAACCTGCGACTCTCATACCACCCAAGCCCGAAATCATCCGTTCGGTCACTCCCGAGTTGGTAAACGAAGCCATGCATTCGCGTATTCCAGAAACTCTTCCTGGTCTAGACGGGTTGGAAGTCAAGGAACTCCCCATTTCGCCTATGCATGAACGCGTGGACTCTGCTGCTCCCGCATGAGTAGTTTTCTCTCGACGAGACAAGGCTGTAGGAGTGCTGGCGTTACGCGACTATATACCACGAGTTAGCATCGGAGTTGGAGGATGTCAAGATACACAAAATCAATAAAATATATCTAGCGGGCCGGCGCAGACTCATGAGACATTTCACCGTCATTTTAAAACGCTCTGAAACGAAGCGCCTTTTGACCGTAAAGTGCAGCAGTGACATCTTGGAATCAGGCGATTTGGGAGTACCGGGTCCATGGCACGGCAGCTGGTCATGCACAAAGCGTGCAACGCCTCATGCATGATGCATGCCGGGCGTCGAAGCCTGCCGAATGTAGCACCATCTTGAGATCCAGAACATCTACAACGGCGTGACAGGCGAGATTGAGTTGGTCAAATGTCGAGCAACGAGTGAGCGACCAAATGTGTACGTGTGCGAGCGTAGCTATTCCAAAGATCAAAGTAGTGTCGATACACTATCCGCACCCTTAAGTTTCTCCTTTGCTATCCTCTCCCTCTCAAGGAACTCAGCCTGTTCAATGCGGCTCTTCTTGACATCCACGAAGAATAACAAGAAGAGAAAACTCGCCAAACTCAGGGCGAACAAGAAGTAGAATGGCGAGGAATTGTTCCCTGTATCGTCGATGATTGCGGAAGAGATGAATGGGCCGATGAATGAGCTGGTCTTGCCAATGATGGAAAATAAGCTGAAGAATAGGAATTCTTTTCCACGCGGTGTTACTTCACTGATCATCTGTTTGACGTGTCAGTCGGTCTGTGGTGGTTCGAATGTTGGGACTTTGGTTTCGTAAAGAGGGTGGGTACATACAGTCTGTGAGTAACTGTACCACGGACAGACGAAGAGTCCGTAAAACGCCTGGATTTGTCAGTCAGCTTGGATGGATAGATACATGTGATGAGATTGAGATGCGTACCTGATACACCCAGACCTCCCATGTATTATGGAATCCAAAGCTCTGGGTCCAAATCCCAATCATGCCCCAGCCGTCCAGCAGAATGATTCCCACGGCGACGGCGTTGAACATTGTCTTTGTGGAGAGATCATAGCGCTTCTGGACGTTCCAGAAGATCCTTCATAATCCATCAGCATATGGACTCGCTAACAAACGAGGGTGATCTATCGATTCTCACCAGATGCCTGCGGCTTGAGCCGCAATACCGACGATGAGGAGATAGGTCAGTTGGAGCGTGTTGTAAGCCACAATCTCGTTCTGTAGCGTTCCGATGACCGTCACCGTCGTGTTCAGAGAGTCTCCGAGTAGGAAGTATCTATGGGGAAAGCATGGATGTTAGCCTCGCTGCCTCGCTCGGGACCCTCGACTGTAGATTAAGATCCAACTCTACTTCTGTATGCGATGCAAGGAATCTCGCAGATGACAGATGCTACCATGAACAGGTGGATAAGACATACCCTAAACACGCAGTTAGCAAACGCTTCTGGACAGGGTATTGCAAGACGTTACCAATGAGATAGAAGAGACTCTGTCTCAACTGCCAGATCTCTGCAACAGCCCTCCGCAACTGCCAGAATCCAGCAAGCACAATGTTCATACCGGGGTCTTGACCCGGCCGCCTCTTCTCCATTACAAACCATGGAATAGCCAGCAAGAGCCATACTCCCGAAGCGAAGGCTATGAGAACGCTCAATCCGTAGTTGTTATTTGCGGTACTGGCGTTCACATGCAAGCTAAACATGATACCGACAATGACTGCCAGAATGAAGAGCTCGCCAACACTCTGCACATAAAATGCCGTGTTGCTTAGCTCGTTCCGCTTCATACTATCGACATGATCATACTCCTCGCGAGAAATGTCTCCAGATTCGAATTCCCGTGCCTTGTCTCTCATCACTCTCGTATTTCGTGCGAGTCCTGGAAATGCCGCGGTCCAATAAGTTAAGCATAGTTGGTATGCAATGAGCCCGACCATGTACAATCCCAGTCCGATCTGCCAGTCATCGACGGTGTGAACTCCCAGCCAGCCGAATCCAATTCCCCAAGCGATCAGAGACAGAACGATGAGAATGTTTGGACGAAAGGTTCCGAAATCGGCAAAAGATCCCAAGACCAGGAAGATGGCACATTGGATCGCGAAGCTGATGCCGTTACAAAGCAGAATGACACTGTTTATCGTCCGGTTGGCTCCAGCGAAGCGTACTATGGTATTCCCTGGACCTCCAATCGCTTCGGCGTGTTGATAGACCAAGTTTTGCGCGGCAGTAGGGCCAAAGTTGAAAAGCGTTAGGCCATTATTTCCAATGTAGTAGGCATAATAGCTCCAGACCTCCCACTTGGAAGTCTCATATCTCTCGTCAAATTGATCGGGAGCAATGGGTTTGTCGACCTCTTCTAATGAGCCACTGTTACTGCCAGTGACGGCGCCTTTGATTGGATCTTCCGAGAGAGCCGACACGATTCCAGGATCATTGGACGCCATTGCAGAATTAGGCCTCCAAGAATAATATCAAGGATGAACGTGCAAGCATGCACCTTTCCTTAAAGCTATCGGATGTGGTGTCTGATACCGATGCTGATTTTACTCCAGAGTTTCGTACCTGCGATCAGATAATTTCCTCGGGCAACAGTAAAGGTGTGATTAATGATGGCATGTGTTGGGAAGAGAAAGAGAAGTCAAACAGTGTCGTGTTCACCTACGCGAGAGATGGATCGAGAAGCACGCCACAATCAGGTTGATCGGGTCTAGAAAGGTGCTTGTACAGCTGCAGTGGTAGGAGTCGCCGACGCAGCCCGCGTTCGCATCGCGCCCCTCACCCAAGGGTCGAAGGAAAATTCGGGCACAGAGTTTGTACTAAGCGTTGTGGGCCCGATCCACGTGGAAAATGTCAAGATTTGCCTTTGCGATCATTTGGTGGATCCAACTTTTGGAAGATTGATTTATGCATCCGACAGGTAAAGCAGAAAAGAATAGCACGATTACCTTGTCGGGTCGAGGGGAGGAGCGTCAAAGGTGCGTGGGAGCAAAGAGCACTTGGAAGCTTCAAGTCAATTGGCAAAARCTTGGTAATGGCAGGCTGAAAGCAGCCAGAATAATACAGCATACAGAGATGCATTGACACATCCTTGCTGTCCCTCTATCAATCCTCATATTTTCAAGTCTGCCAGTGTCATATTCAGCGTTCTCAGCCCTACATCGAGCCCAGGAGTCTGATCTTCCATAACCGCCTTCCAAAGCGCCAAACAGTTCTTTTGATGCACGACCTCCCGATATGCGTACTTTCGAAGAACCTTTTCTAGTGCATCAAAACTGCGTATGTAGTTGTGCGAGCTACAGATCAATCTCCCTGCAATTTGTCAGTACGAGGACGACATCATTACAACTCTGAAGCCGTGACTCACGTAGGACGTCCAGGGTTGATTCCTTCCAGAATTTGGGGTCAGCTGTGGCGGTAATGATGAAGAGACTCCATAGCGCCGCTTCTTCAAACGGAGTTCCAAATAGGGGATACGTCTCGAGCCCTGTGCAGTACAAGTAATGGGCGTCCGCTGATTCCGAGGCAAGGAAATATCTGACGTCGCGATGTGCAACACCAATAGCGTACGTCCTGATAACGGAAGTCGTCTGTTAGCGAGCGTGAAGATAGGTCGAAAGATGGTCGTAGGAGACAGAAGTGAATGGTATTGACTCACCAGGCTATTAGCACACTCACCATCGCAGCCCTCATATGGTAGAGGGCAAGATCCTCAAGATCTTCGTGCGATAGTCTTCCGGCCCAAGATTGTGGAGGCTCGCGCTTCATTCGCCATGAAATGATAAGAATACCTGGCTCGTACAAGACTGGCCAACCATTTGTGAGGTCGAGGTTCGCGATTCTGCTCAATATGAAAAGTAGAGAGCGCGTGTCGTGTCGGTGGAGATTGTATATGCTGTAGTCGAGTGTCAAAGCCGCTCCAGTCATGGTTTTCATCGTATCCAGATGATGGTCAATTGTGAACAATCCATCTGATGATACTGAAGCTCCAATCTCACTTGAGCGTCTCTGGATGGTCGATGTCATGGAGTAGAGGACGTCGAAGATCCGGCGGTCGGAGGCATCCGAGTCGTCCTGGGCCTGTTTTGAGGTCAGGGTTCGCGACTTTTCGGCGTCTACTTTCATCTCGGGCTGATCGATGGCTCTGAGAGCTTTCAAGTGCGCGGAATATCCATCCGGATCGCCGTAGATCTAGGTATAAGTGTGAGCTTGGCTCGTGTAGCTGGCGCGGCTTATGCTTAAAGACCGCTTGATGTTTACCTTCTCCCAACCTGCAAGAGCGCTTAGGCATATTGCAAAACTACCACGGGGATCATACGGAGCACATGATCCTTCAGCGGGGCTTAGCTCCTCGGGGGGGTGCAGTATTTTCATAGAAGTCAAGTGCATACACAGCAGAGCAGTACCCCGTAAGAAGAGTGGCGTTGTTCGTAGTTGAACCCCATACTCAGCGAGACCGATCATTTTGGCCTACACGACTACGTCAGGAAACGAGTGTCATGGTCACTGCGAAGGATACCCACCTCGGTAGAGCCGAGGAACATGGCCACGGCGTGGAGGTCCTGACTGAGTGTCATTCGCGTCCATAGATGTGTTTCGAACGCTTTGCTTGCTAGGGAAGTGTTCTGAAGTACTGTCGCATGGCCATGTTAGCTGGCGAGGGTGCTCTCGGTCCGGCCTGATACTCACGTTTGTTCGTAGCCGTGGATTTCCAGACATGCATCCCACATTTTGGCTCATCTTCTCGCCGTCGCCTCATCGTCGCCAGTCGGATAGATGTGCTTGACACCGCCGCCGCCGCCCGCACCTGTTTGCGCTTGACGCTGCTGTTTTTGCCATAGCCTTGACTTGTACGAGGCTTGGCTTCTGCGGGCTCAAAGGCTATCCATGTTGAAATGGAGGAGTTGTTATCTGCGGGAGTATTCTCCATGCCCACAGGAGACATTTGAGTCGCCTGGTATCCTCATCGATAACCGCCTGGGAGTCGCAAAAGTGGCGTAATGAAGTCGCCATGAGGGCAGTCCCGAGGAGGTATGAAGTATCTGCGGAGGCGTAAACTCAAACCTAAGGCCCGCATTGGAGAGATCAGCACTCTCTACGCGCTATGTCACGAATGACATGGCACTACCAAGCGATGGCTTGCGGAAGTGCGGAGTCGACGAAGCATAATTCGTAAGAAGCTTCTCTTGAACAACGCGACTACTTGGCAATCAGAGTCACTGTAGTGACACTGTAGTGAAGAACACTCGTACAATCGACCATTCTGACGACTTACGCCGCTCGGTGGGTTTTCGTGTCGCGAGCGAAAGTAAATCACACCTTCACCTCCATGCATGGCGCAGTGTACCTTGGACGGCCAGTGCCGCCAAATGACATTAATTTTGGACAAATTGTACGACGTCAGCAGTGAATTGCGAGACCGTCACCGTGATTGCATCGGATCAACTGACATCCTCGCTGAAATATCTTTTACTCCTGCCTTTCTTCCCTGCTCCACCTCCGCTATCAAAGCGTGGGTCGATCGGCAGCTTTGTGTGATGCACAACATGTGGCCTATACACCGCCTCCACCGGCGGCATCCAATCATCCAAACCAAGTGGAAAGTACTCATATAGCAAGTCTGCACTCTCATCTGGGGAGTTGATCGTCTCCCGGAGCGTGAATGAAGGCGGCCGCGCCATCATATGCAGTCTCTTGGCAGATGAAGATGAAGCACGCCCATCTGGCGGCGTGGCACTCTTCGCAGACTCGTCTTCAACGAGGCTGAGGTTAATAGGGGCTGAAGGGGGGTGTGGCAGTGGTATTTGGCTCGAAAGGGACAAGTCCGGTGACGCGACTGCGTACCCTTCTCTTCCATTTATCGGACTCCGTAAAGTTCTAACACCAGATGTTGCTGCCTGAGCGGCACCTGCATGTGTATGGTTCTGTGTCCAACCGAAAGATTCAGTGGACTGATGATCCTGAGGATCATAGAACGCGGTCAAAGACATGGACTGCACAGCCGCAGCCTCCGTCTTGATAGGAGCAGATGTCGGTGCATCGTGCCTGGTCTTTCCGCAGCCACTGTCTGCGGAAGACACTCGACTAGGCTGTCCGGTAAGATTGGAACTCTTTCGCGCATGTCCTCCGCCTCCACTTCCATTAAGCGGCATGTCTTTCCTCGATTGGAAGTTGCGGGGACTCCTCCCACGAACGATGATCGCACCACTTTGGACTTCGCACATGGTAATCTTGCCTCCAGTCGCCAGAGTCGCAACCACCTTCAATTTGACCAGAAAGTGCTGTTGCAACTCTTTTCTTCTTCCATTATTAGCAGTGGCAATCCTGAACTGCAGGCGTTTCCATTGGAAAGGAAAGCTGGCGAAGTCTGTGCTCATTTCCTGCACATTGGTGAGGTCCAGCGGGATTGAAGGAGGTTCGCGTTCAGCTTTGTCTTCCGTTGAGACAGGAACGTTGGGATTTGCAGGCGTMTTCCATGGCACCGATATTATCTTCACAGCGTTTCCCTCGGTCGATTCCATTGCACTGATTACCAGTTCTTGTCCAATTATGGGTATTTGCTCGCCCTGCTCAGTCATAATGTATCGCAAGGTTCGCGGGAGTGTAATGTCTCCAGTAATTTGGAACAAGTTTCGCCGGTAGCATGTCAGCTCCGAGGGAGGAGGTTGCGCATCGCCGGCAGCAGCCCATGGTGATTCTGCGAGGAAGAACATGCCATGAAGTTGCGCGGAGAGAGAAATGGTAGTTCGGCGGTACGTGTAATCGAGAAGGGTATAACCGAAAGACGGTGGTGAGAAGCTCAGCAGCTTGTTGTCTCTATCGATTGAGGGCGTTTCGGGATCGAGAGGGTCATTTTGAACGGGAGCTTCGAAGGCGCTTACGACGTCGGAGAATGGGTCTTCATATACGCTGGTATTGGCATAGTGTTTGAGAGAGACTGGCGGCTGCAGACTGTGTAGATTCAAGTCATCGCTCCTAGAAAGTTGCACTTTAATACGATTCTCACTCATGCGTCGTGAGAGAATTCACCTACCCTGCATATCCTCCGTAGGTTGAATGATGGTCCGGGAAATCGTTCTGTAGAAGCATGTCTTGGAAAGCATCATGATCACTGCTTGSGACATTCGGATGCTGCATTTGAGACGCCAGATAGGTCATGGTGGAAGGGTCAAATCCTGTCATGTCCATGATCGCAGCGATGCATTCGCACAGTATGATATCGCGCCGTGCTTTCGCATGTGTCTATGCGAGAGTACCCAGTTGTCGCCAGAGTAGCTGAGCTGCAAAACTCCAGATACCACCAAGCAGCTCGGGAATTGTATGGTTTCTCTTCCGCATTCACGGCCTATTGTCTTGCAGCTTTGCGCCAGCCACACGACTGCGAATCACTCAATCTTCCCGGCAAGCCTCAACGTGGAAAGCTCTATATGCGACTCTTGCTTAGCTTCAACGTTTCCAGCGCACCGATCTGTCGTGGCCGTCGTTGGAAGTCTGCAATGGTAGTCCGACAAGCTTATACAGCTTGTTGCGTACTGGAGGATGGATCGGATGGCGAAAGTCGTTTCGGGGGCGCTGTTTGACGTCTTCTAGCCTGTAATCACTCTCTCACTGTGCAGATGCCTCTCGATGCGCCGTTCGGGAGTTTGCACGCCGTACGCACGTGAATGAATCATAATGATCATCCTCGTGCAGCTGTGTCCCGGTGCACATTGATAGGCCGGCGGCAGGCGACCGAGTTGAGGAAGGTGGAGCCGCTTCCCGATAATCACGTGAAAATTGCACGAAGTATAAACATGCACAACGAGTAGTAGATAGTACATAATACACGAATGCCAGCCAACGACATCGAAGAAGAGACGTCCATCCCGGAGAAGCTATGACGGAGGAACCATTGTCCAAGTCGCGGCATCACAACTCACTTCTTCAAAGTTGTGCAGTACGCTGAAACCCATGGCACTCAGGCCGTCGAAATTGCCGTCGCCATCCATCTATTCATCACGTCAGTCAGCATCAGATTGGCAATCGCATAGGGAGTAGACACTCACATAGTCCAGAACACAAGCATTGCATCCTTGCTGCTTTATCTGTCGCATTCCAAGTAGAATCAAGCCTTGAAGTAGAGTGGAATACTCTCCAACCGACGGGCTGATGACAGGTGAAGAAATCCCGCCTGCAAGCTCGCCGAGACTCTTGATACTGGGTACAAACTCGGCGAGTTGAGATTGCATGTTGTAGAGCACGACTGTACCCACCAAAGCACCGTCTTCGGGACGTTTGGCGCGAATGATGCCGCACGCAACAGGATCTGCGAGTGCGAGTTTATACACCTCCGCAAGTCCCTGTCTGTTGTTCGTCTTGATATGGTCGAGGACCGGACCAGCATAGTCCCATCCGTAGACCAAGTCAAAGTTTACACCAGCACTTTGTAGACTCTTCGCCATCCCATCCGGTGGCGACCAGGTGGAGAGGTTGCGGGCGACCATGCTACACACCGACCGAGACAGTGCAGTGTTCCAGCCAAGATTGGCGAACCAAGATCGAAGACGCTTTCTTTCGCCTCCGTTTCCGGTCGGAATACCGAGGTAAGTACTTGGGAGACGGGAGCCTAGTTGGAAGCGCTTGACACCTTCTCGCTGAAGAAGCGTTCGGATGGCTCGATTATGAAGAGAGTGTCCAATCGATAGTTTCCTTCGACTTTGGTCTACAAAGATGGCTCCGATGACTCCTGTGCCAGTAGCTTTGAAGAAGTACGTCGCACAGTAGCCATACAATGCCTGCGTGCTACTATTGCGCACAACGAAATGCGCCTCCAATATCTCAGGGTTGTGTAGTAGGAACGAGTTTGAAGTTGCGCTTGCGAGCTCCGAGTGCGATCCAGGTGCGTTGACGTCGACYGACGCTTTGATTAGCATATCCAAAGCATGAGAGTCTCTCTCCTCGTTGAAAGACTCCACGAGCCAGTGCTGCTTTGACTGGGAAAGTTTTTGGCTCTGGCTCAGCGTTCCAGGTAATGCTCCCGCAGGAGCAAAATCTCCGTAGAGGACTTTTACCAACGACATAAGCGCCGTCTCCGTGAAGTCGTACGTGCAAACGTATGTTCCTATACTTTGGTCCAATGCAAAGTCGTATGGCGAGCTGACTGATACTACGACCAGAGGTTTCTCCCTTTTCTCGCCTCCAGACGTATAGTGCATGTTGCAAATCATCGAGACGTGCTTTGTAAAGCCGTGCTGGTACAGATTGCGATTGGCATCGGCTGTAACAATGATTATTGCACTGGCACGGCTGATCAAATTTTCGTGCTGAGGTCGTACACCATTGGCTGTATAGGACGTGTGCAGCACACGGCCACTGCGCTGTCTAGCCAGTGACCTGCCAAGTTCGCGGAAGACTCTCTCCCCACTCATAACAGACGCACTACGTTCCCACACGCCTGGTTCTGGAGACCCATTGGACGCTTGCTCGGATAGCTGGCGCGAAGCGGCCGATGCGGCCAAAGGCTTCACTAGAGGCGTCAGGAGAAGCAGTTCATCCTCCGGCTCCATGATATTCGTTAGCGGTAAAAGTCGATTTTTGTCCCGCACAACCGTGATGGAAGAGTTGTATGCCTTTGTTGAYAGTGTCGTATGAGATGGTTGCAGATGGGATAGGAGAGGAATGCCCTGCGGATGCAACGCTTTCTCCCAGGACGTGCACTTGGCTTTCATATCGAGCACCCTTCTTAGAGACTGCCGGAGTCTGTCTTTCGAAATCATTACGTTCTCGACCCCGAGCTTGAAGCCTTCAATTGCTTCCTGCTGGTGTGTATAAGAACGGCATAGGAGAACGATGTCGCAGCCTGCGTTAATGGCCATGACAGTCCCACCACCGACACCGATGTTGTGGCTCAACGCCTCCATCTCCAAGCAATCGGAGATGACGACGCCATCGAAGTGAAGGTCGTTTCGCAGCAGGTCGTTCACAACTTGCTCCGATAGACAGGCATGCATCACATTCAGACCCGCGGAAGACATGGCGCATCCACCCACCATCATGGCGTCCAGACCCTCTTTGATGGCATTGCGAAACGGCACAAGAGCATTCAAACTCAGCGACTCCAAGCTCTCGGTAATGGTCGGGACGTCCAATGCAGAACCGAGAAACTCGAGACTGCCATATGATGGAAAGTGCTTGCCCATAGTGCTGACCCCGGCATCTTTATAGCCCYTCATGAATGCAATACCATATGCGGACACTTCCTGTGGGTCATCGCCTGTGGTTCGGACACCCAGGGGCTGGTTTCGGGCATTTGTCAGTACGTCGAGGCAGGGCCCCATCATCAGATTAAGCCCACATGCTGCGATCTCCTCTGCAGTCGCTTTCGCTACTTGGTAGGCAATTTCCTTTGATCCTGTAGCCGCCAAGCCCATGGCGGAAGGATACTGGCGGATGTAGATCTCATCGAATAGGCTGTTGACTCCACCATTTTCTTGATCTAGTCCTATCAACAGCGGAACCGGATGACCTGCCTCATATGCAGTTCTCTGAAGCTCAAGCACAAGCTCTGTACACTGCTTCGCAGCTACATCTTGTCAGCGTGGCTACCATTGGCCACCTTCCACGGCACTCACACTTCAAGTTTTTCGCGGTCAGCAAAATCGAGCCGAGATGATGCTCTTGAATGAGCTTCCGAATCTGGGGCGTTACGGTAGTGCCCTCGAAGCCCATCTACAGGTCCAGCAATGTGTGAGCCCACCATTGATACTAGGCGTAGTCCTGTATGGCAAGACTTACCATGAACAACTGCCCCAATGTTCTGACATGCTCGGTTAGCGCCTCGTACCTCCGGTCAAGGCACGTGTCTTGCAGTCCTCACTCACTTGTTCGCGTCATCCCATACGGGATCGAGCTGGTCATTGCTGCCAGCCATCTTTGCCGACGCTAGCGAGCGAAAAGTAACATATGTTCAAAGGCACCCAAGGCTGATACCTTGGCGCGAGTCGGGAAGCCGGGGCTGGTGACGATCAACGGATGGTCCCCACTACAATGGTCAGAGTTGCGTTTGGGGTGGAGAATATGGCCTGTCGTTGCACAGATCCTGAGCTCATGCTTCGCCGAGAGACTATCTCCAAGCACCGTAGCTCTGGGTCCGTCGAGCAACTGCAATGGCCTAGCTCGGGCCGCTTTTTGAGGTGAATGCAAGCGCTGTGACTTGGAAGGAGTAGTAGTATGGTACAGTATGACCATGTAACAGTCGTCGCGGCAGAGCTGATGTCGCATCGAAGTGTCGAAGCCGAAAGTGGAGAACTAAGCTTGGCCGACGTGACAAAACCCGTGGCCGAGATCCATCGTCCTCTTCCCCCATACAACCTCTCGACAACACCTCGTGATGTAACTATTGGACTTCGCGCAACGCTGCGTCTGAATGCCGACAAAATCGCGGAATCCGCATGTGCGACTGGTAGCAGCTGCCAGCTGGTGACGTCTTGACCTTGCCTTCACTCAAATGTTTGTCTATCGCTATCGCGTCGTGCTCTCTCTTGAGAACAGCTACGGTAATCTAACTCTCTTCGCCGCCCTATCATTTTCCACCCCATCCACCTATTCYACTTACTCTCTCCCTATTATTGCTCTGATTTCTGTTGCCACTCACAAGCAGACTTCATACCTATCAACCGCCTTCAAGCGCATGCCGGACGTGCTCCATTCAGCACCATCAAAATGCCAGCAGCCACTTCTCCGGAGCGTCCGCGCACTGGCATCACACGCCTGACTGGTGGAAGATTGGTCAAAGGTAACGCTCTCGTCGAGGAAGACCTTTGGATTTCCTCGGTCACTGGTAAAATCCTTCACAGCCAGGAAGTCTTCTACTCACATCAAGTCGTCCCGGACGAGATTATTGACCTGGAAGGCAAAATTCTCGCTCCCGGCATGATCGATGTGCAGTTCAACGGTGCCTTTGGATATGACTTCTCCACCATACCGGACGACATGAGTGAATACATCAAAGGTCTGAAACGTCTCAATCGAAAACTCGTCAGAACGGGTGTAACCAGCTACCTTCCCACCATACCAAGCAATAAGCCGGAAGTATATCATCAAGCATTGCCCCACCTTGGCCCAAGTGGTAACGGCAGAGACCCCCATGAGGGCTCTGAGAGTCTGGGAGCGCACTGTGAAGGACCATTCATCTCTCCGACCAAGAATGGATGTCACGGCCAAGACGTTCTCAAAGCTGCGCCAAATGGCTTTGCGGATCTGGAATCTTGCTATGGGGCTAAAAATCTGGCTTCGGAGGGGAACGAAAAGCGCTCACCCATCACCATGATCACAGCCGCTCCGGAAGTCGAAGGTGTCGCGTCCACTATCCGTGAGGTGGAGAAGCGCGGCATCATCTTCTCTGTAGGTCACACCGAAGCGACGTTCGAACAGGCAGGTGAAGCCATACAGAATGGCGCGACCATGATCACGCACCTGTTCAACGCAATGCGACCTCTGCACCATCGCAACCCAGGCATCTTTGGTGTTCTCGGCAAGGTGGAGGGAAGCGAACGAAGACCCTACTTTGGCATCATCGCTGATGGCATTCACCTCCATCCCACCACTGTCAAACTTGCGTGGAACGCTCACCCGGATGGCTTCATTCTCGTCACAGATGCGATGAAGACGGTGGGTCAGCCTGATGGTGTGTACGACTGGACGAATGGGGATCGATTCGTAAAGAAGGGATCATTGTTGACCTTGGAGGGAACGGACACGATTGCTGGCTCGTGCGCGAGTCTGATTGAATGTGTCAGTAACTTTTGGAGCTGGAGCCACGCACCCTTGCCAGATGTCATCAACGCTGTCACCGCCACACCCGCCAGGATGTTGGGCCTTGAGAAAACCAAGGGAACGTTGACGGCAGGAGCTGACGCAGACTTGCTAGTGCTGAACCCTCGAGAGGAGAGCGATGGCAGACGGGTGTTGGATGTTCATCAGGTTTGGAAGTTCGGGGTCTTGGTGAGCGACGCAAAAGATGACGAGTATGGTGCCTGAATTTTGAAATGCATGTAGCGCTGGCGTTGGTAGGTTGATCGGGACGATGAAGCAACGCTGTGGTTGGTACTACTCGAACTATGTATAGACTTGAAAGTTGCTGTTCGTAATCAGTTCATGCCATTGACTGCTCGCGTCGGTGGTATCGAGATTAGTGTTTCCACTATCTGTGTACACTATCGGGGTTGCARATAATGCATTCAATGCCGAGATATCAAAATACGCCCAAACCTCGTAAAATCAAGACGAGGCGCTCCCCGCTGTCCACAGCGGTATCAATTTTTCAGACTCTCGACAGATAGGCATTCTGAGACCGCTCATGGACTCCAAGTGTAATGCATTGTGACCCTATCAGATTCGCGTAAGGTCAACGATCCCCTCTGAAAGATCACGAAAACTAGAGCGTGATATCTGACGATACTAAAGAGAAAAATAATGGAAGCACAAGTCTCTCTTCATGCATACTCGAAAAGTTATTGTCTCATCACTTCCATGCCTTTCACATGCAAGCGGGCGGGAAAAGCCGAAGCCAATGTACGTCATGATCAGACGCGCTCCTCGTGGAGCCGACGCAAAACGTGAACAGCTCACCGTAATCATTCACTCACCGCACGTGAACTACCCACATCCCGTTCCCGAAGCCAACGATGACACCGACTGTCGCCCGATGACCTCTTGCTCACCACGATGCGCGCCTTTGCAACCCTCTCCCGGACATGTCTCCATCACAGCAGCGCGTTTCGCCCTCGGGTCCTCCGCCATTTCAGCCATACCCTTCATGGAGGCCACAGTAACAAAGGATTTTCCACATTTGTGCAAACGTTCCGCCAGACGTTCAAACCGCCGCCAGCGCCTGTAAAAGGCGGGACGATCCTGCTTGCAGCATTGAGTCCCGCGGCATTTGTGTCCATTGCAGAGGACGAGGATGACGAAGACCGACATGGCTTGACGCATGAGGAGCAGATGTTGGAGATGTCTAGACAAGAACTCGCAGAGCAGGTACCGGATCGTCTGAAAAACTCGACAAAAGTGCGCAGGAATCTATGGAGATTTCTAGATACGTGGATTGTTGAGCCCTTGGCTACTGGTCTGCGCTTTCTACACCTGGTGATCATTTTCGTGCCGGTAATCGCTACTGTACCTGTTATTTGGTTAGGCGCCAGGGTTTTGGAGAGGGACAACGAAAGGAGTGGAACTTTGTGGTGGTATGCATTTCTAGTATCGTCGATGGAGCGTGCAGGAGCCGCCTTCATCAAACTGGGGCAGTGGGCCGCGAGCAGAACGGATGTGTTTCCAAAAGAGATGTGCGCGATCATGTCAAGTCTTCACTCGAACGCGCCGGCGCATTCCTTGAAGGTTACGAAGCAGACCATCGAGCGGGCCTTTGGAATGCCTTTCGAGGAGATATTTGAAGAGTTTAATGAGCAGCCTCTTGGCGTGGGAGCCATCGCGCAGGTATACAAAGCAAAGCTGAAGGCAGACCTCGTAGGCGGAGAGGACGACGGCCTGGATGTGCCGCAGACTTTGAAAGAAAGGGCAATGAAGACAGTGGATCCTCTGTTGAAGAGCACCCCTCATCGTGTGCCTTCGACATATGTCGCAATTAAAGTGTTGCATCCTAAGATTGAGCGAATAGTCAGGAGAGATTTGAAGATCATGGGCATCTTCGCGAGCATGATCAACGCGATACCAACGATGGAGTGGCTGTCATTCCCAGACGAAGTCGCACAGTTTGGAGAAATGATGCGCCTGCAGCTGGACTTGAGAATCGAATCTGCGAACCTCTCCCTCTTCAGGAAGAACTTCAGGAACCGCACGACGGCTTGGTTCCCTTATCCGTACACTCAATACACATCCCGGCAAGTTCTCGTCGAAGAGTTCGCCACTGGAATCCCTCTGGAGCACTTTCTCGATAATGGAGGCGGAGTGTTCCAGAAAGAGATTGCGGACGAAGGTCTAGATGCATTCTTACACATGCTGCTCCTCGACAACTTCATTCATGCAGATCTACACCCTGGCAACATAATGGTCCGCTTCTACAAACCTTTAACGCTCAGATCCCAACGTAGCTCGCATCCCAAAGCCGCCGATGTCGAGGGCGCAACTGATGTCACAGAGGAGGTCCTAGCTCGACTACGACCTCACCGAGGCGACAAACCTTCCTGGCTGTCAACGCTCTCCAAGATTGACAGCGAAGGATACCGACCGCAGCTCATATTCATAGATACAGGACTGGTGACTGAGCTCAACGAGAAGAACCGCGCGAACTTTTTGGATCTATTCAAAGCAGTGGCGGAATTCGATGGATACAAAGCTGGCAACCTCATGGTTGAGCGTTGTCGACAGCCAGATGCAGTGATTGACAAGGAGGTATTCGCACTGAGAATGCAACATCTCGTGTTGGGTGTCAAGAGTCGAACATTTGCGCTTGGAAACATCAAAATTGGTGATATATTAAATGAGGTGTTGGACATGGTTCGATCGCACCATGTAAGGATGGAGGGTGATTTCATCAACGTCGTGCTGAGTATCCTGCTGCTGGAGGGTATTGGGAGGAATCTCGACCCCGATATGGATCTCTTCTCAGGGTGAGTGAACAATGCATTGTCTCTGCACACATGGGATGTGAACACTGACAGTTGAATCTTACAGCGCCTTGCCTATTCTACGACAGCTTGGAGCACAAAGTAGCAAGTCGATCTTCCAATCTGGAGACCTTTCGATGGTGAAAGTCTGGGCAGGATTGGAAGCCAGAAAATTCTTCCAGGCCAGTGTTGAGAGCGTGGAGAAGTGCGTAAGGTACGACCAACTGTCACCCAATCTGTAAGATTAACGACATGATGGGATCAAACATTCAGGAAGTTAGACATTATTTGTACAGAGCAGTACTCTGCTAGACAGTGCGTGGCAATGCTGATAAACAGACCACGACTCCACACCACCGTGCTCGTGCGTGCTCTGCAAACACAGGCGAAGGCGCGATGTGAAGAGCGCTGAATGATTTAATTCTCGTACTAAGTACTCTGTTTATCATTCCACACGACAACAAACATGAGCTCTGGCTCCGAGTCGGGAGACTGCGCTCTGAGCTTTTTGATCAAATGTCGTATAGCTGCTCGGCCACGACCTTCGTCTCGCACAATGCGTGGAAGAAGATTACCGCCCTTCAAGTCCTTCAATGCCTTCACGCGGATCTCCTTGATGGTATGGCCTYCAGCGGCAATCTCATCCGGGATGTGGGCTTCGACGAGACCGAAGAAATCCTTGGTCGTGCTGCAGTGTTGCATTTCCATGTAATCGCTGAACTCGAGCTGACGGCCCCAGTTGATTTCAATCGATACATTTTCGAAAGAGCCGGTATGTGGCGATGCTGACATGAGCTTATCGTCTTCCATAGGTTCGGACTTCAGCCTGGGACTCTGCTCATAACCTGCTGATGGCCCTTGTGGTCCTGGATATACGTTGCTCATCGGTGGAGTGTGCGTTGGCATGGGAGTTCGCTGCAAATGGCCAGGATTGCCGAGGGTTTGTCCGATGTCTATTCCTGCGCGAAGATTTGCGGCCGGATTGACGTTTGGTGAGTGTTGTGGTTGTGGTTGCTGACGCTGTCTGGGAGGGGTCGGGTCCATCAACGAAGTCATCCGTTTTAAAAGAACTTCCATATCGTCTCGTGTCTCTGGATGATTCGTCAAGATGGTCTTTAGATTGTTCAGTTGCTGTTGGTCCAGATTGGAATCTGCAGCAAGTATGTGCGCAACTACAGGACACCGKATAAGGTCTCCCAGTATCTCCTGCGACGTGTTAAAATCAGTTGACTCTCAGTGCACACGTTGAAACWTACCTCGACAAAAGCGTTTCTTCTCACATTGGAAGGAGCAATCGGATGTGGACTATGGCGTCGCACAGGAGGCCCTTGCGTATTCGCAGGGAGGTTGCTTGCGGGGAGAATTTGGCGCGGGGATAACGAATGGTGCTGATGAGTCTGTGACGGCTGCGGCTGAGGAGCTACAGGACGCTGAGGGCCATGCCTAGAAGCAGAGAGCACAATGTCAGCGTTTGTTCTCTTCAGCTTGTCGTCTTCAATGCTTCGTCTATGACTTYGGGTATTTCTTCCTCTTTCACTTCCCGACACTGACTTCTTATCGTGGAATTCACTTACTGCTGCAGTCCTGGACCCTGCGGCGGACGGGCCACAAATTGATGCTGGAGCTGATACTGGGAATGCTGATGCTGCGGGGGCTGGTGTTGTTGGGACTGGGGCTGAGGCTGGGGCTGGTGCTGAGTCTGCGGCGGGTGGTGATGCTGGTGATTTTGCGGATGTTGAGAATGTTGTTGCTGTCTGCGTTCAAAGTGAAGAGGTCAGCCAACATGAACTCTCTCCATACCTAGGATGCTTTCGACCAATAGCGAAAAGAAGCAGCAGTGATACTCCCAGCGGAGTCGATTCAAGTCATCCGGGCGGCCAATGAAGGCAATCTCATGCTGTATGGAGTTTTGGGTCAAATCACATACGGAACGAATGGTCGGTTGACCCTGAATGCATGGTGTGCGTGTCCGTGATCTCGAAAAGGACCAGATGGCTGCGAGGTTAAAGATTGTACTGTAGGACGCGGCGCAGCGGTTTGTGGTGCCTGAAGATGCGGATCTTCATTGCGTGATGACCCTGATTGGTTGCTGCTGCGTCCGCTCAGATGGTATTCGGCCGAAGTGTGCGGCGGGCCAGACATTTCGGAGCTCATCTGAGGCTCACGCGGTGCATTTGAGCGTGTTGCCTCCGCCGCTGCTACATCGAGCGGGATGATCCTGAGTGGCACTGAATTTACAGCGGATGGCCTTCTTGGAATAGCTACTTGTTGCACCGGCGTGCTCAATGGCTGGATTGTAGCCATGGCCGGGACCGGATTCGAAGATGCTGTTGCGGGCACCGGCTCAGATGCAGGCTCAACGGTCGCTGGCGCTCCATCGTGAGAAGCATTGATAGCTTGGAACCCGGATGCACGTCGTTGGGTCGGCTCGTTTTGCTGAGAGAGTGACGACGCGGGCGGTGTGTGAGTATCGCTGTGCTCGCGTTTGACGGCGTTGCCGCTTGCGTCTCGAATTTCGTCGCGGGGAGCTGATTCTCTGTGGCTCATGTCAGGCCTTTGCTCTGATTTAGATGCGACGAGGCGTGAAAGGGCCTCTCGATTGACTTGCAGCTGCACTATGAGCGACTCCTTCTGCGGCGCATCTCCGTCGCTGATCTCGCGCATACGTTTTGAGGAGACATCCTGTTCATGCTTTCGCCGGCGTTTGCGACCACTGTCCAAATTGCCATCAGCGGCATGGAGGTATGATTCACTTGCCCTGTACGCGAGGTCAGCAGGACTAGATCCGTCTGAGAGTTACCCTGTACGCACCTGGCAATCTCATCACGATAGTCTTGTAGACGCTGGCTTTTTGTCCGGGAACCAGATCCGTCACTAAAGGCATCTTCATCCTGACTATCCAGCYCGTCATCGGGGTCATCCGAATATGGCAATCCATGCGGGATGGAGGCCGGCGACGACACCTGTCCGCCTCGTATGTCCATCGAATTCGCCAAATAGGCGCTGGCAGCATGGTTGCCATTGGACTGTGGCTTTTGTTAACAACGATGTTCCCAATCAAAGCCAAAGTCAAAACTTGCCTCCACGTCTCCAACCTCGTAGTCCGCGGCTTCGCTCTTCCTATTGAGGCGGCGGGCCTTTTGTAGTTGGTTGTCATGATACTTGACACACTTTTCAACCACAAGTGCATGGAACAGCTCACTCAATCTGTCGAACGGTTAGTCGCTTCGCGCGGAATGACACATGCTGAAGGACGACTTGCATCTGCCGTTCTTCGGGCACGTCGTGGTGGAGTGCTCGGGGATATTTGCCGTCGTATCTATAAATGCATGTCAGTGAAATTGTCGTGCAGGTACGGCATAAGCATGGCAAAATGATCTTTTCGTTCATATTTCACTCTCATRAGTTTTACGGTTGGCGTTGACTTCTGATCTGCACCAAACACGGCTTTGACCAATGACAAACGAAACAGTGTCGAAACGCCTTTCCGAGTCAAATCGACTGAGAGGCATTTTCGCGGTGAATGAGATGCTGTAGTGCCATGAAAGAGGAAGAGGATACCTTTCGGAGCTGGGCTCTGCGAGCCAGTTTGGACGTTCTTGGTTCGCAGAAGGCCAGATAAGGGCAGCATATTTCCCAAACAACTCGAGGGACTCTTGTTCCAGCACAGACGAGGCCCGAATTTCGGTGTTTGGCTTGTCAGTATACCGCAATGCAATGGTCTTAATGTCGGCGAGGAGGTCTTGGATGAGTGGGTTATCTGTGTTGATGAGAGGCATTAGCATTGCTCGACGGGCAAGTCTTTGCCGTCGTGACTCGCCTTTGTTTCCCTGTCGTGAGATACCGCGCTCCGATTTCAGACCAAGCGACCTTTCAATGGTYACTAGGTCGCCGTCGCTTCTCATGATGGGCAAGCGAGAGGGCCCATTGGCAAGCGAGGCGTTGTGGAGGGTCAATACCGAAGCAGTCACTCTAGTGACATGTCCGTGATGCGAGCTTAGTGTGGTAAGGTAGTGCGAGCGTGTCGTCTCGTCTCGTGATCAAATGCACATGCAGACCCAAGATGCGATTAATACAGATGAGGCGAAATTGAGGGACCGGGTGTAAGAGACAAGGTGATGAAAGTGGAAAACCTAGGCAAGGGTGCGACGACAATAGGCAAGCAGGTAATACGGCACAGCGGTCTGAAAGGGAAGAGCATCCGAATTATGCAGCCGAGCGTGCAATCAGCGCTTATGGCCTGGTGTGGGCCCGAGTACTAGACACTGAGCGGATGGGGAAGGTACGAGTCCTTACGACTACGCAAGCCACCAAATAATCTCACATACTAAGTTATTACTAGGCATGGACAAGGGCGATAGAGTTGCTCGCCTTCATAAGCGCCGACGTCTAGTCTGCCCACTACTCGTACCAACACCACCAGCACTCATATCCTCGACACACCTTATAACGATGACTTTGAAGCAAAGCCCTCTCCTGCTCTGCTCTGCTCAAATTCTGCGCTCAATTTTCAGGCCAAGCAAAGATAGGCGGAGAAGCCCTGCAGGCCGAGGCCGAAATGCTCGGCTGCCAATAAGGTACCTGCGTAGCGAGCTATTCTAGCCCTACCATAGACTTCGCAATAGGCTCGGGACCGCGTCTCATCACATTCCGTGTGATCCGTCCGCTCTTTTTGTCATCATCAGAGTCACCGCGCCCACTCGCCCGTCGATCGTGCGGTCGGGATCGACGTGGTATGTATACAACACGTATTCGACGCCTCCCCTGTCCCCTCCCACCGACGGCACGGCCACCGAGCTGAAGACCAGGTGTTTGAATAATGCGAGCCCTTGCAAGCGTTTCCATCCTACTGTCTGAACATGGGCCCCCATGCCGATGAGGTCAACATCGACGCCAAACCCTATGTGCTGGGCCTTGGGGCGTACAGTAAGTCGTTGCCGCCATGGATGTCGTACCTAGGGCAAGGGCAACTCAACCGAAACCGGCGACGACCAATTCCACTGCCAAGCCTGCACTTCATCATCACCCCCGTGCTCGCTTGCACCACCACGGCACAACATTCCAAGTGTCTACCGCTTGTCGGCTTATCCGGCGTGTTTCTGCAGCTCGCGGCTAAGATTGGACAGTTCGATAGTCTCGTTCTGCATCCTCCTGCTCCGCTATCGCCTTCGGATTTAGGAGGTAGAGGAGTGCTTAGAAGAGTTTAGTGCGAATCCAAGTTGTGATACCTCTTGGCATTCTCTTAATGGCACTTCCACAGGGCGCATTTTCGTCTACAACCTCCCATCTCCTGGATTAGTTATAGATTTCGCATCAGGCCTTGAATCAAAGTTGCAGCGTCCAAAACTCGCCAACAAGATTAACCTGCTCGATGTGGCACGATGCAGAGCAACTCAAAAGAAAATCAAAGTCGATTTCATCATCTTCCTGCCTGGTCGTGTTCAGGCTGTAACCGACCATCCATAAAGCATGCTGAAGGAACATGCATCAAATCAAGTTCGGATGCTCCCGTGCTGGGCCCACCGGCTATGGCACATGGCTGCGAAGCTTGCACTGCCTGTACAGTATCTTCCTCCGCCGGATGGGAGCAGGACATCCTGGAAATCACGCACACGATACGCTCCTCAAGTCAAGAGTCTCGGCGGCGATTTCAACTTGCTTAAGATCACCATTCGGCATTACAAAGTCCTCGTTTTCAAGCCTTTCACTCCAAATATTGACAGTGGACCTGTTGGCATGATGTGCCAACTGAGGCTGCGAACTGTGTCGCATTGACGTCTGTGGCATTGATTGTAAACAAAACCCAGCCCTAGAGAATTGACTTCAGACACGGTCTTGGGGGCACTCGACCATCAAATAACTGCCGCGGGTCCCGAGGGGCCGTGTGCAGAGGTTCACGTACGAGCAACCTAGGAAGTAGTACTCCGTACAACGAGTCTGCCAGCGAAACCTACTTGACTTTCTCACATTCGTTGAGGATCGGGATTTCTGGGGTCTAATACATGCATAGAGGTTACTATTCCGTCCCGTTGCCCCGGATCCTGGTTCCTTGCGCCGCAACGGGGCAAACAAGCCTTAGCGCGATCAGACAAGTATCCGTTGGGCCAATCCTCGTCGATAGTCGATATGGATGAGGACGCATCGAAGAGATGGCGCTGGAGAAACCCTGCGGCAGATCATCGTCTTCGAGCGGGGGGAACCGGCATGCGTGAGAACTAGCAGTATGATTATACTCCGTATTCCTTGTTGAGCACTTCTCGGCGTGAGGAGAATCTGCAGCAGATCACGTCCTTCGACCGGACAATACTGAGTGCGAGATCCCGATACTCCTGGATCTAGCATGCCTCACGCCGCTAAGGTGCGATCAACTCCGATGGCTCTCGCATCGCTGCCCAATTATCATGGCTAGCATTCATAAACCATAGCTTTTAGTTATCGGCTCTTATCCCCGTAGTGCTGCCCCTGTCTGGTGCATCTCGCAACTTACCGCTGATGGTATCTTATTAGAGACTCTGTACGGAGTACTGGAAGTACATTGGTGACCTTGTCCGAGGTGAATACGAAGTTGGAGACGGGAAAAGCTCTCGCCAATTGGACCGGCGGCTCACATCCGCTGCTAGAATTAACGCTCTTTGCTTCTTAGTCGGCAAAGTTAGGGGCCAAAGTGGCATCCCTGTGACTAGGGCACAACGCAGAGACCACGAAACATCTTCCTAATTTATCGGGAGATTGTGGTTCAATTATGACACCTTGCCTTTGTGTGTAAAGGCGTGCCAGCTCCCTTGATGCATTCTGAACCAATAGCACATGGATTGTCCGGCAGAGCTTACGAGCAGGGTCAAACTCTGTATCTGCATCTACCCCGGAACCTCCCATACATACCCTGCTGGTTCTCCGACGTCCGACAAGCGCAGATCGCGTGAATGAAGCCCGTCCAAGTTCTCATCATCGATTCCTCCAAGGCCAGATTGGTATCTCGGTCTGATCGTGACCCCAAGCCGTCAAACTTCTTGCTGATATGTAGGAATTCGCACCTTTGGATCCTCCATGCCGTGAAAGTCTAGCGGAGCAACGGGGAATGTCGTCGGGCTATAGAATTGATCACGTCTAGTGGGATCTGCCATCTGAAAAGTTGCCGACGCATTGTCGCGAACAGGCAACTAAAGGTTCATGGGTACCAGAACGGCAGCGCGAACTCGACTAAGAGGATGTCTCGGACATTTTTGCTTCCATCGATGTACGAGCGATGGCCAGAACGATAGGATCAGGCCATGATCCGAGATAACGGCCTAGAACCTGCGTCAGATGAGATGGGTACAGAGTGAGCTATACTGCTGTCCTTAGGCCAAATGACCTCTAGGCTGTGGTCTCGCTTTCGCCTTTACGCCGCTGCAAAAACATTGTCAATCAGAGGAGAATACGTCAATCGGAAACGAAGATCTGGCAAGGGTGAAAATAGGAAGCGCGCTCCTGCGGCACTCGCCAGATCTATCTACTACCCTGCCACGGAGAGGAAAGGGAAGGCACCAATCGGCGCAAGGAGTTAGCTCGCAAGATCAGAAAGCAGGATTCGCAGGAAAAAGAGCCGTAGCCAATGGATTCTCCCGTCGTCGAGGCAAGCTTTTCGGCCATGGATTTGGCATTACTGCTGCGAGGTCCAACCATTCGCAGAGACTAGAATACAAGACCGAGCCCGTAGCTCAGTCAAACTCGGTCCGAACTGTCTCAATCGGCGATTATCTCGACTTGGATCGACGACAAGAGACAGACAGTGGGCAGCACGGGAAACATTTTTCGAGTGGAAGATAGCAGGTTGTTTGAAATGCGAATCGTACAACACCCTCTCCTAGACCTGGATTGGAGAACACCCCACAAGTGAAGAGCGGCTCAATAAGACGAACAAGCTATTTCTATGGAGAATGACGAGAGCATAACTGTGGCGAATGCCTTTGGTGCGAGAACTTTGGCCTCGAAAGGTGTTTTACCTTACCCGAAGAAGGACATGGCTGAGTTCTTTCGGGTGGTATCCTCGTATAAGGAAGTATGTGTGCTGAGCCGAAAGCTATCGTTGAGTGTGATTCTACCTGGTAGAGGTGGAATTTCTTCGAGCCCGAAAGTTTCGATTCCTTGATGCGCAGCGGTGCCACGCTTGGCTGAAGTATGGGCATTACAGCGACTTCCTGAGAAAGATGAGAAGAGCGATGATAGTCTGCCCTGATTCCCACCGACAGGAGGTAGGTATTCGAATGAATGGACAGGTATATATATTGAGACATGCTACTCAGCTGTACCTAGGACAACTACGTTCGGCGATAGAACTTCAGGATCTGTGAAAGAGTGTGTCGCTCAAGGGCGGCCATAAATACAATGCCAGTCCGGCACTTGGTACTGAGAGAGCACTCTTATAGTCCATATGTCGACTGTTTCGTGCCGGGGGATCCCCAACACCGGGCGAGAAGTTGCAAAGCAGATCGTGATCGACGACGAAGAACGAGAGGTGTTCAACGAGGAACGGGACCTGCACTCCAACAACGTCGAGGTCATCTGGGTATGCAAACTCCCGGCATTCCGTTTCCACCAGACGCATCTTAGCAGATAAGACCGCAAGACCTTCAGCATCGTCGAAACTTGGGGCTGATCATCCTGCTGACGAGCTTATCGCTCGACACGTAAGGGCCGTAGAGCTCAGAGAAGGCGTTGTTGTAGCTAGCCAGGGTGGTAGAGCCTTTCTTGGACAACATTGACTTGCGTTGAGTGTATTGGCGGATGTTTCGTGAAAAATCTTGTGACTCAAGCCATCCCGATCGAACTCCGTAAGTGCACGCTTGTGGGCTCCACTTTCGACGTCCACGGAATCACAGGTTGTTTGAGAGCGCTTTTGTTGAACCGAGAGGCCGTGACGAGGGCGACGGCTGCGCGATGTTGAAACCAAGTTGGAACGTTCAACGAACCACTTCTTCGAGGCAGGTGATGATCACTCCTCAGCCAGCAGCTCGTAGCGTCGGCGAATATACACATTGATACATTGAACGAAACCCACCCACGCCATGCAAGTTTAGTATTCACAAGATGTTTCCCCCAAGACCACCTCTATTTCCTGCTGATCCATCCCGTCCAACTGCTTGTCTTGTCGGAAAGGGTGTCAACAGCCACTTGAGCTTGGCGATCGAGAGGTCCTCCGACCAGATTTGTTTGTTGTAGGTGCTCCGTATGCCTCCTGTTCTCCTCCATTTTCTGCTCCACCGCATGTAGCACTCCTCTGCCCTCTTCTGCAACGGTAGCAGCTCCGTCTTGTATCGAATCTGACACGAACTCCGTAGTTGAAGCCGCTGCCTGGCTCAGTCTCCCACCCTTTGTTTCCTCCTCCGAAAGGCCTAGCCAGGTTCCTGCCCTTTTGAAAATGCCTGGGCGGTTCTTCTTCGCAGCCTCCGCCTGCATCGTCACTACTGCACGATTGATCAACAGCATCTGGTCCTCTGTCGCAACTCCAGCTGCCTCAGCCTGTTTTGCCACGGCGAATGCCCTCGCACTTTCGGCCTGCTTCTCCGCAAACCACTCCTTTCTCCGTCTCCGGTTGTGTAACATCATATCGGTGATTCCCGCCGTCGCCACGATTGCACTGACGACGGTAAATCCAATCAGCGTGATTGCAGTCACGCGGTGTGCCCTGTCTGCCCATACGCGACCTATGCGGACCGTCTTGTCAAAGGAGCTCTCCTTTCCTTGTTTCGCCAGCGCTGCAGCTGCTCGTAACCGAGCAATCTTCTGCTGCGGTGTCTCTCCCGACGGTGCAGGCGATGAGCCAAAGTTTATTTGCGTTGCTGATGAAGACATTGCTGGGTTCGCAGAGAAATTGGTCGCGCCGCCGGCAGGTTTTGTGGCGGCATGAGGTCCTGTCGAGGTGAAGCGCGTCGCGTCTGAAGCGGATCGTGCCATGTTGGGCTATGGTGTATATAATGGCCAGAGAAGGCTTTCCAGGGGTGTTGCGGGCTATGTTCGATGCATTGGACGTGTTGTGGTGTCAAGAACTTTTGCTCCTTCCTCTTCGATGATGTCGAGATGCCGGACTTGGCGTGGAGATCGGCGGCCGCTTGATGGAACCACGCGCGCCCCTACTTTCTTCACCATACCATCTCCTGTTTTTGTCGTTTGCTGCGATTTCGTGCCTGGGCCAAGCGCAATAGACCTCGAAGACTTCGAAGACCGGGAGTGTACCGATCAAAAGTTCATCAAGAATTTACAGCACGATGGAGGCAGGCTCGCTACAATCCATCCTTGCTACTCTGGCACAATTTGGAACATCCACTGTGCCGTATCCTACCCAAAGCACGCCAATCGCAAATTTCGAGAACCAATCTGCCCATGTATACCCAGATCGTCCAAATGATGGCAGCACGACGCCTCCTGGCGAACCTCCTGGCGAACCTCCTGCAGCCGCGACAAGACTTGTTCCTCAACAGCAAAATCATCTCAGGTCTCAAACCAGTTCAGGCAATGCATCCCCAAAACCGATGATTGACCCAGCAAGCATAACACAGTGGCAAGAAGCACTGCGCTGCGTGACTAAGATTGCTGCCCAGAACGCCCAGTTCGCCGGGTGCATCAAAAGGGTGTGCATCTCAGTCTCGTTTGCCCACCCAGCAAGCTTAACCAACTGACACCCTCTTTCACAGATGATGCAAGACCAGAAGACGCACGAAATGCGCTGGTACACCGAAAGGCAGAATCTCAAACAAATCCAATCCAATCGCTGTGCGTCTGCAGCCAACGCGCAGAAGATTTTGAGCTCGCTGCCTGCCTTCTGCTCCCCACCACTCAACGACAAGGAGCATAAGCAGGTTGACAAGGCAGCGGAGCTGGCGGAGTTTGACCGCAAGTTGTATGCGGCTCAGCAGGCCATGGAGGCTGGCATGACGACCGAAATGAAGAGGCTAGGTGTTCCCTTCTTTGGCACGGATCCCAGTCTCATCCTGGAAGATGGTAGAGATTCACCCGTGGAGCCATTGCCAGAGGGACATCCCAAGTTCAGCCCATTCGTCACAGAAACCCAGCTTTTGATGTTGAGAAGGAAAATGATGGCGCATCTGGAAGATCTGTACCGGGATTGACGTTAGATGAACCGCGCCGGTTTACACGCGATTATAGATCAGCGCTCAGTCCTGATAGAGAGCTCTGACGAGAGTAGGTGTTCACTGTTCCTCATGGGGAAGAATGTAAGCTCTTCAGTTTTCAGTACTGTTACACCAACTGTTCTACTATCTCATCTTGATCTATCATACTCGAACTGCTCGTGAAGTGCGTCACATGGCCTCAGTTGTCAAATCTAATCCTCCATGCCGTTTCTCGACATTTCCTTATAGCATCTGCTACAAAGATGCTGCCTGCCGGTCAGACGCGCACCAGAACAACGCACCTTTCTCTCAGACGAGTATTTAAATCCCCATTGACGCGGTCTACAGCACTGCTCGGCCGCTTCGTTGCTCGCTCKTAATTGCCAAGCTTTGTATTCACCGTTTCGTTCGCATCCCACTACTGCTGGCGAGGAGCAAACACCCCCAGCTTCTTTTTCGTGTGCTTCACCTCTTCCACAACATCACCGACATCAAGCGCAGTTCATCGCCACCGCTCCGTAAGTAGCACCGCTATCATCAGAAGGCCTGCCGCTTGACGCTGACACGTTTCACAGAACCGTCACAAACGAAACAGACATGCGCTTCAAATCCCTTCACGGCGTGGCCGTCTTCGCGCTCGCGACCGTCGCGGTCCGAGCTGACAACATGTGCGTGGTCAAGGACAACAACTCAGGTACGTTGCTTGAGACACCTTGCGACACACTTCCACAGCACAAGAACTATGGCAGAGGTATCGGCAATGTGGCGAATGCGGTTTCTGGTGAGGCGAAGTTGGAGCTTCGTGGTGCCTTGGAATCCTCGACAGTCGCGTTCATCGTAACTACGACCGCCGAGAATCAAGCAGAGGCCTCTGAGGCTTCCGTGGTGGCATCGATGGTCGCCGTGACCATCGCCATCCCTCAACCCGTCCCCGCTGGAACGAACTCGCCGACCGAAGCTGCGAAGAAGAAGCGGGAGGACAGCGTGTCCGGCCCTGTCAATGGCACAACCACGTCGCTCGTCTATGACCCGGCTCATACGGTTTCGGTTACTGAATCAGTGACTACATCGATTTCATACACTGCTGTAAGTCCAAGAATTTCCAGTTGTCTTCGAACACGAGAGATGCTAACATTACTAGACCTCCACCACCACCCTGACTACCACTATCACCGTTGAATCACCCATCCCTACCACTTCTTTGAGTGAGTCATTGGCCGGTGCGGCGCCAAGTGCTACAGAAATGCGGACCGCCACTACTACCATCAGCAACAAGGTGAGTGCTCTCTGATAGATTCCCACAACTGGTGAAGCTAACATTCATTCTAGTCCACCCAACTTGTGACTATTCCCACAAGCTCCCTGTCCAATGCGACGACGGCCTTCGTCACAGCCGGAAGTCTCWCACTCACCGGTAGCCCATCTTCGAACTCGACTACGCAAGTCGTGGTCGAATCGACAGTGATGGCTCCGGGAAGCTCGAACGGAACCGCCCTGTCGTCCATGTCGTGCAGCAATTCAACGCTTCCTACCACTGGCCTGGCCACCACGCCCGCGCACTCAACCCTGCTGTCCACCAGCGAAGTCTCGACCAGTTCTGCATCTACCACCACCAACGTCATTCCCAGCGGCTCCATCGGTGATGGCCAGGCGGCTGCTTCGACGACTGTGGCTATCAGCGGCGCAGATGACCCCGTGAAGTTGGACCGACGCACGGTGCCGATCGTCACGGCTATCTTTGTCGGATTGATGGTTGTGTTCTATGCCGAGAAGTATCTGGGTAGACTGCATGTTTGAGAGTCTCATGTCGAGTTGAGAGCTTTCGATCACGTGGAGGGAGCAACGTTCGGTCACTTCTATTCGGAAGCGATGAGAAGCATTGACCTTTCGATCCCACCAGCGGTATAACGACTGAGCATGTCACGCGCACCTGAAGGTGTCACAGTGAATGCGGATGCAGTATGAGAATGAAAATGAGCCAGTGAAACCAATCTCAAGTGCCAATCCGAGTCTTTCGTGCTCAGTTTGAATCATGTCCCGCCAACAGGCGCATACCTCCTCCCTTCTCTCCACCTCTGCACGACAGGTCTTACAGCGGCCCACAGCAGCAACCCAACCGTCCCAAGAATGAAAACGCAGACCACGAACTCATCTTTGAAACTGTCCCGTTGAAAACATGAAGTGAAAACGTCTTCCTCTTCCGCGTCCTTACAGATGGGCAGGTTGTAGTTTAGACAGAACTGCTTGTTGCAGTCGGCGCATGTCCGAGCGTGAGGGGCGGTTGTATTGGTGGTTGTGACAGGTTCATCTTCGCGGAGGAAGAGTCGTTGCGGAGAGGAGGCACCGGCACCGGTGAGAGGTATGATTGTACTGTTGGAGAAGCAGGTACATTTGCAGAAGGAAGTGGGTGCTGGAAGGGAGCTGTTAATTGCGATATATGGGTGATCTTTCGGTCGGGTCCTTACTGGCTGCCAGTGCGAGGGAGAGACAAGTGAGGAGCAAGATCAGCTGGCGGAGCATTTCGGATAGACTGTCAATGTGATTACTGCTACCGTTTGATCATAGCAGGTCTGTCGCGCTCTGTGTCCAGGGTGATCCGTCCAACGCGCATGTGAAAGATGGAGTTGGGATCGGAGCCCGGGCCGAGCCGGCGCAAGAAACTATTTCCATCTTTCCAACCTCCTCACCTTCCATTACTCGTAACCCCTCATGTCAGCAGCACGATAGCGCTGACCATGTCTGATCGAGTGCGTCTACATATCACACCCTTCAATCCAGATCTCGTCGACCGCTTCATTCCCGCGACGCTTAAACCACAGGCAACTAATATCTCCTTCCACGCTATCGAGACTTTCCCAGAAAGAGGATTCGGATACGTAGAGCTGCCATTTGCTGAAGCGCAGAAGCTGAAGAATAAGTTCAACGGAATGACGCTAAAGGGATCCAAAGTCAAGATTGAGGAGGCGAAGAAGGAGAAGAAAAGAAAGGTTGATGTCGAGGATGAAGATGTCGAGGTGAAGAAGCCGAGCAAAAAGGTCAAGAAGGCGAAGAAGAGCGAGGGAGTGCTGGTAGGCCATGAGCTGGAAGAAGGCAGGATTGTGAAGCGTGGCTGGACGGAGGATTCAGGGAAGAAGGGCAAAGATGGAAAGGTCAAGAAAGAGGAGAAGAAGATGAAGTTCAAGACGCTGGTGCCTCCAAATGCTGTGCCTCTTGAGGGTGATGCCGGAGACAAGAAGCCAAAGAAGGACAAGAAGGAGAAGAAGGAGCGGACAGAGGAAGAAAAGGTCGAGAAGGCTGCGAGAAGAGCGGCCAAAAAGGAGGCTCTTGTCAAGGAGTTTGCGAATACTACGAAGCTCAACTTCCCCAACTCTGCCGGTGACAAGAAGACCAAGCATTACGAAGAGGGCGTCGGTTGGGTGGACCAAGAAGGGAATGTGGTCGAGCCAGAGCCGCCAAGCAAGAAGCGGAAACGTGAGAAGAGGGAGAAGAAGGAAAGAAAGGCTGCCGAAAAAGTCCCCACTCCAGAGCCAGAGCCAGAGCCAGAGCTGGATGCAGAGTCAGAGTCAGAGTCAGAGGTGGAAGATGCCGCTGCAGGCTCAAAGGCCAACGAAGAAGATGTTAAGATGGAGGAAGCGTCCGCTGAAACTGCCGACACTTCATCTGAAAACGAGGCATCCTCACCTGACAAGCCAGCCTCTGATGACTCAGAGTCAGATAACGACAGCCTTGACGACCATCTAAACGAGGCAGAGTCCAACACCGTCTCGAATGGCGCTACTACTCAACCCCGGAACGCAACCCCCACAGCTGTCGGTGAAGTCGTAGAGGAAGTTGATGAGCTTGACACCGAGGTCGCCAGAGAGATCCACCCACTCGAAGCACTCTATAAACGTTCAGAGTCCAGACCCGCACCCATCGATACTTCCTTCAACTTCTTCTCTGCTGGAGCCGACGACGACGAGGACCCAGCCGTCGAGCAGCAAGTTCACATTCCGCAGACCCCCCACACGAWGGAGGACCTCGAATGGAGAAGTGTTCGCTCAGCGGCGCCCACACCCGATACGGCTGCCATCGGAAAGAAATTCAACTTCCCTCCCACGGCCATTGCGGAGGAGGATGACGATGATGAGGACGATGAGGTTGAGAAGGAGTTGGGAGATGGAAAGGGCGAGGAAAGTGAATTTCGAAAATGGTTCTATGCAAATCGCGGAGACCTCAATCGTGGATGGAAGAAGAAGAGAAAGGAGGAAAGAAAGGTCGCGAGGCAGAGGGAGAATCGGAGGGCGAGTAGGAGAGTCGCTTAGATTGGTGCAGTGAGAGTTCAGGAGGACTGCACTCGATCGCTAATAAGGAAATGAAATCTTCATGTTCGCCAATTGCAAATGTCATACCATGTGGCCATCGCATGGGGTCTACCTGCTCTGCAATCGGGGATGCTTCCTTGAGCTGTCAATATGAGTATCGTTCAGCGGAAGAGAGCTTTTCGACATGCTCATCCACCGTCTTGACATCTCGATCTCAGCCAAGTCGCCAGGCCTGAAGCTGATGACAGCCTCCTTACCGGAAGAGTCGCCCACGAACTGATGAAGAATTTCATTAAAACAACCTCATTTGTGAGGCCTGCTCTCAGCACGGTGGTCCGATCTTGGAGCTACTAGATCTCTCCTCGCCAGCCAACTCTCATGTCGAGGGACGGAAGACCAAGGACTTTCTCTCAGCCACCTCGCCAGCCCTGAAGCTACGAGAGTCTCCCCAGATAGCATAGTCGCTCGTGGAACGTTGGAGGTATCTACCAAGGGAACTGTGCTATCATTCTGGAACCGCGCTCTCAGCGAAGTAACCATTTCTGAAGCTGCTGGGGACCCACGGAGGTGAATTGGTCAAGAGCTGTCGAGTTCCGCTGTCTGACCAAATTTCCTCACAGAAACCTCTGATTACTTCCATCTCGTCGAAAATCTGCGGGAAATGAGGTTGGACGTGTGACAATTGTGCGTGACATTCTTGTCGACATGTCATGTATATGTCTATCCGTAATCTCAAGCACGCTTTCTCGAAACGCTTGGTGGATTTTAGACCACTAGAAACCTCCTCGTTACCGTAGTCTTTGGTTCTCATGATGGAGCGAGCAGTTGAGAACTGGTCTGAAAGTCGAGTTTTCGTTGACAGCTTGATGATACACACATCATTGGGTATGTTGGCATGGCACGAGGTCGGATATTCAATAATGCTGATAGTCAATTTAAATACATACCTCTCTAACTCAACCATGCTATTTCCACCCGGCAGACATCTTTTGGACTACTGGAACGCTCCTCGATACTGGAGCCTTTTCCCATATATTGGAGAGAGTCCTGTTCGTCTCTGTGCCCTATCCTCGTGTCTTGACCGGAAAATCTATTGCTCTTGTAGACTTCCAAAGCACGATCTCTCGACAAGCTTGGTGTACTTCGAGCCGCTAGAGCCCTTCTCGACACCGGAGTCATCCTCTCCATGATGAGAGACTCTTTGCTTTCATGACCTCAGTCTCGCTTCTTGATCAAAGATGCCATCACTCTCTTTTCCTCTTCAAGAATGCTCTCTCAACAAGCTCGGTGTGTTCTAAGCCAGTAGAGTCTCCTTCGATACCAGAGTCATCCTCGAGACTCGAGGGCAATCTTCATAACCGAGATCTGTTCTTTTCAATTCTCGCACTTTGTCTAGCCTCTTGCACCCACGGCGAGTGCTCGTCAACTACGTTGGTGATGGTAATATGCGCTCCTCTCCCTCCAAACGAGAGTCTCTTGAGGAGGTCGCGGAAAATGACGCCGCCCTGCGTACGACCCTCAACGGCACGGATTTTCTCGCCGCTCAGCTCAATCTCCTGCACCGGTGGTTGCGATATCAGCATATCAAGCCAAGGCCCCTTATGAATCATGACGAAAAGCTTGATGCTGAACGTGAGCTTTGTGCTGGTTTTGTACGGAGTCAAGTTCGCTTCTCTCTCCTTCGAATTTATCAGGATCGGATGGAACTCGACAATTGGGTACTCTTTTGGCGTAGTATTCATCTCGCTGATGGGTCTGATTTCTGGCGAGATGTGGGGATGATAAATACTGGCTGTTGGGCTATCACTCTCACCTGCTCGCCAGAGTAGTGACTCGAAGTTTTTGACGGGTCTCAGGTACTGGGAAGCCTTGAGGCTGGGGGATTCACCGATGACATCCCGCCAGAATGACGAGGTGCGTTGACATCTTGCAATGTCGTTCGGGCCGAGATGGAGGAGTATCATCCCAAGAAGCTCGGGAATTACCAGCGCAGTATTGCTTGCGGTGGGAGTCGTCATGGCTAGAGAGGTGGTGTTGGTTGTTGTGGGTAGAAAGGAGTCCTCGGTGAGTGAAGCTAATCCTGTGATTCCCAATTGGTGAAAGTGTATGTATGGTTGAAAGTCCTCATGAAGATTTGTGACAATTTACAAAAGTGAGGTATGAGAAGAACAGCTAATGGAGGGAAGAAGATAATATACGACGATAAGTCATGCTGTCCTCAAACATGACAAAGCTTGACGTACAGCTTTACCGAATTCTCTCCCAGGTCAGGCAACACCATTTTGAGGACACAAAATAGGTTGTGCGAGGCAAAGCTTCCAAAGATACATCGACCTGGTAGCGGGGACTTTATGGTTCTCTGTCGACGCTGTGGTGGAGTAGATTGGTGATCTTGAGGTGCGAAGCTGTGGGTAAGTGAATCCAGAGCCCGGACAAAGTTTAATCCGGGCTAAATCATCAAAAGGAAGCACGGCCACTTACGGAGCATCTTTCCCGTGCAGGATATCAGTGCCAAAGCTAGCCCTTTGTAAGTGTGCGGCTGTAGATGCCTGCTGACAATTTTCGCGATTTCGCTACTCACAGGAATCTCCGGTGTTCTTCAGACGGCGATGGTATCGAGGAGGAAAACCAAGAGGCAAAGAAGCACTTTAGTGACACTTTTGAATGGGAATAGTGTCCTGAAGTCTCGGTAGTTAGACGAGGGACAAGAAACATTGATCGGGGGTGCCTCGTTTTGAACAACCCCAGCAAGTCTCTCTTCTGCTAGCGATGACAGGAGAATCAGATTGTCTTTCCGTACGACCGGAGCTCATAACTCCTGTGCGGTTGAACTTCAGGAAATGTTAGTGATTGTGCTCACACTCGAGTCTACCTTCGTTTGAGACATTTGTTGCTTGCCGACCCAAATCCCGTAGGTTTGAATGGGTCTTTCAGCCGGAAACAAAGCAATCTTGGAAACTCGCAGAAGGGAACCCTCTGAGGAAAGAATCTACTGTCATGACTTGGCATGATCTATCTTCTATGTTATGTAGGTCACTGAACCGACAAGTTTGGTTGATAGCACCTTGTGATGTGTGAGTGAACTATGGTATGTTTCCGGAGGGGACATCGCCGCGCGTGCCAGTTCTCTGACACATGATATTTTCCATACACCCTGAAGCCACGCTTCTCAAATTCCACACTCTGTAGACACAGCAAAGGCCCTAGCTTCTACGGATGAGTATGAAAAGCTTGGGTTAAGTAGCAAACCATCCCTCCCGACATGTTCCTTCAGGAGCCTTTCTTCTCAGTGCATTTCATTTTGTTTTTTCGTCCGAATATGCAACTTTCGGAGGTTACACTTCTTCCACTACATCCTCTGGACCAAAATGCTTCAACCCTTCTGCTTCAATCCAGCCTTCACAACTTCAGGTGCCCCGGCTTCCACAAAGCCTTTGAACTGCAGTTCAACAACCGGTTCCTTGTATGCTGGGGCACCGGCGCCCGCAAGAGCTTTTAGCTGCTTTACGAGGAACCCAAAAGTCACCGTCTGCTTATCAGTGAAGGTCAAGTCAGGAAAAGCTGGAAATTTCAAAATGCTGCGTGGGCATGGCGGCTGAAGCAAAGAAGCCCGTGCCCACGAGCCTCCACTCAGGCTCAAGAGAGCCCATCCATCAATCCAAATGCTGATGTAGCCTTGGTCGTTGACATTCTTGGGCTCGCTAGTCCGCAAATGCTGTAAGAGTGGGTGAGCCGAACAGATGACGTCGAACTTCGATTTTTGCATGTCCGAAAGCTTGTTGGAGATGTGCGCGCTCTGATTTTGCTCCTTGGAGTGAGTCTTGAAGGTTTTCGATTTCGGGCGCACCATGATTTCCGTAATCGACTGTGGAGCTTGTGGTATCAACCACGCGGGATCATGTTGGCTGGCAACCCGGACCAAGGACATCTCCTCGCTCACCGCTCCCTGATCTTCATTCACCGAGAATCTGAGGTACTCAAGCGCCTTGTGACCATGTCCCTCCACAATTACTTCGAACTCCATAGTCCTTCTGACGATATCCCGCAGGTGCCCCAATGTGGCACATTGATGCCAGATGGTCTTGTTCACCCATAGGCCACTCCGTCGCCTTGAAGTACCAAGGGAGTGAATCGTGTAGGAATAGCTTAGTTGCTCCAACTTTATACCCGGGTTGGAGATGGCCATGATCTGCCAGGGGCCGGGTGCCCAGGACATCATGCTCTCCACGTCAATGCAGAAGTCGAGAAGACAGTTTTCCGCAAATTCTGAGGGTAGCAGCTCCGAATGATTAAGGAGACAGTCAGCCTCCATCAGCAAGGGGTGCAATTCATAGATGGTGAAGCCTTGATGGGCAGACAAAGTGGGAGAGTAGGTCCACTGTGGAAGCTTCGGGTGAGCATCGACCTCAGGATGGCTCAGTTCCTCGAAGAAATCCTCGTCGTCATCAGGGAAGTCAACCTCGGTGAGCTTCAGGTAGTTGACAGGACCGGTACCAGGCTGCAGGAAAAGAGCTCGTTGCAGCTGGGGCGACCTGGCAACAACTTCCTTCCAGAAGGTACTAACGCGTTGATCGCACGCGAGAGAGTAAATGTCCATTTCGATCAGGATCTTCTCCAGCAATTCGAAGGTGGCAAACACCACGTCGGTAGCCGTCTTGATTGGTGCGGGAGCCGGTCGGGGAGCGAAAAGAACAAACGACTGCAGGTTTGTACCAGGAAGAGACCGTGGTACGCGACGAGTCCGTCGGCGACTCGCTGGCGCAGTTTGACCGGCCATGAAGAGTTCCTTGCGTATCAACTCGAAGTTGAAGATGGTGTCGCCCATGGGCGCGTCGCCGAAAGCCATGTTGACGGACGGTGTCAACATGCTGGCGATAGGCTGCGCGTGATACGTCGTCCGCGAGTGAAGAGGCGGAGTCATGAGAGATGTTGGTCGAGGTGGAGTTTGATATTGACGGTGGCGCTCTTCCCAGGCAGCCGGCAATCTACGCGTCGCGCTTTCGGCAGGTAGGCGCGCCCTTAACATTTGCAGAATTTGGGATTCGTTTCTTGCAAGATCAGTCACCTCAGCCGCTTWCCTCAAAAGGCCCACAGAGCTGGGGAGCTTGGGATAAGAGGCGTGTTTATCTACAGTAGTTTGAGCCACCTGGCCAGAGATGCTGCTTTTGCACTTGAACCTACGACATAATCAGGAGCAAACAGTTTTCATTTCATCTTGAAACTATCGCTAGACTACACTTCCACTCCAGCTAGTAGAGTAGTCGCTGTACTACGAGACATTGGGCCTGAATAGTCTCAATCCCGGCATGGTCTCATTCCATCGAACTTGTTCGCCCTGTCAAACTCGCGCAGTCTCAATCTCCGCGATTTCTCCCTCAGATTGCGCGTGCTAGCATTCCACAAGGCGATTAACGACAGAGCAGTGATGCTCCAACCCTTCTTTAATGACATCAACTACCGGAGATCGCCAAGAAAGACATACGCGGTCTTGTGAATCCACGGTAGATGACATATGATCCTGTAGCMGTCTTGAGCCATCGCCCTCCGCCGAAATATCTTGTCCATGGGTGCCGGCTCCAAAACAGGCTCTGCTTCATCTTGATCGAGCTGCCGGTCTCATCCCTCCACAACTTGCAAACTCTCTGTGCCTGAGTGAGGCTGCGGAGGTCGGAAGACGTGAAGACGTAGCTTGCAGTCTCGTGACGCGATTGCTGACGATCATGGCGGCGGATGAAAGTGCTAAGAGTGGATTGCGCTGTAGCGCCTGTTGTGGTGGCCACGCCTCTGTCACGTCGGTGTGCGATGTCGTAGATATGCTTGAAATTACAKTCTTCAAAGCGGTTTGTTGTGCGGATGCTCCCCGGAGGAGATAAGACGCGCCATGAAATGCGACCGTTATCGGAGGCTACGTGGAGTGGAGTGTGACGCGGTGCGAATTTCGCGGCGAAAAACACGACAATTAAAAACCGCTGTCGCTTCATGAGATGCGAGCAAGAGTAAGAGCTGCCTTGAAGGCGGCGTGTAGAGCCATCGCATTCTACATAGGCGTCGACTTTTGCACGGGCAGTGGCGAAGTGGACGCGACAATGTGGGGGCGGAAACAGCGACAGCGCGAAGAAACACCGCCTCACAAACAAAACACCACATTCGCAGCAGACGCYTCAACCACGAAGAACACACTCACGAAGACGAAGCGAACAATGAAGAAGTAGAAGTCATTAATCAGTGTAAAGTGCAAGCGGCCTTGCTATGTAACCATTCAACTCAATCCTTGAGTTCCCTCAACTACATTACGGGAGGTGAGCAAGAGCCTCAATTCTCAACTGTTCGGAGAACCAAGTACAATGCAAGACGGTCTGGAAGTTCGATGTCTGTTCAATGACCTCTTGATGACCACACTCTTCGGAGCCAGGGACTGTGGAGTAAGCGTTTGTGATCATCAAGGCGCGAGACAGGATGAAGAAGAAACTCGGATGGCCGAAGAAATTTGTTTTATGCTCAGCTCGCGCGTGATACAGCCCGCGCGTCTGGTCTCATAGATACTGTGAGGGAAGGCACGGTGCACTGGGCGGGATTCGGGAGGGAAGGTGCGATGCCGGGTGGGATTCCGGGAGGGCGGGATACGTAAGGTGGGAAACGGGATGACGGTGATGTTCACGTTGGGTCGTGCTTGGCGCATTCAGCCATGAGTATGCCTTTCTGACAATCTATCCTCAGGCTCTGTATGCGATGTAGAACAAGTAAACATAATTACCAAACAAATGTGGTTGGGCAGAGAGAACGCCAAGAATCACATGAAAAAGTGATGACCGAATCAAAACATTCTTTCTCAATCGCAGCAAATCTATGTCTGAGTCCAGCACAACTTTCTACTGACTGTTTCTATCATCCAGGTGTCGAACTGCTGTCCGCATTGTCCACCAGAATCGCGTATCGGCATCTTGACCGGGTGGCAATCCATGCCTATCGCTCCACAGCTGAAGATTGAACCAAGAACTGTCAAGAAGCTATGCGAAACGTCACAATGAGCCACCCCAGTGACAACGGCATTAAAACGAGCAACACATTCAACTGGTCGAAGAGTTTGACTCCAAGGCTGACACACTCGCATATCAGACTTTCACTCATGGTAATACTGCTGTCTTGACGAAGTCGCCTTCAGTGAATGTTCTGGAGTCCATCAATTAATTGATGGAGACATTTTACGCCACGGGGAGTGTCAAGAATGACATGAAAGAAATTAGACTAAATAACACTCGAGCTAGCTGCGTAACCAAATTTCACCAAGCAGTCCGATATTCCACCCGATTCCTCCGCATTGCTACCTCCCTCTTCCAGGACTTGCGCTCAAATGCGGATACGCAACGCGGTCCTCATCCACGGTGTGGTGTGGTGACGAGCAGTCCGTCCGCGGCACAGAACTTTCCCCATCGCATCCCTATGTTGGGATGCCCTTCGATTTCCCGGCAGGAGTCTTTCTCACGGAAGACACGCGCGTATACGTGTGCCTGTCAGCGAAGTATATGTGGCATCTTGTCAAGGTCCACGCCTGCTGCGAACGCACGCGCTGCCTGCACATGGATGTTGTTGTCCATGACAAGCCCGTATAGATCGATACGCTCTTTAGGGCCTTTGCCGGGAAACCAACCCGGTCTTGAATATCTTCTCTTCAGACAGTCGTAGAGGTCTCCTAGTGTGGTTCCAGAAAGTTCGGTATTGATATACGACCCACCCCAGCGATCATTTAATTCGTGGACGGGGAGTGGCGATTGCAAAATTTGCTGCTTTCTCCAGAAGTCTCCTTCCCAAGAAAGTACTTTGTCAACACTAAATTCGATCCCGGTAAAAAACATCGTGCGCTTGATCCTGAGCTTCGGATTGACGCGAGCGATGCGGTCGGCGAACGGGGTGGATTGTTCAGACAGTCGGGGCTGCTGCGCGTGCCCTTTCAAATGGGATGCCCTCTTTTCGACATTTTCCTCAGGTTCCCAGATTAGATATTCAACAGTTGTTAAAGGCTCTTCCCACGGGAATRCGAGCGGGTAGATGCGACGGGAGTTGTTGATCATGTTCCGCCACGTTCTACAAACTTGGTGTGCGACGACTTGATCGGTAGGCCGGAGATGGACAACGATGAGCTGAAGTAGCTCCGTCACATTGAAGACTCTGTCGGCTGCGGTCTCGGGTGACGACTCCGCGATCGTGGAGATGGTTGGGTTTGCTGAAGCTTGCGCCGATGGAGTTGGCATACGTGCAACACAGAGCGATGGAGCGGTCATCGTCGCGGAAGACTCGGCGGTCTCTGGTGTGTGGTTGGGAGTCATGATGGCAGTAAGGTGTGAAATTTTTAGTTGTGTTGGTGAGAGGTAGGATAGAGGATTATAAAAAGAGGAATTCGGGAATTCGCTTGGAAATGTTCGAGTTAGGCTCTACGGGAAGGGCCAGATATACAGTGGTCCTACCATCCGCGAAAAAAGCAAAATACGTAACAAACTATAGTACCTACTCGCGACAGATCCCCACTCGTATCAGTACCTGGGTACTGTTAGTTTGAGACTTTCAGTACATCATGCTCATTAAGTTACTCATCATTCCACTCAACAGCAGTCTTCTACTGAGGCATGGGGCATGTGCGAATTATTTCTTTCCGGACTGGATGAACTTTCTCGCAGCGAGTCAATTGGAGATGGTACAAGTTGTGCAAAACAGTCTCGAGGAGCTCCACGGTACTGAAGAGTTTGGCGGTTGCGGCATGTCTTATGGTGATTACGTCAGGTTGGTATTGAAACGCTTTCGGTAAGCGAGCAGCTTGTCTTGTCCTGGGGGCCATGTTGATATGTTTGGTCGGTGAGATTCTTTGACGCGGTGAGATTCTTTGACGAGCTGATGATGAGAAGGAGCAGAGTTGATGCATAGAATAGAGGCTAAGATATACAATTCCTGCTTGGCGAGCAATGTGAATTTTGTTTCCAGCAAACCAATTTTCTGTTGCCGAACGCAGACATTTGGGCCTCTACCGTGCCAGTACGTTGAATACTGCTTCGTTGGCAGTTGCAAGCAGTGCTCGATATCCCGAAACAGCCATCAAATGCTTAGCTCGCATCCGCAATGACAACGCACTTCGCAGGCTCTATTCTAGTAGCTGCGAGAAAGGCTTCATCCGCTTGCCTGGCCTTACGCACTCYGTCATTGCAGTCCAGCAGGTGTCCCTTGATTCTGATCCGAAGTCTGTAGGCCTGTCGCTTCCTATCACTAATGAAGTCGTGATCCACTTTCTGAATCGCACGTCGGAGGTCGCCCAGCGTGGCGTAGTCGTCCTCTGACTTCTTCGAGGAGCACGCCACTATGAAGCTTCTTTCCACATCTAGATTCGGAATCGTGACATCAACGTCCTTCATCTTGCACGGTGGTTGGGTGATGTAAGCGCCCTCCCAATACTCACCGAGCACCCATTCCAGTAGCGTGCACGGACTGAATACCGCGAAGGCGATTGAGAAGTCTATGTCACCGTCATCTGAATAAATCCAGAACTCGGACAACGAAGACTCGCTGAGATATGGGTGAAGAGTAGATATTATGTGAGACGAGGCTCCCTTTTGGGCGCTTGCATTTAATGCATCACTCGTCGGGCGATGTTGCATGATCGAAGGGGCGGGTATGATGTACTCTTCATCGGTCGCTGGGTCGAACACCGTCCGAATAAGGTCGGAGACTGTTCTTGCTTTGAAGAAACGCCTTTCTTGTAGTCCTGGTGCCGTGTGGATGAGGTTTTGCCACAGGGAGCACACGCGCTCCATCCGGGTGAGCTCTGTTAAAGAGAGATTGGAAAGTAAATTTTCGAGGACTTCGACGACGGTGAAGACTTTGCTGGTGGGCTTTGTCTTGGTGACGGCGTTGATTCCAGCCTCAGTAGTGACCTTCTGACCCTTTGCTGGTGACTGAGCGTCCGCCATGTTGGATGTTTGTTACTTCGACGTGGTGAGTGATTGTGAACTCTTGGCGAAATTGTGTCGTTGTCACCGGCTGGAGTGGATGCAAAGCCGCAATGATGATGGTGGTCTGTTGTGTTGATGGTGTTCCGCAAATTGAAGCCGGTGAGGAGCCGAGTTCACTTGGGTTGTTGTTGATGGTGGCGGGGAGATGGTGTAGTGGTGAGAGATGGTGAAGTGTTGAAGAAGTGAGGGTACGCGAGCCGCGAGGACGGGAGCGTGTGACAATTGCTGCACTGAAGCGGCTTCGCTGAAGCTGAAGCTGCTGCTGGTAGCGTGGTCCGTAGAATTCTTGGGCGACCTCAATGAGACTACAGGCACTCAAAGAGACCGCAATGCTGCTGACTCGCCCTTCCGCTCGTGAAGAGCGGGAGATGGCTGGGATCACGGAAGGTTGTATATCCGTTGTGTGCGCCGTTGACGGGTCAGGATGTCTGTGGCCAGCAACGCAGAAGCCGACAAGTGGTGTTATTTGGAGGATCAGTGATTGTGCAGAAATCTGAGGTGATCCGTCGTACTTCTCTCATTCAAGGTACCTAGGCAAACCCCCTCGAGTTGGAGACTCCCAGATTTCCCAAATCTACCTTACGAAGAGGAGATGCTTGTTGCACAATCGGTCCTTCTCTCCCAGAAGTCGAGTTACATGTATTCAACCACTCCTTCTCGTTCTCGCTTACTCTAGAAGCATGTCGCATCTTGATATCCCCTTCACTTTCCTCACCACCAAAGCACCAGACATCAACATCGCAACAAATCGCAACAAAGTATCTCACTCGAACCACGGTCTTGTCGGCATCACCGTCACCATGCCAGACACAGAATGGTGGCTGAAAGAGCTCGAGGAAGTACTCTGCGGGGAGTATGCGCATTGCCTGTTCCTAGAAATGATTCATACCTACCTTAGGTAGTCACCGGCATCGGCATCTCTGGTTGGCCCATGTCGAATTCGAGCTGGATGGATGGATTCTGGCCAGACCAGCTCTACCTTTCCGACTGCGAAGATACTGGTTCTGGATGCTATACCTTACATTCTGATACAAATTCACGGCTACTTTGTCTTTGCAGGAATCTGGTCATCGAGATATCCGGCCGAGCCATCTACGCTCAACCCAAGCCAGATCATCTCGACCGACCAGCTGAGAGGACTGACATTGCTCCGGGTGAGGGCACTAGGTAATCTTTCGGGATTGATCTGACGGATGAGAGGAGGTGGAAGGATGAATATGATATGGGGTCATCAGACTTCGAACTCTCTTCTCAAAGCATGGGTTCTGGATTCTGTAACGGGGTGCTACCGAGTTTGATGTGCTCCTGATGTGATCGAAGGAAGAGGGACGGGAGAAATTGTAAAGATACTAGGGATCGTCATACTTCTTGCGAATTCGAGGTTCTTCGGTCGTTCTGTGTTGATCAATCTTTCAACCTGGTCGTGACTTCCCTTCCTGCAAACAATCGCAGTCGTGGGACCTTCTTGCATCTCAACAATGTCGTTTCCAAGATCTCCGTCTGCATCTTCCTCTCCTCCACCCATCCGATTCCCCCGTCGCTATCTTCGCTCCACCACCGAACCCACACTATCCGCCATGCCATTGACTAAAAGCCAGTCGAACAGCAGCGAGGCGACGCCGGAGTCTCGACGGGAGTCTCTCCGTCGTCTCAGCTCCCTATCGTCGCTGCACCTCCTCAATCCATTCGCCCGGCGTCGGTCCWACAACACGACAGAGAACTCGCCATCTACAGTCTCCCTCTCCAGCAGCGTCATTGCTGAAGTGCCGAAAAGTCACAAGGACTACCCCACCACGCAGCTGTTCGGTGAATACAACAACAATGACATCGGACCCGTCCCACCTCCTCCACTCCCCAGTAGCCGCTGGCCGGAGCGGAAAAGCAGCTACATTTGTATCCCAGATGACCCAATCGGCGGCATGCCACGCAGCAGGACTTTTAGCAATCTTCCCTTGCCGTCGCGCGCAAAGAAGTCGCAGCAACCACTCCCACAATCCAAATCGCATGCTAGACTTCCTTCTGTGTCGCAGCCAAGGGCTCACAGTCGCATTCCTTCATTGCAGTCCAAGTCTCACGCTAGGATCCCATCTGCACACCCGGTGACGAGGCTACCATCCCCGATCATATCCAACCGCAAGTACTCTGCATCTCGTCTGCCCATTTTGGAGAGCAGGGTCAATGGCGAAAGGCGGAGACTGCCTCGCTCTGATACCATGCCACTGCTGGGCAACCACAACCGGGAGACCAGCTTTCGACACTCTACCGCTTTCAAGGAGAATATCTCGATCAGTCCCATCAAACCGCTATCAGCGATGGGGCTGCTTGATGAAAATTGCACTTACGATTCCTCGTTCGCGCCATCATCCTTCGATAGCAACCAAGACTGGTTTGAGAATGAAGGCGCTCACTTGACCCGAAACCTGTCGTCACTCCAGCTCTCCGGTCTTGAAGGCTCCAGTCCAGAAGGGGACAAGAGCAGTCCTCTCTATCGCAGCACAAACCGACGGCCAGGCACACCAGGACAAGGTGAAGGGATGCAGAGATGGCAATCCCAGCCAGTCTTGACGAGCGTGACCAACAATCGCCAGTCGCAAGCTCATGGAGAGATTAAGCAGGCCCGCCTGATGTCCGCCCGCCAGGCTCCAACACCTCCGTTATCAAAGACACCCGCCGCAAAACAGATCTTCAACAGCAGCTCTAACTTGCGACTGGTAAGTCATGCTTCGGACCATATTCGTGAGGTCTCGGCGAAGCTTTCGCCCACACGCCTCTCTCTTTCGGGACCCGACAGATCCAGAGGCGACTCYATCGGTCAGCGCACGCCTCTCAACTCGCGTCCGGCTGTCAAACCAGAGGAATTGATCCTCCGCGCCGAGCCAGTGGCATTCTGGACTGGCCGTTTTTCCGCCCTCAATGATCGGTATAGGACCGAAGAATTCACCGCCTCCCTACCAACCGCCATGGACGTCGTCCGAGAGTCATCTTATACGAACCTATCTCATAGCTCCTCCAGCTTCGACAGCCCATGGCCCTGTAAGAGCTYCACGAATAGGACGAACACTCCACAAGCGAACACGGCTCGTATGCGTCGGGCGGTCGAAGCATTGTATGCGCTCTGCGGGAATGACGAGGCGCGGGACAGCTTTTCGAAGTGGCAGGCGCAGCTGGCCACTGCCTTGCATAATTCCGAGTTGGGAAGGCCAGTGAAGGGACCAGGAAAGATGAGTGGGTGTCAGTTGGAGATGAAGTTAAAGGAGGATAATGCACCATCGTCTGCGGGAAGTGGTGCTAGAAAGGTGAGTTTGATGGATAGGATCCTGGGCAGGAGGACCGGAAGCGTGTTTGGCATTGGTGTCGGTGCCTAAGACCGTGTGGAGATGGAATAAATGAGGTCGTGGCGGAAGATGGACGTAATGGGACTTGCTGTGCTGGATAAGGCTTTCGCGATACAAGAGATGGGTGGGTTATTGCCTAGATGGCTGACTTTTTACACACAGATATACCGACAGCAGATGCAGAGAAGTAGGCAATGGAGATAGTAAGAAAGACAGAATACTCACGCATTTTCAAACTCGTTTGCATGGTATCTCCGCCCTCTCTCTATGCTGTGCTGTCTTCACCGAACACCTCCTCGAACCTCCACGCCGCCCGCCGACCAAACGCCACGCTAAATTCACGAATTACGTCTCATCACACCAACACCACTCAGCCTCCTCCTGCGGCAGCCTTGTCTCTCTTCTTATTCGCCGCCTGCTGCTTAAAATACCCCTGCATCTGATCCATTCTCGACACAAAGAACGCTCTCTTCGAATCGAACCTCTGCCTCAACACCCCAAGAGCTTCCGCATACTCCACAGCTTTCCTATACTCCTCCTCGCCCATATCTTTGATATAAAACCCCTTCCAAGTCGTCATTCTCTCCCCTTCGATTTGCCACAGACGGATCTGATCCACGACTGTTGGAGGGAGGATTGGAGCTTGATGGATTGCTGCCGAACGCCGCAAGATTGGATGGGCGTGGGTGGAGAGGTATGTGATGATTTGGTCTGCGGTGATGGATTGTGAGATTGCGGAGGCAATGGACGCTTTTGTTATTTTGGCTGTTATGAGGTTTGGATACCGGGTGTGGAGGGTGGAGAAGAGGGATAGGAGGGAGATTTGGAGGGGTGATGAGGTGTAGGCGTAGAGGCGGTAGTTGGTTTCAAGGATGATGTAGCCTTTTTCGCCGGTTGCGGCGCCTGAAGAGCTAGAGGCAGATGTGAGGGAGGAGTTTAGGAGAGCTGGAGAGTCGGAGGTCAGGGTTGTTGAGAGGCGGGTTGGATAGAAGTGGTTTGATGTTGGGGTGCGGCGGTAGACCAGTCCGAAAGACTCGAGGTCCGTGAGCATTTGATTCTGAGTGGGCGTTAAGCTGCGGGCGCTGTAGGCGATTCCCAATTCGAGAGAGCCGAGGGTGAAGAGGAAGGAGAGGACATCTGGAGGTTCCATTCCGAGCTGGACGAAATTGTCAGTATGGGGGTATGCTAGGTTTGAGGGCTTGGTTGCTCACCTTTTCGCAAAAGTTCAGATACACCACTGYCAGACTCCAGACTTGTGCGTTGACTTCCTCCAACAAAAATGTAAAGCCTTGCTGAGTAATGACACGCTGTCGTCCGGCGCTCTTCAACTGCACATATCCGCCGTTCTGCAGCAAAGTCTTTGTCCCTGAAGCGATGTCGTTCTCGCCCGTGAGGCCGCTATTCGCCGACCCAACAACATAATATAAGATTGCCTCCCACTGCTTGCGCGCAAAGTCATCCAGGAATGCAACATCCACCACCTCTCCGCTTTGTGCTTCCTCTGCTTTCACCTCCTCCGCACTACACGCCACCCCAAAGCTTCCCTTTCCTGCTCCACCTCCCGTCCCAGCTGCGCCCGTCAACGCACACCTCAATCCCTGTGCAAATGCCGGACTCAACCGATAGAGCAACCCCTGCCCATGTGCTCCTTGCTCTTCCATCATGATCTTTAGCCGGACCAGCACGCTGACTGCCCGTTCTCGTTCTGCCTGGCTGGCACCATCACCTTTGAACCAAGTTTCGAGGGAGGATGCGCTCATTGTGGTGGGGAGATACAGCATGGCCATGACTATGGTTTTGGCTAGATGAGGGAGCATGCGCCTGAAGACCGCGAGTGCTGTGCTGGGTTGGGCGTATAGTTTGGCGAAGGTCAGGCCAGGGAGGGTTTCGAGGTAGTCGAGTGCACGCGTTGCTGATGGCGTCGACATTGCGGCGGTGGTGAGGGACGAAATCTCTTGATGGTGGTGATAATGGAGCACGAATATCAATCCTCGAGTTGACAGCTTGTAGATGCTGATATTGATGCTGATGTTATTGAAGAGTCGCCGTCTTGTTTCGACGGGATTTTGAAGGACTTGAAGCCTTCTCTCATCGTATTTTCATGGACTATGCATGTGAAATAGTGGCTGGCCTTTTGTATGAGGTCCACGAACAGCTGATCGAGCGTGGTGGAGGTGGTGGAAGTACTCCATGGCTGTTGTTCGCGGCGAAGTGATGTAGAGATCCTCGAATCGAATTGTGGCAGCGGGAGCTCCCGCGACTTCGGACTCCACTCCTTTCCGATCACCCACTCCCTTCCTTCGTCTTCCATACAACGAACTGTACTCTATGCTCTGTCTTCCTTTCGTGAGTCTGGCAATACCAGTCGGTACCGACACATCAGCATTGCAAAGTTTCGCCTGATTCACCATGTTCCATCCCATCACCTCCCCAGTAGCCACTGCTCCTCGAGCTTGCACTACTTGTAAGAAGCGAAAGCGAGCCTGCGACAAGCAGATGCCTACGTGTTCGAGCTGCATATGGTAAGGCGCATACTGATTTCTAGAGCACGCTGATAAGCTGCGAAGGCTGCAAACATGCTGCCAGTATGACGTTCCTATTCCTTCGGCCACCCCGACGAGGACCTTTGCTTTTGGCCTGCCTTCATCTCACACGGATCACAATCCGGATTTTACGTCGGCCGCGATCATGAATCAAGCATCACAAATATTAGGATCACCGGACAATATTCTTCACATCTCGCAAGACTATTTCGCACGAATACATCCTTGGCTTCCTTTCATGTCTCGCTCAAGAACCGCCACTGGGCAAAAAGAGATCGCAGACTCCCTGCATTCTGTCAATTCGGTCGTTTTGTTATGCATAATGCGCCTTGTCCTCTTAGCTCCGCCCTTCGCAGAGGTGGACACACTTCGTACTCCTCTATATAGGGACACCAAGCGCCTACTCGCTCTAGCAGAGACCGAAGGTCCTCAGTGTTTGGATCTTATTCAGTCTCGTCTCTTGATGGCACTTTATGAARTCAACCACGGTGCGACAGATGAAGCCTATGTATCACTTGGAATGTGCTCGCGAGCGGGTATAGTGTTGGGACTGGATCGTCATTTGCAGCAACAAGAGACAGAGCACTGGACCCGTAGAGAGGAGGAGAAAAGAACATGGTGGGCGATAATCATTCTTGACAGGTACTGCCTCGTCGTATGCTAACTGCTATCTGTGCTTTTATTGACCGTATCTACAGGTTTCTACGGCAACAGCGACCACACTGGCCGGCGTCGGTGGGAGATCCTAAACCTAGCGATATCCTCCCCGTCGCCGACTCAGAATGGGAAAGCCAGCAATACAGCATCACACAAAAAGATCCTCCAAGGCCATGCCGCATCTCAGTGGCCTCCAACGTCCGTGTCGGCTATTTTGCACGCCCAGCTCAGGTTTCCCATCTCCTAGGCTTAGTGCTCAACAATGTATACAGCCCGACTTCGGACTCGGCCTTCAACACACAGGAAGCTGAACAGTTACGTCGGACTCTGGACGTGTATGCTGAGCTTCTACCGAAGGAAGCTACAGCGACTGAATGCTCCCACTACTGCGGGGTTATCATGATGTGTTATAGGTTTGTGTGATCACTCTCGAAGATTTCTGCTGCACTAATCTCAACATGTCTGCAGTGCCCAGCTCTTTCTCGAACACCCTTCCTTCACGCGCGAAGGCGGAATGAATGAAAGGACCAAAGCTCTCACTGATACAATGACTCAAATGGCCCGAGAATTGAACCTCGAGCTGGAACTCATGGGTTCGGAACTGTTACGACCTCTTTCGCTGTTTGCCATCTCCCAGGTTGCAAGCATATATGTGCGGCAATGCGAAGTCACAACGGAGGCCAAGTACAGAGACGGAATCGTAGTTCTTTTGCAATTGTTAGGGATCTTCGAAGAGAGATGGAGAGTCGCTGGTAGGTATTTCCATCGGCTGAGGGGGTGCGAAGAGGCTGACTTGTCATCAGGTGCATACAAAGCGGAGATTCTCGGAGAGCTCCAGCAACGAGCGATTGGACTCTGACAGCAACATCTGACGCTCAACATGAATAGACCATTTGGCGCCCAGAACTAGCTTTGTGCGACAACACCGCATAGTACGGAGCGAGGGTGTATGGAACTTCACGCGAAGAGGCGCTAGGGCGGACGCTAGGATGGACGCTAGTGAACGCTAGAGCGGAGTCCGCATCCTTCGAGCTTCGCGACGAGGATGATCCTCTGAGAGCTCCTCATTCAGAGAGGGTTGTGTAGTGTGATTGCTAAAGTATCGTCACACCGTGCATTCGGGCTTATGGTTCGCCCGAAGCTGTGATGTTCATCTCACAGAGCTGCGTATAAGTATGTGAGCTGCCCTCTCTGAAACTGACCACAACAGCGACATTCCCGTGCTCAGCAACCAATATCAACTRGACAGTACTCCGTTGCTTATAACCACAAACATCAAAACCATAACGTCAGCCATGCCGAACGTTCTCATCCTCGGCGGCAGCGGCCTGCTTGGCTCCGCGGTCTCCCAAGCCCTCCTCCGAACAGGTCTTCACACGGTCTTCGCTCAGACTCGTTCAACTTCCAAAGTCTTAACCCTTCAGGCCTCCGAAGTTGCGCCTCTTGTCTTCCCTCTCTCGGACGCYGAAGCTTTGACAGCCGCTCTCCAGGACAATGACATCGACGTCGTTATCGATGCCTCTCAAGGATATGCCGAGACTTCCGCTATCCTGTCCGCCATCATCGCCTTCTCGGCCGCCCGTCAAGCCGCCCTCAAAGCTGAGAACGCTGTGGGACCCAAGCTTGGATTCGTTTACACATCCGGCATTATGGTCCACGGCACCCCGTCCAAGTTCGTCTCTGACCTCTCCCCAGTGGGAAACTCTTTAGCTTCCGCACCTCCAGCGAACATGGTAGGATGGAGACCTGCTGTGGAACAAGCCATCCTAGCCGCTCGAGAGCATTTGGACGTAGTCATCATGAGACCGGGTATGTTGTACGGTCGCTCAGCCTGGAACTTCGGACCTTTCTGGGGTCCTGTCGCCGCAGCCAAAGCCATGGGAGCGGAAGCAGTGAAGGTGAAGGCCGGAAAGGAAGCAAGATTTGGACTGGTGCATGTCGACGATGCTGCGGAATCTTACACTAAAGCTGTCAGCAAGATCGACAATGTTGGGAACTGGCCGATCTTTGATGTTGTTACTGAGAATATCAATCTGGCAGCGATTTTGGAGGAGACGATTCGAAGTTTGGGCTTGACGGCGAACGTCGAGTTTGAGGGGACGGGAGGAGATGTGCTGATGGAGGCGCTTGGTTTGAGGGCCAATGGATCTGCCAGTCGGGCTAGGAGTGTGCTTGGTTGGGAAGCTAGGAGGAGAGATTTCCTCTTGAATGTTGGTGGGTATTATAGGGCATGGGAGGCTGCGCAGGGAATGGAGAATAGGTAGTCGAAGACGGCGTTTCCTTTCGAAATCAAGGGAAGGGAACATGGGCGATGCTACAAATCAGTTCGATCTCAGGTCCGCAGCGTTACTTTGCTTCCTGAGGGAAGAGGCAGTAGAATGGAACAAAATGTTTGATCTCCGATTTTTCCTCTAAGACTAGAGCTTTGTAGACCTATCTGCAATAGCATAGGTTGACTCAAACCGAATGTCCTGCAATGTCCTTCCAATCCCATAGAAGATAGAACGACAACGGAAAGTCCACTTCCATGACTGCCATAAAGTCGCAATACACCCATCCCAGAACAAAGCCAATGACAAACCACCCTCGCACGAACCGCTGAATTGAACTCAACCTCCCCATCTCTCTTAGTCAAATGCATTATAGAGCACAAGGTACAGTTTCTCATCCCTCAAAACTCTGGATCTCTTAACCCGCTTCCGCAGATCCCCCAAAGTTGCGCCAGCTCCATAATTCTTACCAACGGGGTCTATATTCTCTGGAGGAATACTCCAGATGCTATGGAATGGAGATTGACTAAACAACACATCGTCCCAAAGTCCTCGAGGCCAGCGCATCAATACTTGTTCGGCGTCGTATATGGGAATACCCCCCGCCCACACATCCTTTTCGGTAAAAGATTCGCGCCGGTCTGCCAAAGATGGGATGGAGGCTTTGTGAACGATAAAGTTTGCCGATGTCTTGCTCGAGGAAGATGGCGTAACGAAGGCTTTTGGATCGGTCGATAAGGTGCTTGAAGAAGGAGTTGATTTGGCGCGCACGGATAATTTCAGCGGGGTAGCATTTAAGGAGGATCATTTCGAGGAGTTCGGGTATTTTGCATGTACGGCTTGCGGCCGTCGGGAAACACGTGGGAGCCGCTTTGCGCATAGCGCGCCCGTCTCGGGTTGTAGTATCACGCATCTTGAAGTTTTTAAAGTTGATTTTAAGATGGGATTAGGAGCTATTAAGAGGCCTGTGGTTAATAACGAGCTTGACGATTGAAAGAAGGTGTGTGTGATTTTTGAATGTCAGTCGTGGGCCGAGACCAAAAGAAAAGTTCAGCTTTGACCATCTCGCGCGGCGGACGGCATCGCCGGATAGCCGCTAAGCCGAAACCAGTCATCGACCTCGCAGTGAGTGAATGTGGTCCTTTAGCTTACCAATACCGCCGGCTCGCGTGTTTGGCGACCWAATGTGGATTCATCTCTCGATACTCTATAAACACACAAGTTTCCGTCGTAAAGTGGTTCAAGTCCTCTCCACAGCTCAGACGAATGAGCAAAATACATACAAGAAAGCCCAAGGTAGAGTGCCCTAAAAAAGAACGAGGTATCTCCCTCCCATCAAACGCCAACAACCTCATAACATCATTACACACACCTTCCAATCCTACTCCTCCATATCATCCTCAAAGACCTCCCCACCATCCCTTCGTCCTTCCCCCTCAAACTCCCTCTCCACCTCCTCGGCGACGAATTCCTCGTACTGCTCCAGCGACCCTTGCACATGGATTTTCCAATCAACCACGAACTTCACAATCCTTTCCAACTCCCCGTACATTTCCTCCCGCATCGCTCCTCCCTTGAAGATCATCTCCTCGTATTCAAGATTCACTGCCATTTCCCTCTGTTCCATTAAAGCCACCGTCTCCCCGACCCCGGCTCTCATTTTGCCCAACTCCTTCTCCATTCGCTCGATTTGGGTTTCCGAGGCCATTCCTTGAGTGGTGGTGACCTCTCGAGCCTTCTCAAAAGCAGTTTGTGCGGCTTCTACACGATGTTGAAGAGTTTCGAGTTCCGAGGCTTTGTCTTCGAGAGCTTCGCGGGTTTTGTCGAGCATGTCTACTTTCGCCATGTCTTCTTCTAGAGCAGTATTCCTCCTCTCACTGATTTCCTTTCGAAGATCTTGGAGGTGGCGTTTGGTGAGTTTGAGGTCTGGTGTGGGCAGGAGATGGTGTGGCACGTAGCCATGTTCTGCGTCCTGAAGGAGACGGTCTCCAGGTTTACTTCCTCCCGAACGGGAAGAGGAGAATTGCTGACTTGCACTAAAGTCCGGTCCGGAATTGAGATCCAGACGCAGTTCATACTCGAAGTCGTGAGCGTTGTGGGCTGTTGCGGGAATGATGCCAATTTGGTAACCCAGACCATTGTATCGTTGTACAGCGCTTTCCAGCTCATCCAGCTTCGCGCCAGTTTCTGCTTCTTTCTTGGAGGAGCGTTCTTTTGTCTCTTCGAGGCGAACTTGTGTGGCTTCCACACCTTTGATGAGACGTTCCCGCTCGTTGTTCATTCTGTCAATATCCTGAACGGAGAGGCCCTGTTCGTCGACTTGTCGTTGGAGATCATCTCGATCAGCCTCAGCTTCAGCCATTTCCGTTTCACACTTCTCAATCTCTTGTTGAAGGAGTTCGGCGCGGTGACTGTACTTTTCAACCTTGGCGTCCATGGATGCGTTGTACTGTTCGAATTTCTGACGGTCTTCCTCCAGAATCTTGATTGTCTCGTCCAGTTTTGCCAGTCTCGGCGCGGATTTTCCCAGATCATCGATTCGTTCTTGGAGGGCCTTTGATTCGGTCTCCAATAGCTTGACTTGTTCCAGATTTGCAGCATTCGCCTGTTCAAATTTCGCCGCCATTGCATCCACATGCGGTTGAATCCTTCGCTTGGCCTCCTCCTCTTCATCATCATCATCCTCGATTGACAGCCACTCCTTATATGCGTCTGACAAGAATTGAAAAGTGATGCGATCAGCGCTGACATCAAAACCGGCCTCTGCACAAGCATCATCCCACATTCCCATGCTGTACTGCTCCATCATTTTGGCCAGCAACATCATCCAGTGGAGTAGTCCGAGGAAGGTGCTCCAGTTATTCCCTCCCACAGCCGCCAACTGCGACTTTGAGATGTTCTTCTCAAAAGGATATCGCATCTGCTTGAGGAGGGGAGGGACCTCTGCGTCAATGTTCTTCTGGAAGCGATATGACGGGTCGATGTTGTGGTAGAGGAACTGAAACATCAGGTTAAAGTCCTTTTGGGTGGGAGAAGTCATCGTCTTGTGGGTGRGGGAGTGCTTCATCTCCATTTCGAAGTTGCGTTGGGTCAAGAACTCCATCAATTCCTGACCCATCTGCTGTCGGGTGGCCGAATCGCGTAATCTTCGTGGAYCGGGAGGAATTCCATTGATGGGAGGAGCCGTGGCAAAGAACGATTGATGGCCTTGGGGACCGAAGCCTGCAGAAGGACGGGCGCTGTAGACGCTACTCCGTCTGGCCGTGTCCTGAAATTGAATGGGATTTGAGGATGCGGGCGTGGCGCTGACGGGCGCAAAGCTCTTTCGACTGCTGGCGAAGATATTTTGTGTGCTCGGCCGCTGGACGGTCGAGAATCCGGCCAATTCTCCTCCCGATGATGAGCGATCGAACATGGGTTGTGAAGGTCGGCCGGGCGCGAGCGACATGCGCGATCCCGACGTTGATCGAGCATGGTTTGTCGTGGTATTCCCGCCGAAATGGGTGGAAGAGGATCGCTTCATGGCGGAGGCCGGCATGGGAATGGCGGAGACGTTGTGCGATACGGCGCCGAGCGTCTGTTGCTTGAGAGGCAGGGCGTCAGTGGGTGGTCTTGCGCGTGAACATGTGGAAGATTATATGATGGAACATACCTCTCGTGGACGGCGGACGGAGAAGAGTCCCGTTTCCTGCGACATGCTGCCGGAATGCGATCAATGCGCCAAATGTGGATCCTGTCGGTTTGCGCAAGTCGGTGAATKTCGCGACTTTGCAAGGCTGATGTGATTGCGGGCCAACTTCGATGTAAACAATGCCAAGCCACCCGATAGCAACGTCGGAGTCCGGCAACGCTAGTCTCCATCGAGACGAGCCTCGGCTGCGGCTAGCCACGTCCATCCGTCTCCATCATCTCATCTCATCTCTCACGTGCGTGCGTGCGTGATCATCTCTCTTCAACACGCAAAGACTCCCCCCTTTGGCTTTGAAGATGGTTCGCGAGGATCTGATCGAGGGAGCTATCAGCTGTGAGAATTGCTGTCAATCTCCTCAAATGCTGCAATATCYAACCGTCCCATCCCAGTCCTCCAAGATCCCTCCGTAGCCACAGCACCCGTTGAGCAACGCATCGCCTTCCTCCGTTCCAAAAACCTGACGCAGGAAGAAATCGACACCTCCCTCGCCCGCGTCGGCCAGGCCGCCCCCGCCTCCTCCCCTCCTGTCCAATATCAACCCGCACAACAACAATTCCAGCAACGCCCTCCACCCCAGCAATATGGCGGCTACCAACAAAATCCACAGCAATATTGGCAACAACCGCCTCCCGAACCTCCCCAACGTGACTGGCGTGACTACTTCATAGCCGCAACGGTGATCGGCTCTGCTTCATATGGGATCTACTGGACTGCGAAACGCTATATCCTCCCGCTGATCGCTCCTCCCACCCCGCCACAGTTGGAGAGCGACAAAGCAAGCATCGATGCTTCATTTGACAAAGCATTCGCCTTGTTGGATCAACTGGCGACCGATACGGCGGATTTGAAATCTGCGGAAGCGGCGAGGAAGGAGCGATTGGATGTCGCGTTGGGAGAAGTGGAGAGTGTGCTGGCGAGGATGAAGTCAGCGAATGATGAGCGGGAGATTGAGGCCAAAAGGATTGCGAGGGAGATGCAAGAACTCAGGGATCTGGTGCCCAAGGCGTTGGAGAAGGAGAAGGGTGTGATGGAGGGAAGGTTGGGAGATTTGGTTGGCGAGGTCAAATCGCTGAAGACTCTGGTCGGAAACCGAGTGGGAGGCGCTGCTGCTCCCGCTGCAGCTCGCACCACCCCAGCGTTCGCAAACCCTTCATCTGCTCCAAAGCCTGCGACAGCAGAAGAGGAGAAGCCAGCGCCGGAAACTAATGGCTCCTCTACACCCGCCTCCACGACAACGCCGTCAGCGTACACCGCACCCGTATACCCACCCGCCAACTCCACTGCGACCACTTCTCAAGCAAGAGAGATTCCAGGCGGCTCTCAGACTCCATACTCCCGTCTCTTGGAYCGCGGAGGAAAGGGATCTGGTGGTGGAGCAGCTATCCCAAGCTGGCAATTGGCTGCCAAGAAGAAGAGCGAGGAAGCCAAAGCTGCGGAAACAAATGGCACCAATGGAACGACGGAGAGTGGAACGGCGACGGAGATGGTTGACGCTGCTACTTAGGAAAATCTGTAATGTCGGTGGAGTTGAAGGGAAGGTTGGATTCAGGATTGTATTTGTTGAAACGCTATTCCATCTCGCTGACATTTCAAGCTGGGCATACGGGGAGGAAGGTAGGTGCTTGAGCATTTCTTTGCTTACTTCACGAACGTGGAGACGAGATTTTTGGAGGAGAATTACAAGAGCTATGGTACGTTCATCTCCCATTTCCCCTTCCTTCGCTTGGTTGCAAATGCCCATTTACCTGATGACCCAAATTACACTTGAACTGAAAATATAACCCACGACGAAGCCGCTGAATTGCTGGTTCCGCGTGCGACGGAAGTTTGGTGATGTTCAAAGAAAGCTCTGATCGATCCCTCCATTTTTGGCATGCTTGAGTTGTTGGCTGGCTTGGTGGTTTTGGGATGAAAGCTGATGTTTTTTTTCTCCTGTGCAGGTCTTTTTCACTGCTTCGAAATACGATTATTTGAGCGCCCGATAAGTCCTTGTCGTCGTCTGTGCTATCCATGCTGTGTTACCGCCTGCGCGCCAGTTGGTGAGGTCGATACGGATGAGGACCTGGGCACTCCGACACGCATTGGAATTGCCTGTCTCGTCTTTCTCCATCTAGCCTGATGGTAGCCCCTTCATTTCCTCCTCCACGTTTTCACCTTTCCTCACCAGGGCAGTCGCCTCTCTCAAAGACTTCACCTCTCCCGATGCCTCCTCCACAAACCAAGGAWTATACACCTCAACGCACCCGTCAAACTCTCCCACCGCATCTCGAAGATCTCCAATGGTCTGCTCCTTGCCCAGATCTATCCACTGCGGGAACTCGTTCTGCTCGTTCAAATACAAAGTCTTCGCGTTTGCATGCTTGACGATGCGCACCTTATCCCAAAGCCCATTCTTCCACATTGGCAAATCGGGCGTCAGGCACACGACCACTCCAAAGCTTTTCGGCAGGTGGTAGTGTCCCCGTGACTGTTTCCCGTAAATCCCCATTGCTGGATGAATATCGCCGATGATTCGTCCCTTCTTTACACCCTCTTCCTCTACGAGGTCACTGATAGGGGAGATGACGCCAAAGTTGTTGAGGATTTCGCGCGCGGGAGTGGGCTCGAGGAACATGTGTTGGCGCAGTTTGGGGGAGTTGGCGAGGACGTTGCGCCAGAACTTCGAGGTGCGTTGGACGCGTGCGCAGTCGAAGACGGAGCATTCGAGGAGGATCTGCTCAAGGAGCTCGACGGTCGCGAGGGCTTCGGCTGTGGCTGACATGATGATAGTAGGRGTGGACGGGATGCTTGTGGTTGTGGTTGTGGAAGTGCTTGCTGTTTTGTCGCTGGTGATAGGCAGGCTTGACGCGCGGTGGATGTGGTTGAGTGTTGGGACAATTGCGGTGGATGGTTGGTGGATGGTCAGAGAAGAAGTCCAGATGGAAGAAGTATCGAGTCGAGCTCGAGAACCAAGAATTTTTGACGCTAAGAAGAAGTAACTACTTTGCAATCACGTGAGTGAAACATGGCGTTAATGGAGATTTAATTCAAAGCTGACTGCTATGTGCGCCTTCAAACAATGTGGCCTCTCTACATTCTTAGATCTAACATGAAATCTGCATCATTGGATAGAACAGAATCTGCGGTTCGCCAGCAGCTCTTCCTACCTGATGGCATATGGATCCCACGCGTGGTCCTCGAAATAATCACCACCGCACGAGCTGCCCAATAGTGGCTTGTATTTCGCCTGAGTCTTATCTTTCTATGCTCGTTTTCTGCATCTCCGTCAAACAAGATCAGGCGGGAGGGATTGTTGCTGAGATGATCAGCAGCGGACACAAGCTGCGGGCCGAGGAACAGACTTTTGGCATGTGATTCTTGGTCCCGCCTCCTGCCCACTCTTTTCTCTCGACTTCGAGTTTCGTGTTGCTGCGCAGTCGACATCAATTTCAACAAACAACATCTCTGAGCACTCCATCAACCACAGAATCATCGTCAACTTAGCACGCGCAGGCGTCCTTGGCTCTTTGTTGCACTACCAAGCTACAACATCACCATCAGTTGCAACCGCCACCAACTCTCAGCATCTCCGTTGCCATCAGCTCCTACTGTGACTGCCAGCTCAACACCGCCATCACTATCCGCCGCCAAGAGAAGCTACAGATCGATCAACGGCTCTTGGTCTCTTCATCAGCCTTCGCCAGCCTCAAAGCTGCAGCATCACTGTCAAGTTGTCATCGAACCCTCGACTCTCTCCTCGTCACCGATCCTTCTGAAAATCATCCCGCGAAACGGATCGAAGCCACGATGTCTTCCACAGCCGCCAGCCGCACCTGCAACACACCCGAGCTCCTCGAGATGATCTTGATGGAGTGTACCACTGTCGATGTCACTCGAGCTCGTCAAGTCAACTCATTCTTCAAGGGTCTTATCGACGACTCGCTTGGGCTTCGCCGGGTGATGTTCCTCGAGCCAACAGTCGGGCCAGAAGTCCAGCAACCAGTTCAGCAGCCACCAGCCGAGCTCACGGAGCAAGCGGAGCTCCCCGATTGGAATTTCCCTCATGCCGTGGACTGCCCTTGCTGTGATGTGATCATTCACCCCTTCTTCGGAACTACAGTACTGGGTGAAGTCATCCTGAACAGTAACGCGGAAATGATTGCTCAGAGTCACGAATACAACATGCGAGATATGATGGCCTGGCCACGCGGACCTTGGGAGAAGATGCTCATTGTCAAATCACCCCGCGAATCTGTCACGGTCCGTTACCACATGCTGAGACCCGGGTTCGGAGGCATGCTGGATTGGAATGCTACGATGGGAGATTTGCGCCGGGCGACGAGCCGTGAGGGATATCCATTCGGCATAACAGATGTCTTCGCAGAGCTTGAGATTGTGGATATGCGGCAGAAGCCGCTACGCTGGGCGGGTAACATCTTTAGCTGACGTGTTTCTTACGGACGGTACATCGTTCTAAGCACGAGTTGGTATGACATTAGCACAAGTCTTTGAGGTGGTTCTTGGATGAACATGGAGTGAATCGGTGTACGGAGGTGAAGGATAGGTAGCGTTTATGAGACTCAGTCCATGTACTAGTGAAGCGGACAGTCAAGGAAAATGCTTCGGTATAGACTTGGACCGTCTGTAGTCACGATCGTGCGTCTCAATCAATTCATTACCCCTATGACTTCTACTCCGTGGAGTACTACGATGAATCTTTCCCCAAATGTTATCATTTATGCTAGGCTAGCGCTTAAAGGTAGCGTGTGACCTTTCACCCCCTTCGCTCTTCCCTTTCTTTCGCTCTTGCACTCCTCCCGTAGTCGCCCGCAAACTCCGCAAACAACCGATTCGAGAATTCGATTATTTCGGGATTTGGTCAACCTTGTTGGTGCATCAACTTCCATCACTGCATCAACTTGCATCACTGCATCAACTTCCATCACTGCATCAACTTGCATCACTGCATCAACTTCCAATGGCGCTTCTGCTCTGATCGAGGCATCATCTTTCATCATCGATCGCATCGCATCGACTACATCGGCACATCTTCCTCCGATCGAGTCCTCGGCACGTGGCATAAACATCAGGCTCGTCGCATCAACAACAAACAGTTTATGGTGCCGCCACTCCTGCATCCACAATCACCACACCACAATCAGCTTGTTCAGAACACAGTCTCCAGCATGGCCTCCTCCACAAGCGCCATCGCGGCTCCCGCAGACTCTACTATGGCCTCCACCGCCGCTAGCCGCCTTTTCGACACGGTTGAACTCCTCGAGATGACACTTCTAGAGTGCACCGCAGCTGAGATTACACGCGCGCGACAGATCAACTCCTTCACTAAGAAGTGCGTACATTTGGGCCTGCCTCAAAGATTAGCTTTGAGGTTCAGAGGAGTACGCAACGGATTCTAAGCGGTGAAAGATTCCATCTACTTGCAAGGCCGCATCTTGAAGCCTTCTTTCTGCATCGCAGAGGTTACTCTGTTACTTGACCGCAGAGCACTTCGAGGTACGAGCGGGAGGGGGAAGTATCTCTGGAGGCAGATCCACGACCGGCATGACACTATGAGCGGAATTTGGGAAGGGGATAAGGCTTGGCTATCACATCAAAAGTCCAACGGCTTAAACGGCCCAAGTCTGACAGTGGAAAATCAAGCTTTCACCAAACTAACTCTTCTTCTTCTTCTTCACAGGCCCTGGAGCCTTCTAAACCCCAAAGGGCGCCGGAAATCTTCATGCCGTCCTCTGTAGGTTATCTTGCTGACACGATAAGTGCCATATGGTAATTGTGAACTGTGGTTGTGTGATTGGCGGGCAAGCATGTTCACTTACAGGGAGCCTGATTACTAATTTGAGCTTAGCGGCCTTAGGACCTGATGTGCTCGATTCATGAGTACTCACCGCTTGCTACACATTCGATAGGTTGCTGCCGAATAGGAATATATCTAACAAGTCATGTTTGTAGTACGTGCTTCTTTGCGTTAAAAAGAAACAAACAGCTTTGGGTAAGGTACGCTCGTTTCTTGCATCAAACGTTGCCTAATTTCTCTTTCCTCTCAAGTTGTATCGCTAGCTGCTGGTACCGATGCTCGGTATAAGAATAGGAAGTAAGTGCCTCTAGCCGGGCTCTTAAGCGAGCACAAATCGCAATTTTTATCACGCGGCGACGTAAGGATCGAAGGTCGTGCCGCTGAATTACAATCAGCTCTTCAAGGCYCTGTCAGGAGTGTTGGGATATGCCATTCTCTTTCACGAGCTCTCCGACGATGAACACGTGTAATATATTCACTCACAGAGCGCTAATCACTCTTTCGGCTAGCGGTCAGCCGGTGTTTCAGATTCCGGAGCATCGAAATCTACTTCTTTTCGCTTATAGCCCTCAACAGACACACTCGACTTCACATCAACCATCTCCACTACTTGCCCTGCCTTGCGAACAACCAACCCCAGGCCTGTTTCTCTTCCGAATTTTCTCGACGGCCATCATCCGGATCACAACCTGGACACGCACAGCATCAACAGCTTTTACAACTCCGAAACGTCTCCGTCACTACACGACATGTCTTCTACCGCCGCTACTCGCATCTTCGGCACCGCCGAGCTCGTCGAACACATTCTCCTCCAGCGCAACTCTCCCTCCGATGTCATCAGCATCTATCAAGTCAATACCTTCACCAATGCAGTGGTTCAAGGGTCCCAGAAGCTTTCCGCGGCGCGCATGCTCGGCAACAAGAAGATTCTCTCCAACATCCYCTTTCACCTGATGGACACCACCGAAATCATCAAGGCTCGACAAGTCCACTCCTGCTTCAAAACCGTCGTAGACGAGTCCAAGCAGCTTCGTCAACTTCTCTTCTTGGACGCGCAACCTAATGCAGGGATCATGAAGTTTCGAGAAAACCACGGAGGGAGCCTAAACCCTAGCGCCTGGGTCTTCTCTCCATATCGTTTCTTCTACAACGAAGCCGCAGGAGACTGCATGCTTATGACAATTCACCCCGCGATCGAGTCGCTCATGACTAGAGAGTTCTCTCCGCCTCGAGACTTCGTTGCAAGTATGAAACGCTCCACCATTGAGTCCATCACTTCCTGGCCCTCGGGAACTTGGGAGGATATGCTCATCTGTCAGCCTCCTTGCTCCACGTTCCAAATCCAATGCGGAGGTCATCCGCTGTGTAGGTGCGATAATTCGAGGAGCTCGAAGGGTGCAACGCTTGGGGCGATGAGGGATGAGATTCTCAGGGGTGAGAAATGTCCGGGAAGGAAGTGCTTGGTGATCGAGTCGTCCAATGATTCGAGGGAACGTGTCTTTCAATCTGCACAGAATTATTACTGGATGGTTAGGGGAGAGTACAAGTCATCCAGAAGATGAAGAAACTAGGATACGAGAGCGTTGGCTGAACAACTCACTATGCTGGAGTATCAATGAGCTACAACAGGAAGAGTGTAGGACTGTGCTTGCATTGCTTACTCTTCTGGCTTGCTATCATAAGGCGAGTGAGAGAGCATGAATCAGCTGTTATCAAAGAGATCCAGGCTTGTCGAGGCGAAGCGGGCTAGTGAGCAACAGTTCTTTGTAGCACTTCAATCAGCTTTACGGACGCTTTCAATAGAACATATGAACAATGAGAATGAAATTGTGGCAATACTGTGTTTCCCGATCAATCACACGCAATAGACTGAGCTGAGCAGTACCTGAGCTCATACAAATGCACTCCATCTAATCTATGTCTCGGTGTGCACAAGTCTCCACGACTCCACGGCGTGGAGGGCGGTGAGGCGAGAAACTTCAAGCACTATCTACTATCAGTCTTGTCTTCAAAACAAGAGGGCTTGTGCTGATCTTGTTTGATAGCACTGTGATCAGGAGTTCGGAGACTCGGTCGATTTCTTTTCTGCTATCTACTCGTCATGTCGTAATGCCTTCCGCTGTGCCTGCCACCAAATGTCCCCGAAGTGTATATCTGCGGCCGTCGTTCTGGTCGTATTATTCTACGTTCGTCCCAGTTTCTACACCTCAGCCGCCATCTTGTGCTGAGACGCGGCAAGCGTTGTTCCAACCTTCAGCCCTACGCTGATCCAGTACCCAATGTCTCAATCCGAACATTTGCTGATTTTGAGCTGAGAAGCCGACGGTGCAGGTCTCGGTTTCTTGCTCATCCAGTTCCTTCGTCTCAGTCTTGGATCGCACCTCGCCCACTCGATACTGTAAAATTCAAGTCAGCATGCTTGCAGCGTACGGGAAGACTGTCCAAAAGACCTCAAAGCTCGACTTCTTCAACCTCATCAACCTCATCAACTTCGACGGGAAGAGCGAGACATGCCTTCCGATCCTCATCCGAGGGTAGCAGAACACCTCGAAGCGTGATACTGAAAGAAGACACTTCCACAACCCCACCATATTTCTTTTGCCTCCTCAGCTCGCCGACTGAGGCTGCAGCAATCTGTTTTCTTGAGCGTGTGAGATTCACTCCTTCCGCAACGGAGTTTCGAACCACTTGTAGAGCCCTCCCAACTGTACAGCCGGAAGCATTGCGCAATCTGACGGTCGTAGTTCCGTAGAGTTGCGGCTCATATTCGGGCTTGGGAAGAAATCGACCGTTGGAAAGTCTGACGCGCTCGTAGGTGCCCATGGACCAGTCGACTCTAACCTTGATGGAGATGGCGGGCGAGCTTGTCAGCTGCATGCCGTGGAGCGTGTGCGAGATGTAGTGGCCGTTCAGCGAAAGCTTCATCGCGCGTTTCATGTCTTCGTCAGCTTCAAGGCTCGTCGCATCGTCGTAACGCCAGTCGCCGTTCGTGTAAATGGATATGTTACTCGCAGAGTGCGTCGCGAGGGGTGGGGAATCTTGAGTGAACCATGAGTTAGAGTCTGTGGGGACCATGTAGTTCTTCGTCCTCCGCGCATTGTTGTTGTCCGCCATCTCAACATCCGGAGCTTCTCGCGTTCGGACGAACGTGCCATCAGGCAGACCCTTCCAAGTCTCAGAAGAACCCTTGCCGCCAACACGGAGGTACAGCTTCTTCTGAATTGCAACAGACATCTTGATCACATCTCGGAATCGCTGAGAGACACGCTGAGACGTGAGGATGTTGCACTTGGGGAGGTGAATCAAAATGTTCTCGAGCAGTTCGGTGGTGGCGAAGACGTYCTCCTGTGGAACCTTCGCCTTCATGCTGCGCGTGAAGCGGGTGGGACGTGCGGGATGGTCTCGACGAGGTTTCTATATTGTGTTAGTGTCTAGTAGGAGAAGTGTCGAGGCTCGAGACCGCGCGCGCATACCTTTGGAGCCCGAACTGTCTTTTGTGGGACGATCTCCTGCGAAGCGGGAGCATTGTCGACGGCCTTACGCTTCAGATTGCATCGAGCCATGATATGCGGGAAGGGTGATGATGTTGTTTCTTGCTTATCGCGCGGGTGTTGTTCTCAAAGTAAGAAGGACTGAGAAACTTTTTGGCTAAGAGGGACGCATTTCGGGACGGATGATTAGTCATTCGAAGTGAATGATTGGCAAGTTGAGCTGGCGTTAAGCAACGTCACCCTTAAGTGTGGAAGGCATCGACGACGCTGTAATATTTTGATCCACTTCCCACCGAGTACTCATTCAAGCCATTAAAGGTCAAGTTCACTACCCGCATCTACTATCCAAACATCAGCAGCTGAATGTGAGGTGTCTCACGCCTCACGCCTCGCGGCCCGTCCTTCCTACCTGCCTCCGTTCAGACGCTTCGTTCTTTCCGAAACTCCGTGTTTCCTTCCGTATGCATGTACATGGCAGCCTAACCTGCATGTACCGACCCTATATATATTTCTCTGTCACGCCCCGCTGTCTTTCCTTTCCACAACATCAAACTCTTCTGCCTTCCACAACATCAAACTCTTCTTCCCTCCACAACATCACCATCTTCTTTCTTCACAACACCACGGTCTTCCTTACGATCCACTTTCCACCGGCTAGTCACTCAAACCACCAAACCTCAACTTCACCATCACCCAAGACATCAACAGAAGTTATGTCGTCTCTTCCTTCCAGTGTGCCACCACGTCGGACCAATTTGATGGTAAGATCAATGTTTCTTCTTCTCTGATTCATCGCTGATTCCAAGACAGACCAGGACCTGGCAAGCCGCCGGTCGCGTTTTCTCACGCAAAAACACCACCAATACCGTCGCCGGCGTCAAGAAGGAGAAGGTGCCTACCGCCGTCGGCGGTCTCGCCTCCACCTCCGTTCCCCGCGCTAGCCTCTCTCCCGCTCCACCCTCTCCAGCCTCTCCAAGCATCCAAGACAATAAGAGCATGAGCGCCTTCCATAGCGATGACACTTCTCACAACGTCGACGACGGCGACGACAATAATATCTATTCGACAAATACCGGTCGGGAGAACAATATCCGCTCGGTGACCTTCGGGCAGGATAGTGATGTCCGCTCGGTGACCTTCGGCCGGGAGACTCCTCCAGCAAATATCAGCTATCCTCCTGCTCTACTCTCATTATCTTCTCCTCACAACCAAGATAACCAGGTGATGAGCGCCTTCGACGCCACCGGTAATAACGACGATAAAGCCCGCTCGATAAGGCTCGGTCGGCAGAGCCCTTCACCTACTAGTAGCACCCATCCTACTCCGCTCTCTCTGCCCTCTTCGCCCTCTGCTCGAAGTCAAGATAATAAGGACATGAGCGACTGCTACAGCGCCGATAGTTCACACGACGTCGACGATAAGGACGACAACAATATCTCTTCGACAAACGCTGGTCGGGAGAGCAATATCCCCGAGGAGACCCTTAGTCGGGAGAGCGATGTCCCCGACGAAACCCTCAGTCAGGAGAGCGTCATCCGCCCATCCCGGGGTCGGGGTCGTCCAGCTGGGTCTGGCTTGCGCGAAGAATACACGCCGACCGTCCACGGCGCGTATTATAGCCTTGGAGGAAACGCTGTCGGTATGGCCCTTGCTCCGGCGATCATGAGCAAACGCTCGCACGCTGCCCGGATTGAGGAGACTACCCATGGGGTGAATCGTGCGCCACGCAAGTGCCGGGCGTGTCGCGCAAATGATGGTCGCTCTGGTGGTGACCGTCCATGCCGCGTCTATACGGCCGCGGMTGCGGCGATTTTCGATCGAGGATATGGTTCAGGAAAGTGTGCTCGGTGTCGGTTTTCGGGTAGACGATGTCTCTGAGTATTGGCAGCACCTGGGATCAACAGTAATGGTGTTTCTGCGGGAGTGCTACATTGGCTGGAGATGAACGGAAGATCTCCGTTAGCAACTGAGCCAGATGCCAGCGGCAGGAATAACAGCAGCAGTACCAACAAGGCCTGAGCGGCTAGGAGTATCCTCATCAGTGAATAATTCCGTATCAATTCAGGGAACAGACGATGCACTGAAGTTGAAAGGCCTTAAGGTTGATGAAAATTATTCACTGAATTGTACCACTGGCTCTTGGCTAGCCTTAGCGAAGGAAAGATTGAAGCAAAGACGATTCCCTCCTTGTGTGAGCACCTATGATCGTCGACGTCCTTTTCAGACCAATGGGTCCGGTGGAGCATTCCAGTGAATAGTATTCGGTGAAGTGTACCACCTAAGTGGCTGAGCTGATGAGAAGTTGTACAATGGACATTCACTGATTCCTGGCCACTCCGAACAAAACCTCACTCTTTTCGTCGTATGCTCGCTTTGTTCTAGGATAATCCTTCGCGTGGTTGCTCTTCGTCCTCCTTGTCATTCGGTGGCGTTTCTACTTGCTTGATCCAGTTGTACTGCTGCTCATCTTCTCCAGTATATGATCAGGGTGTGAGGGCACTAATTGAAGTTCGGAAGTCATATCCAAGGGCTGGTGAAACGGAAGGTTGCCGGCTCTTCTTGAGTAAATTGACGACAATGCTCGCCATTGGGAAGCTACAAGTACAAAAAGAAGCAGCCTTGAGGAGAGTCCAAAGTTTTTTTTTTTTTCTTTGGAACAACATCTTGATATTTGTGGGCGGCAATCTTCAATTTCACCGGGTCTTAATCACACCTCGGAATTCACGCGGATTTCGGGGGAGTGCCTGGAAAGGAGGCAGGGGACGCTTGAATGGTGTTTTGTCTTTCATTGAAAGTGTGAACATCCGATGTGCAATTCTCCATAGCATAGAAGCCGTGTCAAGCTTTTGTTCGACTCTGAAAGTTCTGCGAGAAAATGGTTTTTGTTTTCTTGGGCTTTGTCGTCGGGGTTGATGAAGGCTTCTTATGGCCAGATCCCAACATGACATCAACATCTTTACTACTTATCGCATCTCGAGAATTGACGATATCCACGACTCGAGCGTGCGCGCCTCTTTGCGCAGTGTGGCTGGAGTACTCGTTGGGTTCAGGTCTCTGTGKWGAKCTYGGTGKYSSCSKTRTYMWTGGTRCGTGGGCTGGCTTAAGAAGCGGCAAGATTAAATGAGTATTGATGATTCCCGCCTCTCTACTAAGGAGTCGATTTGGAGGTCTCACCTGATCGATTAACAACGTGCGGCATCAATTTCACAAGAGAAAGAAGGAGACGAGGACGCTTCAGGTTTCTCTGCCTCGGTAGTCTCTGTTTGCTTAGGGTGAGATTGTAATCGTGTCTCATTCTGTTCCGCTATTCTACTCGTAAACTCGTAATGCATTCCGATGCTTTTTGCACCATGCTGGTCCCGAATGATGCTAACGCCTCCCAATTTATCATGAAACCCATAATCGACCGTCCCAATAGCCCTCAGCTTCCCGCCAGTGTAATCATTGCACGCCTTCCCATCTTGATGTCTCCTTGTTCTCTGCAGCTAGTCATATCCCGCCAGCACAATTCTCGACTCAGGACACAGATTTTGATTGGTAATCATGACTTCTTATCGTCCGACTTGTCCACCACTGCAGGCAGAGGAAGACATTCCTGGCGGTTCCTTGCGGACGACAGCAACATGCCTCGAAGAGTGATGACAACCGTGTAGATTTGCAGAGACCCGTTTGATGGGTGCGATTTCACCATTTGTCCAGCCGTGGCCGTTGGAATCTTGCGTTTTTTTACGTACCGCCCGAAAGTTCTGTACGGGACTGYGTCGCGAATCGCCTCCAAGACCGCCCCGACAGTGGTACCGTTCAGATTGTGCGACTGGACGAGCATGCTCGGGTGAGTCTTGTTGAGACGCCATTGTACGTCGACTTCAACACGGATCGTAGGCGGGTTCGTGAGCTGCATCTTCATGAGCTTGGATGGTACAGGGTGGCCTTGGAGCGTCTGCGATGAGAGAAAGCGGAATTCTGGGCCGGCCTGAAGTTTTGAGACACAACCTTCTTCAGAGTCGTACGTTAAGGTATTTCCCACAGAATAGAACAACGGGTTGCGGTCTGTCGCGATCTGAAAGTTTGTAAGTCCCGTCCACACGTCATAGTGGGTAAGAACATCTGCAGCATCGGTCGTGCGGATGAAGGAGAGCTTTCGATGATGTGTCCATTGTAATGCGCGATGCTTCCAAGTCTCGGTGCAGGTACTGGTACGGATAAAGAGCTTCTTTTGAATCTCAATGGATGTATTGACCGAGTCTTGGAATTGGTGGCACACGCGCTGCACTTGAAAGATCTGACAGAGTGGTAGTCGAACCAAGATGTTCTCAAGCAACTCGGCGGTGTTGAACACCTGTGCAGCAGCGACGGCGCCAGCCTGTGCAGCAGCGTGAGCCTGGGATTCCTGGCGGCGGGTAATGCACTGCCTAGTGTCAGCGCGAGTCCTCCACGAGTCGAGTCTCAAAGTGCGAACCTTTGAAGAGAGAGTCCTCTTCTGCGGAGCGGAGCCGGCCATTATGCGCGGCACGTTGATCGGTTTGAACCGATAATGAGAAATGGGAGATGGCAATGTTTTGAAATGCAAGGTGTGGAAAGTCGAGGGGAACAAGAGTTGAGAGGACAAAAAGGGTTTACATCTCGGCAGACTTGCCGAATCCACCGCGCTTGACGTCAGAACTCCACGCTATTTCATTCACTCGCCGTTTTGAAAAGCTGGCCCGTGCATCTATCAGTACAGCACACCGCATTCCACAAACGCTGACGTCTTGTAATACCGCACCGTTACCTTTTCCTTCCTCACATCCTCACATCGTGAATACCCCTCGGGCCCTGCTCATTGTAATCCGTCCTCGTCATGTACCCCTTGCTCTGTCCACCATCAAGAATGAACAGCAGCTTTCCCGCAACCTGCGCACCCAGGAAAGAAGCCTCATCATAGCCTGTCTCTTTCCACTCAGGAAAGTACTCCGGGATCTTCGCAACCTTGATGCTTGTGGGAGTCTGGCCATGAGAGTGGCTATGAGCGAACTGCATGGGCTGCTGTTGATGCATCTGTGGATGCTGAGCGGTCAGTGCGGCGTGAAGCAGCGGGTTCACACTCGAGCTGTGGTGCGGATATCCCGGTATTTGTTGTTGAGGGGTGTTTGCGCCGGTCCCCAAAGGCGTAGAAATGTTGGATGGGAGCTCGGAGGTGAATATCGTTGCTGATGAGGGCGAGATGATGTATTTGGCTTGGAGGGTGGCTACGAGCGCTTCCTTAAAGCCACGTACTTTTGAGCCATTGCCCAGGATGATGAGAGAATCCCAAAGCTCACTCCGCTTGCTGATGTCGCTGCATGAGAGGACTGTCCGATGTATCGCAGCGGCGAGTCGATCCAGAATGCCACCCGAAGCGGCTTGGAAGCGCTCGGTGCCGACTTCAATCTCTCGTCTGAAACCACCTGTTGGCGAGCTATCGGTGGGTGCTTCGGCCAAAGTACTCTCGGCAGGCTTGTCAGACACAGCAGACTGGGGTTCTGGACTTCGTTGTCGCTTGTTTGGGCCCTCGTCAAGTGCAGATTGCATGTCCGTCATACCCTGCGCCGTCATTCCTGCCGTCTTCATGGCGTCGTGCAATGCAAAGTCTTCATACACAAAGGTATTGCGACTGCGCTTCGTGTTTGCTACTCGGACCGGGTTCTTGGCTTGCTGCTGTGTGTCGGTGCCCTTCTTCTGGCCTTTGTTTGCCGCCTTCTCGGCCTTTTCGCGCTCCTTTTGTGCGAGATATTCCTGCATGTTGCCGCCAGTGACAATGCTGGCAATATCAAGCACACCTTCGTCATCCTCAAGCTTATCTGCTTCACCAACTTCAGTCCCGGGTCCTGGTCCACGCGGTAGGTCTCCAGCTATCGATGGTTTCGCCTGACCTGGAGCTGCACCGTCTGCTCCCGTGGATGCGGCCGCTGCAGGGTTGCCGGCTGTGTCTGCGTCTGCGCTTGGTAAAGGCACATCTGGTGGCAGGACTTCGCAGATTGGACTCCTCTTCAGCTGTTCGCACACTTCTCGTGTGAATCCCTTTCGTCCGTGCAGGAGCTCGGTCAGTCGCTGGGTCATCGATTCACCACCGCAATCCGGTACAGCCAGCGATCGGCCAATATCGTGGAGGATAAAGTCTGCAACACAGGTAACGTCTGCCTTGCTCAGACCAACATCCACCACAGTTGCAGTAGGGATACCGTATGCGTATGTAGTGGCCACYGCAGAGTCCATCATCGCCAGAGCTGGTGTCTTGAACTTTTCGAAGAAGAATTGGGCCACTTTCTCGTACTCCTTGTGCGTCCAAACAGGTTGTGATATGATCAGAATTGGTGTGTGAAATGGAGGATTGACGGTGTTGTAGACATGCTCCATCAATGCGTAGAAGCAGGGCCAGTCCGTGATGCTTCCACTCTGGATTGGCCATATTGCCCCCTCCTCCGATACACGATCCTCCTCCCACTCTGGTTCTTGGTCCCCATTCGTGTCTGGCTGATTTTCGGCCGTCTCCTTCTTCTCTTTCTTTCGGATCTTGACGGGTTCGTACTCTCCAGCCTGTTCAGCAGGGAACATGCGCGATCGTAGTCTGTAGCGAGCAGGTGTGAAGGATTCCGGCAGACCTAGCTGAGCGAGYGTTGTTTGCGAGCCCGGCGAGATGATCTGTAGGTATATTAGCTAGAATTGCATATAAGAGAAGCAATGCGCCTACGAAGATCTGGTCATCGCGAAAGGGCGGCATCGTGTCGCGTGTAGGACGTGTGTCTCACAGCGCCGAAGGTATGGCAATGTATCCGAGTCTATTTCATGCAACACCTGTCAGTCTTGGTGGCAAAGTGAGAGACAATGGGCAAATGCAATGGCAGTTTTCTCGTCGTCGATGCGACTGCGACACGAGCTGCAAGCTGCAAGCTGAGGTTGACGCGATGCGCTGAAGTCTTGGCGGCGGCGGGAGCAGAGTGGATCCTCTAGAATACCTAGGCAGCTTACCTAATTCTAGTTCGAGTTCTTCCTAAGGTCACGGGTACCAACACCTCTTTTCGTGCCACTCTTCAGTCTATCTTTCCCTCAACCCGCAATGATCTTTCCTTGCTCTTGATTATGATACATTCTCCGGCTGTTTCTCGATTTCTTTGGTTGTTGGATTGTTGCAAGATCCATCATCCTCGCCAGCGAATCATCGTGGTTCGGCCGATCCAGCCTGATCGTCCGGCAGTGGCTGTGCTCAAAAGACGTTGTTGCCCAACAACGTCTATTTTCGAATCCTCCCAGGCACTCTGTGTTGATACACACAACCTACACAATAAGTCATCTCTATTCTTGTCCATCTCATTTTTTCACGCCGCTTGCTTTCCTCTTGTGCGTACCCACGATCATGCGATCGAGTGTTTCTCACATCACCGGAGGCAACGCGCTGTTTCTGATTTCCTTGGAGAATGTCGGTGGCTGAGAACACCACCACAAGCCTCGTGCCCAGTGCGAGAAGATCAATTAGGGCTCCCCTGCCATCTCGGCCTGGGAAGCGATTAATCTTGTGCGAGGATGGTGAGTGCTGCTGCTGTTTTTCGAATATGAGCTCGACTGACATCCGCCGAAAGGTTCATGGCTAAACAGCGATAGTGGCAGCTTGAAAAGCGCACTTTCCATAACCAGTAATGTCACTAGGATCTCCAGAGCGATCAGGCCCATCAGTGCCGATGGGATTCCCCAGGTTGTGTATTATCACCAAGGCGTCGGCGCTGGCGGAGGCATCACCAACAAGATTATTGGCGGTGCCAGCGGAGCAGGTCTGCTCAATCTAGTCTGTCTGATTGTAGAGCGCCATTCTAATGTTCTGCAGGATTGGGAGAGATCGTGAGGGAAGGCTATCAATTCCTCGCAACAAATTACGTCCCAGGTGCGTGGCTGTCACCATCTCAGCAAGAACACAACTGATTGGTATTCAGGAGACGAAATTTTCATCTTTGGCTTCTCCAGAGGTGCCTTTTCATCACGCAGTATTGCCGGAGTCATTGGAGAAATAGGCATTCTCACAAGAGAAGGCATCCCATACTTTCCTGAGATCTTCCGAGATCTCCAGCATCAACACGATGACAACTACAGWCCTAAGCATCCAGACGTCCCTTTCCCTAACAAACCTAGTGCCCTAGATCCACAGTACAGGCATGAGTTGGAGCGACGAGGACTGACGCGGCTTGGCGTGAACATCAAAGTGATTGGTGTGTGGGACACGGTCGGCGCTCTGGGAACTCCCAAGATTGGATGGCTCACCCGTCTCGGACTGCAGGACACATCCATGAGAGAGCTTTCCTTCTACGACACTGCCTTGAGCGATTGTATCGAGTACGCCTTTCAAGCCTTGGCACTCGATGAGCGCCGGTATGCCTTTCCGCCGTCACTGTGGGAGAAACTGGAAGGCAATGCCACAACATTACGGCAGGTCTGGTTCCCAGGAGCCCACAGCAATGTCGGAGGTGGCTACGATGATCAGCAAATCGCGACCATCTCGCTAGCTTGGATGATGGCCCAATGTCAGCCCTTCTTGGACTTTGATCTTGACTATATCCACGACGAGTGGGAGGTCAATGATTTGTGCGTAAATGAAATATGTACACCCAGAGTGGTGTTTTGACTGACATTGAACGAACAGGGAGTATGAGAACAAAGACGAAAAGATCAGGCCCTGGTCTTTTGGCAAGATTTTCTCTGGAATGGATGGCCTCTATTCACTCGGTGGATCAAGAATAAGAACGCCGGGCCGGTATTGCGCATACAACCCTACCAACGGTAAGCCAACCAGGGATCCCCTTCTCGACACGCACGAATACATCCACCCGTCCGTCCGATCACGTCTGAAACTCCACGGCCCAGGCCTCGACGACAAAGGAGAATACGACTGCAAAGCGCTCCAGAACTTCAAGCTAGTCATAGAATGGCCCGAAGAGAATGCTAAGCGCCCCACGGTGTATTGGAGATCGCGGACGAGGCCAGCTGATGGTTTTGTAAAGACGCTCCCTGAAGCACCGCTCTGGAATCTGGAGATGGAGCTTCTGCGGTATGATCCCGAGACGGAACAGTATGTCATGAAGCCTTCTGGGGTGCGAGCAAGAAAGAGTCAGAGAGTGAAGGACAGGAGTCGCAGTCGAAGGCCTAGTACGCACTCTCCGGCGCCTAGGTAGTTTTGGAATGTAAAAACACCGGCCTATATCTGTTACAATGCTCCTCTCTTCGTGAAGACTGTCGACATCCAGATACTTCCTCACTTCGGCTTCGGCTTTCTGATAACCACACTCCCCGTACTCTCCTGCAACTGCCATCCCACGCCGCCCTTCACTAAATCTTCCCACACGGCATCCCCACTCCTCTCAACAAACGCCTTATCAGCACTCATATAACTCTTCCCCAAACACTTCAACGCATGCAACCGCATCCTATCAACAGCAAACTCCATGATAGCCCTCTGATACCCATCCACCGCCCTCTTTACCCTCCAGAATCTCACCCAATCATCCTGCACCAACGCCTTCAACACCGCCGTGACTTTACGACTTTGATGTTGATAATCACTCTTCGCAGACAATGCATCCAGAAGATCACCTTGTCGACATGCTATATCGAGGATTCGATAACCCGCGAATTCCTGAAATTCCGGTTGAGAAAGTGGGGTGTGAGGATGGATTTCTTGGAGGAGGTAGAGGAGTGCTGGTTGGTAGGATTCCCAGGATTTGGTGAGGATGCTGGCGTGGATGATGAACATGTAGGCTCTTTGGGCGAAATTGTCTTTGCGGCGCGATCCGAGAATTCCTTCACGGAGTTTGCGCATTGCGAGGAGGATGTTTGGGAGGTCGGATTGATGGTGGGCTGGGTCTGACAGGCGGGTTGTGAGAGGTGGTTTGGAAGAGGGGTTTGAGAGGGGAGTGGGTTGAGGGAGGGATAGTGGGGAGGTTTTGTCTTTGACTGTGAGAGAGGAAAAGGCCGCTTCGAGGTCATCGCCTCCGTTGGATGAGGCGCAGAATTTCATGTAGCGTTCGACGATTTTGGTGTAGTAGTTTTCCTGGTTTTTGTATTCGTGGAGTCTGGAAGAATGGATCAGCTCGGGTTACCGTATGGCTTGCATTACGGAGGGTAAATCACCTTGCCTCGCCTTTGGATGGTAGGCCGTATACATCCAGAGCATCCATGGCCACGGGCTTCAATCGACTCCATGCTCCAGAAGGTCCCCTCCGCGGTTGCGGTCGAATTGAAGCCGCCATGGTTTGATTCGAGTGCAAGTTGTGTCGTGTCTGCGCGGCCTAATCTCGAATTGGAACTTTCCATCAGACGTCTCGAAGTCTCGATTCCAATGGTCTGCAGACTTGTCCGAGGTCGCTGGTTGGCTTTCACATGCAAGTTTGTTTGTTGATGAGGTCAGATCTGGCCTGTCGTTCTCGCTTTCTCGGTAGGCGTTTCCACGTTCTACGCTAGTGCTTTCCACCACTCTCCCACCCATCATCATCTCTTATTCCAGTCCTATATAGATAAAGTGTCCTCTCCCTACGTACTCGATTCCTTCTCCTACAGACATTGCCTGTCTTTCTGTTCCTCCCCCTCAGTCACTTGTCCACATTCAAAATGTCCAAAATTCCCAAAGAAAAGGACTCGGACAGTTTACTCGCGAGGACAGAAAAGAAAGCCATCAAGACCGCAACACTACTTTGGAATGAGATCCCACACTGGCTACAAGACAACCACTACATCATCAGCGGCTACCGATCACCATCCAATTCGTACAAGAAGTCCGCTGCAAGTATAGGACATCTCCACAATGAAACAGTCAACATCTGGACGCACCTCATAGGCGCGATACTGGCGGCCTGCACTGCGAGCATCATGTACTTCAACATCAAGCCACGCTTCGAACTAGCCACGGTAGAAGATGTCATTGTCTTTGCCTGTTACTTCCTGGGTGCCTTCCTGTGTCTTGGTATGAGTGCCACGTTCCATACCATCTCAAACCACTCCGAGGCTGTTCAGAAGTTCGGCAACAGACTTGATTACATCGGGATCGTAGTCTTGATCTGGGGCTCTTTTATTCCTGCCATATACTATGGTTTCGCTCTCGAGCCAAGGCTGATCCAAGTGTACTGGTCTATGATCACGACGATTGGAGCTGGGACTCTGGTCGTTGTACTTTATCCCAAATTCAGAACACCGGAATGGAGGCCAGTTCGAGCTTTGATGTTCGTGTTGATGGGTCTAAGTGCCGTAGTTCCGGTCATTCACGGGCTTCAGATGTACGGCTACGAACAACTCGAGCGACAGATGGGTCTTTCCTGGCTCGTCGGTCAGGGTGTGATGTACATTACAGGAGCTGCGATTTATGCTGTAAGTGCAGTGAGGTTAAAGGAATCGACCAAACGCTAATGAACGCACAGGCGAGAGTACCCGAACGCTGGAGCCCAGGCAAGTTCGATATTTGGGGGAGTTCACATCAGATCTTCCATGTGCTCGTAGTTCTGGCCGCTTCTGCTCATTTTGTTGGCTTAATCAAGGCGTTTGATTATCAGCACAATGCTCGCTTTGATGATGGCGCATTTGGCTCTGCTGCATCGCTCGGGTTCTTTGCGTGGAGCTGAACACGCATAAGCCTGTGATGAGGATATGAGGACGTTCTCATACAGCCAGGTCTCCGCATCATGCAGCAGTAGCCATCTCCTGCGGTGAGCCTCTGCAAGACCTGGCGCGCTAGCGAAAAGACCATCCGGGCGCTGGGCTGGTGCACTCATGGCCTCTCACAGTCATCGGACAGCATCGGAGAGCGTCCAGCTCTGCGTACTGATGTATGCATCGATTCACTCACCATCGGAAGTCCGATCGAACTGCGGGTCGCGGTTTACACAGGCTCAACAACTACGTCTCTGCAACGTCGTGCAGATCGGGCGGGATCTCACCCGCATTGAGGACTGCGCGGAAGACCGCGTGTCTTGTAAGACGTATGAGCACCATGGAGTCGGGAGAGCTGCCAGATAGGCGACATTCATGAAGATGCGCAGCTGACCATGCCATCATTGCGGTCACTGGCATGCTGAGATTCTCCCGGGTGGGGATGGCATGGCCTCGGACCGAGAAAGCGGGTGCTCGATACTTGCGTATAGCGTACAACGAAGTCCTCCCTATGAATCGCTGCGCCTTGTAGGAGACGTGGCCTCGCATTGACAGCCGCCGGTTCGCTCAATTTATACGCAGTGGCGATGATGCTCATATTGGGGCATGCAAGAAATGGCTGGACGATTAGGGGTAATCTGCGGTCAGCGGCATGATCGACGCATGGAAGAAGCACGCGAAACGCGTATGCACAACTCAGCTGTACATGCAACATTCAACTGGCTGTGTCGATGATTAGGGAAGGGGAGCTTCATCGGGATCACGGAGTACATTGCGTAAGTAGCCGGCGAGAAGGAGCCGTCTTTTGATGCGTGGTGGTGGATACGTAAGAGCATTGAGCAGGCTCTAGACCCGAAGCCTTAATTAGGTGTGGTCACACATGATGGCCGCAGCGCTTGACGCGTCGGGAGGATCTCTCGCCTCGTCGTTCCTAGCCTCCTTCTGATCATTACTTGCTTGGCAAATATTCAACGTTGCGGATAAAGCAACCGAAGCGCTCGTGGAGCTTGTGCGCCCCAATTAATGCGGCAGAATAGATTGGAATAGAAAATACGGACATGTCTTGGACGAATGCAGGCTTTTCTCTGGYGGTCAATACCAATGCTTGTCGATGCTTGTGTGTCGCCGCACCACCTACTAGGTCGTAGGAGTGAGACACGTTCCGAACTCGGTAAAATAGATCTGGCTGAACTGGGGGATTTGGGGATGGAGCACGGGATGATCTGGACAACACTCCGGCATGAGATAGGTGATTCGGGGTGAGTTTGCGCAGCATCAAAAACAAAGTAGGGGCGTGTAACCATGCGAGTGACATGCACGTCCGTACCTTGCAAGTACCTTGGAAGTGCTCTGATAGGCGAGATACCTTGCAGTCGAACTTGCCAAGGGTGGTTGATTGAGATGATGATGTTTGGTTTCATAAAATTGCTCCACCTTCCGCCGACGTGCCGCTCAAGCCTCAGAGCATCCCGCCCGCCTCCTCCACCATCAGTTCGCGCTACCACTTGTTAATGATCTGCCGTTTCAGCGTCAGTTGTTGAGTGGTGAATAGAGCGCCTGGTGGAGGCTGGAGAACGCGAAAATCTTTAGACCTTTCGACAAGGCAACCCAGCAACGCAACGACATGATCTCTACCTCCACCTGACCCAATCCTGGCTACCACGGCGATACCCACTCACAACAGTTGGACGGCCGGCACGTTCGTTTACTTGTCTCGAGAGGCACGATCTCTCGTCCTTTTGCGCTTTCCGCACTTTTCATTCGCTCGATCATGGAAGCATAAAGGGAACTCATAGCGAGAGCCAGTTATAAGCTGGAAGGCCGGCGATTTTTTAAGAGGAGAGGGAGGAAGCAGCAATGGCAGCTGTGACGAGGGAACAGAGGTCAGGTGCGGAAAGGGGAAGAGTGTCTTCGCCGATACACAGGAATGTGACGTCGTCGCCCTCGGCACGAAACAATGGAGAGCTGCCCAGATCAGCCTCCTACACATACTTGGGTCCTGCCAAAGAAGGCGCATACGAGCGGTACGGTCAGCCCAACATTGTAGAAATCAGGATTCCGCCTGCCAACCACGTCGCACACTCGAGCGACACCTCAGACCTCTCACCACCAAAGACCCTCGAGCCAGCCACATCCGGGTGCCCCACGCCCGATGAGCGCGCGGGTGCCCTTGCACCACCCCAGGTCTTCAACATCATTGATCAGATACGAGAAGGGAATGCGGAGGGCCAGCGAGCTCAGCGTACCGAGGACAATCGAAGCAGCCTCGAGTCTTCCATAAGGGATTCTCGAACCAGTCTCGAGTCAAATCATACAGTCTCTACAGCGGCAAGCACTCCGGTCTCCACCCAAAGGCCCTCCATCAGCACCAAGTCGTTTTCGCGCCCGTTTTTCAAGCGGCAATCATGGCACCAGTCGACCTCGTCAACACCGTCTCGCTCACCGTCGCCGGTCAAAGCGGCCAGCACATTCTCGTCCGATGAGGCTATCGCAGATATCGAATCAAATCTGGAGCAGCTTGAAGGCGGCCGGAGGAAATCGCTCGTGCGAAGACTATCGGTACGGCTGTCAAAAGATGGCAGACCAAAAAAGGACATGTCAAGCTCGGGAGATGAGGACAGCGGAAAGCCCGGAACTCACAAACCAGCTTTCTTGCGAAGAAGAAGCTCACGTTCAGGCTCTGCGATCCCCAAAGTCACGTCCTCCGAATCTGCATTGCCACATGTACCTCCGGTTCCTGCTCTACCCAAGCTGCCAAAGTCGTTTTCGACTGATCGCTTGCCCGGCCTCCGAATGGGTAATGTCACGACAGATCGAGCGGCGCCAGTGCCCAGGATGCTCACCCCAGATAAGGAGCACAGATCAAATCCACTCTCGATCATGAGGAAGAAGGACGAACTATGGGGTGTCTTCCGTTCCTTGGACGCTGATCATGCAAAGTTCTCCGCAAAGTCCTCGGCATTCAAAGCAAACGTAGTGCGAAATTCACTGATTCCATTTCTGCGGACATATGCTACACATCCATCAAACAAGACCCTCCGGCCCGAAGATTTAGATCGCAGGGCGAACATATTGAACAAATGGTGGACTGGTCTCATTGAACTGCTTCACGGGAGGAATAACCAATCCATATCAGGCACAGATCGGCCAGTCATCTTGGACGGCGTATCTGGAATAATGGAACGACCAGAATGGAGGCTCTCCCCGTCGCCTTTCTGCCCACTCAGTGACCGTGTCAAAATGTCAGTGGCCGGGAGCCAGTCCAGCACATCTTTAGGCTCCATGTCTACCTCGTCGGACTTTCTCTCAGAGTCAGTACACCACAACGTTCGCAACATCTTTGTTCAAAACTTGAGCTCCCAAATGGCTTTTGTGGTTGACAAAATGTCATTGCGGCAAGCTTCTGCCAGCCTGGTGGCATTTTGCGGCAAAGCGTGTGCGTATGCGTTCATGTTCGTCCCTGGAATGGCCGATGTTTTGGTCCGCCTGTGGGACCTCTCCATGGACACTATACGTCGCGTGTTGTCCGAAAGTGGAATCGAGAAATTTGATCAAATGGACGAAATCAGCGATCAGCTCAACAACTTCCCGCCGGCTCTGCATCAACTTGGGTTCACTTCTTTGATGAAGCTTGTACGCCGATTAAGAACGCCGCCGCCTCTGCCTCTCGGAACCTGTCACATTGATTGGTGGGGTCGCTGGGTAGATCGATGGAGTGGACGCGAGAGCGATCTGTTCTACGTGTTCGTCAAGCAGTTCCATGTCCTCACGACTGAGTTTTTGAGCCCCGAGTCGACAGGAAAGCAACAGATTTGCGCGCCTGGCCTTCTCCTTGTACATTCACAAATACTGGCCAATCTCGATGACACGATTCATCGCGAAGCCAACCAAGCGAGCCATGGCGCCGCTGCCTCCAACTCGTCCACAACATTTGACGAACTTCTAGGCGACGTTGACGCCACGGCATCGACATTTCCAATACTACAAAATAATGCTGTAAGACTAATGGCCGAGAATAGGCTGATAATGTTAATTCGCGACTTTCTTTCCGATCGAACCTCGGACCATCCGATCGCAAGGGAGCTGTTCGCACAATCTTTCAATCGCTTGTTGCAGGCTGCAACCCGGGGGACGTCAATGTTCGATCACAACGCCTGCTACACTCTGCTCGACTTTCTTGAGGAGGCTTTGGTGATCCTCGTTCGATATGAACAGTTGAGAGACGAAGGCTCCTTGATCGATTCGGCTTTCTGGCAAATCGTCTGTCGGCGCATGATTGATAGCGAGAATACGATGACCGAGATCCGTCTATACGCCTTTTTGCACACAGTGTGGAATGCGCTGGTACCGGACAAGGGTCGCAAAGCCGAACTGTGTTTRAACGTCTTGCTGGATCCTGAGGTGTTCGAGAGCAGGTTCAATCATTGGTGTCCAATGGTACGAGCGTACTTTATGCGTTTGATCTGCTGGCGTGTGGGACGGTTTGACGGAGATGAAGATGGCGAAGACCTGGACATTCTGGAGATCATGCGGGAGAGGTTACAGACGACATGGTCACACTACGTCTTCCTGTGCAACCAGGCGGAGCGCGACCATGGATTACTTCCGGTAACAGTCCCATGCAATCCAGCGCCAGGTCGTAGACTTCTCATAGTGCGGACCGACAACCAGGTCACGCACCACAATACGTTCCTCTCCTTTGATGGCATCCTGCGCGCCGGCGAGTCGCCGACGCAATCCAAAGAGCCAGCCTGGAAGCGGGCGTCCATGGCAGCAACTCTCATCGATACCATGGATATGCGGCCAGGGTCAGCTTCCTCGTCTTTCGTTGAGTCCGAGTCCGATTCGCAGGAGAAAGGCATAGGTGGCTTTCTCCGCAAGATGATGGGCGGCAAAGCGAAGCCCAAAACGCAAGGCACCAACAAACGCGTCAGTTTAGAAGACCAGCCTATACCTGTCTCTACGGCATCACAGGCCATCACCGGAGCCGCCACGACCGATGAAAATTCCTCACCATCTGACACTCCTACGAAGCCAAGCTCGGCTCAAGCTGCACCATTCCGAAGTCTCAGCTTCAAGTTCTCGCTCGAATTTCAACCTAGCAGCAAAGCTCAAGGACCTTTGCGTCTTTTCCCACCACGTCTCCCACTGGCAGCGCAGCTTTTCGTCCAACGTGCGTCGACGAAGCCCAAACCAGACGGCACGACTTTTCCGATGCAACCTACTGGTGAGAGCGCGGTTCGGGCGAGATATTCGGGGCGTGCTCTAGCCGAGTGGGCGATCGTGGTTGGAGAGTGTCAGAGCTTCTTTGAGAGGAGGAAGAAGGAGGGTGTACCCAGCGAGAAGCAGGTGGAGACACCAACGCTCGGGGTGGAAGTTTTTAAGAGACCTGGCTGATTAGGGAAAGAAGAATCACAGACTTCACGGAGTCAACGTGGTTTGTTGTCCATTAACGTATGTGAGCGTATTCTTGCGATGAAGTGAACAACTTGAAAGAATATTAGTGCCGTATGTCTCTGTTCTGTAGATGAGCATAACGGCTGGGGACACAGATAAATGGGATCACGAATCAAGGACGTCTTCAGTATTTTGGGAGCTGAAACATAGCGGATATAGCTTACGTTTCACATGAGGCTGACTCCTTCATTTGCTGCTCCAAACTTGCGAGCACTGCAGCCAGATCTCGGTGCGCTCGAGCAAAAGGTATTGTTACACGTCGCTGCTCTATGCAGCATGTCCATCGTGTCACACTTCCGGCGTCAGTGTACGTGTCTCGTCCAAGCTCTGTGGTCTGTTCATCCCTCGTTCGGGCCTCAATAATCAATCTAGCCCGGCAGGCCATTGCAGCAGAATTGCCTACTAGTAGAACTAGTAGAAGGGAGGACAAAGTTAGTCATGGCCTGTTTTGTCTTGTAAGGTAGCATTCGCTTCCACCGGGACACTTTTCGCACTTCTGAAGCGCAACTCGTGCGCAAGTGGATCGTTGGGCAGCACGATTTTAGACTCTTTTGTCCACGCCAGGCATCGTCCGACTCTCAATACAAGGAAACGGGCAACCTCAGCAGTTCTTGTTGTCGGGCATTATTTGCGTCCAAGACTGACGTACTACGTGGGCTATTCCGCAAAGAGCGATAGCAGAACCACACATCACGGCGTTGCGCTAACGACGGGAGCTGTTGTTTCTGAGACATTGTGACTTTGGTGGAGAATCCATATGGACGCTGCTCCGACTTTGAGCACGACCTCGCACTCCGCTGATCACAACTTCGCCGCTGACTCCACCACCGCCGACCACGCCCCCTACCATGAGGCGCTAGGGCCTCCGCCGTCCAACTTGTCCGCGTCGGCAGCCACGAGTCCGCATCCCGTTCCACAGTCACAGGCGCAGTCAGCGGTGCAGGACACGGACACGCCCCGCCCTAACGAAGCGCTCAAGTCAATCGCGTCCGCGACGGCATCCATGAGCCTGTCCACTCCCGCCATCCACGCCGACCCCGCCGGCCCCTCCCAGCGCGCCATGGACTACGGCAATGGCAGCGACATGGACGTCGATATGGACGCCGATCCCTTTAACAAGCAAAAGTATGCTCGGCCGCCGTCCAGTTCCCGCCCGACGTCTCAATACCTGCCAGCCAGCGCCGCCGCGGGTGGAGATGCAAGCGCCCGTACTGCGCGTTACTCGCCCATGAATACCTCGCCGACATCGTACGTGTCCAGTCCGCCGCAACAGCAGCAGCAACAGCAGGCACCGCCCTCGCAGTACGCGTCGTATACACCCCAACAGCAGTCGGCAAGGCAGTCGCCCAGCCGTCAGAGCCAAAGCCAGAGCCAGTTCACCTCGCCCACACAGCAACGCTACTATGCTTCTCCGCCCGGCTCAGCGCGTGCACACACCTCACAGCTACCTCCCCTACAGTCAGGCTTGTCGCCAGGCTCATACTATCCGCAATCAGCGACGCAGCAGCTCAACGCCGTGTTTGGACACGATTCGGAGCCGCAGAAGCAGCAACAACCAGCGCAACAAAACCACCACCATCAGATGTCCGGAACGCCTGACTCGGTACCGCAATTCACCAAGGTCAATGGCATCAATGATCTCAACTCGCATATAAACTCGCAGCCTCCATTCCGAAGAGCAAACCCCGAGGGAGGCTTCATCAGCCCRCTGCAAGCTCTCACTACACATTTGCCGGCGACGTACCGCATTTGCAATCCTGGATTCCAATACGAGTCCTCCCGAAATCCTCGGCGTGTGCTGACCAAACCCAGCAAGGGCGTGAAGAACGATGGCTACGACAACGAAGACAGCGACTACATCCTCTATGTTAACGACATTCTCGGGTCGGAAGAAACTAACCACAAGAACCGATACCTGATCTTGGATGTGTTGGGGCAGGGAACGTTTGGACAGGTGGTAAAGTGTCAGAACCTGAAGACGCAAGAGGTGGTGGCAGTGAAGGTGATCAAGAACAAGACGGCATACTTTAATCAAAGTATGATGGAGGTCTCCGTGTTGGATTTGCTGAACGGGAGAATGGACAAGAACGACGATCACCACATCCTTCGGCTGAAGGACACTTTCATCCACAGGCAACATCTGTGTCTGGTGTTTGAGCTGCTCTCTGTGAATCTGTACGAGCTGATCAAACAGAACCAATTCCGAGGTTTGAGCACGACGCTGGTCCGTGTGTTCGCGCAACAGTTGCTCAACGGTCTTTGTCTGCTCAGCAAAGCAAAGCTGATTCATTGCGATTTGAAGCCGGAGAATATCCTACTTAAGAAGTGCGTATTTGGCATGTGCTGAGCTTTGAACTCTACTAACATTCCATAGTCTGGAGAGTCCGATCATCAAGGTGATCGATTTCGGTTCGGCTTGTGACGAGCGACAGACGGTCTACACCTATATTCAATCTCGATTCTATCGATCACCCGAAGTACTCATGGGCCTCCCATACTCTGCCGCAATCGATATGTGGTCGCTAGGCTGCATTGTTGTTGAGCTTTTCCTCGGTTTGCCATTGTTCCCGGGTTCTTCGGAATACAACCAGGTTTCAAGAATCACCGAGATGCTCGGGCTGCCTCCAACTTGGATGCTGGAGGTTGGCAAGCAATCGGGAGAGTTCTTTGAAAAGGCTCATGACGATTTCGGTAGGAGGACATACAGACTGAAGCCTATGGAACAGTATTCGCGTGAGCATGGCACGAAAGAGCAGCCAAGCAAGAAGTACTTTCAGCAAACGAGACTTCCTGATATAATCCGAGCGTACCCCATGCCGAGGAAGGGCATGAAGCCGGCTGAGATGGAGCGAGGTACGTTGGTGGAGTCCCCTTTATGTTTGCAAGTTGCTGACGATCGCACAGAGATGGCGAACCGTGAGGCATTCATTGACTTCGTCCACGGTCTTCTCAACATTAATCCTCTCGAGCGTTGGTCACCGCAGCAAGCCCGTACTCATCCATTCATCACGCAACAAAAGTTTACAGGGCCTTTCCAGCCGCAGATGAACCTCAAGACTACCAGTCGTTCACCGGCGCCCGGCGTTCAGCAACAACAACAAGCCGAAGCACTGTCAAAGCAACGCGCGCAGCAAGCTCAGGCGGCGCAAGTACAGCAGCAAGCGGCCAATGCTCAAGCCTATGCCCCTATGCCACCCAACATGCACATGAATTCTGGTTATGCAAGCAGCCCACACGCTGCTCAGCAGCAGCAGCAGCAGGCCATGTACCAGAACATGTACAGCCCGAGCCATCAAGGCGCGCCGCCACCATATCCTTCCAATGCACAGCCACCCGCAGCATATGGTCAGCAAATGCCCATGATCCAGCAACCTCCGACAGCTGCGATGCACCCATATGCCCAACAGCCGCAGCAAAATTTATATGCACAAGCTACCACACGAGGAGCTCGACAAAGAGCGACTACCATGGACGGCAACGGTGGCATTCCCGCATCTTTGCAGCGAGTCGTCAGCCATTTAGATCCGAATGCTCCGATCCGACTTCAGCCTAGTCCAGCCTACTATCCTCCTCCACAGGACGGCCAGGGATCTTCAGACGCTGGAAATATTGGGCAAAGGCGGCGTACCAGTCGCGCGAGCGGGCAAAGGCAGGGCGGAAACGGTGGCGGTCAGGACCGTAACTTTGTACGGATGCTGGAAGATCGGACTCTCGAGGAAGGCTGGAATGGAGGCAACGGAGGAAATGGCTGGCCGGGAGCTTGAGCGATTTGAGCGATGTCGTTGCTGATACGATTGGGAGAGAAATGGTTCAATGATGATTTGCTAATGATGGCGGGCCTATTCCTATCACCGGCGCATGGTCAAACGGCGCATAACATGGACGACTGCCGCTGGGGGTTGCTGCGCGGTCGACTAGCGTCAAGAGAGGTCCCGGCGCCCTCTTCCTTCGCCACGATCGCGCGGCAAAGGCACCTGCGACGATTCGCCCGAGGGCCATTCCAGTCGCTTCAAGGGAGACAATCGGAATAGCGGACGTCAAGGACTTGTCGCAGTCGCTCGCTGGCTCCGACCCGTGCTTGCTGCACAAGACGATTTGCTGCGAAGAGCTGTGGGCATATAACAAAATGGGTCATCATTCGCGGTGTTACGATAGTGGACATCATTTGGCTGAGAAGTTCAAACACATTTCAAATGTAAAGCCATCACATGCGCTCGATCTTGCTGCTCTTTCGATTTGTCCATTGCTATCAAATGTACATGTGTCTATCTATGCTGTTTCCGAAGGTATGCTCAATGGGGTWTCATATGGGAACGCCAAAACTCCATGCTGTTGTCAAACATTGCCCTGCGCTATGCTGCGCTGTYATGCTGCTCCGTTGATAATGCCAGCTCGAGTGGTGTTGGAAGCATCATGCTGCGATAAAGGACGCTGTCCCTGGCCTCACTTCGTCTGCGGGTTGGCCGCCGCAATTGGTACGACCACGGTCTGGGCACCAAGCACAGGCGTCGACACCTTTGTTGCAGCTCCACCAGCCAGAGTCTTCGTACCGACTGGATTCTTCGTTGTCCCCACAGGCGTGACAGTGACCGGCAGAATCTCCGTCTTCAGCTMTCTGTTCTTCTTGGGCTTTGGATCCGGTGCTACTCACAAATCAGCAAACAAAATCGATGGACAAGATTGATTGAACACTCACCCTTCTCATTCTCCTGCACATAGAATCTCCTCAGCAGCATGATGGCCTCCTCTCTGAAAAGCCCTCCATACACCGGATACGGCTGATCCACGCCATCATCCGAGTGAATATTCATCACCCCACCACAGCCTCCAAACCGATCGTTCAAGCATCCAAAGTACACGGCGCGGATTCCATACTGACGCAAGGCCGAGGCGCACATAATACATGGCTCGACTGTGACGTACAAGTCCGTCTCATGCAAAATCGACTGTGGGTGCTGTGCGACAATCTCTGCCAGAGCCACGAATTCGGCATGTCGGGTTCCCTGACAAGTCAAGTCAGTGATGGTTACCAAGCGATTATCGGATCCTCCGGGAAGCAAACATTGAGAGAGGCATTTGTGCCGTTGATTCCTCTTCCGATGACCTCGCCGTCGTGCACGAAAACGCAACCCACGGGCGTCTCATCCGACGCGAGCGCGAACTCGGCCATTTGGATGGCTTTGCGCATGAAGACTTCGTGGTACTCGCGATTGGGGACCGGACCGAACACCATCCTTGCGGTTGACTTTGACTTGACTAGAGCGCGTTATCGTTTTTTTGTCTTGTGCTGCCTGGATTTTAAAGTGTCAGTGTCGTTGTTGAGAGTCAAGAGCGAGGTGAAGTCGGAGGAAGACTTTGTTCTGTGAGCTCATTGGGCAGGCGTACAAATCCGCGAGGAAGGCGTGAGTCAAAGATTCAAGAACGAAGGTGCAAGTGAAGTCAAACCAATTCACGTGTGGAGAAAATCTTCATCAATCGATGCACTTAAATGCACTGTCTGATTTGACATAATATRCCCGCTACATCTGCCTGCTTGCTAGTTACGCTCTGCTTGCTAGCGTGGCCGACGTCCAAGATATCCTTTTAACTCCCTATGGCTCTGCATCAATGCAGAGAGAAAAAGCAATCAACCCAGCCGAGCTCCGTCGCTTTCCGCCATGTCCAGTCCTCAATGCCCGATACTCCATGTCAATCTTCCCAGATGGTCTACTCAAAACTCCGTCAGTGGTACACGCTGTCCGACTGATAATCACAAAAGACATTGCGGCAATTCGCCGTGCTTCAAAATCCCAAACAAGAAATATCGTCGTAATTCGGTCACAAATCAAAGGCCGTGTCTGGCATTCAGTGGTGCCACTATGATGGCTCTTCCCCACTCATCCATTGGCAGTGACAAGCGTTAGCCATTTGCGTATCACCTCTCTTTCGCTTTCGGGAGCTCCCAGTGTCTGAATCTCCATACGCTCCAAAGGATGGATCTTGCTCGTTTAGCTTGACGATCACAGGTCCATCGTTCTCAATCAATATGTTGGCGTGACCATTGTCAAGAATTTGAAACTGCTGGCAGTACGGCTGTGGGCTGTTGGGCAGCCTTCGTTCTTCGAGCTTTACCACGTATGGGAGGGACTCCCAAGGTCCTGGATCTTGGCGCCTGTGCATCGGCCCGTTGTCATATTCGTGGCGTGAGGCTTGCCATTTGTTGGCGCCAGCCCATTCTTGAAAGCCTTGAGCAGGTCCAGTGTATACGGCAGTGGTGGAGGAATCTGAGATGGTTGTGGTGATGACATCAGTCGGCGAAGGGGATGCGGAAGCAATTGGCCCAGGTGGCGGCGTTAGTGAAGGAGGCCCCGACGAAGTTTGCGATGAGGAGGAATCCGTTTGGGACGATGAGTCGGGGGAGGTGGGAGGAGGAGTCGAGTATGCGCTGCTACTGGTGGTGCTCATCGCAATTGGCTCGTTAATGTAAATGAATCCCTCCACGAAAGTATCGTTCCACACGCAGAACCACGGCTTGTCTCCCGGCGTAAGCACTTCCTTGCGATGTCTCCAAGCGGCAGGTATCACAAAGGGCGGAGGTGGATCTGCAACAGCATCTCGCTTCATACGCTTGGAATTGGTGAGATCGATGCTGTCTTCGGGCACGACCACGATCTTGTCGTAAAGGTCTTGGAAGTAGAATGCCAGGCCATTGGCCTTGTCATCATTGTCCGTGACTGTCAGAAAAGGAGAGAAGGTCGTTTGCATGTATGACAGCTGCGCACCAGCKCCAATCCCTTCGTCTTCTGAGTTGTAGAAGAGGCTAGCGCCGCTGCCTAGGCCATCGCCAAGGATGTCCTGCACGACAAGTCCCATTTTGGAATTGGGCGCAAGATCGCAGTCCCAAGCTGCACTGAGGCTAGCGTCGGCCAGACAGTCCGATTGAATCTCCTCAGCCGGGCCCAGATTTATGGCAAAAGTTCCCATGGGAGGTCCTCCAGATGTCGGAGAAGGCGTGAGACTAGCATCATATAGCAACGTCGTGGTGACGGTAGAATTTCTGAAAGGGGTCAGTAAGACGACGTGGATACGGAGTGATGAAAACTTACGGTGGAGCCCAGTCATCGTCATCTGCAAAAAACGAGCCGATTACGCCACCAAGTACGGCGGCAATGAAGGTAACGACACATAGTGTGAGCAGTATCCACCAGAATGGAACACCACAGAACCGTGTTTTTCGTTTCTCTTTCCACGTCTTCTCTTTCCATCTTTTCTCCTGCCAACTTTTCACGGCTGTTTCCTCACTCGAAGATGACACCATCCGAGCGAGACTGTGCGCGGTGGAATGTCTCGCCGGTGCCGATCCATCGGACATGGACTGAGGCCGGTCGGGTACAGCTGTCTGCGTGGGGAGCAGGGTTGTATGCATGAGTGCCATGCCAGGGTCTGTGCCAGCTACAGGCGCCCGACTATGTAGCGTGGGCGGTAGCAGAGGCATCTTCTCCGGGCCATCTTCCGGGTATCTGCTATATGGCGGCAACTGCTCTGTGTGTCCGGCACCGTCGACGATGCCTTGATCCTCCCCKTCTGGGCCTATTCGGCGAGTGTAGCTCTGACCGAGGCCCGTAAAGCCAACAGGTACAGGATTCGGTAGAATTTGGTCAGTGTCATCGAGATCATCGTCCAAGACTACCCCTTGAGGATACATGGCGTAGGGGTGTTGAGGCCGAGTTTGTGAGTATGATTGCCGTTGAGAGGGTTGTCGTGTCGTTGAAGCCGCTGTCGCTACGCTTGGAGATCTCGGTACGGTGCCTTGGGTGTACATGCCGTATGGATGACTCGGACCCGCCCCGAACCTGGGGCTCTCTGTCCGCGCATATACGTGTGACGACGCTGATGAGAGTGTCCGATGAGCAAAGTTCGTCTCGGGCTCAAATTCTAGGCTATGCGCTCGCTCTGTCGTCCCACCTGCATCCTCCGCGCTGGCAAAGGGGTTTGCATAGCTCCGTGACTTGCGCGTGGAATTCCTGTTGGACCCCGAGGACATTGCAGCATCGGAGATGCCTGTGGCATAGTGCGCAGATACGCTGCGGATAGGTGGCTCGTCCTCCTCGTTCTCGACCTCTTCGTTCTCTGACAGCGCTTCTTGGCGCCCTTCGTACTGTGAATCCGCGGCGCCCCCAGTCGGTCTGAAGCCGTCGGCGACAACATCCCACTCGTCCACCTCGAATTCGTCCCCAAATACATTCTCGCGCTCGCCACTGGGTGTCGCATCGCCGTCCAGCAGAGATCGTCGGTCCATTGTGCGTTTCGGTTTGCCCGTCGGGGGGCCGGGCACAGCCTCCTCGACTCAATCCTGTCCCAAAACAAAACAAAGCCGGCCTGTGTGTGCAGAAGTGGACGAAGAAATAGCACGGTGTCGAGTTTCAGAGTCGAGTGCAATAACTAGCGAGTGTAAAGGTGGTTGGTGGGTGGTGGTGGTGGTATGTAGACTCAGGGAAGTGGTCTGTTGGAAGGAGCGATGGACTCCTCTCCCGTCCTCATTAGGCTTGGACCCGGAGAACGACACCACCGGCTGGTCGGGGTTTCAATCATCGACCAAATTGGATCACACTGCATCTCATCACGTCTACCATCGTAATAACCAGCACAGAATACAATGTATTGGCATCTTGTGCACACCAAACGTCACAAACCATCACATTTGACCCTCTGGTTGACCGGCATTCCCTCGCTTGAAACATTTGCTCCAGAATCAGACCAATCATTGGCCGCTTCGTCCGCCAGGGCTGAGATWGTAACATGTACATACGTGTGGAAGCAGATGTAGACTTGAGAACATCTCGCTGACACTCACTTGGCAATTGAGGTACAATGTCTTGATATTTCATCTCCAACGTATTCGTCATTGCCATTTCTACGTTGCTGTTGCGACGCACCCTCTGTGCGCCATACCCTGTGCCTTCAAGAAGCCTAACCTCTCAAGGCATGATGAAAGTGTCCATGGATCACAATCATCGCAAGCTCTTGGTCGACACGTCTCAATGATGAGAGGGACTCACTCTCAATCGATCCTCTGTATGCCTTTCTAGCTGCTGCGGCTATGCATCTTCATCATGTCATTACTTCTTCACCTCGTATTCCCTCCGGAACATATCGTCGACATTGGTGAGGTAGTAAGTGTTTGGGAGAAGGGTGTCCACGCTACCCTTTGGCTGGTACTCCTTTTGAAGGTGTGCCTTCTCACGCAGGTTGCACATCTCATCGTAAACCTCAGGCGCGACAACGCGGCGAGCGTCTAGTCTGGCTTGCAGGTCAAGGTTCTTGCGGAGCTCCTCGGTGCTACCGCGGACCTTGAGTGAGAACAGCGAGGCGGCGAGACCAGATCCGTAGGAGAAGATTCCCACGCGCTTGCCCTGGAAGTCATCCGAAGACACGTTCGAGATGAGAGATACGAGGGATGCGTAGACGGACGCGCAGTACATGTTTCCGCACATGGTAGGAACCTGGATAGAAGGCTGCACGCGCTGGCCGAAGCGCTTCTTGGCCAGGCCCATAAAGGTCTTCTCCACGGTCTTGTCGGTGATGGAGGCCTCGTAAGACAGATCCTTCAGCTCGGCTGGGACCTCCTTGAACAGCTCGTTGGTTGGGTCGGCCAGGTAGTCGTTGTACAACAAACGAGCGTAGCTCTTGGAGACCAGCTTGCACGTGGGTGCGTGGAAGCACATGTAGTCAAAGCGATCGATGGGAGCCTCCTGCCCTGCGCTCACGCCGTTAGCGTGACCGTTCGCCTGGMTCTTGAGCGTCTTCTCGCGGCCGTTGTATGCCTCGTAGCACTTGTCTACCGCCTCGGTATAGCACTTGATCGAGTACTGGCCGTCAACGAGCGGGTACTCGCTGGTCAAGTCGGCCTTGTAAAAGTCGTACGCGTGCTTGACGAAGCTACCACGGAGACCTGGCTCGAATGCCAAAGGTGCATCTGGGCCAATCAACATGGCAACACAGCCGGCACCTCCGGTGGGTCTGGCATTGCCTTTCTTGTACAGAGCAATGTCACCAGCCACCACAATGGCGTTGCGGCCATCCCATGCTGACGACTCCATCCAGTTGAGAGTGTTGAAAAGGGCATTGGTGCCTCCGTAGCAAGCATTGACGGTGTCGACGCCTTCAATGTTGGTGTTTCCACTTGGCTCAAAAAGCTGCATGAGCACAGTCTTGACTGACTTTGACTTGTCGAGGAGGGTTTCGGTGCCGACTTCGAGTCTGCCGATCGACTTTGGGTCGATGTTGTATTTGCGGAGGAGCGTCGAGACGGTGGTGAGTGTGAGGGAGTAGATGTCTGAAGAGGGAGAAAATCAGTTCTCAATGCTGCACGCCGTCTGCATAGTCGACATTGCTCACCTTCGCGGTCGTCGCAGAAGCTCATTCTGGTCTGACCAAGGCCAATGGTGTATTTGCCCTGGCTAACGCCATCGAACTTCTCGAGTTCTGCCTGGTCGACACACTGCGATCAAAATATTTGTTAGCGGACCGGCCTCTTGCGGTGCTGAGCTCGTCAAAATTGTGTACCTGGCTGGGAAAATATAGCTCAATGGCCTTGATGCCAATGTTCTGAGGTCGTTCGGCCATCTTTGCTGGTGTGTCGTACGAAGGTCGCTTGAGGTTCAGGTGGTGTTTGTGTTGCTTGGGCGATTTGCGGTGAACAATGGTGGGGAGATGAAAGAAAGATTCTTGCGATTGTGCTGCCACAAAGATTTCTATCTAGCAGTTGACGATGATGTTTAGGTCAAAAGATGATCACGGCAAGAACGGTTGGACTATATACTAAAACTACTCAGATAGCCCAATTATGATCCGATGGTTGCTTCTCAAAATCTCAACTCCTTGTTGATGAAATCGAACGATAATTTACCCATGAGGCGCGAGCGCGAACCCTGAAATGAAACCCAGGCTAACCTTTCTGCGATAAGGGTCACACTCGCAGCGGCTGCGCCATTGCTCAAATTCTTGCTCTTCCTCAACGCAATTCGGCTTGATCACAGGCCTTTGCTCCATTCTTCGGCCATTTATCGAGGCTTGCGAGGCGCGAGGACTCCCTATTCTACTTCCGGCGATGTCAAGAGCATGTGACGAAGGCCTAGCTATCTTGGCTGCACTACCGCTTCTAGGAGATCATAACTGATCAATGAGACGCTTCGAGGCCTTTCAGTGAGATGTACACTGTGAAGACCGTCTAGCATCTGTGCAACTCTGTGAGTGGTTTTCACCTGGAGTAACTTGTGAGACGAGAGATGTTGAAGCCGGCGTCWAGAAGCCGACGTCTTGGTCAGTAGTACCTGGTAGTAACTCATACTAGAGGCTGGCGTCTTGGTCAGTATATGTACCTAGTAATTCATGCGTTGTCAATCTAGTAGACACATTTCAACCGATGCCTCTTGATATGTCTTCACAGTATACTCACCTTCAATACTCAAAGTGCGGATGACGCCCATCCCGGAGATTTTGTAAAGATGCCGCTCTCCGTGAACTGGACGGCTTCCATACGTGCAGTACTGCGCTGTGCTGCATAGTCGACTGATTGTGTTCACGAGATCGATTTTGGGGTTCCCTTCACACCAGGGTGCAGCCTCTTCACGTCTCGGAGAAAATCAACTAAAAGTAGACCGACGCTCTTGGCATGTTGCTCTTGAGTGGTTTGGTCAAAAGGACCTTCATAACTTGTCGCCCTCTATCTTAGGCTACCTACGCATACCACTTCCAGAAGGCCGGCCTTGTTCCACGCAAGGGCGGATCGATTCACTGAGATTGTTCTTGAACGTCACGAGCACAAGTTTGCGAAAAGACAATCCGTCAGAGCTCTGCGATTTCCATGGTCTGATCAGAAAACTACGTCAGGAATGGTGTGGAAAGCCGGTAAATATCTTCAAGGCTGGCTATGAGAACATTCATTGACTTTTATATCTAACAGACCGGTCCCTGTACTCCATGTATATGATTCATGAGTTTAAGCAATTCTGACGCCTTGTTCGTTAAATTTAAGCGTGGGCAACGAGGCCGATGACTGTGATGAATGTCAGTATGTGCTCATGCCAGTACATGACGGTTATGACTTACAGGCAATGATAGCAGCGAGGCTTGAGAGAGCGCTAGTCGAGGTAGCAGCATCACCGGTGTAAGAAGTGGACGTGGTGCTTGCAGGGGCACCGGCACCAGCGCTGTAACTAGGAGAAGTAGAGTTGCCGGATGCGCCAGTGCCTGCGCCAGAGCCGGTGCCAGAGGTACCGGTCATGACAGGAGCCATGGAGGACATGCTGCCGCTGGCCATGCTGCCGGCCTCGGTAGAGGTACCGTTAGAGGATGAGCCGTGGCCACCGGCACCTGCAGCAACCTCAGTGCTGGTGGATTCACTTGCAGAGGCGGTGGAAGAACGGGTAGCAGACTTGGTAGCAGACTTGGTAGCGGAGCTGGACGTCTTGGACTTCTTGCTGCATGACAGGTCGTATAGGGGGTCGGCGTTGATGTCGTTTGGAATGATGCCGAAAGATGGCGAGGGGGTGGTAGGCTCAGAGTCACGGAGGGTGTACCAGAAARTGTTGACCTCGCCGATCAGCTTGCACGCAACGGCTTTCCAGTATGTCTCGGCGTTGTCAGTAGAGGCCTCGGCATTGCCCGACTTGTCGCCAGACACTGGCCAGCCGGTCTCGGTGACCCAAACGGGCTTGCCCTTTGCGGCACCAACGGTGGCCTCGTAAGATGCATCGAAAAGCGACTCTCCGTTCTCGATGGGGTTGTCGAGAGTGGACTCGAAGTATGGGTATCCATCGAAACCGAGCCAGTCAACAGCCTCGATAACACCAACGTTGGAGGTGTTGGTCCAGTCGTTCCATGTGTCCACATGTCCGATGGGGAAGCCCCAGTTCTTGGCCTTGACCTGGTTGATGTACTCAACCAAGGTGTCAGGTCCAGCACCAATACCGGACTTGTTGATCACTCCGGTAGGGCTAATACGGTACAGATCCTCGGATCCGACCGAAAGACCGACGACAAGATCGGTGAATTTGCTTCCGTACATCGAAACAGCGTTCTCAATTGCCTGGATCTCATTCGTAACACCCTCTTGACCACCGGAGGCCCAGATTCCGAGCAGGAGCTTGGTGTTGGTAGCGATGGCAGCTGGAATGGCGGAGATGGGATCGTTGGCAGAACCGCCCTGGATGCTGGTGTACAGACGAGCAGAAGTCCATCCGGAGGTTCCAGCGAGGTTCTGAGCTTTCTGTGGAGCATTTGGTCAATACATGTTTGTTTGATAGACACCGCTCTTGACGTACCTTGAAATCAACCTCAAAGTCGTTCTGCTGCTTCGCAGCACCGGTAGTCAGGGTGGCTCCGTAATTGAATCCCTGAAGAGCGGCGGCATTAACGGAGGCGACGCCAGCGCCGGCAATGGCGGCGGCAGAGGAGAAACGCATTGTGGGTAGGTGAGGGTCGCACTTGAACGAATGTGTTAAGGAGATGAACGATATCTACAACAAAGAATGAAGTACAGGTCAAAGGATGTGAAGAGTGAGCGTGTAGTAAAGTTGGAGGAAAACAAGGAGAGAAGAACGACCTAACAAGTCAAGCAAGGGTACTAGCGCTTCCAAGGATGCAGGCACACGCGGCGGACGATGCATTATTGGACGACGTTTGCGGGGAACAGAGTTTTGGTCGCTGTTGAGAAACTGGTGCAGCGCTTGGTAGAGCTTGACACTGGCAGCTTACACGCGACAAGCTTGACAAGCCTCTTTGCTGCAAGAACGTGTTTCATCGAGCTGATGGAGGGTTGTACTTTTCCAGTCAGCGCAGGAAATTGGATGTTGTCTTCGCCAGCGTGATCAAGAATGAATACGATGTATTTTAAGAACAGTGGCGATGTCAACATTTGGACATGACGCATGCTCGTATAAGCGCTGATTGGATTAAAATTGCTTGACAAGAACGATATACCGGTACCTTGATATCTTATACTGTTTGTTATGCCTCCTATATAGCGTTGGTCGTTTGGCGGAGGTTGACTGGTTGAATAGTCTAAGTGTACTGAACGAGCACTTCAATTGATGTTAATATCAGTGTTTTGAAATCGTTCCCGATGGTACCAACGCTTGTCTTACTCCAAGACCGCCTGGTAAAAGAACTGTCCGCTACACCGTGTACTTGAATTGACCGCAACCTGCGAAACCGTTTCCTAACGTAATCCAATGCCGAGCACAGCGTTCTTTGGTGTGTAGCGACCAACGTCTGCGACGGCGTAAACATTGTTGGAGAGGAGTATGGAAGACATCGCATTATGCGATCGTCCAAGAGCGCGTCGACCTCCTCAGTATGACATGTCGATGTCTCTTCTAAGAAGCTCAAGCAGCTTGCTTAAATACACTGAAGCTGAGTTGTCGACAGACAAACATTCGTACAGCATCTCTCTGCATCGGGGATTCTTCAAACCCTCGGGCATCATGGTAATCGCGCGTCGACAGCGGATCCTCTCTCGCTCGCAGAATTGCGGCCGAAATGGGCCTTGGATCATCATCAAGCATAATTTCCGATACAGAGAGATGCTGTAGCTGGTCAAATGGTCTCCTCGCGGCATTCGACGAAAGGAGAAGCCAGCATCGTATTTAAAACTTCTGGTACGACATACTTCCGCCAAGTTCCGCAACCCTCGGCTGAGGGAACAATTGATAAAGTGTCTCTCTGCTCTGCATGTCAGACATACAAAGACTTTCAACATGCCTGTAAACCATGATGAACTGCCTCCGGGCGTGTTCTTTCGACTGGACATAGCGGACCCGAAAAAGCGCGTGGAAGTATGCAAAGCCCAATCTTTCGGTGACCATCGAGATATGCCGAGAACTGATGCGATTGCTGCACGCMAGGCATATATCGAGGAATACAACGCTGATCATCCTCAAATCGAGAAGAGCAAGCCTCCATCATTTGACTCTATAATCATGACCAACAATGTCCGTGTACATTCTGTATCAACCGGGCCCCCTTTGGTCGTTATATTAGTTCTGGATATCCGACCTGAGTTGTGCTCCCGAACAGGAAATCTGCACGGAGGGGGTAAGCCGTTGCTGGCGCGACCGAGAAGATCCGCAGTAGTACCATACAAATGCTCGAGTTTATGGCTGACAGTTCTTCTTCGCACAGCCGCAGCACTAATATTCGATATGACAACCTCCATGTCGGTTGCGCCTCTGGCGAAGGAGCCTCCGGGATGGCACTTCGGTGGAGTCTCTCGCAATCTCAACGTGAGTTACTTGCGTCCTGTGCCATGTGGTATAAAGGTGCACGTCGTATGCGAAGTTTCCAACCTAGGCAAAAACCTTGGTATGATCTCTCGGCCTGTTGTTCCAGCCCTTCCATGTTTACCATGCTGACAGAGATTCTCAGCGACCATTACTGCCAGAATGCAGACCGAAGATGGAAAGCTCCTTTGCATGGCTCAGCATGATAAGGTATGGGTCGATATTGCGGCCAGGACCAACAAAATGTAATGGCAAGAACCCCGTTTCGCCGTTCCCTTCACGCTGCCTTCCTTTCCGTATACTTCATGTCCAAGTATCACAGCATGAGGATCTTCTAATAGAATGTGAAACTTTCTTGTCCGCCATGGCTCAATGACATAAGTGCCTCAATCTGTCGTAAAGCTCACATTGCGATGCGGAGCGGATTTCACAACATCGAGGGGCACTTTCATCATACTTGCTAGCTTGGTCGTTCCGGGGGTCTCCGGTATGGAAGTGCACGATTTCGATGCTGTCGCTGTTGAGATGTTTTGCAGATGTCGTTGGTTTCGCATCCAAATGGAAGCTAGGAAAGTGCTACACGAAGAATCCTTCCCGAATTCCCGACGTCTGTGCGGACTGGGATTCTTCTCCACTTCGCTCATTTTCAACCCAAGTGAGAGGACAGGCAGACGCACGACGCGGCATCTCCAACGTCCAGCTCTAAATCACGGGAAATGGCTCGCAGTGTTTCTCGCCTTTTTCCTTGTGGCGGCAATGAATCACGACGAACCACTCCCGATGCCCAGCGCCAGCATTAGTAGCGCAACTTCCAGAGCTGAGTTGCAGGCCGCCAGCGAGGGTCACCTTTCAGCCCTTTACAACTATAAGCGCGCGATCAGCGCAGTGTTGAGTATGCAGGTCTTTCTCTTCATTCTGTTTCTCAAACGGCAGCGGGTCGTCCTGGCAGTATAACTACCGACAGCAGGTCAGCGGCCTTTGGCCTTGATCTTAAAGAATACCCCCATCTAGCTCGGCTAGAGAACCTACAGAGATCTTATCCAGCACTGAGGTCACTCCTGTCCAAGTTACACACTCATAGTGACAGGGATGAAGGAAAACGTTTAGTCGCGGAACGCTATGCATCGCTTGAGCATTGCGGACTACCAGGGCGATGCGCCGTTCTGACTTTTGAAGAGAATAAGGTCCAAGCTAGGATATTCAGCAACCGTGATGCATCGAGCACATTGAGGCTGGATTCTTTCCATTTCCATTCACCTGGGTTCTGCAGCACGGAATGCTACATTTTGTCGCGTCGGCCATGTGATGCTCTCGTACCTATCCCACAACCACATGAGCTCCCTCTTAAACGCCACCATAGCTCCCATAAGAGCAACAAACCTGTTGCCGCCGCTATCACCATGCACGGAACGCCCCGATCCTTATCGAAAAACTCCTCTCGGAGCCATTCGGCAAACTCCCGTTGAGCATTTTCCGCCGTCACTCATCGTCCATAGATTCGTCTTCATCAGCTTCTTCCTCTTCGTTATCATCATCGTCGTCATCGTCATCGTCGTCATCGTCGTCCTCCTCCAGCACAATCTTCCTCAATACAGTCTTGTCGAACAAATCGATCACAAACCGATACTGCGGAATCCTGTACTGGTGACTCGCCAGCAATATCATGACTTTCCTGAAAAGCATTGGTTGCTGGAAGCCCGGTACCCTTTTGTGCTTGAACGAGTTGAGCTCTCCAATCGCCTTGTTCGTGAGAACAGTGTTCCCCAACTTAGTGATGGAGTTCAGAACGGCCACATTGGTCGCATCGCTGTCCTCAATAGCGCCCGGACGACTTCGAATCATGGCCGCGTTAGGCTTGAAAGCAGCAGCAAAGGGCTGGAGGGAAAAGAGCTTGTCGAAGTCCAGTGGTAAAACATAGCCCAAGCTTTCGCCCATCACGTTGACAGTACCATCCCAGCCATGCTCTGCGAGAATCTCCTGGCCGTGCAAGCTGCGAGATATCAAGCCTAAAACGAACAATGCGGTCCCGCGCAGTGTCATGACTTGAGACGATTCGGCGATCTGAACGATGTATTTGACCACATCCGTGTGCTCAAGGAATGGCGCGCCAAGCTCCATAGACCCAACATTCCCTACTGCCCAGAGGCAGCCTTTTACCTTGAGAATGATCTCCGGGTCTTCATCTTCCATAGCAAAGTCCTGAATCGTTGCGGTAAATTCCTCGAAGTGGCCTTTAGCCTTCAGCAGCTCGCAGCCCTCGGCAGTGCGAGTGAGCTCACGATAAAAGTGCGGCGGTACATGACCGAAATCGGCAGGGCCCATCGTCTCCTCGAGAGCCGAAGACTGTGGCTTCTCCGGCAGGTCTGAGAGAGCCCGGGCTAGAGATGCTTCAACGACCGTGACGTAGCTGTCGTTGCGACCAAGGAACCAGTCATCCATCTCCCGGGTAATGTAGTCCAGTCCGTCAAGATAATGGTACCCAACTGATGTTGATAGGAAGCGTAGCAATAAAGGTGCACCAATCTCACCCAAATGATCGAGTGCAGGTCTACATTTAACGACGTACTCCAGCGAGTTGATATCGTTGCAGGCTTCCTCGAGAATCTTGATCGCCACCTCGCACACCTCAATCTCCGGGTCGTACAATTGGCTAACAAGTAGCTTGATCGCCCATGATGCCGCACATCCTCCCAGTACCGAAGGCTCAATGGGCTCAATGGCGTACTTTCGAAGGATTCTTGTTGCCATTGTACGCATGTGCTTTGATCCTGCAACCATGGCTTTGGATAGGATGATGCGAGGGTGGCTGTCGAGTGTGTAGTCAAGATGAGTCAATAGACACCTAATGAGATCGTCTCGGTGCTTCAGTTCCACGATGTGGTAGAACATGTTGATGATGTGCCACTTTTCCAGAATTTGTAGGCCTTTTGGGTCGCTACACATCACCCCGAGCATAGCAWAATAGCCGCCGACAAGAGTTTCCGTAAGGCGTTCGGGTGAGAACATCGGGTTTTTGGAAGTGATGCCGCTCGCAGAGTCCAGTTGAGCGAGGCACTCTGCAAGTTGCCGTACGGTCTTGTTGTTCATGAGATAGGTGGCACCTTCTCCTGTTTGCAAAAGCGTCTTTGCCAAAGTGCAAGCCATTTTGACGTAGCGCTGATTTGCTTTGGTATTCGAAGCATCTGAAAACCGGAATTGGAACGGTCTCAGAAACTTCAGCAGACGATGAACGAACTTGGACTTTTCCAGCGCCTCTGATAAGAGCTTGGGATTGGCAAGAGGCCCTTCGATGATTTCAAGAATGATTGTCCAATCCCACTTGATGTAGTTGACTGAATTGAGAACGCCGGTCTCGAGAATCTTTGCACGGAACAGCACCTCGTCCATGTTTGCATTGACCTGTGTTTTTGAGCCAGAACGGGCTCGAGAGGTATCTGCCTGCTCCTTTGCCTGCGAGTAGGAGCTGTTTGGGGGGTCTGAGCGCCACAATTTCAGGTTAACCTTATCCACCTGATACACTGTAGACAGAGCCCGATATCTCTCGTCGCTGTCAAACCTCAAGGACGCATCGAACAGTCCCGGCATGGTCTGCATTTGTGCGCTCCAGCAACTGGGAAGCAACTCGCTCGCCTTCTTCAGCACTTCTGCAATGACGAGACTTGTTCGCCGTCTAAGTGCATCAGTCGGAGAGTCTGTCTCGGCATGGAGAAGTGCCTCCATAAGGCCTTGTCTGAGCAGTACAGCCAACGCTACAGCGACGAAATGCTGCACTAGATTCCGCTTGTGGCTGTTGCTGTCTGAGCTCGCAGACTCACTGGTAGCCTCCTTTTCAATATTGAGTGTGGCAACACGCGCATACGTGGTCAGCCGGCGGCCACCGATGAAAGGCGTCGACCAAGAACGCTTTTCTAGCCGAAGTATGTCCATCAGCAAGTCCAGAGTCGCACTGCGAACTTTCAATTCGCCAATGTAGAGAGAAGATACCACAGAGCGCACTGGCAAGAAATCGTGCAGCGCAAGAGTCATGAGGCCCGACCAGCTCTTGAACATGCCCGCAATGACCCTTGAACTGGCCGCGAGTTTCTCGTCAATGGAATGTGAAGAGTGAGGCTCCGTGAAGGTAGCGAATGCTGAACTGAACTCGTACCCGGATCGGAGCATGCCTCTCTTAGCTGGGAGGTCCATCAAGTGCAGAAGCGGCCCGAGTAATGTCTCCGGCGCATGATAGACACCACTTCCCATGGCTTCGGCAAGAACTCCAATGCCACCAGCATTAATCACCAACTTCGGTTCTTTGAGAAGCAATTCTGCCAAAGTGAGAATTGCGATACTGCGAAGCTGATCATCCGAATGGTCTGCCACTGCGACTATGATGCGGGCAACCGCTGGATGAATTTCATGAGCGCCATCCTTGACATCGAGAAAAGCCCTGACGAATTTCAGAGCTTGCTCTCGCTCCACACGAGCCTTGCTCTCCTTTACCAGTGACAGTATGACCAGGTAATCGGTCTGAAGTGACCGAATGGTCTGGAGCGACTTGCGATCCGTGATTGCATATCGAATGACACGATATCCTGCAGCGACAACCYCTCGACTGTCACTGAGCAGCATCACTTGCATGCGAAGGCCAAAGATTGACCATGCGAGATCATATTTCAACGTCGGATGCCTTCGGAAGAGTTCGACCAGATCATTGGCCTGATTGACATAGTAATCCGGCTGCATGTCCGCCACCTCCAGTGCTTGCAATATCTCCGCAAGGATGTACGTGGGCGACTCCAACTCGGGATCCTGTTGCTCGGCTTCCTCATGTTGTGATTGAAGCTGATCGACCTTTGGCTGAAGTGGCGGCATTCGGAACAATTGGGACAACCTTCCCTTGGGACTTATCGGCTGCTCTTTGCTCCGTTGGATCTCAGCCTCCAAGTCCAGTCTCAGCTGGGCAATCTTCCGATTCGATGTATTGAGTTGGCTCTCGGCTGCCATACGCTGATCTCGCGACTTTTTGGCATTCTTGGAATTGAGTGCCTCCAAGAGGTTCTCCGTCCCTGCCTTCAGTCGTGTATGCTTCTCAATTTCCTGTCGATATTCGGCCTGTCGCAGCTCCGATGTGGCTGGATCATTCGCGCCATCCTCATTCCCTCCATAGCTATTGGCGCGCGTGAGGTCCAGTCTCGAGGTGAAAGACCTCAGTTCTGAAGTGAAGCTTCCTGGTGGCTGTGCTGATCGAGGGTACGACTGGATCGGCTTCGCGGTCATGAAGCTTGCTGCAGAAAGTGACCCGCCCTCCTTGGCGGAGCGCGAGGGCAGCGCAAGGGCATTACCGCTGCTGACTTGTTGTGCGGCCACGGGAGGGCCGTTTGCACGCGCTGTGGGCTGCGTCATCTAGGGCGTGCTCCGGCTCGCTGGCCGTCATCGGTACTGCTCCCTCTATCGTCGACGTCGAGATGCATGGATGGGCGGATATTGGATGTGCACCATCGTATGTGTGGGTTTGTTGACTATTATTCTGGCGACGTTAAAACGTGTCCCCTTGTTTGTGCCAATCGTGCACGGCGGCATGCGCTCAATGGCTGGGCTTGATTGCGGCAGCATAAGAGGGTCTAGATGATGTGAGGTTCGTAGGTTGCGATCTTGAGGCACCAAGGCACCAATTCGTTCTAGCAGCTCCTTCTCTTCCAACGGCCAACTCCGCCAGCTTGCGCGACCACATCTGTTGACGGTGTCCGCCGTTGCAACAGCCGTCGAATCCGATAAGAGCTTGGGAGCCCTCCTCATATATCAATCCAGTCAAGTCAAGTCGAACACGTCCTTCTCTTTGTCCGAAACCTCCTAACATCATATCTATTGCAACACCTTTACAATACATAGCTCCAGCTTCGACTTCCTCACCAGCATTCCCCCATCATGTCCCAATTAAGCTATGCCCGCTATGGGAAAGACAATGTCCGCCTCTACAAAGTTCACCGCAACGCCGACGGGACGCAGGATGTAACGGAAATGACAGTGTGCACCCTGCTCGAGGGCGACATTTCAGATTCCTGGACTCGTGCCGATAACGCCAACATCGTCGCCACGGACACGCAGAAGCAGACAGTCTACGTCAAGGCCAAGCAGCATCCTGTCAACCCTCCCGAGCTGTTCGCATCCATACTTGGATCGCACTTCATCGAGCAGTACTCGCACATCCACGTAGCACATGTAAGCTTGATTGTACACCGCTGGACACGCATGGAAGTGGACGGTCAGCCCCACCCGCATTCTTTCCTCCGAGACGGCGCGGAGACAAGGGTTGTGGAGGCTGTTGTCAGGCGAGGAAAGGGAATTAGCATTCGCAGCGGGATAAAGGGACTTCTGGTCCTCAAGAGCACTGGCAGCCAATTCCACAGTTTCCACCGAGATGAGTTTACTCGCCTGCCGGAAGTCTGGGATCGTATCCTCAGCACGGAAGTTGAGGCAGGCTGGAATTGGCAGCAGTTCGCAGATGTTGCGGAGGTGGAAAAGGAGCAGGGCAAGTTCGATGCAGCATGGAAAGATGCACGGAAGATCACCCTCGAGACCTTTGCCAAGCAGGACTCTCCGAGTGTGCAGAACACAATGTACTTGATGGGCGAGCAGATTCTTGAAGCGGCGCCTAGTGTTGAAACCGTGGAGTATARCTTGCCTAACAAGCACTACTTCGAAGTCGGTGAGTGCTCCCACGATATCGTGATCTTTGGAATCGCCGCTAACAGCCATATTCAGACCTCAGCTGGTACAAGGGGTTGAAGAACACTGGAGCAGATGCCGAAGTGTATGCTCCTCAGACCGACCCGAACGGCCTTATTCAGTGTACCATTGCGAGAAAGGGTGTTATTCCAAAGCTATGACCTTGGTTGGTGATATTGTGCTGATAGCTTAGCTCGGTGTTGGTCGGTTTTTTGACCTTTCTTGAACGTCTCGGATATAGCATACAATCTCCCTGATGGAGCACAGAACAGAGATACCCAAATTCGAATCCCTCGTGATGCTTCTCCTGTTGTATCCTGTACAAAGTCCCACAATTCACTTGAACGCCGCGCTTTCTCCGTGTACAAAAGTCGATCACTGTGGTGCTTTGGCTGCCTCTGCCGTGGATGTTGCGGCCGATGCACTCTCTGCTTGGAGTGTCTTCTGCACCTCCGGCAGTTGCCCTATTCTCCCTGCTGGCGTTTGCAGCAGGTTTTGCTTGTATGGATGTGCAAGTCCTTCGAAGCCTGTTGTGGATTGCACAATTAGTATCTTGAGCAAAGACGGGCCAGGGTTGTGTGTACTCACACTTCAGCCTCGCCATTCTCTCGTCTCTTAGCCTATTTTTCGGTAGCATACCCCGAACGCTTCTCCTCAAAACCTCGCCTCCTCCCCATTTGGCCATCATCTTGTCCATTGTGATCTCCTTCAAACTACCCGGCCGTGTCGTGTGGGAGTAGTACTTCTTTTGGAAACGCTTCTTTCCAGTGGTGTGTAGATCGTGGCAGCCTACTGCTACAACATAGTCGCCGCAGTCTGTTGAAGGGTCATAGATTGGCTTGTGCTTGCCCATGAGGCACATTGCGATTGATGATGCGAGACGACCGAGAGGGCGAGGATCGGAGCCAACGTCGAGGAGATGCCATGAGCGGGAATACGCAAGGCGCGTCTGTGTGAGTGAGTTAGAGTACTGAGTAGGTTGGATCGTGGGAGTCTTAAGAGATATGCCGTACCTGGCCCACGTATTGAGACATCTTGAGATTCTGGGAGGGGCTATCGGTCGTTACACGGTCGAAGCTGGGGAGATCCAAGGCGGCGTGCTCAATGGTTGTCGACGTCGTCGAGCGGAGGTCGGAGGTGAGGCCGCAAAGTTCCCACCCCGAAGTCTTGCCGCCTAGGCCCAGTGCTCAACTTCACCTGCAGTCGTCGCTCCTTCACCTCATCCCAGACATTTCCTCTCCAATTGGGCAGTCGGTGCAGTGCATGTGACAAAAGCATCTCGATCATAGAAATCAAGCACAGCGTGTTCCCATGACTCTCAACATCGATTCATCATGGAGATCAAGCACAGCACATTCCCATCACTTCCAACATMGAGTGAAAATGCACCGATCGTGAGGGCGCACCCATTTACATCGACTTGGATTGTGCCTTCAGAAAGACCGGGTGTTTTACTCAACGTGGACTGCGGTGGACGAGGACCATTGCATGCATCGAAAGTTCGCTTTTGCAGAGTGACATTCAATCACCCATTGTAATCTCATCCTAGAGCCTCGTCAAGTCTCTCGTGTATCCCCTCGTGCGAGGCGTAACTTTGACTGATGGGAATGTTCACCATCATCACGATGTGCCGGGTAGCACAGTGTTCATTCATCATGCGACGCGTTACGCCCGACATGCTCCAAGACCGCAACCAGACCAATTCGACGCAAACAATCAGTCAGCGTGCTTACTACCGCTGGATGCCTTTTCTTGGGGTCCATCGCTTCCAACACACATCAACTGCTCAAACGAAGATAAAGCCAGTTACGAACAGCCGTCTGTATCGATATGAGAAGGACGTAACCATAATAAAAGTCTACATACCTGCTGTTGGCAACATTACCACTACCCCAACCCTAACCCTCTCTATTTTTTCTTCCAAAGTTGAGGCCTCGCTGATGGCCAACCACGAGAGAAGCACACAATTACAACACGGCATATCAAGCCTGTGACAAAGCCGGCGATTGGAAAAAGCTTCCGTGCATCAGCAACGCACTAAAGTAGCTTCCACGTCCTTGCCTTTCGTCCTTGTCCGCCCTTTTGCAAACTGATACCACGCTCTTCGTGCATGTCTCTCCGATCCACGTCCATACATCATCGCAGCGGAGACGACAAGAGCCGAGCGGAGCAGAAGACGCCTAAAATACCTAGTGCTCCAATAATCTAATAACACAGTGCCGAGAGGATTGCTCGAGGCTCGGGCRAACGCCGGGGAGCTTTCCAAAGCTATAAATTTGCAAAGGAAGACCGCTGCTCAAACATCCAGCTTGGTCTGGTCAGCCCCGTATGTTGCCCACTTCTGTCACCACCCAACACCTGCTAACGGCTATATCAGTATGGCACAGTGGTAATGCGTGTCACTCGTACTCTAACGAGTGCTATGACAAGATCCCCTGTTCAATTCAGGGTGGGGGCAGTGTCTTTTTGCCAATTCTATCACCTGGGAATGACAGTGCTTAATCACAGCTTCAATTTAAGCTATTACTCAAGAGGATACGTCAAGTTTTGGGCGAGATACAGTGTATTAAAGCTAAGATTCTACTTTTGACCTTGTCGGCGCCTTTTTGCCACATGTGTCCATCTTTTGCGACAATTCCGTACGCAGGTCTTCACGCCCTTGATCTCAGCTTTCATTTGAGCCACAAATCAAGAGAATCGGTCTTGTGCTGAGCGAGATATGGCCTGCCGAAGACCATGCACCTTTTCAGAATTCGGGAGTGCCAAGGCGCTGGTCATGAGTATGTCTTTTGCGACGGGTACGGAGTCTATATTCTTAGCTCGAGCGGTACAGCTCTCCTGTTGGTTGGCTACAACCACATGAGTGGCAGAAATAATGAATCCCATACTTGGACTCATGCAACATGGATAATTCTAGGGCACATCGAATGGACAGACACCAGCTTTCACACGACCCCCAATTCCGCTAGAGATCAACACTTCCTCGCACGACAAAGTGGATGAAACATATGCATTCAACATCAACTGCATATCTCATGAAATAGATATAGACATGTCTAACCATAACTTCATACAAAATGTCCGCATAACCCGACACTGCTATCGTGGCGTGGTTCCATTTCCTGCAGCCTCACTTTCAGCAGCAGTCGGCGGGTCAGCAACCTCCTGCACCTGACCATCCGCACCCGTCCGTCTAGTTCTCACACGGAATGCATTCCTTAATCTCCTCCGCATACTGCTCTCTTCCTMCACAGAAGTCACAGCATCGCCACCTTCAGCTCTCGCTGCCCGCTGCTGTTCAGCATACTGTCGGATAGCAGCAACCCGTTGCTCACGGGTCATGCGCTCCGGGCGCCCAATACCAGTCAATCCAATCATCAAGCTTCGACGAAAGCTTGATCTTTGGTGTTCAGTGTTGAGTGGTGGAGACATGGCATCGCCCTCGCGAGGAATTGGGTTGCCAGCCGCATCCAACTCCTCTTCTGGACCTTGCGGTCGGAGGTCAATTCTACACAAAGGACATGTGCCTGACACATTAAGCAGCCATGGATCTATACAAGCTGGGTGGTAGCGGTGGTCGCAAGGCAGGACGCGGAGATCCTCTCCAACAGCAAAGTCCTCAGTACAAATACTGCATCCTAAGCTGTTTTCTTCTGGAGTGGAGTTTGAGGTCTCTGTAGCGGCAGCGATACCACCAGGTGCGACTGGGGTAGTTTGGGATTCGCGTGTTGCAGTTTGCGTTGCCTCCTGACCAGCGACCATTTCCACTGGTCCGTGTTCCGCCAGCTCCACATCCGCAGGCTTGTTCCGTCCTTCCTCTTGGGATTCGCCGTGGCGCACAATAGGCAATGTCTCAAGCATAGCTCTCGCCAACCCACGAGCACGACTTTGACGAGGTCTTCCAACAATGTTCCGAGGTCCATATCGTTCCGGATGTCGGTGGGCACGAACAGCACCCGTGATGATGATTACCAAGAAGAGCGCCGTGATGATTCCAGTGATTGAGTACAAGCTGTGGGATGGTTAGGATGATGAGATTACAACGGATCGTGTGATGAGACTCACATGATCATGGCAACGGCAGTGCTTGGCGAAGGTCCCCAAGAAGTCGAACCCGATTGACCTGACCCATTTCCTGAGTTCGCGTTGCTGGTCTCAGTTGAGCCAGCATTCGCTACGAAATCGGCTCGAGCAATCAAAGCATCGGCATTGTTCACCTGAGCGTCCTTGATCATCTTCTTACTGTCCTCGCTGCTCTTCATGGTGTATATCTGGTCGTATGTGGTCGAAGGTCCGGATAGACTGCAAGAGTCGGCTTCTGTCGAGTATAGGATAATGGCTACTGGCATCCGAATCAGGGCAGATTGAAATGTTGAAGAGGGTTGAAGGTTGCCGGTCCAAGGATCGCATTGCAACACAACAATGTCAGTACTCTTGATGCCGAGTTCTGTGTCGGGTGAACCGATTGTAATGTTTCCACGTAATCCGCCGTCCTTGATGCGTGTCAGTATGACCAGCTCACGTGCCTATCCATCCGCATCACATTGTCCATACCGGTATTGAAGTGCCATTCTTCAGCGGGCTAAGAGGGTACTGCGACACGACCTTGTTGCCATGAAGGATTCCGACCTCTGTGCCATTCCTGTCGCTGTTTGTCACGGTCGTGTTGGCTCGTGCAATCTCCTGCGCATGCACGACACGTAGCATGCCCAGCAGACATGCCGCCCAAATGCTCCTCGCCATGTTGGCTCTCGGTGGTGGAGAAGATGGATGGTGGTATGTGCCGTGTTGTGGCGGACGACGCGGATGTTCCAGACGTTGCGAAATCACAAAGCGTTGCACGACGGACAAAGATTGGATGCTTCTATACACGGGCACGCCTCATGGAGGAGGCGAACCAAGACTTGCGAAGAGGTCCAAGAGATGCGCAGCAGTCAAGTGCCACCCCGCTTGTCGGGTAGGCGCGCTGCCGATGATGAGGATAGGTCGGCGATCGTCTGATCCGAGCTCCAAACTCCGCCTGGGCTGGCTTRCACAACCTTGATTCGCTGCGGAGAACGTGGAGTTGGACAAAGGCTTGAACTGAGGGGACTTGCCGGGAGGCAAAATGGACTTCGAGACTTGGTCGTATCGATGACCACACGACACTACCGAGTCCTTTGGTGAGGCTTCAAATTGACTTGCGTTGATGAATGCGTAATGTTGAGACGAGGTGCACATGTCAGAAAGACTCTCGCAAGCTTCATTGACCGCCCGAGAATCAGGATCCCAGGCTTGTATTCACGACGCGAGAAACTACGAGGCATATATGCCCTATCGAAGGTGGAAAACAAACACGCTATGCATTCGTCAGGAGGTCCCGTTCTCATGATCGTATCCCAGGTACTCCGCAATGCATCCATCCCAACCTCTTCGTCCGGAACATCCGGACTTCCCACGTGCAGCCATGAGGTAGTTGCGCAACCCAAGTGCTCAGCCCCATAGCGCCATGTTAATCTCATCACACCTCGGGCTCTCATTCTATGAGTCCTCCCGATGGTCCACAAGCCATTCCATGACACTCTCATAACACAAAACATACTGCCGTAAACTCTGAACCATGCTGATGCGTTGATGACGAAAGTCTTCCACGACCTTCTCAACCAGATCCAGGTCATCGCGTTGCATCCAAGCCCCGTCTTTTGAATCATCACTGACAGAGGACCTCGTTGCGAAGAAGTTGTCTTCTTCAACGCGCGAAGGCGATTTGTCAATTTCCATTGCATAAGGCAGATGCGACTTACGCGCCTTGCGTTGTTGCTTCAGCATGTCAATGACGGAGTCCACGGTACAAAAGGTACCAGTTCGACCACAGCCTGCACTGCAATGGACCAGAATAGGTCGCTGGTATTGTTGATCCGGACCAAAGGCATGTGCCTTGTTCGTCGCTCGCACCACGGCGTCGCACTGCTCTACCAAGCCAAGAAGGTGTGCAGGATGCGCTGGGGCTCCAAAATCAGGCCAGCTGGAGTACTGCAGCTGGGTGATTTCTCGCATGGGCTCGAAGGGGTATCGATCGTGGCTGATGGTAAACTTGCGTACAATTACAAAGGGCTCCTCGCCACCGTCTTTATCCTTGCCGTCAATCTGTGCAAGCGGTACTTGCGGATTCTGCGACTGTGTCGCCGAACGCTTCCCGGTAGATGGGCGTTTCTGATGCTTGTGAATCCTCGAGGGTTCAATGGACGCTCGCTTCTCCGAAAGAAAGTCCAGATGGAGCGACCCATACTGCTTCGAGTCCCAATAGTTGTGCGCTTTCACTTGAGCCCCTTCCTTCTCCGCCGTGAGCATGACAACTACTCGAACATCCTGCTGCCAAACAACATTCCAGAAATCGTTGAAAGTGGCCGGGATAGGAGCTTGCGTGGAGATGTACCGCTTGTTGCTCCACGCGGCTTTGATGTGACTGGCGTTGAAGTAGTCGCAACCATGGTTTGGCACGCCCTGAAGTCTCACCCTTGAATGCTCAAAAGGCCAAATGTTGTTGTATCTGTTCTTGTTGCCCTTTTCAAAACCTGCAATTTGGATCGCGTCGTGCGATTCCTGCTTTGGCGTCCCGAACGAGACTGTCCCGGAGAGAGCTTCCTCCATTCGTTTCTTCTCTCTCCACTCAATCTGTTCGAACTTATTAGAAACACGTTGTCCTTGGTCGTGATCGTTCGAAGCCTGTTTGAGCCATTCCGGAAATTCGTTCTCGGCCGACTTGGTCGCTTTTGATGGATGCTTAATCGGCATCAGACCGACTCCTCCTATGAGATCCATGTTTTGCCGAATGTTCCCAAAAAATGGATTGGCGGGTTGGTCTGTCATAGGCATCGGGCAGCCTCCAATGACAGGGGCTATCTCTGGACCGTCACCATCGACTGACATCGGCTGAGCATCCATCCCGCTTTCCACAAAAGAGGGAAAGCGAGCGGCGAATTCCTTGATTCCACCGCGTATGATATAGAGTGAGCCTTCGTAGCCTTCACCACGGAACTTCTTGATGGTGTTCAAGCAGATGGTGGCATCCTTGAGAAGCGCAGAGCTTGCATCGTAGACAACAATGTGGCTGCTGCTTTTCCATCTCTCAAACTTTGCGCGCTGATCGTCATCTTTGAAGGTGTCGGCCAGCTTTTGGACGTTGAACGATGGTCTTTTCAAGAGCGTGGTAGGAATGCACAGATTGAGCGCACCGGTGATATGTGACATGGCATACTGCGTTGACACTCTCAAATCAAGTAGCAGCACCTGCTCAGGCTTCGACTCTAGAAGATTGATGACGTGTTGTGGTGTCGCTAGAATTTGGGCGTCAGTATCGCCCAAGTTGGGGAGAGTTTCAGCTCGAGGTTTGGCGGCGCTGTTATTGTATGCCCCACTTGCAGCGTCTAGTGGAAGCTTGTAACGTGGTTGAATATCCGGTAGCGACATATCCTTTCGACTAGTCCAGTCTCCCTGAGCGCTGTCGTATGTCGGAGGCGATCCCCTACGTTTACTCTGTGAGGCACCGGGCGACAAGACTCTCTTAGGAGACCGTGACGAGTCGGTAGCGGAAGATCCCATGTCATTGCGATGGTTCGACAAGGAAGTCGTTGAGGCGGAGTCTATTGGCGCGGATTTCTGTTTCAACAGTTGAGGGGTTGTTGTGCGGCCAGCGGCTGGTCTGGGACTCGGCATGCTCATGTTGAAGTTGTTAAGGCCACCCAGGTTGAACGCCTTGCCTTCTGACTGCCGGCGAAAGGCATCAAAGTCGGGATTCTGATCGAGAGGAACGACACTGGGCGACATTGCGGCTGCTGATCGAATGGTAGATGACGGAGGACTCCAGTTCGCTTTCGTGTGGTGGTTTGGCGAATTGCTCATAAATGAGCTGCCGTCGCTTTGGAAGCCAAAGTAATTCGGACTAGGTGTCTGCGGAGCGTTGGAACGTCGGGGCGAACTTGCCAGGCGCGGCGAGAGGAAGGGCGGCATGGCGGGGGTAGTAGAGGCCGCAGGTGTTGTTGTGGATGGGCGCGCCTTGGAGTGATATCGCGGGGAGTTGACCGCCTCGGCCATGTCTGCGAGGTGGCGGTCGTGTCTCGACTAAGGTACCTTACACCGTTGACTCGGCGGAGTCCCTCTAAATGGGGAGTGTGTACATTGTTGGCATCGCTGGTGGTGAGTGGGCGGCGCTTCCGATGACGTGTGTTGGGGCGATTATATTTGTGGAAGAAGTGGTGTCGAGGGGCAAAATGGATGTAGAATCGGTGGCTGCGTGAAACGTGTGTGAGCAAGTGCGGACAGTCCTCGCCAACGAAGTCCCTGAGGATCCTTCCTTGGTGATCGCTTCCTGCTCGCGTGAGTGACGTAGGTACTTGCTTGGACAGGGCGGTCCGAATCAGATTGAGTTTTGGAACAAAGGGAACCACTTCATCATTGATCAGTTGACACGCTGAGTACGACACAATCTTGTACAAGACATCAGCAGCTTTCTTTCCATCAGTGCTTCACGCGAACAGACTTTGGGAGTCTCGCAGACTTGGACAGCTTCCGGAGTTATCACGACAGCAGTTGGCTGATGTACGCAGATCATGGGCAGTTCTAGACTTCATCACTCACCCAGCCGAGATCTCGGCGCTGCGTCTTGGACCCTGAGGCACGTGGCAACTGCCAGCAATAGCAGACCCAAACAAGTATCAAAGAGTACGTGAGTGTTGGTTCATGTAATCAGTGTAGATTATTTGCAAGCAGCGCTTACAGCCCGACTCAGCTTATGTGGTTGCGTTCCGGGCTCCTTTTATTTATCCACAATCTCATCATGCATGCCGGGTCTGCATCTGCGGGCATCTGCAGATCTAAAAAGGGACCGTCGGCTGCAGGGACGAAACCCTCGACTCTCGCGCCGGAACCGGTAAATGCGATGTCTTTCACGTGTCGCTTGTCATGGAGCGAACATATAGCTAAAGTATACATGCCAGCAAACATGCTAAGGGATATCACCGCTGTTTGTATCCGCATCCAGCCCAGACCAGAGGCGGCATTGAATGCAAAGGGGTCGTTGCATTGTTGTCTATAAATGTGCATCATCAATCGTCGTCAATGCATCAACGCTATCATTACGTCGGGACAGGTCATCTGCAAATCCACATGTCAGCATCTAGTTCGATCGTAGAATCGTGAAAATGCGTAGCTGGATACTGGTGTACACTCAGTAGGAAGGTGGGTCGTTCATCGAAAAGGTGAATACCTCTTCTATGTCTCGTCTTGAAACTATTGTAATGGCATCATAATACACAAGGGCAAGGAGTGGTGCAGGCGGAACGTCTTACCTGTCCTGATGATTTCCATTGGTGAGCCGCCGACGCACAGCATGCGCTGCGATAGTCTCGACAGCCCGAAGAAGGGGCCCTCTATGAGAAGGGAGCCGAGCTTCTGGGTGTGAGATGTCTTTTACTTCCAAGGGAGCCACGACTTCTTTTGCTCTTCAAGCTCAGGTTCACTAGCGACTTCACTGGGCGAGGAGGGTTTAACTTTAGGCTTAAGTTCAAACACCCAAGTGGTTCCCAAGTGGAAGCGTCTTTCTGTTACGACTTCCAGGCCCGTTCGTCGGGCAGCATCCTCAACCAGAGCACCAATGTCCCTGTTGAACCAGCATCCATGGATCTCGGCGTGCTTCTCAGCAGAGTTGTCCAAGATGTTGTTGAGCCAGGCTCTATAGCTCCGTCCATGCTCCAAAAGGAGGATACGAGAGTCCGGGTTGTCGGTGTCAAGATACTGAACCATGTTCTCGAGAAGCTCGACAGGAGAGGGCGTACTACAGAGACCCATTGTCTGTATGACTGTATCGTACTTTTTTGGGGTGGGAGAAGTAGGAGCCAGAGGCATTGTCCCCAGAGCCGAAGCGGGCAGGAAGCGCACAACCAGGTTCGGATTGAGCTTGTTCTGTTTCTTTCGCATGAGAATGTCCCACTTCTTCTTGCAGACATCCACCATCTGCGGACTTAGGTCCACAAAAGTGAGGCTGTCGACTTGACCTTTCTTCCAGATGTCGTAGTAACTCAGGTTCCTGCCCGTCCCGCAGCTCACTTCAAGCACATGGCCAGTGCATTGCTGAGCGAGAGACTTTCGCATGCGGTTGACGCCCATGAGCATTTCAGAGAAACCCACTTCGCCATCAAAGTCACCTGCCGTGGTGTCATAGACGCCTGACACATCTTTCTGCTGATCCAGTATGGCCACAGAAGGATTTGTGCTGGGTTTCAAGGCGGCGACGACCAGCGCGCCGGAGTAGAACACAAGAGCTGCGGCGWACGCACCTGATACTAGTGCATACGTGAAGGGAATGCCAGTCCGAGCGGCCGGCGCGGTCTTCGCAGCTTGTCGTGATGGTGGTGGTGGTGGTGCGCGTCCAGCAGCGGTGCGGGTCGCTGCGGAGCGAAGAGGGAGTTTCGAGACGGTCACAGCCGTCGAGAAGCTGCCGACTACATGGCGTAGGAGGACACTTTGCTGCATCGGCTGCAACGCGATGGTGGATGAAATCTGGTTGGATGGAAAGAATCTTCTTGATGAGATCCACCCTTGTCTCTCGATGGAGCTAGATGATGGCCTCGCGGCGAGACATCGGCGTCGGCATACCACCGCCTACGGACATTCTCACAAGTATTGATTGGCACGGGACAAAATTGCCTCCTAAGGATTATTACTGCATGCTAGTAGCATCTCATTGTAGGTCCATTTCTTCTGCTCTCTGTAGTCCARCCGAATCATACACTTACCGTGGAGCCTGAACGATGCCCGCTTCCACTCCTTCTTCAGTAATCATCGTTGGCTCGGGCGTTTTTGGCCTGGGAACGGCATATGAGCTTGCACAAAGATGGAAAAACACAAAAATCACCGTTCTTGAGAGAGTGGCGTTTCCTGCCGCAGATGGCGCCTCGATTGATAGTTCTCGTGAGTACCATCAATGCTTTCAGACACGAACCTGACTGACAGCCTCTCAAGGTATCATTCGTGCCGACTACGCAGACTTAGCATATGCCAAACTGATGGTACAGGCGATGCCAGCATGGAGAGGCGAGTTTGGGCAAGAAGGTCGCTACACGCAAAGTGGTCTTGCTCTGGTTAGCGATCAACATGACGGAGCCAGCGCTCAAGAATTCCTAGCAGAGGCGCTGGCAAATGTGACCAAAACTCTCGGGCTCAAAGTTGGCAAGAAAGAAGAGGGTGGAGAAGTGACCATCTTTGAAAAGGCCAGAGGTACCATTCCCGTCATCAGCGACCGCCTTGCTGACATGAAGGGTTACGTCAACTGGACGTCTGGCTGGGCTCACGCGGAAGACGGAGTCAAGTTCATGAGGAAGAAGGTTGAGGCCTTGAACAGAGTCGAGTTCAGAACAGCCGAAGTCAGGCGCCTCCTCTTCAGAGACTCCGTCGTGGAGGGTGTCGAGTTGGCAAATGGCTCTAGCATGACTGCAGACCTCACAATTCTCGCCACAGGCGCATGGACGCCGAAACTTATTGACCTCCGTGGAATCGCCTCCGCAACCGGCCAGGTATTGGCTTATGTCGACATCAGCGAGGAAGAAGAAAAGCGGTTCAGCCAGCCAGGCCAGCCAGTAATACTATGCGAGGGTGATGGCATGTTCATCATACCGCCTCGTGATCGGGTCTTGAAAGTTGCAAGGCACGGGTACGGCTACTCAAATCCTACCACAATTCCGCATCCCGAGAAGCCCAACGAAACCATCACTGTCAGCTTACCTCGTACGAAGCTGGACGATCCAAATATGCAGATCCCACCAGAAGGCGACAAAGCTTGCCGAGACTTCCTTCAGAAAGCCATACCAGAGATGGGTGCCAGACCATTTACACAAACACGATTGTGTTGGTATACAGACACGCCTACCGGAGACTGGCTCATCACTTACCACCCTAAATACAAGGGTTTGTTCGTCGCGACAGGCGGGTCAGGGCATGGATATAAGTTCCTGCCAATCATTGGAGAAAGGATCGTGGATGTGCTCGAGGGCGTCGACAGAGATGACTTAGGCCAGGAGTTGAGGCAAAGGTGGGCATGGCCAAAGCAGAGGCTCGAAGCAGATCACGTTTGGACGAATGACTGGAGAGGCGAGGGTGAGAAGGGAATGATTTTGGATGAGGAGTATGCGAAGAAGCCGACTGATGGTGTGAAGTCGAAGCTGTAATAACACCCGTCGATGACATCCTGCTTTCCCCTGCTCTGGGATGCTATCACGACGGGGAGGTGGGACTATCACCTCATTATCTCCATCCATCACCTACTAGATCTGTACCGCATACTATGGCGGTCACGTACTGCAAACATCATGATTGAATCCAGCGAGTTGACGTAAATAGACATGTTTCGCGTTGGACGGAGACGATGAGAGAGGTAGATGTACTGGACTGTTCGAATGGAACATAGCATTGGTGCACTACCCTAGCCATTCCGTCCTCATTCGCGTCTTCTTTTGCTTTCATCGGTCAACGAAATCGTTACCAATGCTCAAATTGTCTGCTATCGTCAGTCTTCCGTGACCCGTTTGTCGGGCTCGTAATGCGCGCAGTCCTCGGCTCCTAGCCAGGACAGGCACAGTCTTCTTCTAAAGTGCACTCGTTCGCAGTCGAGTCGTGTAAAAAGGGGAGGGGCCAAAATACCCTCCTTGTTAGAACGCCAAAAACACCTCGCCATGCCATGTCAAAATAAAAAGTGAGCCAAAAGAAGTGTCCATGCGATCCTCGACTCTACTACGCCCCTGGCTCAAGGGACACTGATGCAGAGCAGGTGTGAGGTCTTGGGATGATGGACTTTTGAGATCGGCATCTGACCTCTGTCGAAGCTTGTTGGTACAGGCCGGCCGTGATGATATACTGTTACAGGATGCCTTGGGGTGTCTAGGTCTTGCGGAAGTCCGAAAGGACGGGGTAGATGAGCTCGAAGGCCTGGTAGATCTCCTCACGGACTTTGGCACCGGTGAGGACTATCTTGCCAGAYACGAAGATGAGAAGCACAATCTTCGGCTTCATCATTCTGTAGATGAGACCGGGGAAGAGTTCGGGCTTCACCATGTTAGCTCACAGGACTCCATTGCAGTGAAGACACGGCAGCCTTACCTCGTAGCTAGAGAACATGTGATGACGGCTAGCAAGACCCTCAAGACGGATGGGGAACTTGATGTCGCAACTGCCCACGATGTTCTGGATTTTGAAGTCCGTAAACTTCGCGTTGAAGCCAAGCTTCTGGATGATGCGAGCATACTTGCGCGAGGCGAGTTTGCTGTCATCTTCAGACTTGGCACCAGTCACAACCATCTTGCCGGAAGCGAAGATGAGTGCGGTGGTCTTGGGCTCTCGAATGCGCATGATGACGGCCGCGAAACGCTTCGGGTTGTACTCGGCGTTTCGGGCGTGCAGGGCAATGGTCTTGAGATCGAGGCGGCAGTCCAAGTTCACCGYTGCGAYAATGTTCTGCAGTGTGGGAACGATACCTGGAGGAACAACGTTAGCGTGGCGCCCATCGAACGCTTTCCCGTGGCGCAAGAAGCGTACCCGACACCCCAGTCCCGGCTTGTCCTGGAGTAGCAGCTGGAGTTGCGGGAGTCACCCCATTGCTCGCGGGTTGCACGGCATTCCCTCCTTGCTGTTGACCATTCATCCCATTCTTGGGTGCCTGTTGCGACTCGTTCGGTGGTGTCAAGTGGCCTTGCGCGCCGGGGAAAGAGAGCGACGCAGGCGCAGAGAACTGCTTGGCCTCGGCGGCATTCTGCGGGTGGGAGATGTAGACCTGATCCATGATGGCGGTGGACAGGCAMACGTGCGACACGCTCGAGCTTAGGCGCAGGTGACGTCTAAGCTGGCGSGCGAGTGATGGATGAGCTCGGTGTGATGTTCCGGCGACCCTCTCGGTGATGCGCGTGCGACGGTGGTGGTGAGGTGGACGAGCGACCTAACGGTGGGTATGATGGCGGATCGGCGCACAGACTCAGCAGAAGAGCTACCGAAAGCGTCTGCTGTGATGTTGTGCTTGACGTGCGAGCAAGTGAGGTCGCGGTTGTGATGAAGTGATGAATGGATGAGTAGACGGAAGACGCTTCCTTCTCTCGGTGGTGTTGGATGTTGGTGTTGAAGGTGCAGCCGAACTTTTATAGTGAGCTTTGCTCGTCGACAACACGTGACCGTCGCAAAAGTCAGTCMAAATATCCACTGAAGCCGTGCYGACGTCCAAGCGAATCCGCGAAAAAATTAGAGAGTGGTAAGTCTGTCGCTCTCGTGACAGAGATGGTATTCAATTGCTTCTACGGAAGGTGGGCGTGCGGCGCTGGGAAGGGATCGTCGGATATCGGCCAAAAGTCACGAATTTTGCAATCGACGGGCACGGCTTTACTTATACTTGACCGCCTGGAGCACGGGCCAGGTTTCAGGAGGTCCTCACTTTTTTTCCATGACGATTCCGGGCTGGCCGCCCTGGCAACGACCACCAATTCATTCACTTATCAGCTTACCCACCTTCCTCGTGAGAGATACAACATCACTTGCTGGTAACTTATACGTCTGCCAACAACATACGACTCACAAAAATGTCTGCCGTCCAGACTCAGGACCCTCCGACGTTGCAAAGCCGTTTGCGGCCGGCGTGACTCACACGTTTGCGTTCCGCTACGTTATGGCCACCTTTCCCTTCGGCATCTCTCCAGGCTACCAGATAACAGCTAAACGGTCACGACAAGCACCAGCATGACCGTTGGAGTACTCCTCGCCATATGGCTGGGACTTGCAGCTCGCGACTCCGTGCCAGAGAGGCGGTGCGAATATGGTGCATGACAGATGACAACCGACGCGGCGTTTGCGGCCTCTCTTGTCCGTTTCGCGTCTGCCTCGGAGTCCTACGAGGCTGCGACGCCCATGGGTCGTGACACAGGACGAGTTTGCAGTTTCACAGTCAGCGCATCCCTTTCTACGGAAAATCAAGACCACAGCGCCCCGCAACGAGTATACGTATACTGTAAGTTAGATGGCGATGCAGTGCGATGCGATGCACGATGAGATGGCGCAATGCGCATTGCGAAGCCGGAGAGGTCGGCTCTTCACATGCTGGTGGCTTTAATCGCGACACCTCATTCGTCGGATGTCAAACCAGCCCAGCGGGACCGGTCAATCGCAAGCTTTTCGTAATACCCATCTATGATCTATCTAGCAAGAAGAAAAACTTGCCTCCATCGTGATTGTGGCAAGGCATCGATTCGCTTGGATGGACGCGCGCGCGAATTTCTTCGGCGCAAGCTCGCCACAGGTGGCCCGGCTTCGGGCTCGTTGGATGGAAGCTTCCAGCCAACGTGATGCTCTAGTACAGCTCTACCACATTCAGCGCCTGGAAGACATGAGTCGACCGGCTGACAATACAAGTCTTGCGGGGACATGCCGAAGACATTCATGGTAAGAAATGCTACGGCAAGTTTCTCGTGTGTAAGAACAAGTTTTTATCGAATTCGTCGTCCGTTACAACTCATGATTCATGCCCGTCATACAAGGCTCCTTATAGCGCAAAAATTCATCCAACCAGACCAGTACTCCGTCGATTTAAAAGAAAGCAGCAAGTGTCCCATGAATGAAGGGAAATCACTCGCAAAAGTAGGACGGGATGGGACAACGTTGATCGTCTCGAGTTGATCTATCCGACGACGTTGATCCGACAACGTTGATCACAAGATCTTAATTTGGGACGTTAGTTGTCGGCGAGTTGACAACAAGGACGATGTCGTGGGGAGTGCCGCATAATCAGCAATGACTTGACGACGTCCTGCCGTGCAAAAGTGACACACACCGGCGTATTGATTGCGGCCGGAAAGACACCTCCAGGCTCTACTTACCAAATGTTATACATCGCGATCACAGCAACTTACCGCGGACATCGGACGGACACTGGGAGACAACTTGCTCTGGAGCGAACTTCTTCCGTGGGTCACTGGTGGTGTAGCCAACATTCCTTGTAGGACTTTTCATTCTTGTAGCGTTTCTCATCAAGCATAACTAAATTCACAATTCATCCTCTGACCAAAGGTCGTATGCCGAACACATGTTGTCTCCAGCACATCTAGTAGTCCAAACCACCCTCGTTGACGCCAGCAACCTCCTGTGCAGCACCATCCTTCCTCGAAACGATCCCACACACAACATGACCAAGTATCCACCTCAACGCTTCTGATACATCTCCTCCAACACAACAAACACCTCCTGCGCCATCTTCTGAAAGACCCCGCGATGCTGCTCTGGGCATGAAGAGAAGCGGTCCGGATGCCAGCGAAGTCTCTCCTTCTTCACGTCGAGGTTCGAGGTCCTTCGGAATGCGTCCTCGATGCTGTGACTGCATGCGCGAAGACTTCGAGGGACGTTCGTACATCGTGTATTGCCGCATCGGCGTGTGGGGGGCTGTGGGAAGATCTGCATCTTCGAGTAGTCGGCAAAGAGCAGTTCCGTGGTGGCACGCCATTGTGCGATGGTCTGCTCTGGCTTCGGCTTGGCTCTCTCCTGCTCGGCCTTCGCCTTCCTCTCCTGCTCGGCCTTCTGCTTCTCCCGCACGGCCTTTTTCTTCTCCCTCTCCTGCTCAGCTTTCTTCTTCTCCTGCTCAGCTTTCTTCTCCTGCTCAGCCTGCTCTTTCGCGAGCTTCTCCAGAACTGCGCGGATTCTTGCCTGCTCTTCGGCGAGATGTGCCTCGCGTTGAGCTTCTTCGGCCTTTTGCTTGGCCTTTTCAGCCTCCGCCTTTTCTTCTTCTCGACGCTTCGTCTCTGCCTGCTGTCGAGCGAGTCTGTCGGCGATCTTCTGGCGCGTCTTGTCTGCCTGCTTCCGAGCGATTCTGCCCCTCGCTTTCRCCGCCCACTTCTCCTCATGCTTCAAATTGAGATTGGCGAACATGTCGACCATGTCCGCTTGAGCTTTGGGACGATCTCCTCCCATTCTGCTTCGCTCGGTCTCTTCGTTCTCCGGCTTTGTTTCAGCCTTCTGCCGCAATTCATCCTCCTTGCGCTGTGCCTCCTCCCTGCTTCTCTTCTTCTCTGCCTCAACTATTTCAGCCTCCTTGCGCTGTGCCTCCTCTTTTTCTCTCTTCTTCTCTGCCTCAACTATAGTTTCCGCTTCGACTGTTCTTTTCGCGAGAGAAAGCAGCGAGTGTTGTAAGCCAACGCTGCGGATTCTGGTCTCTTGGGCCTTGATATGCGCTTCGAAAAATTGCCCACGTAGCAACATCAACACTGGCGCATTCTCATTTGTATCAGAAACTTCAAACAAATCATCAATCTGATTCTTGAGCTCATTAACTCTGGATTCCTGGCCGCTTAGAGTTGCGCGCGCTTCCTCGAGCTTCTGCTTGGCCTTCGACTCGTTTTGTCGAGCAACCTCGAGCTTTCTCCAGATATGCCTATACGGATCTGCTTCACGCGCAGGCGGAGACGGTGGCTGTGATCCTGGAAGGGGATCTTCGCAGAACGCCTTTGATATGGCCTCCTGAAGGGCATGCATTTTCTTAGCAATTCGCCATTCCGCGGTTGCTGTGGTCGGAAGTTCGTGATCACGCCATGACGAGTCTCTCTTCAAGCGCGCAGCATTGAGCTCAATCGTGCTGTGGTGAATAGCAGTCAAGTTGGCTTTGGCCCTCTCCGCATTCTGTCGAGTCCACTCGTAGATGCGGTTCTGCTCCGCAACCTCATTCTCCGTGACCGCATGAGTGGTCCGCTTCTGCTCCAGGTGCTCAAGGATACATAGAGCAGAATCAACCGCGCGCCATGCTTTGTTCACATGAGCTTGCGCTTTAGCGATTGGGTCCGACATGCTGCTGGCTAGTGGTGCCAAACCCGAGTGTAGCTCTGGAGTTTCTCACGGCGCAAGAGTTTGGCGGGTGACTTCGAGATTCGTTGTGGTGTTGGTGGTGATGGATGGTGTGCAAGTAATCCATAAGATTTGGATGCAGGTGGGGTAAGCGAGTAGTCGAGATGAACGGCACAGACCATGACGACGGTTGACTCCACCCTGACTAAGTCAAGGTCAAGTGAATGAATGTCGGGCTGGGACTCAACCAACAACCCGGTTATCCCCTTGTACAAACGACCAGTCATGCTAGAACATCAACACAACAAGGTGCGATATGGCCTTGAAGGCTGACATGGACGGCCGCTCAGGGTTATCGTCTGGCTAAGCCCCATCGCGCTTCCACATAGTCTCCGAGRTCAAGAAGGTCCTGCGAGTCCTGCAATCTCTTCCTGGACTTCTTGTCCATGTCCGACATACGTGCTGACATCTCCATCACGTGGTGAAGCACAACGGCAAAGGGCACGGGGCATCGCATCGCCCACTTCATGAAGTCGACGATACACTCCGGGCTTGTGACGTCGTCGCCAGCGAACATTGCAGGATTTTCCAAGATTCCTCGGGCAGCCATAACTCCATCGGCTCCTGTTAGTGTGGCGATGTTGTTAACGTCTGACAGTGTATATGCGTCACCATTGGCAAGCAAAGGAACTCTGATATATTGCCGTAGGGTTCTGATCGCATCGTAGTCCGGAGGCGTGCTGGAACGCTGATGTTTCAATCTTCCATGAACGGTGATGAAGTCCACACCAGCCTCTTGCAACATCTGAACAAGTTGAATGGTTTTGCTAGGACGTGATTCAGCACTGGACGGCAACTGTGTAATGGGGTGGCTTACTTGATGTCTTTGTGAATCCTTATTTTGCAGCTCACGCTCTTGTCTGACGACAAAGTAGCTTTTGCCAGTTTGACAATATTCGCGATCAGCTCTGGTTTCTCCATCAGACCGCAGCCGATGCCTTCCTTGATCGCCCAGCTTTGTGGACTGTCCTCAAGTCAGCGATGATATATCAAGATATTTGCAAAATATATACCAGCCACAGTTCAAGTCCACTCCATCGACCCACGGTGATATCAACTCAGCAGCCCGGGAGAACTCAACGGGATCCGAAGAGGCGAACTGGGCAATGAGCGCGTGTTGCCTTCCATCACTTGTTGGTTCTCGCTCCAGTGGGTGCGTTGTGAAGTCGGAGTCTCGAGCGATGGGGGAACGAATGAACTCATGGGCCAGCATCATGGGTACGTAGGTAACGTCTGCTCCGTATTCTCTGACAAGAAGGCGGAACGGAAGCTTGCTGTACCTGTTTGTTTCGTCAGCTCACATGGCTTATCTTTTTTGTTTGTGGAAAACGCCACGGCTTACCGTACCATCGGCGCTGAGACTGAGCATTTGATCAGTATGGTGAAATTAAGAAGAGGATATAAAGAACAACACCTACCATTCAGCGGCCTTCCTTCCCTCTTCGCTGCTTCAAAAAGTTCCAAGATTCTGATGCAGAGGAATGTTAAGGCGAGCTTTCTCTTACATCACCAAGTCAGACTTACCGTGGCCTACCGAGGTCTTCATCGTTTGATATGCTACCCATGGCTGCGATGGTGTGTAGATGGGACACTCGCKGACGTTGCAGATGGAGATGGAGTCGTTCGGCTGAGAATTCCGACGCACAGCTAGGGTTAGGGTTTGGGTAGTGTCTTCATATCACAACGGTCAACTTGGGTATTGTGTACGAACTCTGGGTGACATTGAACCTGTTATAGAGCTGGGTGCGTTGGGTCTTTGTAAAGTCACTGTGGCCTGGATGTCGTCGTAAGCTGCTGCCGCGGTTTAGACAACATTTTGCTGGATTTCACTACTTGTGCAAGCTTCCTAACGTGGGAACGTTATGTTCAACCCCTCCGTTGTCAGAGCAAGCAAAAGGTCCTGATGAAAAAGCCATTGTTAGTTCCGCTATTTCGAACAATCCGTAACGAGCTGCCAAGGAGTCATCATTCTGGTGTGTAGCGGAACAGGCCTTCGAAAGGCGTATTCGTTGTTGTATTCATGTATTCAAACATCACAATCTAGGCCGCTAACGCCACTCAAGACAGCAACTGGCCTTTCAACCACTCCCTAAACCCACCATCAACGCTCGCCGAAAATCTGATATAGTTTGCCATGGCAGAACTGCTTGTTCCCGGCGGACAATGTTCCACCACAGCATGCACGTCCAGCTCCTTCAACCCCGCAACACCAAGAAGGGTTGGAATCCATTCCATCCCCTCCTGCGTCCGTAGCAGATCAAAGTCTCTCGCACAGTACGTCGCAACGTCGTTCCATCCATTCTCTCCAGGTCGCCCAGCTACAACACCAAGCTCCAGCCTCCTCAACGAGATTCCACAGTTGGGATCAGTGAGTGCACGCATTGCACCGTTCCATTCACATTTGTCGAATTCTTTCTGGTACGCCAGCGCGCGCTTGACGATTCGAATGCTTTTGATGCAGCTCCTTGCGAATGGAGTGAGGTCGGCGAGGAACGGGACAATGGCTTCGACGTGGGTATCAAAGTCAAAGGTGTATCCCGAATACAGAAGCTCTGCAACTTCATTGTGAATTTGCTTGTTTACGCCCATGATCTTGAGGTTCGGTTGGATCTTCGGGATGTTTACGCAGTGGTAGGTGGTGGACATGCAGCGAAACCTCATGCTTTGGCCGTGAACGCTATAGGAACCGCGAAGGTGTGGTCGATCAGCTGGATAACGCATGGGATAGCGCAGTGGATCGATCGTTCGGATACAAAGCGTAGGATTAGCGCGATTGGCGAGGTCGTTCTTGTCGTAATCGTAGTAATCCTGAGCACTGGCGGTGACTTTCTCGTAGGACGCCGAAAGATGTGATTGGTCCCTGGGTAGAACCAGAAGACCATATATTTGCAGCCTGATCTCTACTGGCAGACGTAGAAAAGGCGAAGGGGTTGCCGCCGATTGCTGGAAGAATCGAGGTGTTTCCGCCATGATGGGCGAAGGTCCAGAGAGGCAGCCGTTTCTCTCAAGCGAGTGCCGATGTTCACTGCAAGAGGTATAGAGTGGTCTTGTGAGGATGTATGTTAGCGAGGAGAAAAGAGGAAGGACTCAGAAAGTCCGACTGACTTCATCATGCCGGTAGATAAGTTTTTGGATGTGCCCTTCTCAGCATTCCAAACCGCGGTTGGCGGCTCATTCTGCTGTGAGCCGGCCATCATGGTCCTTCTTATGCCAAAGCTAATTTGGAAATGTCGGATCGTATCAGCAGCTAGATAAGCTGAAAATGGATTGACAATGTCCTGTGCCAGGCCGTTGAATGAACCCGAGCTTCGCCGATGTCGAAGTCGCCAATTGGGTTATTCGTAGCGGTAAGCGGGCAGCACGCCAGCGCAGCGTGGCACGTTAAGATGAGAAGATGCCCTGCTTGCTATGCCACAATGTGGTGTAGTGTGGTGTTGCCTCCTTGGAGCTACTTACCTCACTCCGTAAATGACGCCGATAGCCTTATCGGAAGTCAGGGATGGAATGAAGAACGAAGGATGGAAGGTTTGCCGCAGGGTCGCCGATGCCGCGCTCTGTTCAGATGACCATGTCATCAAGTCGAATCGATCTATGTACAACGAGCAGCTTGAGCGTGTATTGCGAGCTGTGAAGAGCCCGTGTGATATCATCTGTCAAAAGTTGCCAGCACATCGGCCTGAGCGTGAACTAGCACAAATCAAAAGACCGAAGATGTAGCCAGACCTCGAGTCGTGGTCGGGGATACCTCCAAGTACCTCCAAGGTACCTCCGCGAATTTACAGTCCATCACGGTTCCGGTTGAGACACATAGCGGTTTTCAGAGACAGCACACAGGACCATGCCGGCGTGTACGGAGGTGAAACAATCCCACCAATCAAATAGGACGCAGCCTGGAGCGGAACGAGACGAGTGCACGTGGTTGTCATGCTGTAGTCGAGACTTGCCATTAGCGACCATATCGCATACTTCTATTGACATTTACAGTCCGCCCTGAACTATTTCGATCTCGTCTCCACACCCTCATACTCGCGACTGGCGATATAATCCAGAGTGCGCTGAAAGTGTTTCCTCGGCTGATCCAGTCCGCTGACGTTCTCTGTCGTGCTAAGGTTGGAATGTATAAGCTCGATTAGCCCGTTCAGATATTTGGTCGTGACAGCGTCGTTTTCCTGGTCAAAGTAGTAGACGTAGCGATTTAGGATCTCCACGAATAGTTCGACAGATACAGCCGTGTCCATGCAGGCGTCGGCGACGCGGAGGGCGCGTTGTAAACATTCGAGTACTCGTTTACCGTCGCGATAGGGCTGGTAAGTTGTGTTAGTGAAAGATCGAAAGGTTGAAATAGTCTCAAACCAACCTCTTTGCCTTCTTCTTGCTTCTCGCCCTTCTCCGCTGTCCACCACAGATGACTGGCAAGGTATACTGCACGACACTGGTCGGGCTTTTTGAGAAGTTTACTACCATGCAGCGCTGCTTTCGTGATCAGAGTATCGTAATTCTCCCTGCCAAACCTTTCTGAACATCCGGATAGTGCGCCGGCAATGATACAGATAGCCTGGAATTGAGACCTAGAATCGGAGATCGACTCCTCGTACACGGTAAAAGCTTGTGCGAAAAACTCATATGCGACGTCCTCGTTCTCGCATTGGCTGGCGACTTGACCGCAGGAGACAAACAGCCTGAGTACCAGATCCGGAACGCCCGCTGCTGAGACCCGGGTATAAAGCGATGACAGGGTGCTGTGCATGAACTTGTAGACTGCTGAGGATAGGACCGCATAGTCGTCGCTCGAGAGATGTTCTCTTCGCTTGAAAGACCGCGCAAGCTTGAGAGATTGGGTTACCAAGGCTGGTGTGGTGTATTTCGTGCGCTCGTTGCCCTCTTGGAATGCAATCTTCGTCTTTTGGAGGAGCTGGAATTGGGTGACGTTGTCCGCGCCCTTGACGAGATGCACGATACGGGCGAGCCAGCCTTGCTCCTCAACCGTTTCATCGGTCTCCACAGCGCCTCTGCGCGCTGGACCCGCAGGTTGCTGCATACCCTCGTTGATCAGGACTGACAATATCTGCAGAACACCTTCAAGATGAGCGGCAGTTTTGATTTTGGTTTCATTACGCAGTAAACTGCGCGCAACTTCTCCGGCCACAGATCTTCGCGTTGGGTAGGGCTGTTGCTGGAACAAAGGCACAAAGTTTGGTAACGCCAGGGCAGTGAAAAGTGAGCAGTATGTCTTGACAGGTCCAAGGAGAAGGCTGAGAAGACTCGACTGGGACGCCTGAGAATGAAGGTCTGGAGCATTGGTGTATCGTGCCACTTCTTTGGTGGCGTAATGCAAAACCTGGTCGACATAGTCCAATCGCTCGGGATAGATGTTGAGGGCCAGATTGACCAGAGAGACCAACAACGCAGTAATGTCCTGGATTGGAAGTCGCTGTACTGTCACCAAATGTATGACCTGCTCGTAGAATATCTCAAAGAGCTTAATATTCGCAGGAATACCTTTGTGCTTCTCCTCGTCTCCATTCGTTTGTGTGGGAGGAGTGGCAGCTGAGTCTTCGCCCGATGTTTCCTCAATGGGCGCGACTGACGCTGCATCTTCCGTTCCAACCTCGTTCTCTCCATTTGTGGGCTCTGCAGGTTCTTTTGCTGTTGATTCCGGCTGCTTCTCTGCAGCTTCCTTGGAAACACTGAGCTTCTCCAGCAGCGCAGCTACGGACTCCTCTTCCAGCTTTTGACGATCCTCTGGCGTTTGGCTCTCGGACTCTCTCGCGGCAAATGCTGACAGCCGATCCATAAGTCCAATCACAATCGCCTTGACATTCACATGCGGGTTGAGTCGCGCCGTCGCAGCCAGCAATTGATCCAGTGTATGCAAGTGGAACTCGTCCGGGAACACCTGGGTAATGACTTCCAGCAGGTATTCCTGCGCCAGCACGTCTCGACATTGCACGACCTGCTCCAATAGTGGCTCCAGTATGACATTTTTGTAGCTTTCCAGATCCACAAGCTGGCTCAACCGCACGAGATTACTGCCCACCAACAATTGCAGCTCCTGCCGTTCCTTTGTGCGCTGCTCCCGCTCTCTTGAGTGACCTTGATGCTGCAATCGCACCCAAAGCTTATTCATTTCCACAAAGTTGGTCAGGATGAAGCTGATGCTGTCTTGAATATTCCCCTCTGGCCCGTCTCCCGTCCCGGCAGGTAGCGAGTCGCGAGCCTGTCCGCTGAGGTAGTATCGCAGGAACAACCCTCGCACGGGATGCTGCACCCCGCGACTCATCTCCATCATATCCTTCATGATCTCCTTGACCGGCGCATCCTCAATGCCCATGTACAMCGTACCCACTGTGATCATGAGGTACAGACGGGGCACAATGTTTCCCGCATACTGCACCAGCTCGTATAGGTCGGCGAGGTGGTTGACAGGATGCGATTCGCGCAGGTAGACTGAGAGGTGCCGTAGCGCATCGAAGACGGACATGTAGAGCTCATAGTACTGCTTGGGGCCGAGACTGCTGGTTCGCAATTCCGAGACGAGCGTTGAGCTGTGTCCAAGTCAGCATGTACACTTTTGACCAATGTACCTCTTACTGGACACGATGATAGCCTACCTGCACTTCAACGCGTCCATGAGCTTGCCCGGAGTTTCTAGACAGCGGCGCATCAGCACAGCCTGTTGGCGGACCACGGCCAAGGCATCCTCCAGCAGTCGCGCCTGGTCCTCGACCGGCGGCGGTGACGTTGAGTCGTCCAGTTTGGCGGTTTCCTTCCAATACAGCAGTGGGTCTGTTGTATTATGATGGAGTGACGAGACGATGCGGGCCTCGAGTTCGCATAGTGAGAGTGGCTGAAGCGTGACGATGTTTCCCGACCAGATGGAAGCTAGCTATTGGCGTTCCTCGCGCGGCCCGAAGTCAGCTTTCACATGCACCACACAGGCATGGAAATCGCATGGATCTACCAAGATATGGGAATTCAGCAATTGGGCTCCAAAAATGCATTTGAATGTGTCTATTCGTTTTGTTAAAATTGAACACAGGAATTAGCATTCATTTGGATTGATAATCGATGAACGGGAACGCAGAGCGGTCGACTTGTGATTCGGCGACAAGATGTAAGGTCGAACAGACCCAAGAGTGCGTTGAGAATCAGAAACATGTTGAACCTGTTCATTTGGCTTTGGCCGCTATATAAACTACCCAACTACCCAAAGGCCCTCCTATGCTGCGCTAGCTTGAGTGGCCACCAAACTCCTGAATGTTCAATTCTCGTCTTTATCTTTTGCCGAGCCGTTTCCTCATTATATGCTGTCGATTCCAAAATGTGTCACGATCTCACAAGCATCCTCGGCAGACCATTACATAGCTAGATGCGGGACTTTGAGCGCACCAGTCGGACGTGCCCCAGCAGGACCTACTTCGGTGGGTCCATGGCTCGAATAAGGGGTGGCCTCCCATGAATGACGAGTCGCATTCCAAGGAACAGCGTATGTCGGAAAGGAGCTCTTAACAGGCACGGGCGGAGAGTATACGGATGGCCCAACATACATCGTCTCAAACACCGTGTTCGTCGCAAGCGTTGGACTTGGTTTCCACACGCTTGTCGGRGATGGCAACCAGACGCTTGCCGGAATTGGTGTCCAAGTGCTTGCTGGGATGGGTGTCCAGGTACTCGTCGGCTGCGAATTTGCCTCAGAAGCTGGCTTCGTCCAGCTAGTTGCGGTAGATGGAGCATAGCTCGCTACGCTTGTGGTAACGGCCCGTTGTGTAGACCAGGTGCTGGTTGTTTTCTGACCATATACTGCCACCCTCGTCGATGATGTTGTTCTAGACGCTGCCGCGCTCGTTGGAGATGTTGATTTAGGAGGTGCCCACGTGCTGGAAGGAAGCGAGATCGTGGACAGTGGGCTATTCTCGACCGATGTGCTGTAAATCGCTGGTGTCTCAATCGAATCTTGCTTTGCAATGCTTGTGGAAGAAGCGGTCGCACTATACGGCATGGTGGTATTGATAGAAGCCTTCGGCGTGACAGTCACCGTGAGAGACGCTTTGGTGACAGTCTTCGGCTTCGACGACTTGGTAATTGCTACGGTCTCGTATATGACAGCAGCAGCCGAGGTGGAAGCTGTTGGTCCGCCGACATCGACCACCTGGTATGTTGCAGCGGGATGAGGTTTCGGCAAAGCTCTTGCACCCAGCGCTAGGAAGGCGGTAACCAGAGCCAGGGAGGATGGGGCGTTGAGCATTGCGAGCGCTGCCTCGTAGGACGACTACAAGTCGTATATTGTCGTGTAGTATGATAGTCCGGGCCCGTTGTTCACTTTCCGGGCTAAGGAGGATGGTATGGTTCGTGTTGCGCGAGAAGTGCAGGGAGTTCTGCAGAGAAAGGATGATTGCAGGGAGCCATCGCTATGGTGCATGAACTAGTAGCCATTTTCACTCTTGTCTGGTGGCTGGTCGAGTGGTTTGGCGAGAAATTCAAGCCGTTGCGCGTCGTCGCGAAATCGAATGGCTGGGAGGAGGCGGGGGCAAGATTACGCGAGGTATAGACCCACTTCAGCATTCCACTTCGCAGATTTCCGTAACAACAACAAACACATTTGACAAGCTTTATGCTCATCTTGAATACCGAGAGACAAGTTCCAAAGGTTCTGGGTGCGCTTGGGCGCACTGCTGTCCTATCTTCCGTCCACAGCCGCGAGAGAGCACGCGAAAGCTGTTTGCCTACCCCAGAGCCTGAGCGTGTCGTTCCGGCGCGCACAGAGTTTCAGGGCCAACAGTGCATGATTGCATGATTGCAAGCAAGCTCCGTATGACGTCTGCCAGGATCCAGGAGACGAAGGCGAAGGAGTTCTTCTCCGCACGAAAATTTGGACGTGCGAGCAACCCGACCGTCCATCCTTGGAGAACGATGCTTGAGCCACGTGCAACTGGCCATGGGAGGCCTTGCGCAGTCTCTGATCTGGACGAACACAAACTGGGATAAGACCTCCTTAAGCCTGTGAGGCATTTCATCAAGCTTTTGGCGACCTGGTCGCCAGTGAGCTGATCTCGTAACCTTGTGGTACCTTGTACATATACATTGACATTGACTGGCAAGATCCTGGAGATGGTGTACCTTGATACGCTTCTTCGGCCGTCATGCGTGCAGTACGATGGCTTGGAGTTGCTCAAAGTCTAGTCTGCTCTATCGTATCGATTGCCCAGCGGGCCGCGAAGGACCGCAGTGGTCACCGCTAGCACATGCACGATAGTCTGGGTATGTGTTGTCTATGTGCAACAGTGTAAGTGGCTCCATGGCTTCCCATAGCAATCGCGCTCAACGAGGATCCCCATCTGGAGCATTAATCTTAATTGCAATTCCCCCATGCTTCAACTGGGCTATGCGGTTGGCAAATGCAGGCGACTTCGAAAACTTACCCATGCTGGACCTACGTAAACTACTCACAACAGACAAGGGCTTTCTTGTAAGAACAATGGTAGACCAGYTGCAATGAGGCTATAAATGTGCTGCACTCCCCTCATCGCAGCATTTTTTATCATCCCCCCTTCATCTCTCAAGACAACCCGCAAGAGCTTCCCTCCATCATGCAGCTTCTATCTCTTCTTTTGACGTGTTCCACGGCTCTGGCTTTCGCCATTCCTCAAGATCAAGCGGCGACCCCTGCAGGCGGCTCCAACCCTGGAGACTCCGCCGCTGACGCCCTCCAGAACGTCGACCCATCTTCATTCGTTCCCGAAGGAGTCGCAGATCTCATTCCGGGTCAGAACTCGGGCTCCCAAGATTCCAGCGCCGCTGCTCCGGCGGGAGGCCAATCCAGTCCTCTCGACTCCGCCACYGATGCCCTCMACAACGCCGACCCATCTTCACTCGTTCCTGAAGGAGTCGCAGATCTTATTCCAGGCCAGAACTCGGGCTCTCAAGACTCCAGTGCTGCTGCTCCGGCAGATGGCCAATCCAGCCCTCTCGACTCCGTCACCGATGCTCTCAAGAACATTGACCCATCTAAGCTCCTACCTGAAGGAATCGCAAATCTCGGCTCCAACTCCCAGGATTCTGGCGCTGCTGCTAACGCACCCAACTCCGCTGTTGACGATCCTCTTCAAAACATTGACCCATCCAAGTTCCTTCCCAATGGACTAGGCGACTTGATTCCGGACTCGATCACTATCAACCAAGACAACAGAACTCCTCCTCCTCCTCCTCCACCTACGACACAGCTGCAACCGTGGCAATTGGTGTGGCAGCAGCCTTCGTGGACACCTGTCGCACCACAAGGATGGTTCCAACCAGTTCCCGCCCCGCAAGCACCCGGCTTTTGTCAAAACAGATTTCCCAATGGAATCTTCCCTGCCGTGGGCCCAACAGACTGTGCTCAAATCGTGGATCCGTGGTGCAATCCAACTGGTCAAGGGTATGTCTACGCTCAGTTACTATAAAGAGGACCATAACTAACGATGATTTACAGATATGTCTGCAGCCCTAACTACGACTACGTTGTTCAGTGTTATGGCGGAAGGGCATACGCTGTCGAGGAGTTCTGTCAATACACCCTGTCTTGCTTGGCAGGAATCTACGGTGCTTACGGAGGATGTCTTGTCGGATAGGGTGTTGGACTTGGTGTCTTATGATCGCGATGATTCACACGACGATGGCCAGGGCGGCTCAGTGTGAAAGGCGCCTGTATATTAATCTGATAATTCGTAGCTTAAAATCTCCTTGTGTATGTAAAATTCACTTAATGTCTCTCTAGATCTCAACGTGCTGCAGACCTGTATTTATGCATTAGAGGGAACGTTCGTTTTATGCATTGTATGCATAACTCACCGTGTATCTCACTTCGCTTTGCTTACGAAATTTGGTCCTTCGAAGTCTTCCGTGTTACGCGAAGAAGAACTCGGACGAAGAAACGGACGAATCCACCTTGGTGTCTGATTGTAAAGCGGAAAGATATCGCTACGCTCGCAAGGTCTTCTCTCCAAAACATCCTCAACCTTTCTCAGCAACATGTCCCCATCAAAGAGAACCATACTCATCACAGGCTGCTCCGATGGCGGTATGGGAGCAGCACTCGCTGCTGAATTCCACAGATCTGGACTCCATGTCATCGCGACTGCGCGGAAAATCTCGTCCATGTCCAGCCTGGCATCTCTAGATGGCATCGAAATACTTCCTCTCGACATCACCTCCAAGGATTCAATCCAGAACATACTCTCAAAAGTCGACAAGCTTGACATTCTCCTCAACAATGCCGGCGCAGCATTCAACATGCCCATCTCGGACGTCTCCATAGACGAAGCGAAAGACCTCTTCGACATCAACGTGTGGGGCCACTTGGCCATCACACAAGCCTTCTTACCACTCCTCAGGAAATCTCCAAAAGCCATGATAGTCAACCACACTTCTATTGGAGCATCGTTGATTATTCCATTTCAAGCAGTCTACAATGCCTCCAAAGCAGCAATGTCAACTTTCACCCAAACACTGCGAATCGAATTGCAGCCTTTCGACATTGCAGTGGTGGAATTGAAGACCGGAGGAGTGAAGACGAACGTCATTAAGAATAACCGGACGAAAGGCGCCTCTTTGCCGGAGAGTTCTATCTATGCGCCTGCGAAAGATGCCGCCGAAGACCTGGCGAGTGGTCAATGGGCCGAGGAGCATCTGAATATGAAGCCAGAGGATTGGGCTAGAGCTGTCACAGTGGAGTTGCTTAAAGGAAACCCTCCACCCGTAATTTCCAAGGGTGATTCAGTATGGACGGCGTGGATCGGGAACTTCATTCCATATGGATGGCTTGATGCAACTACGAAGAAGTTGACTGGATTGGCGAAGGTTGAGGAACTCATACGCAGGGCTTGAGCCGGCCATCTAGAGTCCAAGCGCGTGCTAGTAATCTAGGAGGTCCAAATTTCTACTCCATTAAATCAGCTAGAATTAAACGGYAGATCTTCACTCAGAAAGCAAATGGATTTGACAATGTTCAACGATAGAATTGACATTTTCTCCACACCCACGTTTGGAGGCATCTTGTTGCCTTTTTACCCACATTGCAAACTCTTGTACGAACATATCGCTGTGCAGCAGGATGCTCAGACGTGTTCCAGCTTTCAGGCCTCCACTGACGCACCCATTTGCTTCTGCGGGACGACGTGCTTCACGAAATCCCAACCCGTGCCCTCTAGAGGGATTTGCAACTGGTCTGCGAGCTCGTCAAAGACAGCCATTGTGAACCAAGTTGATTTCCAGTCCTCACCGGAGGAGCGATAGCATTTAGCATGGTCGTGATGCACTCCAGGAGCAAGAACGCTCTCGAGTCGAGGAACGTACATAGACGCCGACTCAAGGCTAGCGATGCCGGAAACAGCTCTGATCACTTCGAGCATACCGTCACGAATACCCCTTTCCTCGCCACCTTGTAGTTCAGCAAAGAAAATGTTGGTAAAGGAAACTACTCGAAGCGTAGCCTTGTGCGTTTCAAGGAACCGACCAACGTTGTCACTGTCAAGACAACCTGGCAAAATTGATGGACTGGTCAGTCGAAGCTGTTGAAGGCAGTCGAAGTGAAAATCGGAAGTGCAGAAGTAGTAGAAAAAGGTGCTGAAGGCGATACCTTGCACCTTCTCGAAGCGCTGCTCTCTGTCTGTATCTTTAGTTCCACTGACCAGCATTTGGAAGTGCTGATCGATCGCGGAATCGATTCTGACATCCAGTGCCTCCAGGTCTTGCATTCGTACTGCAAATTCGTGGAATAGTCCGCCCCAGCCGTCGTAACCCTCGAACTTCATGTCTCCGTCCGGCATGATGAGGCTCAGCCTCGTTACACCACGGCCAATGCCAATCGTCGCATCTCTGTAGTCATTGTCGTTCAGAAAGTCTAGGTTCAGCTGGCCATGCGCTAGGATCTCTAGTTTATGAACCCTCTTCGTTGCGGCTACGGGGTAGGTCTTTGGCGACCATCGGCTGTGTATCCTGGTCCACCGTACTCTGGGCCTGTCAGGCATCGACTGGTGAAGATTGATGGTGATGATGGGTGCGCATCTGGCGGCAAGTAGACCCATGATGAGCTCCGAGTCTGTCCAGAATCGAAGGAAGTCACAATTCGGATCTTCATCCTCAACCTCAACCTCATTCTCAACTTCATTCTCAACCTCACCCTCGTCATCATGCTCACCCCCATACTCATCCTGATCCTGATCCTCGTCCAAATCCCCATCATCGTTCTCGTTCTCGTTCTCGACCTCATACTCATACTCATACTCATACTCCWCCTGGACTTTCAATGTGTCCTGAATGAAAGTGTGCCAAGGATCAGCTTCCCGTCTATGTGCGTCGATGACGCCCTGCGAACTTAGGCAAAGTCCCTCGCGATAACTCGTCGAGGCATAGCTCAGGGTGTTCAAATTTGGAAGCCTGTTAAGCGCATCAAAAAGGCTTGCATAGCACGTTGGCATCCACTTCCGCCGATGGTGATCTTCGCTATAGGCCGATGGATCGTCGAGGTGGAAGCGATCTAGACCAGACATATCCTCACACAGTGGCCATGGGTGGTAATTGTCGAAACCTTCAGAGAAATCATCTGGCCGGAGAGTCTGCGTTGACTTGCCCAAGAGTATGACTTCGTTGATACTATTGCGAAACAGGTCCAAGTGACATACGTCAATAGCGTCTTGGACACGGAGTGGGTGAAGATAGAGCGTGAGGTTGCGCTGTTTGATCGCTCGGCTGCAATTGCCTGCCATCTTGCGAGAAGTCAGACGAAGAGACAGCACATCGCGCAGTCTCGCAAAGCTCGCAATATGGACTACGAGCTCGTTGGCCAAGGCGGAAAAGTTTGGCTCGGTCTCGTGTCCCATGATRGCTGTTTGAGTGATCAAAGGCAAGTGGAAGCTGAGAAACAGCAGAAGGTGGCCGTGAAGCTCTATTTGATGAAATCGGCCCAAGCTATGTTTGCGATTGTTTGTTGCGTCTTTGTATTTGGATTGTGTGAGAAGATCGGCGAAATTTCAAGTCCGTCTCAGCCTGTTCTACCGATACTCCTGGACAATGTTGCTGTCGCGATCTGTTGCAGTGAGCCATGGCCGGGATTCGAAGCTTTAGGCTGGGTCACAGAGAGCTTGAATCCATTCTCCCTGTATGTCTGCAAGGCCGTAGTTAGAGACTCGTCAACGACAGTAAACGGCGTGCCTCGTGGGCCCCGAACCATGACCTCTTGGAGGAGTGGCGATTGTTTCGGACAGATTATTGGAGACGGATTCCAAGACAAGTCAATATCTTCTTCCCAAGGATGACTTGAATGCACTTGCGTTGGATCTGACGACAAGGACCTCTCGTACCTCGCACTCCTTATGTCAATCTCTAGGCTCTGTAAAGCCGGCATATTCTCAAGCATCTTTCTCACGAATGCGATCCAACCTTCTGGACCGGGAGCCGTGTATCGCACGCTCGTTACCCCGGTGAAAGAGGGAACCGGCTTGAGTGTAGGTCCAAAATCCGAACGATAGCCTACACTCCTTACCGCAGGCATTGGTTGCTCAATAATTATCTCGGCAAACTTATGGGGAAAGCATGCGAGAAGACCGGAACAGACTTCAGCGTCTGACCACCAGACTGTTCTGAGAGCGGCACGCATCTGCGGCTGGTCAGGATTGCCAAACGAGTTCCTCCACAGATCGCGTTGCATTGCATGAGCCATGACAGTACCCGGAGTTACGCTGCAGAAGCCGGGCTCGATAGCTTTGGCTGCGTACCTGATCGTTCGCATACGAGGCAGCTTTCCCAATGCATCAACAAGCGTGACGTAGTTCTGCTCGAAGCTGTTGAACTCTGCGGCGACCAGTTCGCTGTACTCCAGCATGCGTTCTCCCTGGGCGGTGGGAGGGAACTGCGACCAGGGATGGTAGTCGAGCCGGCAGTCTGGGAACTGGTGAGATTCCCTTGTGGTCATAGTTGATTCCGAGTTCCCCAAAATTACGATCTCTGTAATATCCCTCGACCATGCAGGCACATCGCAGACATCTATTGCAAAGTAGAGACTCCGTGGATGGAGATAGAGTCTATGACGGCGCTCCTTCAATGGAAAGTCGCAAATCTCATACAGTTTTCCGCATGAAAGACGCAGTCGTAGCAAGTCTGATATGGGTGTTGTCTGCGCAATGGCCAGTATCAACTCATCCGCTAGGTCAAGAAGCCGGAAGGACATTGCGAAAGCAGGCGAACCTGGTTGTTCACCTCGCGCAGGAGGACCTCGTGAAACAGGACTGTGTAGGGTACTGGAAACCGCTGAAGACTTCCTTTACCACCAACGTTAACATGGAGAGGCGGGCGAGGAGGAGACGATCCTTCTAGCCGAGCCGGTMAATAGTTCAACCGGGAAAGGGTACCTCTACTTCGTAGTAGAGCAAAGCTCGTGTTGATTTTGGCTTTCTTGCTATACTCACACTTGGTCATACCACTGACTTGCAGCGAGTTGTGCACGACACATGTCCCGTCTTGTCACTGTAAGCGGATATGACACTCAACGGTCTCTCCCTACCAAACTGCCATGTCATTGCCTCTGTTGAGCAAGTCATGGTACGGGGACCGATAGATTTGACCCGACAGCCCCGTGCAGGGAAGATTTCCAAGGGCAGGCGGCTCTGACTTGGAAGTTGGAATGTCCAGAGAGATGGCACGCTCACACGATGGACTTGTCGTTTGATGAAGAAACGCAGAAATGCTGGCGACGTGTGGGTGTTGACGCGGCGAGGCTGGATGAAAGTTCGGATTGATCGGATCTTCGGGCTAGCGTCGATCTTCTCATCTCCATATCCGGTTCAATTCTGCCATTGTTCGTCTTATCAAGCCTCTGTCCAGGAAGTGATCAGGTTAAGTGTTTGGTTGGTAGTAGATCGGTAGGATACAGCGTTATGGGCAGAATCCGTCAACGCATATCGTCTGCTTCAGCGCAAGTGAAGTGTTTTTCGCCCCCTCGTGTGACTATTAATATCTTGCAGGGGTCCCGTTTTCTCCTCTCAACCCTCCCCGTGTTGCTCGCAGCTTGTGGCACCGAAACCTCACTCGACCTTGACGACCTTTCCATCACCACGACCTACATTCGCTTCTTGTGACCGCGTGCGATTGTGTACCTGTCATACGTGGCGCCTATCTATTCTATTCACTCGCTACAGTACACAACAGCAGACCACGAGGAAGTAATCGGAAGGCACGAGTGACACGACGCGATATTTCTATCCATCTCATCCCGGAACAGACTTCGTCTACAATTACGAATTCATCCCATCTATTCCGCACTCTTGAGCGCGCCAGGTCTCATAATACCGCTTCGTAGCCTTACATCTGCATATTCTACACGATGCGCCCCGCCGAGCTGCTCACATCCCTCCTCCTCTTCTCTGGGGCAACATCCGCGTGGATGCCAGGATGGGGACCCGTTGGTGATCTTGAGAATGCTGTTGCACCCATGGAACGACGACAAGATACTTCGAAATTCGACCTCTCCTTCTCGGGAGTGCAGGGCAACACCGCCACGACCGAGGCCTCGACGAAAGAGACGTCAACAAACAGCGATGACAAGAACGCCGAGACGACCAACACAGCCGATGAGACGGGCGATGCATCTTCAGGGAGGACGACGGGCTCCGCACGACGGACAGGGACATCTACAGGCTCAGGTACAAAGACGACTGGGAAGTCCAAGACTTACGACGCACGATTGCCCGCCGGCGGTGTCTCGATGATCACACCCAACGCCCTCTCGACGCAGTATTACAAGATCGAAGACTTCGTCACCTTTGTATGGAATTACACTTCGCTTTCCGCTACGCCATCAAAGATTGATGTGCTTGCATCCTGCGCCACAAACAACCAGCTGTATACGATTTCTTCCAATGTCTCGGTGGAGGAGACGCAGAGCATCATCTGGGACACTGGCGCTTTCCAGTCTAGTGCGACCGTCCCGCTTCTCACTGAGACTTACACCCTCATCATCCACGATGCTGCGAAAGATATCAGCGCAGCTCCCCAGGCTGGCTATCTCGGCGTGGCGAACCAGTTCACTTTTGGGATGTACACACCGAAGCCGTATGTACCCTTGAACGAGTTCAAGTGTGTGACTTGCAATAGTGCGGATGCTTTGGTGGAAAGGCAGACCCTACTCGCGCTCGTTGGAATGGCCAGTTTGACTGCCATCAGTTTTGGCTGGTTCACAGGAGTTGCAGGACTATGGTGATGTAAGAGCTTGGGCAAGTAATTGGATATGGAAAGTCGGTGATTTGTGTACAGCATGGCGTTGGGGTCATGATTTGGGGACTTTTGAATGTAGCACATTCCTTACGTGGACATAAAATAGGGCACTGATGTGTGGAGTTCTTGGACATGGTTGTCGAGGGAGGATCCTCGCGTGGCTTTGCTTTGCCTGTTAGAACATGTAATGTCCGTACAGTAACGAAAGAAAGACTGGACTGAAGCCCTCTGGCAATGGTCTCCGTGCGAGTCCGGGGTCTGTGAATGAAGCTCCGGACATCCTCGCAAACTGCTTTACCACCAAGGATGGAGACATCTTTCGTGGAGTGGATCTTCACCACCAAGGCCTCACGCCTACAAAAAGTCATATCTATGCTTTCCAGGCGAGCCATCTCCTCGCCAGCTTAGGAAATCTCTCTCGCTCCCTAACACCGGCCACCAAACTGCATGAGAGCATCTGAACGTCGCTTCTAGCGCTGCAATCTTGGAAGATCCCTCCAGACGCTCGTCGTGTCCTTACGATTGGCACATGTAACTGACTCGGAGTTCAGGCCGAGTTCTTCTTGACAATCGGTTCATCCTACCTTACCTCCGGAGGTAACGTGCGTTGAATGATGATGGTCGTCAACGACGACCAGCGTCGAATCGGGAAAATCAYAAGCAATCCTCCCAGGGCTACAAACTTGTCTCGCAGCTGGGTATGGAGTCATTCAGGTGGATGAAAACCCCTCCAATGTGTAGGATTTGCTCTCACGACATATGGGCCGTCTTTCTTGGCACTTTGAAAAGACTACATGGTCAGGACTTATGAGCAATCGAATGGCCGAACCATGTGGTAGATTGGCCATTTTCCATTTTCCATTATTCTCCCAAACATCCTCAAACCTCTCTCCACTTCATGTTGGCTCATTATCGTTCACACCTCAACAATTCCGCAGTCTGGACAGCTTCAAAAAGAGCTCTAGAATGATAGCCCAAACTCTCTTTGCCCCACCATTGTGATGATGAGTGAGCTTCAGCCATTTAACAACCATAAATGATAACCATTGGTAAGCTCATGCGTCTAGAGACAGACCTCCGACCACATTTTGCCTGGAACAGGTGTCCTAGTTCCGATCAACGACGATCTTGATGTCACTGGATTGTGCCACCTCCGGTGGTAGGACAAGGCTACTTATAGACTTCCACTTCCATCTTCTTGCTTAACATTGCCATTGATAGAGAACAATTACTATCAAACTTTTTGAACAACTTATCATCATGTCGAAGCCAATCAAGCTCTATGGACACGTTCTCGTCAGTGCACTGATCGAACCAATGTCGTCGTCTAGCAACTCACACTACGGTTGCAGGGCCCCAACCCATGGAAGGTTGCCATCATTCTCGAGGAGCTGAAGATTCCTTACGAGACTGAGTACATGGACTTCTCCGTCTTGAAGCAGGAGCCATTCATCAGCCTCAACCCCAACGGCCGTACGTCACACAACTCTTACTTTCGACAAGAGGGTCGCTCCAAAGAGACTTCGATTCCCGAACTCCTCTTCCACTCCCTCCTCAAGCATGATGCTCTCCGAGAGTCTTCACTGACAATAATCCGTGCTAGGAACTCCCGTCATCGAGGACCCAAACACCGGCATCACACTATGGGAGTCCGGTGCAATCATCGACTACCTGGTTGAAGAGTACGACAAGGAGAAGACTCTCAGCTACACTCAATCTCCACAAAAGTACCACGAGAAAGTCTGGGAGCACTTCCAGGTTTCAGGACAAGTATGAAGAAGAATATCTATCCCATAAACAACATCATAAAGTATTCTCAAACTGACATACCATCAATCCACAGGGCCCATACTTCGGCCAAAAAGCCTGGTTCACACTCGTAAGTCTCAATCAACACCGCTTTGCTCCAAGCATCCCATCCAACAAAAAACTAACCTCCAACCCTTCCTTCGTCAGTTCCACTCCGAAAAAGGTATCACGAGCGCCATTGAGCGCTACGGCAACGAAATCAAGCGCACCCTCGGCGTCATCGACCTGCACCTTTCCAAGACCAAGCAGCCTTACTTGGTCGGCGACAAAGTCTCCTATGCGGATTTGATGTTCGTGCCTTGGAACTCCATGGTGGGATTCCTGATGCAGGATGATGGATTCGAGAATGAGTGGAAGAGCAACTATCCAAAGTGCTATGAGTGGCACCAGAAGCTTGTTGCGCGCCCTGCGGTCAAGAAGGTGTTGGATGAGAAGGCCAAGATGAATGCTAAGAACTAGAGGGATGTTTTCGTAATTCTTCGCGACGGATAGGAATGATGAGAAAGGCTACGTTCATTGTTTTGGTATCCTGTGCTCTACATTTCCAAGTTGGTCTCGTCGCCTTGGTCAAGTTTCGTCCTTGGTTTTATCCTGCCCAGTGCAAAGTCCGCCATTCAGGTACAATCCGCACTTCAATCCAGCCCTGCAGGTACCACATTAATACCGAACTTGGTTCAATTGAAGCTTGAGTGCCGACCAAGTCCAGGTGGGGAGGCAGACTTCTTTCCCATTCCCAACTTCATGCAAAGGCTCCTCCACTGCCCGAATTCTACGTGCAGCCCACGTAGAGTTGCAAAACGCAACTGTTCGGTGATCAGCCGGTGTGACTCACTTGCACATCTCTACCAATTGAGAGGTCGACGAGGCGTGGATAGTGTTATACAAAGGCGCATATCCCTCCGAGGCCGTCTGCTCGTTCATTCGTGTAGCTCATTATCCGAACAAACCACCCCATTATTCATCACACAAGATTGCTGGGCGAATGTTCAACGGGGCTTCGCACCAGCTCCGGGACGGATATGCTACCCTCATGCTCCGCGCTGCATCCAGAAGTTCTCAATCCGACAACACTCTCAATCCCAGGCACAAGAACCCCATTGCCGGGATCATGAGAAGTGGATCTTCTGAGCCTGACGTGCATGCCTTCGTGGGTATTACACCGCCTTAGGTCGCATACCAATCGCTCAGAAGACTCCTTACGCCAGCCACCCTCTTCGCGATCCTCTTGCTTCTGTGGCCAAAGTATGTCCTTGAGAACCACAGCCCGGATCATCATAGTGAATATTGCACACCAGGCGATGATCAAGAGTATGGTCATAACGCATCCGAGAATCTTGATGGGCCGATTATCGAGAGCCTTTGCGATGGCAAATGTTGCCGCTGTCAAGGCCGTGTTGGGGAAGACGTATGAGTAGAATGTCATTGCAAAGGGCATTCTCCCTTTGCCCAGACAAGACCAGTGTGCACCAACGGAGACCAAGAAGAACCAGAATGCGAGTCCCCAAAGCCACAGTCCAACCCATATGCTGACGATCTTGCTTACTTGACCTGCTAGCTCGCCATTGCCCATGAATGTTGGAGAGACAATATCCGGAAGGATGCTGCCCATTGATACGATCCCGGATATGGTAAATCCAGAAGGACCCACACTCACGAACATGCCGGGACGAAGGCTCTCTTGTGGAAGCTTCTCCGTCATGAGCCTATAGATGAAGGCGGCATAGATCATGAAACTGAGCATGAAGCCGATTCCTTGGAAAACGAAGCCTCCGATTACAATTTCGAGAGCCTTGTCCGGACGGTGTAAGAGATTCCCTGCTAGAGCTCCCGCGTGAGGACCAATAACGAGCAGTGGATAGGATGGAAAGATCCATACAGGAGTCATTTGAGCGATTGTGAATGTTTGGGTGGACCACCTGCAGATTTCGTCAGCACAAATTTGTTGGATTTGCGGAAGGGCCTCATCGTACATGACAAGGTAGATGCCACAACTAAAGATAACTGCCAATCCGCAGTACACCCAGAACAGAACAGTCATCGTCGAAAGAAGCCATTCCCCGGCTCTGCCAGGAGCAAGTCCATACTGTGATATGTTCAGCAGGATTGTCCCTATGCTGATGATGCTTGCGGGAATGAACAGACTCTCAGTCGGATGCAGGATCGACTGTAGAAATGTTGAAGGATGATAATGGAAGCGGAGAGATATCATGGTGACATTAAAGATGAAGAGGGCGATGTTGAAGAGAAAGAAGACAAGGCCGATATAATACAGCCCTGGGAAACGATATGGCACTGCAGGCAAGGTCAATATAAGATGATGGAGATGTTGAGGATTGTGAAAGAYACCCACCCTGGTAGAGGACGTTAGCCACGCCACCAGTAGCCATGGTCATTGTAAACCAGGTGAAGGTGAAGTGCCGTATCCTCTCCTTGAAATGCAGGTGGTGGATGTGCTCATAGTGTTCAAACATGTTCCTGCGGAATCTGTCGGAGCTCCACTGTCTGAAGGAACCTGGTCTTTGAGCTGTTGGAGGTGGTTTCAGAGTCGATGGCGAATGTTTCTCACTCTCACTTTCGACTCCCACCAGGCGGAGTTGTGGCAGTGGTGCTAGATATGAGAAAAGTCGTCAGTCGCGGATCCTGGCATCGTAAACTCCACGCTTGACTTACTGCTTGCCGATCGCTCATGTTTGCCCCCGGCCATGGTTGGTGCTTCTCAATCTGCTGCAAGCTAGGTGAAAGCTTCGCCGATAAGATGTTCGAATTAGGGATTGAAGGAGATGCCCCAAACCGCTGCGTTCAATGGCCTGCTGCTCTTCGCCGGATGCTATGTCGCATGGTTGGGGAGTGGAATGATGATGCCGGTACAAAAAAGATCATGGCATGACGACAGGCCTCGTGCAAGCCCACCACATCGGCAGACCGGCAAGCTAGACCAGGTCAGGTACCACTGGTAACTGGACGTATTTGACATCGGATATGGCGAGCCGCGAAGGCTTGAGACGAGCTCTATAAAGGAGCTGTAGCTTCAGCTTGCATCGATTCGAGCCGTCCTTCCAGCATCCCGAGTGTTGACATGCATCTGGAGATGTCGTGGATTGTCAGAAATGAAAGCAGATGGAAGAGAAAGATGGGGTGAAAGGACCGCCATGGCGTCCGTGCCCGGTCTTGTACAAGATTACTGTACGGAGTAACCCCTCGGCGTTGATCTTACCCTCGCGTGGTACGCGTCGTTGCTCCTGTTAGCTACGCGTCGCCAAAACCAGCAGCGGAAACATGGCGCCGAGGAAGACTACAACCAAGGCGAAGGCCAAAGGCAATGGACCAGTGGCGGTCAAGTCGAGAGGAAAAGCCCCGGTGGTCATTCCATCCAGCAATGATGATGCTGACAATATCCTCACCAAACCCGCATTCAAAGCAGCCAAGACGGGAGCACGAAAGTCCACATCTTCATTTGACCGCAACATCCAGAAGCTGCTGGAGATGCAGAAGCAGTTGCCCTCTCCGGTAGCCGAAAGCTCCGCCATGGCAGCAGGCGCAAGTGAGCCGGCGGACGAAACGAATGATGCGATGGCGAGACAGCTGAAGACCCTCGACAAGCTGCTGAAAGAAGTCACGCAGTTGCGACATTCCATTCTGAGCCGTGAAGATCAGGTCATCATGCTTGGTGCTGTGCATAGCATCGACATGACTTCGGATGCCATCAATGATACGGTCAATGAGATTGCAGATACGCTAGAGACCACTTCGGCCGGGGTTGCTAGCATGGAAGCGATTATGGATGGGATTGATACCCAGACAGATACCATCAACGACACTACCTGTGATATCAAAGACACCGTCACGGAGATCAATGATACTGTCGATGAGATCAAAGACGACTTAAAGGATGTGCCAGAGACCGTGGACGAAATTCGCGACACTCTCATTGTGATCCAAGAGACAGTTGACGAGACGTCGACTAAAGTTGACACTGTAGAAGAAGCGTTGGCGATCCATGAAAACGTCAGCGCAGCACGCTACCGTTCACTTGACCATTCCATGGACATGATGGGAAAGAAACTGGACGCTCTTATCGATATGGTCCGGGCTCAGAGTCATGTTTGCAGACACTACCGATAGTAACGACTTCTTCGCTGTTCGGTTATTTCTTACCAAGAAACTTGGGTACTCTATCGTATTGTAGACTATATTGTAAAGAAGTAATTCGGGTTCCGATCACCCGCCTCTTTGACCTGCAGGACAATTAGTACAACCACCAAAAAAAAAGGTCTCGCACAGTTCTTACCTCATCCTCGGAAAGCCCCTCAACCATCCAATCCTCCTTGCCAGCCCTCTTGTTAGCATTTCGCCGCCTCCAATAAAAGTGCATACCCGTAAACAACGAACTGTTCAACCCCAACAACGCAATAGCAACCGCATACCCCTCCACATACACCGGTCCACTCCCCACGAACAAAAACGGCGACAACACCCCCGAAGCATTCCCCAGCGTAAGCTGAATCCCATTCGCGGTCGTGCGTTTCCCATATCGAGGATTGTTCGTCGACATCCAAGGCATGGCCATTCCACAGCACGTGAAAATGCAGCCTCCGATGAGAAAAMACCCTACGAGCGCCGCGGCCGGGTTGGCGTATGTGAGGAGAAGAATGTAGCCGGCAATGACGCCGAAGATGTTGAAGACGAGAAAAGGGCCGCGGATTTGGATGCTGTCGCTCCAAATGGCGCAGGAGAGGTAGACTGCTGTTCCGAGGGCGTAGATTGGGATGGTTAGACTGGTGAGAGTCAGCATTGATGCTCATATTTTTCGTCAAAGAACAACAAGAGCCGGCTACTGACCATTGGACCTCCGCGATGGAGTAATCACCCGTCTCCCGGATGATGGTGGGCAGGAAAACGCTGAATGCGTAAAGTGTGGTGTTACTGCAGAACTGACAAACGGCCATGACATAAACCTTCCAGTCTTTAAAGGCTTCCTTTGCATCCTTCATGGAGAACTCTTGGCCTGATACGGTCTGGCCTACTTCTGCCTGTCGGAGGAGAATCATATTCCGGCGGTCTTCTTCAGTCAGGAAACTAGCCGTCTCGGGATTGTCGGCGAGGACGAATGGAATGGCAAATGCAGTGACGACGGTCAAAGCTCCGTTGATCTGGAGAGAGTCAGACGCTGGTCGACATTTGCGAATTAATGTTGGCGAACCGCGAAGATCCAACGCCAGGCTCTCCATCCTGCTGTGCCCGGTGGCATCACGTATCCGGGATCACCAGGGTTCGTACTGGCGTCGTTCGGATCGTTGTCCATGAAGCCGATTCCGTATGAGACAAGACCTCCAACAGCGCCAGCTATTGCGGCTGTTGTGAAGAGATATGCCATTCGCAGGGCAATATGACGTTTGTTGTAGAATATGGTCAAGTATACCACAAGTCCAGGGAACAGGCCGGCCTCGAAGAGTCCCAAGAGAAGTCGGATCACGAGAAGACCTGTGAAGTTCTGGATGAAGGCCGAAAATGTTGCAACGAGACTGTCCATGTCAGTACATTCAGGCGAAAGGATTGAGACTCATCTGGTAGAGCCCACCCCCATGCCAGCGTCAGAGCCCCGAGATAGTATTTCGGCCTCAGCTGCTTCAGGACCATGTTCGATGGCGCTTCGAACAGACAGTAGGTAATGAAAAGGACGGAAATACCGACCTGGTACTGGCTGCCTACCAATCCCAAGTCAGACTCCATGCCGTATAGCCTGTCGAGGGATTTAGCAGAAACCCATCGATACGAGATGTGGATAGAATTGCCTAGCATTTCCAATCGAAACTCGATCCATGAAACTCATCAGGTACATCCACATCACCATTGGAATCAGCCGCATGTCCACCTTCCTCATCAACTTCTTCTCAGTTGCTTCATCCACGATAACTGGCTGGTTGATGGCATACTCGACCTGAGAGTCAGATGGACTGTCGCTATTATGCCCACTCTTTTCGCTCGCATTGGGCGGAGCAGGAGTCATGTCGCCAGTTGCAGGTCGGATGGCCTTCCGGGGAAAGGGAGCCATTGTGTTAGAAGTTTGTGTTGAGAAAAAAAGTCGTGAGGGTACCTGACATCCCATTGCTTACTTACTTCTTTTGTAGCGCTTCGCTTGCTCTACGGCGCGTAACGAGCACGCAACCTAGCTCTCCACGGGGTGACGTGCGCGATGACCCCATCTGTGCGCGAACTCCTAAGCAGCTTCGAGAGACCAAGCCTGGGTATCGCTAGGCTAGGCATGTCGGATCCGACGCACTGGTGGGACACATCAAGTCTTTTAGGGAGACATATGCGCTTATTGCCCGGTGTGCAGCACGTTGTGAGTCTTCGCCTTCGGGGCATTATTATCATCACAGATCCCTCTCCAGCTGGGCTTCGATTACACGATGCAGATCGCTTGAATGGATTTGACTCTTGCCACTCACGGGTCACGGCTATAGCAGCCCCAGAGCCCCAGCAGTCTTGCCGCATTGGTCTGATTCGAAGTCCCCACCAATCTTTTATGGGGTCAGAAGAGACGACAGGTGGAGGCGTTAGCGATGTGTGGGGCCCAAAGGCTCAGGACATATCTTGGCAGTATTTAGGTGCAAGAGGTTAAGTGGCCCGGGTCGTGTTCTCCTTGCCAGAGGTTGGGTGTTGAAACAATCCAGACCATCCGGAAGGTTGATGGCGTTCATGAGAGATTCCTGTTCATCAATCAAGGGCCGCTCTGCAGCATAAGGTACGTCTTGCTGCGTCGCCGCTTGCCAGTCTCTTTCGCCGAGTCTTGGAAGTAGTGAAAAGGCTTGCTCTACAGCCACATGCGTAACCGTCGCGTGTCATTCTGGGAATTGAGACTGACCGAGGTGGCAAAGTGCCACACTGCAGTTGTACGAGGAAAGAAGGGCTTGAGCGAGAGATGATGTTGCCGCTTTCGAAATGCATCAAAGTTTAGTCATCGTGCATAAAATTAAATGGAGCTAGCAACCTCACGACAATCGTTAGGAACATTCTCTGACATGTGAAAGCGTTGTACTCACGCATGCWGAACAACGTATTGCGGGCTTGGAGGTGCTATTTATCCACAACACATAGCCCGATTCTCGCCATCTCACTCCGCGCCATGGCCACCGTCCCTATCAATAGCACTCCAGCAGCTGGACAGCTGATCGAACACGAAGGGAAAACTTACGAGACAATCCGCGAAGGCCAGGCGTATATCCTCATTCCACCAAATACGCAAAAGCACGTGAACCCGCAGGCGAAAGACAAATCAAAGATTGACGAATCGGTCAAAGCACAGAGCGTCTTTTACAATCCCATCCAGCAGTTCAATCGGGATCTGAGTGTACTGAGCATCAAAGCTTTTGGCGAAGATTGGATAGCGCGGAAGAGGGCATATCACGACAAATTCAGGGAGAAGAACCAGCAGAAGAGAGCGGCATACAAAAAGCGGAAAGCAGATGCCGCGAACGGAGAGAAAGAGGGCAGCGCGAAGCTCAGAAAAGCTGCTGATGGGAGTCCGCAGAAACCAGTTGATGAAGCTGTGGCTGATGAGCTAGATGGAGGTGTGAGTGTAGCAGCGGGCACGGGACTGCAAGATGAGACCAATGCTGCTGCAAGCTCAGCTTCCATCGTTCCCGAGAATGGCACAAATGGACAACAGCCGCCAGCTAAAGGTGCTGAAGGCAACTCGAACGGGCAACAACATAAGCCCACAAACCCGAGTTTCCGTATTCTGGACGCCCTCTCCGCCACTGGACTACGAGCATTGCGATATGCGAAAGAGATACCATTTGTTACTTCAGTGGTGGCCAACGACATGAACCCAAATGCCACCAAGAGCATGGCATTGAACATTGAGCACAACGATCTCAAATCCTTGATTACGCCCAACACTGCCAACGCCATCGGTCACATGTATCAAGTGGCATTTCCGCCTACTGACTCGCATGGTCCTTCTCACCAAAACCAAAAGTACGATGTGATTGATCTAGATCCATACGGTACCGCAGCACCATTCATCGATGCAGCACTGCAGGCTCTGAACGACGGAGGTCTTCTCTGCGTCACATGTACAGATGCTGGTGTCTTTGCGTCAACGGGGTACTGTGAGAAGACGTACGCGCTGTACGGAGGCATGCCTGTCAAAGGCTCGCATGCGCACGAGGGTGGAGTACGTTTGATCATCAACTCCATCGCATCCGCAGCCGCTYGTTATGGATTGTCTGTCGAGCCTCTCCTCTCCCTAAACATTGACTTCTATGCGAGAGTATTCGTACGCGTTCGGAAGAGTCCAGCGGATGTCAAGTTTCTCGCAGGCAAGACAATGTTGGTCTACTCTTGTGATTATGGCTGCGGAGCTTGGTCGACGAATATGTTGGGTCGTAATGTGTCGCAAGCTGGCAAGAACAGTACATTCTTCTACAAACATACAATCGCCCAGGCGCCGACCGCAGACAGGCTATGCGATCATTGCAAGCAAAAGATGCACATAGCTGGGCCAATGTGGGGTGGTCCCATTCATAATCGTGCATTCATCGAACAGGTATTGGCAAGCTTGGAGACCGCTGATGGTGAGGTCTACCAGACAATACCACGGATTGAGGGCATGTTGACGACAGCTCTGGATGAGCTGTTGATCAACAAGGATCCGCTCACCGACAAGGACGGCAACTCTCCATCATCGAAAGAGTCCGAGCAAATGATCCCTCGAGTTCCAGCTGAAACCCTCGACCACCATCCATTCTTCATCAGTCTCTCCGCACTTAGCAAGGTATTGCACTGTATCGCTCCCTCGGACGCTTCTGTCAAAGGAGCTCTCAGGCATGCAGGCTACATAGTGACAAGAAGTCATTGCCAGCCCGGGAGCATCAAGACAGATGCGCCATGGACTGTCATTTGGGAGGTGATGAGAGAATGGGTGCGGCAAAAGCAGCCCATCAAGGAGGGTGCGCTGAAAGAAGGGACTGCAGGATGGCATATCATGCAGAATGCCAGGAAGATTGAAGAGTCTGAGACCGACACTGCCAATGGCCCCGCAGCTGACTCTGCAACTCCTGAGATCATCACGGACGGAGCTGCCAAGGTCAAACAACCGGCGGGCGAAATACAGCGGATCAATGTCGTCTTTGACGAATCGCTGGGCAGAAACCCAAAGCCTGAAAAGGGTGCGAAGAGATTGGTTCGCTATCAGATGAACCCGAGGGAGAATTGGGGGCCTATGACCAAGGMGAAGGGAAGCGGTTGAACAGGCCATTTGTTGGTGTTACTAAGTAGCACAATGAACCTTGCAGTCTTCCCTTTCTCGTCGAACGCCTCGCACCGCCGTCTGCTCTTCTCTAGTCTGGAATGCGCTGTGCTGCGAGGACAGCCTGTCTCTGTTTCAAGCCCCGACAGGGCATGCCTAGATTTGCGACATGTCGTCGTTAGCAGCGCTGGTTCCGCAGCGCACGAGTTCGACCCGTGCCGGGAGAATTCGTCAGCGCTGTGTCTGACGATGGATGTATGAGAGCGATATCGCMTCAGGGATTGCTGCTTTTGCACTCAGTGGGAGGAGCCCAAGTGTGAATGGTCGCTCGAGGAGCTGAAGATCTCTTGATGGCATAAAGGACTAGCGGTTGCCTTGGCCAGGAGTTTGAATGACGGAGAATCTTTCGAGACGGAAGGTCTTCTCTTGGGTAGATGGTGGGCCCTCGTAAGATGTTGATACCAATACTTTACTGGAGCTCACCGTCCTCGTCGTCATCGCAGACCTGGTCTTCTCTTCCGTTACCTCCAGCGATTTGGTCGTGAGTGAGGTCATCAAGTCTGCTCTTGTTGCGCGAGGCCTCGTCCCTCCTACCGCTCCTCTTCCGCTTCGGTGTCGAGTCCTCTATAGCTTCACCTCCGCTTTCGTTTTCATTACCTTGCCACTGAGGTCGCAATGAATTTTGATAGACAGGCGCCGGGCTCCCAGATCTTGGAAATTTGCTGCTCGACGATTGGCGAACATGAACAATTGCTCCACTACTGGATGGACATGGCTATGTGCAGAAGAAATCTGGATCTCTGTCGCCGTCAAGTCGGCCTGTACAGCGATCGTGAGCTGCTTGTCTTCGGCCATCTTGTCAATCTTTCTTGTGTCCTCGAACGGCTTCTCCGGCACTTTGCCGTCCTCCTGCTTTCRTTGGAAGTATTCGTCCAGACTGTTTATCTGCTCACTTAGCACATGCTTGTGCTCTACTTCGAGTATTTCCATTTGCTTGATCAAACTCTTGCAGTAAGCGTTCCGCAAGCTCCACTCTTGTCGGCCATGCTCTATCTCGAATTGTGCCGTAGCGATTTTCGTGCTAGAGATCGTAGGTGCCGCTATGTCACCATTGGTCGATTGTATCGCCGCTCTCACGCTGCGTGGAGTCTACGAAATGCCGCCGGCTCGACTACCGCTCGGAGGTGTGGATGTTTCGAAGGCTGCTGAGCGGTAGAGATGTACAGAGTCTCTAATGATACCTGAGTCTCTGGGGTTTTGATCTGAGACCATACGACGATGGCGAGGGCGTCTGGGCGATGGTGGACGTCTTGACCCCGTGCGTGGTATCAGCGTACCCTCAATTCCAGTTCGAAACGCGGCTCTCCGAGAAAGCTGTCCGGTGCATTAGCAGGAAGGATCACAGAATGCCTCGGTTGTCTCCATGCGGCAGGAAGCCAACAGACCTTGCAACGACGGCGACGACGGCGCAACGGCGGCGACAATGGTGCAACGACGGCGACGATGGCGATCACTTACTGTCGCCCATGCCGAGACTATGTCGCGGCTGACATCGCCATGATCTGCCTGGTACATRGACTCGCTCATGAATCATCTCACATTACATATGCATGGAGTGCCATCGGGCACCTGAGATATCAGTACAGAGACGGGAAACACCATGCGACAAAGAACATTCACACGGTAACATGCGCCACGAGAGCACCACGAGTGAATACGATGCGAGGAACATGGAGCTCTTCGCGCCACTGTACAAGACAGCGACACGATGAGCCCACCAGGCTGTGACCTGCCTGGTGAACCCGTCATGCTTGGGGGGAAAAATCAAGCACGACGCGGAGCGCCGATATCGCCCTTCACCATCTTCCCGCTGTGACCTGCGTGGAAGAGGTGGGACGCGACGATCTGGCAGGCGTGGGTACACTTGCGGCGAAGTTTTTTTGAAATCGCCGTCACCGTATACACCACTCCAGCATCCTGCGTGCTGGTGCCATATGCTTTGGACCGGGGAGCTGTCTGCGACCGAAACGGGTAAGGCGACGGTGCACGACCTCTCATGTCTGCGGCTTTGTGTGAGGTATTGATTTGGAGTCAAACTTGGATATGGTCGACAGGCAAGACTCCGTAGAGTGCAAGTTGATTGATCGGCAAGTTGAAATCAAGACGCAAGCCAAACGGAATTGTGATCTGTTTTGTTTCAGAGCAAAAGTTTGGATCCAACGTGAAGAGGAAAGAGAGGAGGAGAGAAGGGCCCTGAAGTATCTCCCTCTGACCGGATGTGCGGGAGAATTTGCTGGTTCTGAGCGAGCTGGCAACAGCAGCAGCTGACTCTTTGGAAGTCTGTCTACGTTGCAACGAGATTTGCAGTCGATGGTAGCTTTGGGTGGAGCCTCCTGGTAAGCCGTGGGGGAAGAAGAAGATCGACATACCAGCTTTCCTATAAATTGCCATGCCGTATGAAAACAGCGGCCGATTGATAGGAGTAAGGACTCTGAAGATGCCTGAATGTCTCCTCATATCGATCGAATACTTCCAATCCATTCGAAATCGCCGTTGAGGCTTTCCTGTAGTTTCGTGAARATGCCACGATATCAAACCTTATTTCGTGCAAACACATATCCCTTCTACAGACACGCAGCAAGACAATTTAGACTACTCGAAATATCACGAAAGCAATGTCATTCTCATCAGAAAAATTGTATCTATTTCCTCATACCAATTCCAGCAAAATCGAAAGATGTTCGACCTTCCGTCAACAAAGCAGCGGCGACTTTCGGCTTCGCACCGACCATCAAGCTTACCGACAGTCAGTCACACGCGTGGCCACTCGACCATGGATACAATATAGCTTCGTCGTCCGACCGAAGCCATATTGTATTACCTGCTTCAGTTGGCTCATGCCGAGCACTCCTATTGTACATTGTACAGGGATGTTTTTAGTCTGTTGAGCTCTGACCGTCCGCAATCGAGCGGTAGCGAGCAAAGTTGCGATCTTGCCTCTTCGAATGACCACTTTCGCAACTAGAAACATCCATGTCAAGTGTGCAGCCTAAATGGAAGAGATTCGATGCTGATTGTTTCTCTCAGGGGTAGCTAGGGTGAATCTCTGGAAAATCGATTCGGCATCATGCTCGCTAGTGTCCCGATGCATGGAACATCACTGCATGGACCATTTCCCCATGAAAACCTATTTAAAATCGAGACACGTTCGTCACGGCATTGGCGGACAGAATATTCTGATCAACAGCGTCGTGCAAAAATGCAAGGCAAAGACTTAAGCTTCAGGCTCTAGGAAGAAAAGACTTGGCACGCACAAGACAACCGCTGCAGTACTGATCATGTCTAGATTGCTGATATAAAAGCACGCCCTTGCTATGCATTCCAACATCGAAACCCGCCTCACTCTATTCTGACAACGACATCTACAATCACAACTCCACGCTGAACCGTGCAAACAAAGCAATCCCCCCACGTCCCACTTCTAACACCGTATACTACCAGAAGCTGCACCAACCAATATAATGCTGACACAAATTCTCCAAATTCGTCGCCTCACTCAGCAACCTCTCCACCTGCTCCGTGACGTTCAGCTCCGTCTCCTTCTTGAAGTCTCTGCCGGTCAACTTCTCCTTGACCCTGCTTAACACCTGCAGCGCACGCACATTCTGTACTTCCTTGTCCGCGGGATCGATACCCTGCACGATACTGCGATTTCGGGGACGAAGAGAGCTGTTTGGTGGCCTCTCGGATGTGGGCGGTGCATTGGGATCGCCACCCATGACGGAAGCGCGACGTCCGGCTGCGGGACCGTCTTCTATACCGTTTGCATCCGCCATGATGCTGGCCCGGCGTTCTGATGGGAATGTGGTTTGAGGCGGGTCTTCGCGAGTTCCCAGACGCCATGTCAGGAGTGGATCGTGAATGAATGCCTCGAGAACTGCCATCAGGGACTCCTTGTTGCTTCGCAGTAGTCGCATGACGTGTTCACAAGTCGTGCGGTAGGAACCCTCGATATTGCTGACTTCCATGGCGAAGGTCAACATTCTTGTCAATCGGAAGGGAACGCGCTCAGGATACTTTTCACGATGCATAGCGACTTCGAAGCAGTCTCCGAAATCGATGTGCACGATCTTGCCAGTGATACGATCAAGCATCAAATTGCTGGGATGGCGATCCCCCAATCCTAGGATGTACCCGACCATAGACATGACACCCAATGAGCGCGTGTAATTCGTTCGTCTGTCCAGCCAGGATTCCGACGACTTGCTCTTGAGCCAAAGCACGCGGTAGAGATCCTGGCCAGTARTATTGTCCAGGGCGTACCCGAAGACTTCAACCTTTTGCATCAAAGTCAAGTTGTCGTAATCCGGTGCCATCTGCAACATGATACGATGCTCGATGTTGAGAAGAATCTTGCGGCTTTCTCGATACTCTCTAATCAACACGTGCAGAGTATCCGAGTTTGGCACCCATCCGATGAGACCGGCTTGTGTGGACAGAGGAATGGCAGCATATCGATGAATGTTGAGGTGACGCTTGAGACATTCCGGATCGGTTGCAAGGAGAGTATTGACCAGACCAAAGAGCTGCATGACTCTCTCATCTTGTCGAATATCCTCATGGCCCTTGACCATGAAATCGTACTTGGCTCCATCGCTACCTCGTAGACCCAGCTTCCGTGGTCGCTGCTTGGAGGAGATGACCGTGGCCACAGGGTCGAAGACTTGGATGCGAATGATTGGCTTCCCACTGATATATGTGCCCGGCACAGCAAGATCAAGATCATGTGCATTCTTCAGTTCCGGCGAGACATATTGAAGTTCGAGGCTCATCAGTTGTGGAAGCTGCCGGGCAATCCTCTTAAAAACCCCGTAGTACAGATCCCACGCCTGATTAAGGTCGCCAATCTCCTTTGTCGATTTGTATGCCTCGCACCAGTCACGAGCCTCGTTGAGGTCGCGGCCGAATGATTGTATGAAGGAAATTTCACGCAAAGTTTCTGGTCCTTTGCGGAGCATCTCGTGCATAGGCTCAAGAGTCGCCAGCATGCCTTGAATGTTGTGATCACCAAAGTATAGACGACTGGCCTCCTCCAGGCCCTCGTGCCATTGCTCATGCCATAAGACAGCGATGCGGATGAGCTCGTGGCTGACCAGCCCCGCTTGTTCTACCAACTTCGGGGAATGTTGCTTCATGGCCTCCATGATCTTGGCGGCAGATCGCGAGCGATTACCCACGTCACTCTTCATGCTGACGGTAAGTGGATAGACCAGAGCTTGGGGATGCGCGCGCCCAATCTCGACCAGTAGATTGTGGATTCCCTCACGCACCAATCTGTTCGGCTGATTGATTCGGGCAATGAGCTGAGGAATTACCTCTAGCCATGTGTCGACGCTGACCGAAGCTATGCCTGTGGTGACGCTGTGAGTAACTTCTTGGTGCGAGCCATGGGCGAACCACATGGTCAACAATCGCAGCGTATCCTGCAGCGAGCTGGACGAAGAAAGCGCAATGCTCTTGAAGAATCCCTTGATAGCTGGGACCACATGCTCCGAGACAATGTAATGTGGAACGTCTGCTGCCTCGCGGTCCCCCGATGTGAGGGACGTGACGACTTCGAAGTTCGCGAGCGCCCATGCATGCCATGCCTTGCACCAGTTCTCGTTGTATCTGGTGGCTGAGTAATATGATTGTAGGACGTCTTGGACGGACTCGGACTGCCAGTCGCCATTGTGCAGCTGAACTTGCCAGTCACCCTGTTTCAGATAGCATCGGGCGAGCAAGATTCTCCACTCATCAAGCTCAGCTCTCTCCTTTGCGGAGATGTGATGCGAGTGAGCAGATCCAAACGGACCACTGCTGTGGATTCCATTGGCTCCGTTGATGCCGTTGACTCCGTTCGTGCCGTTGAGGAGCGACACATGTGCGCCGTTGACAGCTGGGCCAGCAATGGCGAGTGCAGCTGTATTGGTGTCTTCGTAATCCTCCCGTAATCGTAGTGTGAATTCTCTGAGCGCTTGGAGAGCGACATCGTGCTGATCGTTGCTCCACAGGAACTTGTAAGTGGCATACTGCACCTGGTATGGAGCCCTCTTGATCCGCTCCCAGCCCTCTGGTCCTGTTTGTAAGTTGCCTATACAGGCCTGGCTTCCCAGCAAGCTGTTAAGACTCTTCTCCGCCAGACCGCCTCTCTGGGCCTTGCGGCAGATTGAAGCGAACTTGATGTACATGTCTTCGTTCTCCTGTGGTGTTATCACAAGAGCCCGGACCTTGAGCATGCGTTGCCAGACATCCACCTGGCGCTGACAACCCTTTAATCTCTTGGTCCAGGTTGCACGCATGCGTTCCTGCTTCTCGGGATCGTTCATGTGCTGCTTGTAGGTGATGATCTCTTCCAGCTCCGCCAGCATCTGTACGCGGACAATGACAGAGTATGCACGGGTGTAGCTCTCCCCCAGTAAGGCACTAAGCTCCGTATCGAGGCCATCTCGCGCTCTGGCAATGTGTGCATGCGCCTCCTCGAAGTGGTTCCGGTGGATGGACAGAATGGCACCAAAGAAGCTTCGATCTGGAGTGTGCTGCTTCATGGCACCAAGGTAGTCGTCCATGATGTCCCATTGCCCCATACCCCAGGCCGCAGCTGCAGCTAGGGGTGCGATGTGTCGTTTGTTCTCGCTTGACGCAATCATCCACTTGTCCTGCGCTATGGCGGAAAGTGTATCCCATTCACCGAGAGCGTGCAAACATCTCATCTTGCCCATGACAACCTCAAATGAGGCCTTCTGAGGACCTCCCTCAGCTTCCTCGCGTGCCTGATATGCGAGAAGTGCCTCTTCCCACCGTTGCAGTTTTTCGAACCACGTCTCCTTGAGATCGACGTCTTGATATCCTTGGGCCTTTCTAAGGATGCCGAAAGCTGCGTCCGTCTGTTGCAGTTGGTTGTTGATAGAAATCAAAGCTTCGACAGCACTTGCGTTCTGCTCAGCGTTGAATTCCAGCTCTTTGTAGTGTAATGCTTTCGCAAAAGCGTGGCATTTTCCAGCGTACATGCCCAGTGTGCGCACGTCAATCGGCAGTGCTTTATCATCGTGCTCCATGAATTCGGCCAGGTTGAGGAGTATTTGCAAAATCTCCGGAGGAATGTTTGGACTTGTCAAGGCGACCTCGATGGAACGTACTAGCTCCTCTTGATATTGATCGTAGAGCTCCGTCCAGCAGCTGACAAAAGCACTATTAAAAAGACTGCGAGCAAGAGGTGCGTAGACTCCTGCGAGATTGGTACAGGCCCTGAGCGCTTGCTGTGGGCTTTCTCGTAGCAGCTCGACAGAGAACCTCCGCATCCACTYCTGCCAATCCTCTCTCGTAGATTTCTGGTTTGCCTCCCAGGCGTTCTTCAAATGCTGTTGGTTGACTGCAAGCTTCTTGGTCTGAATGTCCGGAACAGTCAAATCTTCAATATCTTCTAGCAACTTGTCATCTGTCAGATCTTGCGGCAGGGCTTCACGCTTGTAAAGTTTCTGAATGATAGACTGGTAGTGCGAGTGGTTGATTCTGTTTTGCACCATCACCTTGTCGATCATTGGAATGAAGTGTGTGTACTCTTGGCCCATCTGGTACATGAGTGCACACAAACACTCTATCGCGGGTACTTTCAGCAGAGTGTCTGTGCCTTGCAGTACGCGAGCAAGTGGGTGGATGATTTTGGTCGCGAATTCGGAGATGTTCACTTTCCGACTCAGCTTTCCAATTGTTTCAATGGCTGACTTCCGCACGTCTCGGTGTCGGTAGCGTCCATCTGATGTGTCAAACATTCGCACGATGACCGGGATTATGAGGTGCATGTACTCCTCCGCGCTCTGACCAAATACGAGGAAAGCGTGCAGCACCCGTTGACATGCTGCGCGCCCGCTATCAGTTCGGTTGTCTGCGTCGAGAACGCCGAGCATGAGCGGGAGAACGCTAGCCAAGTAGACCTTGAATTCGCCTTCCAAACTCCTGGAAATACTCTCAACGAGGGCAAGAATGGTGGCTTGAAGCTGATTGCTCTTGTACCAGTGATCGCTGATCGCTTCGAGGATGACGGGTAGATGTGGTCGAATGTGTTGCCGTACAATCTTGACGAGCATGCTCAACTGGTTGAAGTATCCCTCGAGGCGATTCTCGGATGTTGCATCCTTCAGAACGCCAACGATCCCGGGGACAACAGTACCCAAAAAGGGCACGCACTTCATTCCCATGGTTTGATAGATGTTCATCACCGCTTCCACAACGCTGGAATGATATTGCTTTAGAGTGTCTTCCTTCAGCATGCTCATCAGAGTGTTGATGACGACCGTGGGGTAGTAGTCCTCGTTGCTAGGGGTCAGCCCTCTCATGATAAGAGTGACATCTGACTCGGCCTCCGCTTCCGCCCGAAGGTTTGAATCGGGAGACTCTTCTACGACTTGTTGATGCTTGTATGGGTCGAGCGCACCAAGGATACCCATCAATCGTATCGTCTCCCTTCGAAGGTCGCCCGGTGCTTCATTCTTGACAATATTGACCAAGATCGTCAGCAGCTCGGGGTGATCAGTGTATGGATCAATGACATAGCCACTGTTGCTGGCAAGCTGGCCAAGAGTACACAAAGCAGCCTCTCGCTTCTTAGGAGAACCAAGATCTTGCAGACTTCTGATGATGATCTTCATGAGTTCGGGAATGTACCTGACCATATCATCTCCACCGACAGTCGCGAGATCGCCAAGGGCTCGCAATGTTGTAGCAGCAACGTCGGCATTTGGGTCTTCCGTTTTAGGGAGGAGCACTGTCACCATGGGGTCGACGTATGGCTTGATGAGCTTGCTGCTTGCGCTGACCAAATGGCTGATTAGCTGAGCGGACTCACGTTTGTTGTTGGGGCTGTTTGAGTATTCGATCTCAGTAAGAAGTTGGATCAACACTTTGCGAAGCGATGGAAAGACGTATGCGGGATTGACTGAGGTCAGCCTACCAATGATAGTCATGGCAGCTTCTCGGATGGGAAATTTCTCGTCGTWCAGGGCGAGAAATAGAATGCGCACGTTCTCGGCTTTTGCCAGGTGACGGTCGAACCGTGCATCCAACGACACCAGGACTGTCTGTCGTATGTCTGATTGGATGTCTGAGACGCCGACGCTGAGCAGTTTTTCAATCACGTCGGAAACTACTTGGATGGCATGGTGGCTTGTCTGGTGCACAATCGGGTCCTTGACAAACAGCTGGCAGCAAGTCAATGCGGCGGCCTTCCTTATTGTTGGATCGTCATCGTCAACATAGCGAATGGCCACATCTCGAACGAATTCGTTGAGCACATGGCCACTGAAATCGAATGAACCTAACGTTACAAGGGCAAGCGCGATTTCTTGGTCCTGGTGATCTTGATGCTGAGGATCTCTTTGGTCGCGGTAGTCTTTGTTAAAGATGGGAGGGAGGCCTTTACCTTGCGTAGGATGGCCCAGAGTTTGGAAAGGTTGGCCACAGAGCGTTCTGCTGAGGAGATCCAACAATTTCTCCTGTATGGTGGAMTTGACGGGTGGGATGTAATGAGCCATGTCGACCAGGGCTTGGGTTAGGGAGTCTGAAAGTCCACATGCAAAGATGGGATCCAAGAGCGCTTCCATGTACTTGCTCAAAGTCTGACCAACAGCGATTGCCATCATGCTGATGCACTCAAAAATTGGAGCCTCGTCGGAGTGCTTCGTTCGGTTCTTGACAGAGAGGGCGTCTCTGATGTGAAGTAGGATCGTGTCAAGGTAGGGTGCGATGGCAGAGGTGACAGCATGTGCAACCTTGCCGATTGCCACAAATGCCATATTCCGTTGTTTGGGATCCTTGAGCAGAGTCTGAAGATGCTGCATCGAGCGGGCAAGATAGAGGTTGCAAAACTCTTTGGGCGCATATGCGGCGATTAAAGGGATGATCTCCACGACCGTCCGTCTGATTGTCGGATCTCTGTGCTCGCGATACTGCTGGAGCAGAACCCGGTCGGAAGCGTCCTTGTACTTTGAGCCGTGCATAAACATGCCGCCTTGGATCAGCAGGTCCTTGTAGACTAGCAAAGAGCCGTGGATGCACTCCACGGTGCCACGCTTAAAACCATCCTGGGCACCCTCAAACATACGTGTGAGACATGTGGATCGTTGCTGTGGATCGCGGGCGGAGAGGATCTTGAAGCACTGCGACACCACCTCGGCTGCCGTCTCGCGTATCACTACTTTTTGATCGCGCAAGCCTTCCCATATGCTGGACAGAATTCCCGGAATGTACATGTACAGCAAAGTCGAGCTATTCCTGGCCAACTCCCGCAATATAAGGACCGCAGCGAAGCGTCGATTCTCCGTCCTCTCGGATGTGAGCCACTCCAAAGCGCGTTTGACCTCTGCTTCAACCAGCTCGGCCGTCAGAGCACCTCCAGGCGTTGCGAGTCGCCCCAGGCACTTGGCCGCAACCACCATGGCGCTCGTGTCATTTCCCTCGAGTGTCCGCTTGATGTAATTGCTGAACTTGGGTACCTTTTGCGCGGCATCGTCGCCCTTGAAATCGATCAGAGCGTTGAGAGCGTAGAGTCCGCCGGTTCGTTCGTGGGTGTCGTTGCCGCCCAGGATCATGTTCACCATGCGACTGTTCACATCGGCATAGTACGTCTGGAACGGACTCTGCGACAGCTCCCGGTAGGCGGTATTGACATTGTCCAGCAGCCGGGCGGCAGCATTTTGACGGACGACCTCGCTGCGCGCCTTGAGGTCTGTGAAGATGGCATCGATAATTTCCTTGTAGWCGGACATGGCGGGCAGAGTGTGACCGTAGCGTTCAATCTACGTCGTCGTCGTAGTCATATCCGTCGTGTGCGGCTCCCATTCTCTCCGGCAGGACGATGTAGAGGTGGGTGTTGTAAAGTGGAATGGAAGACTGCGGCCTGCCGTCTAGCGTTCGACAGCTAGCCCATCGATGCTGGCGGGGCGGCGCATGATGAAGAACAGCCGAGAAGCTTAATTTAAATGCTCCCGCAGCTGCGAGCCAAACATCCCTCATGCATGATATGGCATGACATGAGCTTGTCCACCACAATCCCTTTCCCCGAACTGCATTTCTTATTCACAACATGAGTGAAGCGCCGGAGCAGTTTCCTGACGTGTCTCAGAAGCTCAACGCCGCCAAAAAGCTATCCGCATTTGAGAAGGAGAAGCAGGCGCAAGAAGAGAAGAGGAGACGCGAAAAGGCAGAAACCGATGCGGCGCTAAAGCAGTTTGAAGATGAATTCGGCGCCAGCGGCGATGTAGACGACCAGTTCGACGGGTTCCCCGCTTCTGTTACTCCTCGAGGACCTGGGGCGGAATATGGCGGACCTCCCTCTGGCCCTCGAAGGGCGGGTCCCGGTACATTGGGACCAATCCCAGGGCCACCTCCGCCAAGTCTGAAGAGGAAGCGAGCGTTGGATGAACTGCGAGAGCAACAGGAAGCACGTCGAGAGCAGCAGGCATTGGCGAATGAACACATCAATTCTGGGCTGTCAAGGCACGAGCAGCACGGTGGACGCCGAGAGGCGCAGGAGGATGATCCAGAGGATGTCGCTCCCAGACCGACGATCCAACTCTCCTCTCTACCACCTGCTACTACCGCTGATGATGTCAAAATGTTGTTGCGAAATCATCTAGAGGTCCACTCTGTACACTTTCAGCAACCCACAGGACCTGCATCCACCAGCAGAAAATCGTTGACAGCTATAGCTACCCTGTCGTCTGAAACATCAACATCACAGATTGACACAGTGGTAAGCACGCTCAAAGACAAGTACCTTGGTTTCGGTTTCCATCTATCCCTTTCTCGCCATCTCTCTTCAACAGCGCTGCTCCCTACGTTATTGGTTGGTCCCAATGCAACATCCGGGGAGCCTTTTGGCGCCGAGAAGGCCGTCAAGGATGCTCCGTCGCGGATGAACATGCGTAATGCGCCACCGCCGGGCCAATTCGCTCCACCCGACTCGTACGAAGCGACCAATCGCGCAATGCAGCCTTCAATAAACTCAACTGTGGTGGTCCATCCGCCTCAAGATATCAAGACGGCCAGAGCAATACACACCATCGCTGACCGATTATTGAGTGAGCCCGATTCCGAACGCGCTCTAGAATTGGAAGCAATGCTCATGGCCCTCCCGGAGGTGCAAGAGGACGAGCGCTTCTCATTCTTGTATGATTCGAAAAGCACTGCAGGTGTCTACTATCGATATCTCTTATGGAATGACACCGATACCACGGAATCGAGTCGACAGCCTCGCACAGAGCGCATGCACGACGATGTTCTCATTGATTGGACTCCACCCGATCGCGAGCTGCCCTTTGCGGACCTGTCCAAGCTCGGTGAGGCGCTCGACCATCGGGACTACGAATCAAGTGAGGAGGATAGTGAAGACGGCGAGTCGCGGACGTTCAACCACGGGCGCAGGGACGCCGATGGTATGCCACAACCTCTTGGCAAAAAGCGCCTTACGCCGCTCCAGCTCGCCAAGTTTGCATGGTTTCTGTCGCGGATGCCATCGTCGCAAGCGAAACTTCGAATTTCCGAGGTCTCAGATGTCACAAACTTTGCCATCAACAATGCTGGAGCAGGCGCCGAGGAGATTGTTGACATGCTTGTCTTGAATGTCGAAAGACCGTTCACCAACACGCAATGTGCAAAGTACGAAGACGAAGATGTCTCGCAGGACGAGGATGATGTCTACGAACCGGATGTTGAGCTTCCAACTGTTGAAACGACTGCTTTATCGAACGATGCAGGTATGCAAACCGGAAAGAAAGAAGTTGAAGATCCCTCGCAGGCAAAACTGGTCGCGCTGTACCTCATCAACGACATTCTCCACAACTCTTCCACGGCTGGCGTGCGTAATGCGTGGAAATACAGWCAGCTCTTCGAGAACGCATTTCGTCGGCAAAAGACCTTTGAGCATCTTGGTCGACTGGAAAAGGAATTGAGCTGGGGTCGCATGAAATCCGAGCAATGGAGGAACAGAATCCGGGCTCTGTTTGAGATTTGGGAGAACGGTAGCGTGTTTGCGACAGWTGTGTTCGAGGCACTCAAGAAAGACTTCTTCGAGCAGCCAACTGGAGGAGATGAGGTCGTTGATCGGGATGCAGCGAAACCAAAAGCTGGAATCGATATGGGGAGGTTCAAGCGAATCGGTGACAGTGGATCGCCGGCTGCTTCTGCGTCACCTGTTGTTGTACCTGCTGCAAAACCCGAGCTTCTCGACACTCCCTCGACAGAAGTCCTTGATGCAACTAGAGATGGCTTTGGAGTTGCACCGATGTCTCTGGACAGCTCTTATGACCAGCCTAAACAAGATCTGGATCGCATGCAAGTCGACGAGGAGCAGAGCAAGCAGTCCGGGCATACGAGCACACCTGTTCAAGTCGAAGAGGCACCCGCGAAGCCCAGCTTCTCTCTTAAAGCTTCCAGCGCTGTCAAACCGCAAGTGTTGCCCGAGCCAAGGCGTAGGAAGCAGGCGGAGGACATGTTTGCCGATAGCGATGAGGAGTGATAGGAGCAAGCCCGTTATAGGCTGACTGCTGCAAGCATGTCGAAGAGGCAAGCTAGGTGTTTCATGTCAAATTTATCGACTACTACCATGTTCGCAAGTCACAACAAGAGCTGCTCTTCTAGATTCATCGATCCTACTATGCTTGTCTGACGTGAGTGCGGACATGGTGAGTGGCAGAAGCCGAGCAGCGAACGCCAAGATGCGGATACTGGACGAAAGATCAGCCTGATTTGACGGGAAAAGCGAGTGACACCGTACCCAGTTCATCGGCTTTTGAAGGCAATAGCCAGTAAGTATATCCACATCACGACGTCGTCCTACCTTGTCGTTCTCTTTCCTAGATCCGCTCTGCTTACCTTGAGCACAATTCAACTCTTCTTACTGGACTGCGTTCAGCTCCAATCCTTGTCAATACAAACATGCCGTGCGAACCAAGTCCAGACGCCTGCAATGGCTGTTCAAACCCAACAACATCCGACTGCCACAATCCAATAGACATTGAAGACTACAAAACAGAACTCACGTCCCTCCGAGCACGAACCCAAGAACTCGAAGAGAAACTCGCAAAACTCAAAGTCGATTCTCCAAGTAACCTTCGCTCTACAAAATGGTTCAACCGCACCGACGACCGCGCCATGTCCGCCCTCTACGTCGACAGATATCTAAACTACGGTCTCACGAAAGAAGAACTCATGTCCAATAAACCCATCATCGGAATCGCCAACAGCGGTTCTGATCTCGCGCCTTGCAATCAACATCACCAAGTTCTTGCCAAGCGAGTCCGGGAAGGAATTCGCAGTGCTGGKGCGATTGCGTTGGAGTTTCCCACACATCCCATTCAAGAGACGACGAGGAGACCTACGGCGACGTTGGATCGCAATCTGAGTTATTTGACCTTGGTGGAGTTGTTGTATGCTTATCCATTCGACGGGGTGGTGTTATTGACGGGTTGTGATAAAACTACTCCGGCGTGTTTGATGGCTGCTGCGACGATGAATATCCCAGCGATAGTCATGAATGTGGGACCTATGCTGAATGGATATCAGAAGAATGTCAAGATTGGTTCCGGGACTGTGGTTTGGAAGGCGCGGGAACTGCACGCGAAAGGGGAAATCGGTGATGAGGAGCTCACGGATATGATCACTGCCGGGACACCGAGTGTGGGGCATTGTAATACCATGGGCACGGCTTCGACTATGAATGCTCTTGCGGAGGCGTTGGGGATGGCATTGCCGGGAAGTGCGACGATTCCAGCGCCGTATAGGGAGAGGGCGCAGTGTGCTTATCGGACTGGTCTGCAAATTGTGGAGATGGTGCATCAGGATCGGAAGCCGAGTGATATTATGACCAGAGAGGCGTTTGAGAATGCTGTTGTGGCGAACACCGCGATTGGAGGAAGTACGAATGCTCCGATTCATTTGATTGCTATTGCGAGGCACATGGGGATTGAGCTCGACCTGGACGATTGGGATCGAATTGGCTATGAGATTCCTTTGATGGTCAATGTTCAACCCGCGGGAGAAATGCTCTGTGAAGAGTACTTCCGAGCAGGAGGTCTTCCAGCTGTAATGGCCGAACTTCTCGACCAAGGAAAACTCCACGGCGATGCCATTACCTGCAATGGGAAGAGCATCAAGGAGAACGTGCAGGGAAAACACACATGGGATCGGCAAACCATCCTGAGTTACGACCAACCGATGAAGAAGAATGCCGGATTCTTGCATTTAACGGGAAATCTCTTCGACTCAGCAATCATGAAATCCTCCGTCATCTCCGACGAATTCAGAAAAGAATTCCTCGAGAACTCGGAAGATCCTAATGCTTTCGAAGCKAAAGCCATCGTCTTCGACGGCCCAGAAGACTATAATCAACGCATCGACACGGCAGATATCGACGAACGCACAATTCTCGTAATGCGAGGGACAGGGCCATTGGGATATCCCGGAGCAGCAGAAGTCGTGAACATGMCTGCCCCCGGCCATCTCTTGAAGAAAGGACTAAAGTACTCTCTCCCTTGTATAGGCGATGGCAGACAATCGGGTACATCAGGTTCCCCATCCATTTTGAACGCGAGTCCTGAAGCGGCGGAGAATGGGAATCTGGCGATTTTGAAGGATGGAGATAGGATTCGGGTGGATTTGACGAAACGGAAGGTGAACATGTTGATCTCTGACGAGGAGATTGGGAGGAGAAGGAAAGAGTTGATGGCCAAGGGAGGGTATGAGATGGTGGAGAGCCATACGCCTTTCCAGGATCTCTTTAGAAGGGAGACGGGTCCGTTGAGTGAAGGAATGGTTTTTAGGAGAGCGACGCAGTTTCAGAGGGTCGCGCAGAGGTTTCCGAGCCCGAGGGATAACCATTGAGCGGGCTTCGTTCTTTTGCTGGCACAAATTGTGTACGGCTGCAGGATTATCCATAGCATTCAAGGATTGGGAATCACGGCCTTGGAGATGACCCCTACGATGTAGAAACGCTTCCAATATTACAACCTATCATGCATCTAACCAACCTCGCTTCCATCCTCCATCTCCTCATCGCTATCCTCCTCCGCTCCTTGCCCAGCAGCATCCTCTTCGTCATCATTATACAACCCCTCCTCGTCATCCCACTCATCATCCGAGTCCGCAGGAATAACCTCGTCCTCATCTTCCTCCTCCTCGCCCTCCTTTGCAGCGGGTTTCTTCTCCTTCTTCTTCCTCTCAACATTAGCCTTTTGCTCCGCCCTCCTGCGATCCCTCTCCAATCTCTTCTTCTCATGTGCCTTTTCCATTTCCTTCATCTCCTCCTTCGTTTTATGGATGTATTCGTGCCACATAACTTTTCCATTGCATACTCCCTCTTCGACTTTCGTCAACCGCAGACGTAATCGTGGGCCAAGTTCGTGCATCTTCACTGCCTTTCGCAACACGCCGTCCTTCTTCTCGCCTCCCGAGGCTTTTGTCCTACGCACCTTTCTCGCATGTGGCATGTCAATCTCCACTTCGGCATCTGTGTCTGGCTCACTGTCGCTTCCGCTGGTGAAGCCGTCTGCAGCATGGGGATCGAGGAGGTAGTCCGCGACATCGTTCAACTTTCCAAGATTTGGAAGATTGCCTCTCTTTCGCTTTTGGCCCGCATGCAACGGCGCCTTCTCCGCAGCATCCAATTTCCTCAACGGTTTGGGCACACTCTTTGCAGTCCTCGTCTCAATCGCATAATGTCTCAGATTTAGTACATAAGTCGCAGCATCATCTTTCGGGTCTTGAGGTTCGCGATCCAGCAGCATCACACGCTTGATGCCTTTCAGCGGCATTGTGGCGGGGTTTATCGGCGGGAAGAGCGATTGGAAGATGCTGGTCGTCAGACTCTCCAAATGTTTCGGGATCTTCTTCTTGTCTTTCTCCTCGCCCTCCATGTCCTTGGTGGTGAAGTTGTTCATGACCAACAAGGGCGGTGACAAATTCTCTGTCCCGCTCGTCTTCGGCCTCTTCATACTGTGGAAAACGTCCTTGCACAAACTGTACTTTTCCACTCTGAAATGTAGCGTTGGACCTCTCGGTGTCAATGCCAGACGGAGATTGGTGTTCCCGGTGCTGCTGCGACTGAAGAGCATCAGATGTGTGACTCCCAGCGGACCGGCCATTGCGGTGTAATCGCGGAGCTTGTTACTCCGACGCTCCTTCAATCTCGAGGCCGTATCTGGTTCCATCATGGTGCGGACATCTTTGACGAGTTGGGAGACCGAGGGACCCACATCGCTGGCGCCGACGCGGATGACCATTGACTTGGGCGGACGCGTGCCGGCCTTGGAGGTCGCGGCATGGTTGGACTTGACGCCCGGCGCAATGGAGGCGCCGACGTGTGTGCGCTTCTTGACGCGGCGTTTGGCCATTTGGTGCGGTGGAGGGTTATGATGAGAAGGAAGTTGCGGTCGGAGAAAATGTTCAAAGCTTCGCCGATCCGACGAGACTTTTCTTATCGATTGCGAAGTCAGCAGACGATCGGATTTGTGTCGCAACGAACGCTGCTCGTGGAAAAGTTGATCCTCCACCGACCACTTCGTCGCCTTTGCCATCCCTCCACCATGTCTTCGATCAAGAGGAGGAAAACGTCGCATAAAAAGTCCGAAGAGGCGGAAACGCCGTCACCACCTCAAGTGTTGACATCCACCCTCGCCGTGCAAACCTCATCCACCAAACCGAAGAATTCAAAGGCAAAACGACCGCGCGATGACGAGTCGGACGAGGAAGAAGAAGAGGTGAAGAATGTCGAAGAAGGGGAGGAAACAGCCGAAAGTGAAGAGCAAGCGGCGCCCAGCARGACCTTTGCAGAGCTGGGAGTCATCGATTCTCTCTGCGAGGCATGCACATCCCTCGGATTCACAACACCCACTGCAATTCAGCGAGAGGCGATTCCAGTCGCTCTCCAAGGCAAGGACATTATCGGTTTGGCAGAGACGGGATCCGGGAAAACAGCTGCCTTTGCGTTGCCAATCCTGCAAGAACTCCTCTCCACACCGCAACCGCTGTTCGGCCTGGTTTTGGCTCCTACTCGCGAACTGGCCTACCAGATTTCCCAGCAATTCGAAGCTCTAGGCAGTTTGATCTCCGTACGATGTGCTGTAATCGTGGGTGGAATGGACATGGTACCGCAAGCCATCGCATTGGCCAAGAAACCGCACATCATTGTCGCCACACCCGGTCGTTTGCTCGATCATCTTGAAAACACCAAAGGATTCTCCTTACGAACACTAAAGTACCTGGTAATGGACGAAGCCGATCGTCTGTTGGATCTCGATTTCGGACCCATTCTCGACAAGATCTTCCAGGTCCTACCGCGAGAGAGACGAACAATGCTGTTCTCCGCGACCATGAGCACAAAACTCAACAATCTGACACGCGCCGCTCTCCAGAACCCGGTCAAGGTTTCAATATCCTCGAGCTCTTACCAGACAGTTCAAAACCTCCTTCAGAGATACATCTTCATTCCGCACAAATTCAAGGACGTCTACCTCATCTACCTCCTCAATGAACACCGAGGACGAACCTGCATCATCTTCACACGAACAATCAACGAAACAGCTCGCATCGCTTTCCTCTTGCGTGCACTAGGACATTCCGCCATTCCCCTCCACGGACAACTGACACAGAGCGCTCGTCTGGGAGMTCTCAACAAATTCCGAAGTGGATCGCGAGAAATCCTCGTAGCGACCGATGTAGCAGCACGAGGTCTCGATATTCCTTCCGTCGATCTAGTCATCAACTTTGATCTCCCTCCCGACAGCAAAACTTATGTGCATCGTGTTGGAAGAACGGCCCGAGCAGGAAAGAGCGGCGTGGCCATTTCCGTGGTGACGCAGTATGACATTGAAATCTACCAGAGGATCGAAAAGGCCTTGGGGAAGAAATTGGAGGAATTCAAGGCGGAGAGGGAAGCGGTGATGATCTTCATGGGAAGAGTGCAGGAAGCTCAGAGGGTTGCTGTGAGAGAGATGAAGGCTGAGCATGAGAAACGCGGAGGAGGCAAGAAAGGAATCTCGGGTGGGCGTGATAAGAAAAGAGGGGGTGGGAAGGGACGAGATGGAATGGATGCCGAGGAGGGATAGTTCTTCAGACGAGAGCTGCGGAGGGCTGTCAGGATGGGACTTGGAGACTGGAGAGTCGAGTTTTGTTAAGAGAGATGTACGGATTGACTTGGAGCATTTAGTACAGATGGTAGGATACCCAATTTAACATAGCCCGAAGGACTATGTCACAAATCTCAAATCTCAACGTGTACCTTATACCTTCAGTCTCCAGGTTTTCCCCATATTCATTAGGATTACCCAATAAACTGCTAAAAGCCTTCGAGAGACGACAAGTCTGAATATATCAACCTGTATTCGCTGTTTCGCTAAACACTATCATCGCTAATGGGTATCTCAAAAGTAACACTATAAAAGCAAAAARCAAAGCCACAGTGCGAGTTCTTGGTCTCCCTCGCACAACTCAAACATTCATCTGCCTGCCATCAAATCACACATCTCCTTCATGGTCACAATCCTTGCTTCGAAGGACCTGAAATGAGAGCGAACATGCCACAAGCATGCCCTCCTCATGATCGGTTTCGCATCACACAACCAACCCAACAGTACTATCCCAAACTGACTCCATAGCCATTGTGGTAGTCCTGAGACGAATCGAATCCAAACTCCTCTGCATCATCTTCATCATCCTCACCTCTTGGTCCACGGTTCTCCTCTTCGCTGCTCCCTGCACTATCCAGCTCCAACATCCCAAATCGATTCATCGTCTCGAATGCCTTGCCTCCTAGCTCACGCTCCTTCGAACGATAAGATCTCGGTGCAGGCAATGGGAGCTCAACATCACATTCATCCGGATAGAACTCAATCTTGCACCCCTTGTACGTCGATCGGCTCATCATGCAAGTTCTCGCAAATAGTGCGTTGTGTACCGAATTGGTCGACACGTACGCATCACCCGGCCCATTCCTATACGTGATATCCACAATCAAGAGGCCGTGAATATGCTCCATGTCCTCGCGGATTTGCTGTTCTGAGAGACCGTGAGATGCAGCACCGCGAATGCAGAGATTACGAGTGGCGCCGTTGTTGACCTTACTGGCGATATGCTTGTTTAGGCGGAACTGGCGGTCTGCCCAACGAATCTCGAGACGCTTGGAGTGCAAGTAAATGTCGTTGCGTTTGGTCCAAGTGAGGAAGTCGGCGGCGGCATCGAAAAACGTAACCGTGGCGCTCTTCTCCGAGCGAACGTTGATGCTGAGGATCTTGCCACCTTTGATCACGGAGAGCAGATCACGGTACGWCGTTTGGGGCGTGATATTGGCAATGTAAAGGGTGCGTTGGTTGGAGCTTCCGCTGTTGTTGTTGATATTGAAGACGTGCGAGCCTTCGTAACTTTCTGCTTCATCGTAGGCTGTGTCTGCTGGGATCGAAGATGGTCCTGTCTCATAGCTGACGTGACGTTGAGATGGTTGACTACTTRGTACTCGCAGGCTAGACTGGTTGGTCAAGTAAGCTCCATTGCCTGGTTGAAGACCAGCGTTGTCCTCGCCGTACTTCCATGATGTTGCGTTGTGAAAGGATTGATGGTTTCCACATGAGTTATCGTCGTAATCGTCTGCCCAACCGCCGACTTTTTGATTGCTCTGCGGTGGCGGGGCCTGACCTCCAGAGATCAGCAACGCGAGAGTCTCCGGTGTTATGCCTCCAGAGAAGAGGGAGGTTTTCAGGAGCTCATATTCCCGAGACCGGCGATGCTGGGTTCGACCGACATCAACAACGATCTGAATCGCCAACGGGACTGGAAGATACGTACAAGGCCGTCGTACTCGGCTCTCGAGATGGTGATGCTGGCGGGATCTTCATGTCCAATACCTAAACTTCTAGTGTGCTTGAAATGCATGTCAGTGTCGATTGATATCGATGTTGATGATGTTGGTGATGGAGAGGAATGTATATGGAAGAAGCAAGCCGCGGCCATGATGTGCTGATGGGGGTAGACATACGAAATCTGCTCTGCAACAAAAAGGAAAGTGGTCAGCGGTTAGATGCATATGTGTGTAGCCTGAAACGGCGCTTATCAGCTTACCTGCGAAGGAGTGCATCAAAGTAGGCCTTGTCGACCGTGACTTGTTCGCAAGGAGCAGCCATGATGTGAGGTCTCAGCGGGCCCGAGTGTGTATACATGTGYGTTGACATTGTGAGCAGGRGATGTTGTTGGTGTGATGAGAAGGATTATTGCAGGATCGTTCCATCACATCACTTTATCTTTTCGTAGAGCAAGAGCAAGAGCACTCGCTGCTCGATTGTGATTGGCGTCGGGGAGGGTTCACGCTAGTGGAAGATAGCCGCGCTCCCCGCCACTAAGAACAAGACTTCCCGTCGACGCGCCTGCGCAAACGAGCTCAAACGACATGCATCATCAGCCTTGATGGATCAGAATGTGTCTGGCTTAGCGACGCCAGCGATAGCGAATGGTGCCAGCGCAAAGGAAGATGCGCTCAAACAGCTTTCGGAGATTGGAAAGGGAGAGGGTTCCATCCTCTCACAACTCTTGGCCAATCCCTTCTTCACTGCTGGTTTCGGCCTGGCAGGACTCGGAGCCATTGTGAGATATGGATCCATGGGATTGAGACAGGGAAGTGCACTGATACAACGACGTCTGCTCGTGGACTTGGAGATTACACGGCACGACAACTCTTATGATTGGGTTCTGAACTGGATGACCCGACATTACCAAGACCAGCTCTCTCAGTCAGGGACAAAGGCGAAGCCTGGAGTGTTGGAATCACTGGCAAGACGACTCACACCTGGTTTGCATCATCTCCAGATGACCACTACCACATTCAAGACTGCCGGAGGATCTCAATCGACTGCTTTTTCTCTCATTCCCGGACAAGGGAGACACATTTTGCGATACAAGAACGCCTTTATCGCTGTAAATAGACAGCGCGAAGGCAAGAGCTTCGACCAGAATGGTAAGCCTTTTGAGACTATAACACTCACTACCCTTTATTACTTTCGCCATATATTCGAGGACATTTTCCGGGAAGCCCACGACATGGCGTTGCAGAATACAGAAGGCAAGACTGTCGTATACACTACGCGTAACACATCCTGGGACCAATCGGGTGCTCCTAAACGAAGGCGTCCCTTTGACTCCGTCGTGCTAGAAGAAGGTCTCGCAGACAAGATCAAAAATGACGTGGTCGAATTCATGAACGCCCGAACTTGGTACCTGGACCGTGGAATTCCCTATCGTCGCGGATACCTGCTTTATGGTCCACCGGGAACAGGAAAGACATCTTTCGTCCAAGCATTAGCAGGCGAATTAGACTTTAACATTGCAATGCTGAGTCTTAGTCAGCGTGGACTGACAGATGATCTCCTCAATCATCTGCTGCTGCATGTTCCTGCCCGCACGATTGTACTGCTAGAAGACGCAGATGCAGCATTTAGCAACCGGAGACAAATGGAAAATGACGGCTATCAGGGCGCCAACGTAACATACTCCGGCTTGCTAAATGCGCTGGATGGCGTGGCGAGTGCGGAGGAGCGCATCATCTTCATGACAACCAACCACATCGATCGTCTAGACGAAGCGCTGATCAGACCCGGAAGAGTAGACATGACGCTCTACCTAGGTAATGCCACGGAGTGGCAGATGGCTCAGCTCTGGGATCGATTCTACTCCACGCAGGATCCAGCAGGTGAAGGGCGGAAACGGTTCCTCCAAAGAGCCAAGGAGGCTGACCTGGTGGGCAATGTTAGTACCGCCGCGCTGCAGGGACTGTTTCTGTATAACAAGGGAGATGTGGAGGGTGCTATTGAGATGGTGGATCAGCTTAAAGGGGTCGAGCGGCGTGGACAAAGCGAGCAGGGCGCTTAGAGTAAGGACTGTACATTTCGGAAATGATGTTGTAAGTCATGTAAAGAATACACTGGAACGATGCTGCGTTGACTGTTCAAGATCGCCCTGAGCTCGCCAGCTCATCCCTACAACTTTCCGACCCTGTCTCGCTTGTCATCCATGCGTAACATCTACAGTACACCTCAATGCGGGGTCTTGAGAGGCCAAAAGAATTCTGTACTGGTTGAAGGAGGTGGAGCTGAGTTGACTTCTTGAAGAACAGGCAAATGACCCATGATCATTTACCACTTCCAGTTCAAGCCAACAACGCTCCTCCGCGGACCATATCTCATCGCCTTCCTAACCTTCTTGCTACCAGCCGCCATGTTCTTCATCCAACCGAGGAATTGGTCCTCCAGTTCGTCAGCATTACTGCGTGCAAGTACATCTCATGTTAGTAAATCCACCAATCAGCATGTTACAGCCACTTACCAACCCCTATCCCTCGCCACACGGCCAATGTTCACAGCAGTCATCATCGATTCTCTGATTAACCCAGAAGTAGAGCTCTCGAGCTGAAACAACGGCCTCATAGATTCCCCACACTCCAATCCGGTCTCCCGAAATAGTCGCGCAAGATGAACAAATCTCCCCAATTCCCTCCAACTGGGTTGCGGCACGAAGAATCTCAAAGACTTGAATGGTCGACTCGTTTTCTGCGCCAAGGTGCTTCGTAACTTGATCCAATCACAAGCATGAGGTAGATCTGCTGTGCTTGGCTGGAGTAGAAAATTGTTGGAGCTGTAGTAGATATTGGATGCTTCGACGCGAATCTGGCGACATATACGGAGAAGAGCGGGTTCTCTCCAACCGTTAATACTGGTAGGCGGCCACCTTCTGATACGAATCTCTTGATTCCCGTCGCGGAAAAGGTGTTCGTAGATGTAAATTCTAAGCTCTGGTGGTATGTTGAGAATACCACAGGCGGCTCGTTTTGCTGCAGACGCTTTGTCTAAGCGGGTCTGCTCTCTTGCCTATCAACCGCACCTATTAGTTCGATTACCTCCTTTCTAGGAGGCCAGATTTGAGGGGCTGTTGTACTCACCTTCGAACGAGTAATCATCTTGTGATTGGTGATGTATTGGACCCTCGTTGGAAAAGTTGAGAAGCTCGATATAAGTAATGAGTGACGGAGGGAGGTGAAGCTATGGGTATGGTAAGCCATGAGCTCTTTGTCCTGTTAATTGCGTAGCTGGGATTCCTTGTACTACAGGTTACAGAGCAACTCTGGAGGCGCAGTACCCCTGATCTTCGGTTCATGGATATCGTTAGGAGGTTCTGTTCTCATCGTTGTGATTCTCCGCATTGTGATCTCATATGCCTTAGATTCATTGTAAGACGCTGTGGGAAGACCACTAGCAAATTCTACTCGCAACTTTGCCGATTGGGAAAAGCAGCACAATCACAGGTACACTGCACTCGTTGATACTGCTTCTGGAAACCTCGCGATCTTGACCACAACTCACGTAAGCCGCTCTAAGAATTGAACAACTAATTTTGTTCTAGCGCCGGGTATGGCCGCTCAGGTGAATGAGAAACGGAACCACGTGGGAAGATTGTTGGTTAAGCCCACATCTATCGATCCCAAGAGCAGACTGACATACCGATCGATATGCCGTATCCCATCTATCGTCTTCGTAACACGTTGTAATACTTGATAGGGTGGCGACTCTAAGCAAGACGCCCCACGCTCGAGCTCGGTCGTCCTTCTCAGTGTCTCAATAAGACAATGAGATGTACCGACGAAAAGCAGGTTGAAAGCATGAAAGTCGATCTTCGAGTACTAATTGTTCACCTCATCGAAGAACTTTCTTGAGGCCCCTAGCTAACATCATCAACAACACATCCTCACCCTGTATCTGGGGAGCCGCACCTCTTCGATCCGTAGCCGCCACGCCTACCCCCATGCCAGAAGAATATCTATCCAAGACAGCAATGATAGAATTCCAGTCCTGAGTACGCGTCGCTCTATTACACGACAATGCAAAATCGCGAGCTTTCTGTCCCAGGTCATTCTTCATACTAGCTCCAAGATCCAATAACAATTCCACGGCTTCCTCTATCTGGCGTTCAATCGCAAACCACAGCGGAGTATATCGTTTGCCCACGAGTTGAAAAGGTGCGTCCAGATTGACTCGCAGATCTTGCAGCATTGACATGGTCTCGTTGGCATCGAAAGGTATGTGGCGCTCGCGGGTAAAATCATCGCGAAAGTGACTACTCGAGGTCCCAGCGTTGATTTGAAGTCTCCAAAACTCGGTGAAGATGGCGACACATTGCCTGCGACCGGTCAAGATGGCGGACATGACCGGGACAAATCCATGCTCATTCCTCGCAGTTACATCAGCACCTTTTGCCAACAGATACCGRATGCTCGCCGTCTTGCCTCGCATGGCCGTCGGGTGGAGTGCAGTGTCTGAGTACTTCATTCTAGCGTCTATAAATGCGCCGCGTTCAATAAGAAGTTTAAGGGCCGGTAGATTCCCGCCGGCCGCCGCACACATCATGGCGGTAGCGTCGGAGTGGTCTCGATGGTCAATGTCCGCGCCTGCGTCGAGCAGCGCTGAAAGACAAGCTACTGTTTCTGCAAAACTTAAAGCTGTACATGCGAAGGAGTCCGACTTTCCAGATTCTTCAGAGGAGTACGTCCCACGTGCAATGGCGTCCGGCTCTGCGCCGTTGAACAGCAAGAGTTGTAGCACATCGCTGTGTTCGTTCATGGCGGCGATGTGCACAGGACGGCATTGATCTATCCTGATCGCAGATAGAGTACCATAGTCGGTTGGCTGCATGTTGTTCAGATCCACTACTTGTAGCGGCGCCCCAGTCGACCACTGAATAGTGCAGGTAAGCTCCAAAGAAATGCCTCCCATCAATAGCATCTCGACCATCTCTACATCACCTGCGTGACATGCAGCGTGAAGAGCGGAGCCGAGATGTCCACCACGAGCTCGCACTGAAGCTCCTTTCTCAATTAGCATGGCGACAACTTGTCGGTGGCCTTTTACTGCAGCCACACATAGAGGTGTGCCATAATTCTTGCTGACTGCATCGACGTCTAGTCCATGGTCATCTATCAAAGAACAAGCCGTCTCCTCTTGACCTCCATAACAGGCATGGTGTAGAGCACTGAAGCCGCGGTCATCAGTGTAGTTTCGATTTGCGCCGTTTGCAATCAGCATCGCGACTCGCTCAGTCTTTCCATCACCCGAAGCTTTCAAAAGAGCCTGACCGTCCCTTTGCGCGTCATCAAGGGTACGAGAGGGTGCATGGAAGGTGTTGTTTGTGTTGTTGGTCATGTTGCCGTAGACATTGCCATTATGCTGTCGAGCGCCATCATTCGCTGTGTGCCCCTGATGCGAGGTCATGGTTCAAGTGTAGCACGGAAGATCAAAGACCGACCGGAGAGGTAAAGCAAATGAAGGAGGAAGTACTTGGTGCTGAGAGCGTTGTTTTTGGACTGGTGGCACAGCCTCGCTTGCTCATCCCTGCCATTGGCGCTGAAAGCTTAGGCGAGGGAAACTGGAGACCCATCACATGCMCTACATTGCATGTTCTGGACTCAGCCGCTCCCCCTACGAAGAGCTCATTCGTTAAACGATTGCGGGATCCAATCGACCGGGGAGCCAAAGACCGTCGGCGAGATCAGGTCGTTTTCGCACTTTCCGATCCATGACCGGTGAGCAGCCACAACTTGAGAATAGTTAGATAAGCTCGCATTTTAGGCTTGCTGCAACCAGTATAAACATTGGATGAACTGTTTCTGAAATCTCTCCCAACAACTGGCGAGTCTGGAGCGTCCATTCCAGTTCCAAGAGACAATGCTTGATTATCGTTCCGGGACCCAAGTCTGCCTCACAGCTCGATGTCACCACCGAATCCAACGGGCCTTCGCCGTGCCTCTCCCTGCATTGGCGGCTTGTAAGGCAATATGGCCATGACTTGATACAACCTTCCCATTCCCTGCGGACTCCTATCAACCAGTCTCTTCCAGCCACTTTCGATTCTCTTGACAGTCTCGGTAAGGTCCGATTTATCCTTTGTCGGGCCCGATCGCTCCTTGTCAATGGCTCGCTTGACAAGCTGAGTGGCACGTTCCTCAATTCCCATAGCCGTGAGAAAGCGTGCTTGATCTACCGGGCCATGAACCTCCACACCTGGGGAGGAGTTGATTGCTGTTTCGGCGAGGGCGAGGAAGTCAACATCCACGCTGAGGTCTACGGTTCCGGCTTCAGACAGTGGGGAGACCATTTTGTGGGAACGGATGCCGCGGAGAGAGTTTGCGGGGATTGAGTCTGGTGGACCGTAGTCTATCAAAAGAGCTGCTCCAGAAGGCTCGGGTTTCCGTAGTGGTTTCTCCTTTGCACCAGAGTTAACGGGTCTTCCTGGGATGTCATATTTTGGTGTTGCAGCTTCCACCTCTTGAKGATTCGAGCCGCCGAGTCGAATGGCGAAGTCTCGTGCGTAAGCCTGGCTTTCTGGGCTGATTTCGATCGTTGCTCCATCAACATCCTTGAGGGCTGTATAGCGTGGTGATGTTTCGGGCAGGTACATTGAATGCGCTGTTGCGTTCTTTGAGACAGACAGCTCAAAATCTGGCTCGCCTTCTTTTAGCTTGTGGGGTGCTTTGGCTGAAATGAGCAGCTCTCTCCATTGGCTTTGCGGTCCGCTCTTCTTTGCTAGCTTTACTGGTCCTGTCGACGTTTGCATAGTGTCCTGATGATCCTTTGGTAGAGGTGTGGCTTGAAAGATATGTATTGGTAATGCGTCGAAGAACTCGTGTGCAATGATGAAGGGTGTCTTGTTGGCCTCACGAGGCACGAATCGCACGTCCTCTGTCCAGATGATCTTTAGGTCTTTTGAGTGTCGGCTGACGCTCTCATACCCTAGCTCATTCTTCTCCAGTGGGTTGTCGCCGCAAAGCAGTTTATGTTGTGTCTTGCGAAGAGTCTCACTCGCTTCAACCATGTATATGGCTTCGATAGCTTTAGCCAAAGGCGGAAAGTTGCGAATTGTCTGGGAGGAAATGAGAATTGTATACAGTAGATGGATTTCCCAGACGTCTCTCTTACACGAAGCATGTCATCCATCAATGTTCCCCTTCCTGGACCAACTTCCATCAAGTAGACTCCCTCGCTCTTCTTGCCTTGTGCCATCCATTCGGCCACCACCCATACACCTATCAGCTCCCCAAAGATCTGACTGATTTCGGGGGAGGTTACGAAGTCTCCTTTGGCTCCGAACTKATCTCGCTCGGGTGTTCCAGCTGCGGTGTAGTACCCACCAAGATCAGAGGTTAGGCATTGTCGCATATATGAAGCCACGGGGATGGGACCTGTGATCTGAGGGCTTGTTAGACAGTTTGGCCCTCCGACAAAGGCAAGGAACGTACTGTAATGGCTTCCGCCAGCTGTTTGGCCAGAGGTGTCGACCATTTGGGACCATCTTCTGTCRAGCTCCATCTTGCGCCAGGAACAAGACAAGAGCGGGGAGTCGCACTGACAAAACTTCGTGGAAGTTGCCTTACCGTTCGAGCCAAGCTGCTTCTCATGTTGAACAGCGCTACGCAGAGTGTGAATGCATCAAAGTGGAGATGTGAAGGAGAGGATGTGAAGGCGACTGAATGACATCCATGCCAGATTGACTTTGAGCTTCGGCGATCTGCAATCAAAAGTCCGCCATGTCTCCTCCGACATCCACGAACCACAACCACCACCACAATGACTTCACGATGGGCAGACTCGGCGGAGGACGCAGCAGAAGATGCGCGACGAAAAGCGGAAAAGGAAGAAAAGAAGAGGCTCAAGGCGGAAAAGCAGCGAAAAGCACAGGAAGCTGAACGCGAAGCGGCAGCAGCTCAGTCGAATGGCCATGCGGAAAACGACGAAGATCGGCCGTCAAAGCGAAGACGATTATCACAAGACGAGCCTCCTCAAGAGCGGAAGTTGCTTCACTTCATTGCTCCATCGTGGCAGCCCTGTCGATCGGTGGAGAGATTTGACCGCTTGAACCACATCGAGGAGGGCAGCTATGGCTATGTTTCGCGTGCCAAAGATGAGACCACCGGAGAGATTGTCGCGATTAAGAAGCTCAAGCTAGATCTCATGCGCGACGGAGGATTCCCTGTGACGGCATTACGAGAGATACAGACCCTCAACGCGGCAAAACACAGACATGTGGTGGAGCTTCGCGAGGTAGTGGCAGGTGAAGGAAGTGCCAAAGGAGATGTCTATCTGGTCATGGAGTTCCTGGAGCACGATCTCAAATCTCTACAGGAAGATATGGAGGAGGCTTTCCTCCCATCAGAGGTCAAGACACTGCTCCTCCAACTCGGCAGCGCAGTCGAGTACCTGCACGACAACTGGATCCTACACCGAGACCTCAAAACGAGCAACATCCTCATGAACAACCGCGGCGAGATCAAAGTTGCAGACTTTGGCATGGCACGATTTCGCGGCGACCCACCGCCGGCAAACCTCACACAGCTGGTTGTTACACTCTGGTATCGCGCACCAGAACTGCTCCTTGGGGCGACAACATACGACTCGGCAATCGACATGTGGAGCATTGGCTGCATTTTCGCAGAGCTTCTCACAAAGCAACCCCTGCTACAAGGCAAGAATGAAGTCGATCAGCTTAGCAAGGTGAGTCCCGCACCCAGTCCACGAGCGACTGGGAAGAGCAGCTGCAATACCCCTACCTTTCGTTGACGTATACACAGATATTTGAAATATGCGGCATCCCCACTGAGGATACCTGGCCTGGTTTCAAGCGTCTCCCCAATGCTCGCTCGTTGCGTCTACCGACAAACAGCAAATCCGCTCAAGGCTCCATCATACGATCAAAGTTCCCAACTTTGACGAACGGAGGCGCCGGGCTGCTGAATGACTTGCTTTCACTTGATCCGAATCGACGACCTTCCGCGAAGGAGATGTTGGAGCATGCATATTTCCGTGAAGATCCGCGTCCGAAACCAACTGCAATGTTCCCGACATTCCCGTCAAAGGCCGGACAGGAGAAGCGAAGAAGACAGGCGAGTCCAAACGCCCCCGTACGCGGCGCGGCGCCTGGACTCCAAGGCGAGGTAGACTTCAGCTCGATTTTCAAGGGACGGGACGAAGAAGAGAAAGGCGGTGGGTTTCAACTCAAGCTTGTTTGAGATCTAGAAATACATCCAAATGTTGACCTGCAGAGCTGCATTGCCCTTCTCAGACGCCAGCATTGCTGCCTCAAGGAATCTAGGTATCGTACACGCCGTCCAATTCATCACATCATGCTATTTGCTCTTGCCATTGAATCCTCCTTCTTTACTCGGGCTTTGCGCCCTTTCCGCTGCCCACACCAGTGAGACCTTGGCTTCCGCCACCGGAAGCTGGGTTGGTGATGGCCTCGCCGGCCTCATGTGCTGGTGGTGCTGCGGCCTTGTTTGRTCGGTCGACGCCGGAGCCAGTTTGCTGGGGAACGTGTCAGGGATTGGCAATCGGGTGATGCTATCACTACAGCTTACCTCGTTGCCAGTTGGTGCACCGTGTACGAGCTCGTCGCCCTCGACGGCGTTGTGAGAGTGTCCAGATCCGTCACGAGGCATTGTGATTTTTTTGATGTGGTGGTTTTGGAGTGATTTTTGAGTGTTGGTAAYTTCGAGGATGTCTTGGAAGCAGGTAGAGGTTTGCTAAAAAAGAAAGAACACTTTCCACTCCACCTTTTGAGAGTTGCTTATATGTACCATGAATCTTTCCACACGAATCCCAGACCAGTATTTCTTCATGACGGTGACGTCGGTTTTAGGTCATTTCTACGCATATTTGTGGGTCACGCGAGGAGATGCCTTCGGTTCTTCCTCGAGAGATGATGAAAGGTACCCAGATGCGTGGCCCACTTTGGGAAGTTTTATCCAGAAGTCTGACGATTGTACTGGTGCGGAGATGTCTGAGGATGAGGATGCTTCTGTGCTTTGTGGTTTTTGGTGGAGGTGTGCTGCGATTGTCAAATTGGGCATTTCCATTAGCTGTAGGAGAGGAGTGGGGAGTTATGAAAATTGTGAAAGTTATGCACGGTTGGACCCTGCATTGGTTCCTCCTAGACTTCGTCGCACCGTGTATACGGTGCAACTGCGACGCTGTCGCACCGTGCAAAGGTGATACCGAGCTTAGATAGATAGACATACACAACAATCCTCAGTTTGGCTGAACCTCTCTCCCAAGGCCTCACTTCTTCTTTTGCTTTTCTGTAGGTATTCCCGCGCGGACTTTATTTCATCTTCCCAACATCTGGCTACAATTGTCTCGTCGAGCGTTAAACACTTTTGAGGAGGTCAAGTTGATTCCGCTGTTGAGGTAAAATGGCGTGCCTTCCAGTGGAAAGAGAGTTTGTCTTCTGGTCGGGAGGCATTCGGGGAGACACGCCGGAGCGCGCTTCGGCTAGATCCGTTCGAGATCCGCCGCTAAAATTTATTTTCGCGCGTCCCCTTGCAAAGGTGATTTCGAGAACGTGTTCACTGTGGCGACGAGACATCACTGTGCATTTCGCAGCGATGAATTCTGGATTGGAATAGAGTTACAAACACTCTATCAACGACATGGCGATGAAAGTACTCGCAAAATGTATGAGCTCAAAAGGCCGCGTGGGAGCCACGGGCATCGCAAACTCATATCGAGGTCTCACAAAAACAAAAGGCTACGCAACAGTCAACAATGCCGAGACGGAGAATCTTTGGAGTCGCAAACCAAAAGAACATGCATCGCCTGTTAAAGTGCCGGAATGGAACAAATTGGTTGATGCCGCACGTGAGGCGCTGGACAACTCCAGTATTAGCCAAGATGAGAAGGAAGCGGTGCTTCAGGACCTTCAACGTCGGGTAGACAAGAAGCCCAGAAATTCGAGCACGAGAAAGGATATTCAGCTCCAGTTTACCATGGCCATCCAGAAGGACGATGTACCCGCAGCCCTGAAGTCTCTCGCCGTAACGACACGTCTTACCGACGATGTTATGAAGGACGTTTCAGTCGCGCTGGATGAGCAACGCGAGGCCGATGATGCCACCAAGAACGMGTTGATTGCTCGTCTGAGACAATCACTAGCTGAAGCGAAGACTTCTGTGAACCGGCGATCTCTTACCGGCGAAATCTACAACGCTTTGAGGCAGCCAAATGCTCTGACGGCGTTGCAAGCAATCAACCCATCCATATTGGATGTGCCCTCGGAGAAGGTTATCGAGGAGAACGCAGACCAGGACAATGGCTCGAACTCTGCTCAGGTTACGGTCGTTGACATTGCTTACGTTCAGAAGAACATGCCCTTGCCGGCCAAGCACGATTATCCTGKCAAAAAGTATGAGACACTTTTTGCGCCCCACGTCGTTGCCAACACAATCGACAATTTCTGTGCGAGGAAGAAGTTGCGTAAAATTGCCAAAGTGAAGCTCGAATTATATACATACGCGCCAGGCACAGGTCCACCGGGAGTCAATCATAAAGCCTCATTCCAGACCTGGACATACCAACTCAAATTCGCGATCCCTGGTCTCGTTGAGGAACAGAATGTTGTTGGATACGGTCTCAACCGACAATCCGCCAAGCATGCTGCATATCTCCAGATCTTGTCAAGAATGCATGTTGGAGGTACCTTGAAAGAATTGCTCGCAAAGCCTGGGACCGAGAAGAAATCGACGGTGAAGGAGACGAAGCAGGATCTCTCGGCTGCTAAAGTCGTTACTTCCGCTCCTCCATCTACGCCTGCCACTACATTGGGAGAATCCGAAGAAGGCCCATTCCCGTCACCAGAGCAGTACCCAGGTGCTTTGCCGGAGCTGTTCGATCCACGCAACATAGCAACGGCCATTCACAACGCATGTCAAAAGCATAAAATTTCACTCAAAGCCGAGGGCGAAGTTTTCCCGGCCACAAAAGGATGCCGTTATGAGCTCAAAGTCAATATCCCGGACATACTTACGCAGACTGCAATTGGTAGAGGCACAAACGCGAAGCTTGCGAAGATTGATTCTTGGAGGAATATGGTAAGGAAATTGCACGCGAGTGGGCACTTGCGGCAGCTTTTCCCAGATCCTGGCAGCAAGGGTGCTCTGATTCAACCTCAACCCGAGCAACTCGCAGAAGATATTGAGCTGGTCACAATCGACGATCGGACCATGAAGGCAGAGAAAGATGCCAAGATTGAGATCTACAACTATGCTGCGAGCTATGGGCTTGTACCTGAGTTCGAGATCAAGCATGTCATGCCCCGGACGAGACGGTCGAGAGTTGGACAGGTAACAAAGAAGTCCCGCCCTGCAGTGCAGGTATCAATCAGGCTTGAGCAGCTCGGGATCAACGTCACCAGTGCCGGAAAGGATCTGTCGACTGCAGAAGTAGCCGCAGCATTGAGTTTCAAACGACAGGCTGAGAGACTGCTGTCGACTGGAGACGGTGTAGAGGCTCCAAGCCCAGTCCCGGGCTTTGATAGCCTCAATGTGGAGTCTGCGCCAATGTTTTTCGACTTCCTTCGCAGTGTCAAGCGAGGMATTTTCTTGGATCTCGAGCAAGAAACTGTGACAATTGTTGGCGTCAGTCATCAGTCGACGACCGTGACGATGAATGGAACTCCCGTCGGCTCGGCTGTCACAATGACTAGGAAGAAAGACTCGACCGCTGTTGCATACCTTTGCGCTGCGATAGAAATTCTCAAGATAGAGCCCGAGCTGATTCCAGAGTTTGCCGAAGCTATGAGACAAGGCAAGGGAAAATTTTTGCGCGCTCAACGTCCAATCAGTGCCCCGATCGAGATGGAAACCTTGGACATGATGCGGGAAACTCTTGTGCACGCCCGGCGCGCTGGCTTACCTGATGAACGGGAGGCTTTGGGCGCTGAAGAGATTCGAGCGGATACAGAACTCAGCAGACGTGGTATTGTTGTATCAGCGTCTGAGCGGACAATGGCAAGTGAGCAGCTTCTCATCGCTCAGCAACGTTTCGAGCAAGATCCCGAACTTGAGAAACTGCGTTCAACCAAGGCATCGCTCCCGATGAGCCAATATCGATCTCAGKTCCTCGAGATTGCCCAGAATCTTTACAGCATCATCATTGGCGCCACCGGCTCTGGGAAGACAACGCAGGTGCCTCAGATTCTTCTGGAAGACGCGATTTCACGTGGAGAGGGCGGATTGTGCGACATTATCTGCACTCAACCCAGACGTCTTGCGGCAACTTCGGTGGCCCAGCGAGTCGCGGCGGAGCGAAACGAGCCGTTGCGAAATTCTGTAGGATACCRGGTCCGGTTTGATGCCAAGCTGCCAAAGCCAGCCGGAAGCATCACATACTGCACGACAGGTATATTGCTTGAGCAGCTCAAGCACGACGCCGATGGCATCATGGACAGAGTTTCTCATCTTGTGATCGATGAGGTTCACGAGCGAGATCTCAACATCGATTTTTTGTTGATCATTCTCAAGAAGGCGATCAAGGCGAGACGAGAAGCTGGGAAGCCCGTGCCCAAGGTGATCCTCATGTCAGCAACTCTGGATGTGAAGCTTTTTGCCGAGTATCTCACCCGTGACGGCAGTCGTGAGACTATACCATGCCCGTCTTTGAGTGTCCCTGGGCGGACGTTCCCTGTCAAGGAAAGATATCTGCAAGACGTCATGGATGACATCAAAAGATCGCACGCAAGAGAACTTGATTCTCTTCTTCACTCCGAGAATCCGTCCGTCTCCCTCGACTATCTGGATGCTGAGTACAAGTTCGCAACAGGTGCCAGCGGTGCTGCTCCCGGAGAACTCTCTGGTATTGACTGGAAGCGGGAGCGGAGGACGGATGCCGAAGAAGACGGACAAGATGTGAACGAAAAAGAAGATGGACGGGTGCCTGTCCCGCTTCTTGCAGCTGCAATTGCACACATTTGCAACACCAGCAAAGACGATGGCGCAATCCTTGCCTTCCTGCCAGGCTTGGCCGAAATAACCCGCACCGAGGAGATATTGACGAGACAACCCATCTTTGGCGTCAAATTCAGTGATGCCGCCAAATTCAAGATTCATTCTCTCCACTCACAAATTCCTCCACAACAGCAAATGGAAGTACTCGATCGACCTGCGCCGGGCTGTCGTAAAATCATTCTTTCTACAAACATCGCCGAAACTAGCATTACAGTGCCCGATGTGAAGCATGTCATCGACCTGGGAAAGCTTCGCGAGAAAAGATACGACCAATTGCGACGCATTACCAAGCTGCAAACAGTATGGGCGTCGAATTCCAACGCCAAACAACGCGCTGGTCGTGCTGGTCGGGTGCAGGAGGGAAGTTACTACGGGCTGTACTCTCGCGAGCGACGCAGCGCAATGCCAGCAGCTGGTCTCCCCGAGCTTCTTCGCAGCGATTTGCAAAGTGTCTGTCTTTCCATCAAGGCGCAAGGTTACGAGCAGTCCGTGGCTTCTTTCCTCGACGAAGCTATCGAGTCTCCACCGCGGAATGCTGTGACTTCAGCTGTGGAGAATTTGAAGTCGATCAACGCATTCACAAGCGATGAGAAGCTTACTGCCCTTGGTCGCGTTCTCTCGAAACTGCCCGTTCATCCTTCACTCGGCAAGATGATTCTTCTGGGTGTTGTCTTCCGATGTCTGGATCCGATGGTGGTTCTTGGATCCATGGATGGCGAGAGGTCTTTGTTCGTGACGCCTGTCGCGACTCGCACACAGGCCAAGCTTGCTCACAGTAAGTTCAACACATATAAGAGCGATCATCTGGCACTGCTTGAGGCGTTCCGAACCTTGAGGAGATTCAAAGATGAAGCTGGAATGTATCGTACCATGGACTACGCCTATCAAAACTTCCTCCACGTCGGAGCGTTCAAGTCGATTGACTCTACGGCCCAGCAAATCGAGCAGATTCTCATAGATTCAGGCATTGTGTCTCCGATCAATGGCTCCTTTGAGTACGGCGGACTGTCACTGAACACAAACTCAAATAATCCTATGCTCATCAAATCTCTATTCCTCGCAGGTGTTCATCCGAACATTGGCGTGAAGAATGCTGGAAAGACACAGGTTTATAGGACAGGGAGCGAACAGGKTGTGCTTCTTCATCCTGGCTCTTTGAATGCTTCTCGAGGACCGGCTTCTGAAGAGGAGCGTATGTACGCATTCAGCACACTCGCGAAGAGCGTCACAAGTGACAGCTTGTTCATGAGAGACGCCACTGTAATCACGCCATTAATGGCCATGCTCTTTGGTGGTACCCTGCACACCGAATACTACAAATCGGTGAAGATGGACGGCTGGCTTCCCTTCAGATTCGAAACCACCCGCCTGGAATATACCACGAGACTCGTCTTGGAGTTCCGAAAAGCTCTCGACCGCGTTCTGCACTCCTCCTTCAAGGCTTTGTCGTCGAGCCAAGGGCGGCCGATTGACGAAGATCCTGTTCGGGAGTACTTTGCAAACAGTGTTGCAGATATCATGAAAACACAGGATTCAGAGAGACAGCGGTCCAGAGAGTCGTGGGTTCCTGCTGGTTGGGGCCGATCTGGAGAGAGATCATAGAATGATTCTGGAGTGTGGCTTTGGCCTGGTTCCGATGGTCTCGTGTACATGGTTCCTCAAAGCGGTGGAAGCGCTCCTCTCTTGTATTGAGATACCAATAGATTGTATATTAGCAGTTCGATTCGATTGGCATATCGATGGTTGTACAGCACACGCATAGAAAGCTTCGCTCATTACAGCCTCATTTGACGTTGCTTCCAAGAATTTGTAACACGTGGAGTGCGGCTTGCGTTGGTATGTGACGGTCTCGGTCTCTAATCTACATATATATACAGTACCACAAAAGCAAGTTCTTTGTCATTACAATCCCCGACGAGCGTTCAGACGGTCATGTCCCCGTATCAGTACGGGATCGATTCTCGGCAATCAATGAGGACAAAGATGATCTTCGTATCCACTTCTAAACGCGCAAGGCGTGCGAGTGAGAGCGTCTGGAAATTCCACGACGGATTCCACCATTGGCGCTGCCTTGAGCAGATGCTTTTCCATTAAGGTTTCCGTTGGCTGCTGCTCCGCCATTGACTATGCTCGATTGTTAGCTGGCAGTTGATAGGTGAGTGATATTGTGACTGCTGTGTGACGAACCTCCGAGATGGCCATTCGCTCCTAGACGGGCATCGCCGTTGGCGCTTCCTTGTGCTCCTACGTTTCCTTGAGCTCCTACGTTTCCTTGAGCTCCTCCGTTTCCTTGGGCTCCGAGGTTACCGTTGACGTTTCCTTGAGCTGCTGCGTTTCCTTGAGCCCCTACGTTGCCGCCGACGTTTCCTTGGGCCCCTAGGTTACCATTGACGTTTCCTCGTGCTGCTGCGTCGCCGTTGACTGTATCTGTCGTCAGCGTGTTGTTGTCTTGAGCTTCGTAGCGGGTAACAAACCTCCTAGGCCGGCTCCAGCTCCAGCTCCAGCGTTACCTCCTACATTCGCGCCGCCTTGGGCTCCTACGCCACCTTGAGCTCCTACGTTCGCGCCGCCCTGAGCGCCTACGCCGCCTTGAGCTCCTACGTTCGCGCCGCCCTGAGCACCTACGCCGCCTTGGGCTCCTACGTTTGCGCCGCCCTGAGCGCCTACGCCGCCCTGGGCTCCCATGCCACCTTGAGCTCCTACGCCGCCGTTGACTGAGTTAATCATTAGCTATGAATTGCGGCCATCTTGTGAGGAGTAACAAACCTCCAGCTCCGAGCGCTCCATTACCGTTTACGTTTGCACCACCATTGACTGGACAGTTGTTAGCTCTTGATCGCTCAATATCATGAGGATGTATCACATACCTCCAGCACGTCCTCCAGCATTGACACCTCCAGCACCATTCACACCTGCTCCCACATTTCCATTAACACCGACACCGCCTTTGAGCTGAGCGGACAAATCGGCGATGACATCAGCCACGCCTTCCAAACCGCCTTGTACGCCGGCTCCAAAATCAAAATTTGCTTGAGCGCCAATTGGCGTACCGAATCCAGCGGCAAGGTCAACATTGAGGTCAATGTCACCGCTGAGTCCAAGATTGCCACCGACTTCAAGGGCGCCTTTTGCAAGACCATTCAAGATGACACCGGCATTGGCGTATACTTGTACTGTAAGGTAGGCAGCCCAGTCCAGGATGTTGGCAAGCGACATTCCACCTTCGTAAGAAATTGGATGAGATGTGCCGCTCGCATCGATGTAGACACTTGGGAAGACGGTTGGGAGTTGTGCTGAGAGTTGTACACCGCCTTGCACATTGGCTTTGAGATAGGCGTCCATGTTGAGGAAGAGACCTGCGATGACGGCATCGACGTTGACTTTGGGGATTGCAAGCTTCAACGAGCCAGATGGTAGAGCACCGATGACCGTCGAGAGTGCAGCGCCGAAGGCTGGCGAAAGCTCAACAGCTAGGGCACCTGGCTGTGAGACAAAGCCGGGACCGGTCGACACGTCAATCTGGGCAACTGGAAGTGCGTCGACGGAGATGTCTAGTCCTGGGATGGAGCCTGATGCTGCTGCTACGGGCGATACCAGAACTTGCCTGTCAGTGCCAGGGGGCGTAGATCCATGAGAGTTGGATCCTTTAGGGTTGGGTCCGTTAGTATTGGGTCCGTTGGGGTTAGTTCCTGGTGATGATCCAATTGGGGACTTATCAGTTGAGCTTTCCGGAGAAGAGTTGCCGTTGGGAGGCTGCATATATGTTGGAGGTTTGGAACCAGGTGCAGTTGACCCGACAGGCGATGATTCCGTCGAACCTGGCGCGGATGTTGCCATGTACTTCGGTGGCATGGATGAAGTAGCTTTGACAGGCGAGCTCTGTGAGCTACCTGGCAGATGAGTCGCATTATTAGGTGCACCACCATATCCGGGTGGGCTTCCTGGACTACCGCCAGGAGGCGCAGCGGTGTTCTGGGGGCTAGCCAGTGAAGTGCTGGTGGTAGGAGCGTAAGAGAAGGTAGGCTTGACTGAGTCCAGGGGTACAGGTGTGACAAAGACAGAAGACATCTTTGGACTAGTTTTGGATTTAGATTTGGTAGACATGGTCGTCGAGTTCCGCGCTTCCGAGATGCTGATAGGAGTGTAGCTGCTTGTAATTGCSACTGGGGAGCTCAGCGAGCTGTTCATGTACCTCGGAGTGCCGATCGGAGGACGGGTCGAGACTGTGTTCACGCCCTGAAATGGTCGAGAAACAGTCACGGTAGATAGAATGGTTGAGGTTCTGGTAGACGTGATGAGGCGGGTTCCCGGAGTCGTGTATGTAACACCCGCAGAGGTCATCGTCAACTCCTCTAGGCATGTCGTTTCGTAGACAGAGGTGATTTTAGTTACACTCATTTGAGGTGGAGGAGCGGAAGTCATGGTGGGGGAGACTTCTGTGTTGCTCTGAACAGGATGAGTAACGGGAGTGTTGACGGGCACAGCTTTGCTCGTTGTGACGACCGATGGCTGTCCGACATTGTTCGTAACGGTGATTGTGACTACCGAAGTCATGTAGGTAGGCGAGTTGGCTGACGTGAGCGATGGGTGTTCACCGGTAGGCGTGGTCTTGTACACAGGCGGGGCGGGCGGGGCGGGCGGAGCAGAGACAGTCTGGGTCACGGTGACGGTCGGTTGACCTCCTCCAACCCCGCAAGCGCAGGTATGAGGGTCTACCTGGCGACGATCCAGCTCGATTGCGGCGTTGGAATTACCCATCAGGATGGCCGCAGCCAGAGCAGTTGAAATGCCCTTCATATTGACAAGTTTGTCTGCGACTTGTCGAGAATACTGTCAAAAGTACGAAGCGAATGGGAGTCGCGGAGATCGGAGACTTGACTCGAATGGGCGCTCGAGAGGCGCAAAGAGCGTGAGGTTCGCAAGGGAAAAGGAATAGACAACAGCGAAAGTAATGCGGGAAGTGGGGGAAACCAGAGTGCAAAGAAGACATTGATACTTATATCGCCTGCCGTGATTTCCACAGCTCACCATCATCATTTTCCTGAGTAGAATGACTTGACTCGATACTGTGAGTTCTGTTCCTGGATCGGCTAAGCACAGCCGCCGTGCCCTATGGTGAAAAGGAGTCGCGATGAGAGCAGAACCTGGATCCGCACCAGTGTAGGCGATCTTCGGCGACCTATGGGAGAGCATCGGGTATTCACATCGTGCCTGTCTATCGAGGATACAGTGCTGAGGGAGCTCTGCAATGCTGGATTGTCAAATTGTGCCTGTTTCAGTCAAGTAGCATCTTCGGTGACATCCATCGCGTAGAGGCAGTGCCGACGTATGCCCATCGGCCATTGGAAGATGACGATACCAGTACCTTGAAGGCGGTCTCAAGAGGTTAGCATGTGACAAAACACGAGGAAGGAATTTTCAAACTGTGTCTGTTTCAACAAGGTGATGTTGTCTAKGGGAGGCTGAGGTGAAGTGCCACGGCTGATGTTCGGGAGTGCTCGGAAGTATTCGTCCGCTCGCGTGGATTCCCCGTGGGAAGGTGCTCGACAATCTTCAAACATCTCGCTTCAACAATTGAGCCAATCGAACACACAGCCTTCCATTGTCAATGACTCAAAAGCCTGCAACTTCCCAACCATCGAAGAAAGAGTCAGTCAAATCCTTCCGGACCTTCTGGAACGAAGCAAAAATACACCCCAAAACACACTCCGAATGCCAGCATGGCGCCCATCACAGATCTATCACATCTCCTGAATCCTCTCGTCACACCCGCGCAGCTAGAAACGTGTTCGAGTCAACTCGATGGCGTACCAAGAGACCTGGAAGCTTCTATCTGTTTTGAAACATCACGCCTCATCCAAGCCGCCGGGATCTTACTCCATCTGCCCCAAGAAATCATCGCGCAAGCGATTGTGATTCTACAGAGATTCTGGTCTGGTCCAGATGGCGGTAGCATGTTGGATTACGACTCCAAGGTATCCACAATCCATAACTGCCATGTAGATTTCAAGACAACTGACGTATTGACCAGGACGTGGCCGCAGCAGCCATGTATCTCACAGCGAAACCTTCGGCCCAACCCGTCAGTCCCAGACAGCTTCTCACGTCATTCGCGTTTCTGTCCAGTCTCGCTCCGGGCGAACTTGCTAGATCCGACGCAGACGGGAAGTTGGGCGCCGAGTGGCAGTTCTCGGAGGGAGACTATGAACGGGCACGAGATCGGTTGTACGCGATTGAAGCTCAGATCCTGCGGACTCTAGGATTTCAAACACATGTTGCTCTGCCGCAGCCACTTTGCATCAACTATTTGCAGACACTGGATGCTTTCGGATCTCCTGAGGAGGGCTCAGCTGTGGCGAAGCGAGCGTTTGAGCATCTCAACAGCGCGCTTTTGAGTCCACAAATGGTATTTTTGACTCATCAGCCGCACGCGTTGGCTGTTAGCGCCATATATCTTGCAGCAAGGGAGGTAGAAGTCAAGCTCCCAGGGGTGGAATGGTGGGAGGTGTTTGATGTGGATCGGGAGGAACTCGGGTTCCTGGTGGTGGCGCTCAGGAGTGTTGAGGGGTTTGCTGCGGAGGAGAAACAGAAGTGGGGTCAGAGGAAAGTGCCCGTCACTGTGGAGAATCTGCGGGATGAGATTGAGCGGGCGAGAATGCTGGAAGCTGGAGCGGATGCATGAACGGCCGGTCTTCCAAGGACGAATCGTGCTGAGTTGGGACCTCACGTAGCTCGGACTGCAGGTCATTCCCGGCTACTGGAGAGGCACTAATTAACGTTGTGCTCCTTGGCTGCCGCTACCTAGCTGTGTGGCTGACCAAAACCCTTCCACGGCTTGGTGAAGGCACGCAAGTTCCCTATCGCGAGCAAAATGCTCAACGATTCTCAAGCGAGGAGACCCTGTTCAGCCAGGTTACCATGCTCATAGGGAAGCGAGCCGAAGGTCTCCAGCATCTGCAGTCTCAAGCATGAAACATCGATTGCACATGTGGTCAAAGACTTTTCGATCAATCAAGAGAGAGCGGAGCGTCCTTCTTTACTTGGACCGCCACTCGTCATCATGAGAGAATTACGCCTGGCTATTCTCATCTGAAAGAAAGAGCAATCCTCTGAGCATCGCAGATGTCTCGCTTCCACCTCTACAATTTCGATCCCTCCTTCTTATCAATACTATGCCTATATTCATAATGCCAATCACTTCTTGCCAGATCTGATCTTACGGCATAATTCTCCTCGGCATCTTCCAGAATCTGCATGTCGACGTCCACCACCGCCATTCCCTCCGCACAGCTCCCCAGTCGTGTTAGGGCGCCTGCATATGGAACGCAGACTTGCGAGAGGCCGGCATATCCTTTCCCCGGGGGACCACCTGCATTTGCGAAGACAATAGCTAAGAAGAAGGAGGTTAGCGTAGCATGGATGTGCGGATTGGTGAAAATACTCACCGCAGGTATTCTCAAAGGCCCTCGCCGTGAGCATACTATCCAGAAACAGCGCTTCGCTTGAAGGATTGATTGCGAGACCTTTGGGCGAGCAATCAGAGAGGGTCCAAAAGGTTGGGRTGATGAATAATTTGCAGCCCTGGGCTATCATCTCTCGGAATGCCTCTGGAAAAGCTAGATCCCAACATATCAACAATCCGACCTTGCCTAATGGCGTGTCGAAGACAGGATGTGGGTCTGAAGAGGATGAAGTAAGATGTAGCCGTTCAATATCACCCCAGAGGTTCTTTTTAACATATTTGCCTGCTATATCCCCCGTGGCGGTTATAAAGTAAGCGACATTCAAGAGGACTTCCTCTGGAGTTCCGGCCTTGTGGAGTTCGACGATGGTTCCTGGAACGATGTTGATGTTGCATTCTTTGGCTAGGGCGATGTAGTTGTTGAGGTACTTCTCCCAGTGTGAGCAGGCTTCTTTGAAGTTCTTGTCGTGTGGGAGCCAGTTTAGGAGGTGGTATTCGGGGAGTACTGCTAGAGTTGCGCCTTGTTGGGCTGCCGAGCGGATGAAGTTTATGGCGACTTGGTGGTTGCGGTCCATGGCCATAGGCTGGTGAGGGGTTTAGTAGGCTGTTGGATGATGCTGAGGGGATGGAGGTAAGACCTTGGGCCACATTTGTATAACTGCTACTCTGTGAACCGGTGCCATTCTTGAAGGTGATTTGGTGTCTTTCTTGGGTTTCTTTCTAGGTTATCTTGAATGCGGTGAAATGGGATTCGCGGATGATGAACAGACAAGCTCAATATTGAGAAAGCGTTGTTACGTGCACTTGCAAACAAAAGTCCTTGAGCCTCTTTAAGTTGGTCGTGAATATGTATGTACAGATCGTGTAGAAAGATGACACAACATGTGATGTCCTCGTCGCCGTCGACCCCTCATCGCGCTCTGGCGGGCTGATTGAAATTCTTGGCGGCGAATCTCAAATTCGAGAGGAAGTTCACCTCCAAGCCATCTCGTGATAAATCTTTCCCCGTCACTCTCTCCTCCCCCACCACACAGCGAAACGATGAGCGCACGACAGGGTCAACGGCCGATCGACGACGATTCCGATGTGGAAGAGGAGGCGCTCGCAGGACAGTATGGCGAGCAGGTGGGATACGAGGATGGCGCCGACTACGATTTGATGGGCGCGGGCGGCGCACAGGATTTGCAGGCGCAACTGGCGGCGGCGGCGACTCCACTGGAATATGGCGCGTCGATTGAGATGAAGACTCAAAGCTACGATAGCTACTGCAACTTGTTCCACTTCATCCTTAACAGCGACGGACCCGTGGACATTGAAGTGCCTTCGGTAAGTGTTTGGGCGGGACATTGATTGATATTGATGGGCAGGATGTGAGTACCTCTCAAATGGCTACTGACGGCCTCGCAGCGACAATACTACTGGGCGTGGGACGTGATCGACGAGTTCATCTACCAATTCAACTCCTTCTGCTCGTACCGCCAGCGCGTGGCTTTCCAGCAAGGCCAGCCCAACGCCGGCGCCAGCGACGATGAGGTCGCCCTCCTCCGCGAAAACCCCAACACGTGGGGATGCTATTCCGTCCTCAACGTGCTCTACTCCCTCATCCAGCGGTCACAGATTAGCGAGCAGTTGCAAGCCCGGAAGCGAGGAGAGGATGGTGCGCTATACGCCGGCGAGTACGGCAACCGCCCGCTCTACCAAATGCTGGGCTACTTCTCCATCATTGGACTGCTCCGCGTCCACTGTCTGCTCGGAGACTTTTCCCTCGCCCTCAAGACGCTTGATGATATCGAGCTCAACAAAAAGGCCATGTTCGCGCGTGTCATGGCCGCCAACTTCACCACCTACTACTACGTTGGCTTCTCATACATGATGATGCACCGCTATGCCGATGCTCTCCGCGCCTTCAACCACATTCTCATCTACGTCTCGCGTACCAAGAACTTCCAGAAGGGCGCCCAGTACGACAGCATCAGCAAGAAGAACGACCAGATGTACGCTCTGGTCGCCATCTGCGTCGCTTTCCACCCGACCCGCCTTGACGATACCATCCACACTGCGCTACGGGAGAAGTACGGCGAGCAGCTCACACGCATGCAGCGTGGAGGCCCAGAGGCACTTCCCATCTTCGAGGAGCTCTTCCGCGCCGCATGCCCCAAGTTCATCTCTCCCACACCACCCGATTTCGAGAACCCACACCTCAACCCCGACCCAATCGAGCACCACCTCAACATCTTCATGCAGGAGGTCAAGAACAACATCTTTGCACCGACCGTTCGCAGCTACCTCAAGTTGTACACCACCATGGATCTCACCAAGCTCGCGGGCTTCCTCGAGGTTGACGCAGACACACTTCGCAGCTGGCTATTGGTCAACAAGCAGCGCAGCCGACAAGTTAGGCACTCGGAAGGCGGTCTCTTGGAGGGTGATGTGGTCAACTCAAGTGATCTGGACTACGCGATGGAAGGCGATCTTATCCACGTTTCAGAGGCAAAGGTTGGCCGGAGACTGGTGGATTGGTACTTGAGGAACTTGGCGAGGACATACTAGATGAGGTAATGAATCTCGTGGAATGGATTGAACGCGCAATGCCAATTGCTGGTGAACGACACGAATCTCGGTGAGCGGAAATCGGCTGGCTGAGGTCGGCTCGGAGAAAGTGCTCATTGCGRGTGCCGTGGCGTTATGGCGAAATGAAAACCGGGAGAAACGAAAGCATGGGATGCATAGCCTGGCGTTTCGAGGAATGGAAGAAGAGTGGAGGGAAGAAAGTTGCTCCACGCTTTCTCTCCCGTAGAGGAGAACTGCCGAGCAGCAATGAAAGACGAAAGGATGAAAGCTTCAAATTCACATGTTCGCATTTCATTCCATCATAATCCTGTTTCAACCTCAAGATGCCACCCACACTCCATTCACACTACTGACTCCCCATAACGCATCCAAATCCAAATTCAATCCATCAAGAAGTCCTTTTCTGCCTCATAACCCACCCAATCACCTTTTTGATCCTCTCTCCCAATCGCGAACGCTTTGACAGTGAAACAGGTTCCTCTGCCCGACGCCTAACCACGAGTTGCTCATCCTCGGAAATATCTTCCAAAACTGTCACATAGCGCATCCATCTCGAACCGGCAGAAGGTGGAGAAGAAGAAGAAGAGGAGGAGGAGGAGGAGGAGGAGGAGGAGGAAGGAGATGATATCCGTCGAGAACCCCTTCGTTGTCGATGCCGAGAGCTGAAATCTTGAGATCGAGATGCGGGAATTCTACGATGGCGGGGTGAAGATTTTGCGTGGGATGATGGTGTTGGAGTTGTTTTGGCTGGGGGAACTCGGTAGGGTAAGGATTGCGGATGTGTTGATGAGGTGGTTTCTCCACTGCGATGATTGCGTTGATTAGAGCGAGGGGGGCTCGTCCAGAAATCTTGCTTCGGGACGATATAGGGCCAGGTGGGAGAAGGATTTGCTTGGAGGGTGTATTCTTGTCGATCGATTCGGATGGGTCGTGAAGAGGGGATGTTGCGAGGGGGGTGGTTTCTGGGTGTTGGAGGGGGGATTTGAGGGGGTGTGCTTCCCCAGACTGGTTTGTTTTTCTGCCTCTTGTTGTTGTTGTTGTTGTTGTTGTTGTTGCTGTTGTTGTTGTTTCTGCTGGTTGTGGCAGGGTAAGGGAGACTACTGCTGAAGTCTAGGGATGTTGGGGGTGAGGAAAGGAAGTTTGGTGGTGGTGGGGAGCTATTGAAGATTGAATCCAAAGAAGAGGAGAAGGTTGCATATGTCTCTTCCAATTCCGAGGAGAGGAGAGCGTATGCTTCGTCTTCTGATTCTCTTGGAAGGGATTTCTGCGGAGTTGATTTGCGAGGTGTATGGGATTCTTTGCGCGGATAGGCGAACAAGGGACGGACGTTCTTCTGCAGACTTTCCAGACTGGAGATTGTCCCGGCCTTTTCGAGACGTTGGTAGGATTTCATCGTGTCGTATTGGGATCGGGGAGCCTCTGGGATGTGGTTTGAAGTTGGGATGCTGAGAGTTAGAGCTGGACGCGTTCTGAGGCGGATTGCTGCTATTTCCGAGTAGCGGTCGGTGGGAATGGGATGATGGGCCATTTTGTATTATTGGTCGAGTGTCTCGGGAGAACGATGGTGCTGCTGGAGACTCTGGCTTTTCGGATGCATGTCTTTGGAAGGACGATGCCTTGAAGTCGTTTGCTGTTCTGCTGTCGGTGAGTGTGAGACATGCTTGTGGTGTGGACGAGTTGCTTCTGGTCTGATATCTGTATGTGAGACACAGAAACATTTTGAAAGTATTCGACGTAACGCATCGTAAGAGAGTGGCTGTTCCGATACCGTCCTGATCTTTCCCAGCATGGAAATGTCCAAAAGTATTTCGAGTCGCTGATTTGGCCTTGAATATGAGAGTCAAATGCCAGCGTTGAAATTGGCATACTGGCGATGTCTCTTGAATCTCGTTCTATCTCCAGCCAAGGTGAAGACATCCCAATCGACGGGACCAAAGTCATTCGATTCGCTTCAATTGGTATACTCTGTCTGTCGATATCTATTAGTCTTAGAATTTCATTCTATAGCCAGTCAACACTCAGCCCCCTTCTACACCATCATCACCTCAATTCCCAATTCTAACCYTCCTTATAGATATCATTATCGAAATTAACAGGGAATCGCTCCCGTCCCTCAGCATCCCTATTCACCCAAATCGCAACACTCACACCCGGAGTCTTGAAAACCCCATACCCTTCATCATCAATAACGACCTCTCCTTGTTCCCAACCCAATACATCAGTCCAGACTTGTCCCGCATGCATCTCCCCGACAGCCATTCGGATCTCATCGGGTCCCGCATTAGACATGATACAAGCCAATCCACTGGGATGCTCGGGCGTTCCTCTGCGGACGAAACCGACACAGTTGGCTTTGTCGAGGTATTCGTCTTGCTGGCCGTAGGCGTATAGTTTACGGGCGAGAGTCATGTCGGGGATTTTGTTCCCTGCTGCTGGTGGTTCGGGGGCGTCACCTTTGATGCCGTAGAGGTCGCCGTAGAAGAGACATGGGTAGCCGGCGTCTTGAAGGAGGATCGTCGCGTATGCGAGGGGTTTGAAGAAACCTTCTATCTTCGTTTCCATTGTCTGCCCTGGTTGGGTGTCGTGGTTCACTGAGATGAGAAGGGTTAGTATTGTCTTGGACAATTCCGATGTGGCTTACAGCCTAACTGGCTCGAGAGACGTCTTGCAGTTGCTTTATATGATTTCTTCCCTTTGACTTACTTACGACTGTCACAGCGTTCAATGGGTCGCGCTTGACTAGTGTGTTGTCAAAGACAGTCCTGAGATCCGCGTCCTCGSTCGTGCTCAAGCGGGAGAAGTTGTAGAGCAGCGGGGCATCGAACAAGGAGAATTTCCGGTGCATCTCATCCAGCCATTTTGACATTGCCTCGGTGTCGTTCGTCCAAAACTCGCCTACCATGAAGATGTCGTCGCCGCACTCTTGTCGAACGTGTTCTACCCATTCATTCGTGAAGCGTTGCGAAAAGTGTTGCACGGCGTCCAGTCGGAACCCCTTTAGACCGACCTCCTTTGTGACCCACGATCCCCAATTCTTCACATCTTCTTGTACTTCTGGATGGCTGTAGTCTACATCAGAGAACATCATGTAGTCGGCGTTTCCTGGAGGTTGTATTAGTACAGAAGTGATGTGGTATGGCCTGAGAACAAACCTTGCTCGTCGTCCACACTCGTGCTCCACGACTTTCCCTCGCCCTTCAACCTGTATATCGCCTTCTTCTCGTTCGCGGCATTATAGTCTGTACCCGAAAAATGATACCAATGATACTTTTGCGCGCTGTACTTGTCTCCTCGACCGGGAAAGTCGAAGCCTAACCAAGCAGAAATCTCGTACGACTCGGAGACCTCCTTGTTCCTATTATTCTCGTCGCATTCCACTGCATGGGCCTTCTCCTTCTTGTCAGCTCCGGCTTTGTGGTTCAATACTGCATCCCAGTATAGGCCAATGCCAAGCTCTTTGGCTTTGGAGGATAGAGCAAGGAGTTCATCTTTCGTTCCCCATTTGGTTCGAACGCCGCCTTTTTGGTCAAATTCTCCGAGGTCGTAGAGGTCGCTGGTGGTATTAGTCTGTGGCTACACAGATCTGTGCAGAATCTCACTAACTAGATGTCGTAACCATTTCCTTCAGGACTACTGCCTTTACAAGCCGGAGGAAGCCAGATGTTGTCAATGCCACATGCTTTGAGATTTGGCAGAGCTTCGAGAAGACGCTGCCAATGTTTGCCGTCGGCTGGACAATTCCATTCAAAGCCTTGCAAAAGTGTGGCGTTTTCCGGCATGATAGGTCGGGTTGAGATGTGAGATGAGATGAAAGCAGGAGAATACAATGATCAAGGAAGAATATGTTGAGGACTTACCCTTCTACCTACATATCGTTATCGTTGTTGGCTGCAAATGCTCAACCATGTGAAATTGGGCGCAGCTGGGCGACTCGTCACATTCCTGGAGAAACCGGTTTCGTGGGTGGAGTCCGCCAGGCGACGTGGCATTGCATCTCATACACCCCGGCCACCAGGGTCGCGGTGGAAGGCAAGCATGCTTCAATTCTCACTGTGATAAGCATATGTTCTCTGCGATATTGTTGTCGTGTTCACCGCCAAATCTTGATGAGAACATCGAGACCTGAGAAAAGCCTCGTCACAAATCGGACCTAGGTCCGACCAATGATGCGCCTCGACTTGACTCTCGATGCATCGGAGTAAAAAGAACCAACTAGAAGACCACATCCTAGGAGGATCTTCCGTCGTTGCAGGCGAGATGTACGTGAGAGAGGGGCGTCGATTCGTTATACTCCCGCTGCGTGGACATTTCTCATTTTCAGCATATGGCACTAGGCTTCTCTCCTACGAGCGAGCGTCGTTCTTCAGTTCGCTATCCTACTCGTAGTGAGACCCGACTATCCACACGAGTGTTGACTCAAATATGTGTAAAAAACGCTGCGGAATGCCTTCTCGACCACATCTGCTTTGCGAAGTCTGTCTCCGTAGACACTCAAAAGTTGAAGCATGACCCAACATGATTGCTGTCCCTGGACGATAGGTATGCATGTTTGAGACCTCCAGCTAAGCAGAATCCTTCGTCAAGTAAGGCGAAATGCACATTTGAGTGCCTCGTTTCAACTCTATGCGCTCGAGATTTCTTGCGTGAAGTTGATGTTGCCGCTGCCGCGCTGCCCATGGAGCAGTCGGATGCACAGCTTTGTCCAACAAGGAAGGGCGCAGATGGTTTTACGGCTAGCGGCCATGAAGGTCAAGTTCCGCTTGCCGTACTCCAGTCCGCATCTGATCCGCGTCTGGTAAGGCTCATCCAAGTAGTACCGGCCCGCGTCCGGAATATTGACTCTCGTTATGTGCAAAAGTCACATGCGTTATGGGAATGCCTTTTCGCAACTATGCAATGGTCCGGACAGTCCGCCCCTTTTCCGGTGTTACTTTGATGAGGCTCCACGCGATTCCCTAAGATAATGAACCAGAAGATCCATCTAGAGGCCGTTACATTAAGGATCAAATATCGTTTCCCGTGGAGACGGATTAGATCTCTTATGACCAGTCATCGCCACCGCCGCCTTCTTCACCACCTCCATCGTCGTCTCCTTCCCCATCATCGAAGTACTTTTCGGCATTGTAATCGTCACCCATATCGCTGTCATCTTCAGAGAAATCGTTGTCAGACGGTGCCTCAACACCGTCTTCATCGCCATCTCCATCCTTGTCGTCATCATCGTCGTCGTCGTCAGCGGGAGCGTCAGCGTCAGCACCCTCATCAAATCGCGCGAGTTTGTCGATGCGCTTCTTCTTGAGGAACGCGAGATTCTTGGCACGTGCCTCGCTAACCACCGTTGGATCATCACCGTCAGTGGCAAAATGAGCGAGTTCTGGCGGAAGGATCTCCCGGACTGGAGGAATGTTAGCATGTGAATGAGGAGTAGTGGAGTAAAGGATGATTTACTGAGTGGCACGTTGTCGAGATCCGGCTTTTCGCTGTGAAGACGCTTGGCTTTTTTGTAAGAAAAGGTATTGACATCTTCGAATGCGTTGAATGTCGAGGCATCACGCTTTCCGGTGGCGTCCCCAAGATAAAAGGGACTGTTGCGTCGGTCCTCGTTCGTTTCACGCATGATTTGAACGAGTTTCTTCTCGAAAGTGGTGGCGGATGGTGCCATGTGCACGTTCATAGGCTGTGGGGGGGGGGGGGGTTAGTAAGTAACTTGTGTGCAGCATTGAACCACGCTGGATTCCTCCTGAACTGAGACTCGTCTGGGCTTCTCTACTCGGCATCGACTTGTTGATGAACCCAGGAGGCCTTTCTACCAATCGCACATCATCATAAGAGCGAGATATCTTTCCCATCCAGATCAACGGAGAGATGCTCCGGTGTGGTATGATGCTGTGGCCAGCTCTCACCTGGAATAGTCTACTACTGATCGAACAGCGTCTTGTGCTCATCAAAAGTCGACACCGAGCAGATAGATGACACGAGCCAGAATATGGAGAAGGTTCAGTGGTCGGTACAAGTACTCACCGGGAACATTGAATTGGCCCAGTCATCGGTCTGGTAGGAGTTGAGCGCGACTTGGTCCTCGAGAGCCGTGTCGACATCGAATGGAAGAGCTTGTCCGTTCATGCGGCCGACCCCGGCGGGGCCTCCGCCGCGTCCACCGCGAGACATGTTGGTAGTGAAGGTTGATGTTTAATGGTGATGTGGTTGTGGTGGTCGTGGTGCTGCTGCTGCTGCTGCTGCTGCTAAATCGGGAAGGATGATGAAAATCGGAGCTGCTTCCGCTGATTGGCTAATTGGTCACAATGGAAAAAAAAATAGTGCAGGCAAGTTAGCCGAGCAGCCTCATTTCCCTCGACCCTTGGACATAACACGACTTCTATTCAGACGTCAGTTCGGATGCCAACATCTCCAGCTCTTCGTCGCATTTAAGCACTGCGACTAGCTTCAGAGTCCGTCCAGCATGTGCCTTGATCTAGATGCTGTGCCGACGTTGTCGACCGTGGATGCAAAACGCCCCGACATCTGACATTCACAGACGAAGCATACCCATAGTCAACCTCTGGATCTCCTTTCATTCCAAGTTCGGCCCTTGAAAAGCAACCTCGTGCTTGGACTGAAGAGCTCATGCATGGGACGATATCAAGATATACTGAAGATCAGCGCGGTTATTCGTGGCTCCGATCACCTCTCTGGATATTTCAATCCCCTCTACTACTTCGTCAGGCGAGCATTATCGCGGCAGATCGTGGTTCGATACTCATTCTGCTCTTCTACAATGCTACAGGTTGGTTGTGATCTGTCTTAAAAGCCGGATCAATGGTCGTTGCAAAGCTACCTATGGCTCGCTGTCTTTTCAAGAGCGAAGCTGTCAACTTTCGCACATGTTGCGAGGCCACATTGGGGCGCGTACTCAATGAAACGTTTGTGGATGTTAATCGTGTGTTGAGATGGAAACTTGGAGTTATCTGAAGGAAGAAAGGCTAGAAGTGAAGCGCTTTAGGGTTAGGGTTGGGGTAGTGACAAAATACTCGGAGCTGACAAGATTATGGGGTATATCAAGTTTGTACACGCGAAGGGCTTCCTCTCACGATTGAGAGATATCTTTTAGCCAAACGAGTCGTACAAGGGTAAGCACGCTTGCACTTTCTACACTTGCGACGAGTTTACGTTGTCACAGAAGTCAGCTGGAATAGCTGTCCCCCACATGGTCTAAGCTGGGCACACGAAGCGATGCATGGAAAGCGAAAGATATGAATCACAGTGGTATCAGGCTGCCTGTCAGAATACAAAGAGAGAAGCATCCATCGACTCACCCAGACTACGAATATCTAAGCGCGTTCGTCGAGGTTTGACTTTGTATAGAGGGCTCAGTTGAACGAGTCAAGAGCTGGAAGGTCGACCATAGTAGCGACAAAGGTACATCGTAGCGATTGGATCAACCCGTGTACTCTTAAAATCCTTTTGATAATAGATTGATCATGCTTACATTGCCGGTCGTAGCCATCGATGCGGAGCGTAAGCTATAGCATGCCATGGCTCTTAAAGCTCTTTCAATGATAGGTTTCCTAATCATGAATGATCGACAGCAATGTTTAGCCCACGAAAACGATCACTATGGTCGTGATGAATGTCAGAACCCGATGCCAAGCTTTCGGGCTTTTGACTTCACTTGAGCTTGGCCAAGACCAAAATATACAAATGTCGATGGAGCCACAACACGGCTCTACCATAGCAAGATAAGCGAGCAGCTCTCGTCAGCGAGCCCTCTTATACGTGGCATAGAAATTTCGGGCCTAAAAGATGTGAAGTTGACGAGCAATGCTCAGTGAGATTCATCCGGGAATATAGACCCATCTTCGAAATTTGCGGGAATTTTCCTGCGAGCTCTCTGCGTACGAACCACGGGAAAGTCTCGGATAGCATTTGAGCTTTTTAGAGGTGGGGCGCACAGCCCCGCAGAGGCCGTCCTTTGGCGGCTCTTGTTCGACATCGCCCATAAAATTCTGGCCCGCATACTTATTCGCTGCCAGCTTTCCGGCACCATCGTCAGTAGCTCAGGTTGTACCGAGTCTGTCTAGGGCGCTTGGTCTAGGGGTATGATTTTCGCTTCGCATAATCTCTCATCTGAGGACTATACGACATTGTGAAAGGTCGTGGGTTCAATTCCCACAGCGTCCAGTAAACTTTTGTCGGTGCAGGTGGCTGCCACCTAATTTTTGTCGATTTTTGGGGAACCCGGAACAATTTCTCACCTTTTTGGGTACCGCACCCTTACCCCCTAGCCCGAGGCCCAAAAGGCCACTCGGATGTAGCTTACGAACCTATCATACGCTTTGAATCGAGTCACAGTACTGTCCTCTACATTTTTGGAGTTTTTTGGCCCACAAGAATTTTGGRCTATATGGCCCTACATGGTCATCCAACCGTCCGGAACAGGCACGCCCCTTATTGCCAATCCCGAATCAATTTTCAGTCAATCTTAGCCATAAAATGCAGCATGGGTATTGAGGTGTAGCAGTGCCTGCACAGTAAATTCTACATCTCGCTATATTCAAAATCCTGCAGACCGAATGGGATTCACGTTACCTCTGCACCACCACTAACAACACCTCGATTCAGCAAAGGAAGCCAAGGCTGTTAATCTCCAAGGTTCCATTCTTATGAGCGGGCAATGCCGACTTGTGTAGGAGATTGAGAGGTGTACCATCAGCTGTCTATACCTTCATCTCTTGCACAGACAGCTTCAACCCGTCGGGCATGAACTTACAGCTGAACAGAGAGTTGAACTGTTGAAGGACGAAGACGCAAGAGCAGCAGTGTAAGAGCCCATGTCGTGATTGAGTGAATCCAATCTAGAGAGATGCCCCCCGTTTTGGAGATGGTTTTGCAGCAATGGCAAAGGCTAACGTTCGTTGGAAACGCCTCTTCCTCTTGGAGATAGAGTATCTCAGCGTAGGTCACTCCTTTCTGTCCTGTATACAGAGTCCTCATCCTAACATCATCCTTTCTGGAGAACACCAAACCGGTGACGCCACCTTGTAATCTTCCACCGGACACCCTCTCACCACAGTCTACGTTCTCGTGACTGATCAGACGCTATCCCAAGCAAAACGTAGTCATGAAATGTATCAGCGACTGCTCAGACTGTAAGATGGATTCAGACAGGAAGAAGAGATGGGATCGCTTTAGGGAAACATTGTCTGAATGTATAGAAAGGTAACATTGAGCATCTCATTTCCGCCATAGTCGATCAACAGAATAGAGGTTGGTTTGACCAAGTTACAATTGACAGCTGCACCCCTTTCGACTTTTGTAAGCCCATCGTGCTTTCTGAACACAGATCAGAACCGTCGGCAGGAGCATCGGACCCAACATTCTCAACTCCTTCCGAATATCCTCATCACCATTCTGGATACGACCCGACAACATCGATACTACACCTGAGCTCTTCAGTCCTCATCAACACAGCCACCTAGGCTCGTATCACCACGAGTAGCCTACTACGAAGAGCACAATCATCCACCTTCGAGACACTTCCAACATCCATCGATCCTCAGCACTCTACCCTTCAGAGCATGGTACACAAAGTCCCAGTCGTAATCTACTCAGCTCCAGAACCCTACCCACCACCAAAAGTAGAACTGGACGGATACGGACGTCCCTACACCTACGACGAGGAACCCGAAGCGACAAGCAAACCCACACGCCTGACCGACGAAGTCCGAGCAAGGATTGGTACAGCACCGCCGGGATATGAATGGAAAGTCGAACCTTGGGAGCCAGCACCAGACGATCCCGAATTCGAGAACCCTATTATCAAGTATCGAGTCCGAGCAAGACGTTGTTCGCAATTGCCAGACAAAAAGTCCCAAAGCTTGCAGCTTGAGAAATCTTCCTTCGATGGATTCGAACCGAAACGCATAGTAGCGAGAGTCGGCCAGCAGATACGACTTCAATATTGGCAGATTTCAAAGTTGGAAAAGCATACCTCGCAAAACAACCTTCCAGATTTCATGGAACTCGAAGGACTTGGTCACGATTTGAAGGAGAGGCATTCTTTCAACGCTGTGGATCTTCCCTTTGGATTGCGATTTCTAAGTACCCTTTCTCCATTGCCCTTGGAACGGAAGATTTGCAACGATTACAAAGATAAGCAGAAAGAGCCTGATATACGCTGTACCATGGGAAAGAGAGAAATCGGCACCATTCGTTCGGCAAAGGGTGGATCTTGCTATGTACTCTGCGTTGCCGAACGGGAAACCTCCCTGGTCCAAACAAAGGAGTCTGGAAGGTCAAAGTTGTGGCGCTTCTTTCCAACCAGTATAGGAGATACTCCCGGTCCATGGCAATGGGAGTACATGTCTCATGAATGGAGCCTCAAGGACTCGCTGGGGGATACTGCCAAGCGACTCGCGAGATTCGACAGCTTCTCCCTTACGTTTGAGCATGGCTCCAATCTGAGCGATGCCACGCGCGAAGAAGTTCTGCTCTCTGTGATTGCCATTTTCGATTGGATAGCGCAATTTCGGAAAGAGGCTGAGAGGCTTGAAGCGGAACGACAAGAGAGAGCTGAGATGCATGCTGAGGCTGTTGAAAGGGGATGGGGAAACGGCCTGATGATGGGGGGTATGATCTAGAGGCAACGACATGTTTGTCGACCATGATGCCATTGAGAACATCACCTGTGTAGAGTATAATGAATCCGAGATGCTGGTAATTCTTGATGATTGAAGTTCACTGCATGTGATTCTCTACATCGTAATGGCATTCCCATCCAAGCTATCAATTTTCCCCGTCCAGTAATTGATCCAATTGAAAATCTCCGTGTGCCAAAACAATGAGTTCTCACGATTCAACACCCAATGGTTTTCATCCGGGAAAGTCAAGAAGCGACTCGGCACTCCCAACGTCTGCAGAGCATTGAACATGGCAAGACCCTCACTCACAGGAAGCCGATAGTCCAATTCGCTGTGCACGATGAACTGCGGCGTGGAGAAGTTGTTGGCGTGCGTCATGGGATCCCATGCCATGTAGTTGGACCTGCCGGGTTCTTCCCAAAGGGTCCCATTGAAATCGTGCTCCGTAAACCAGAGTTCGTCTGTGCTGTAGTCGGCATATGTAGTTGCCACACCATCGTGGCAGACGAGAGCTTTGAATTCTTTACCCAGATCGTGGCCTTGGATCCAATTGGTCATGTAGCCTCCGTACGAAGCACCGGCCTCGACGGCATTGCTGCAGTTGACGTATGGGAGGTTATCACAGATATATGTGTGAGCGTTAACCAGATCTTCATATGGCCAACCTCCCCAGCGACCTTGGATGCGGTCTGTGAGGTTCTGTCCGTACGAGGTGGATCCTGTTGGGTTGGGTCCTATCACCACATAGCCTTGATCGGCCCAGGTCTTGAGGTTCCATCTGTTGCTCCATGTGTTGCCGGTGTAGCCTTGAGGACCGCCATGCACGTAGAATACAAGATCGTAGACTTTGCTGGAATTGAAGTTCTCTGGGTAGATGATGATGGCTTGTTGCGCGTCACCGAGAGTTCCGTTGTACCAGAGAAAGTCGACATCCTCGGGACCCAAGCCCGCGAGATTGGCATCCTTCTCGTTTGACTTGTAAAACCACTTTGTATCCGCGGATGGCGTGACAGTGTAGAGCAGGTATGACGCCCAAATCGCATTGGAAGAGACGAGAGCGTCTCCATTGGGTAGCACGAAAAAGTCGGAAATGGAAGTAACGTCGGTAATGTTGGTGGGCACGTAATCCGCAGCAGCATCAACAGGCAAGATGAACAATCTTGTGGCGCCGATCCAATCAGCGGCAACATATAGTTCATCAGAAGACGGACTCCATTTGATCGATCCAGCAGAGACATCCCAATCACCCGCAACAGGAGAGATCTGGCGAGAATCGACATCCGCAACGTAAATCTTGCTGYGGTCGGACTCATACGAAACACCATCCTGCTGGTAGAAGGTGATCTTCTTGCCATCTGGCGACCACATTGGAGCGCCGCTCGCACCCTTGGCAGCTTCTGGAGCAGTGCTGTTTGGACCATTGAGGTTCGTCGCAACGGAGGAACCATCGTGAGCGACAAGGTAGAGGTAGCTGGCAGTGTAGTTTGCCTTGGGAAATTCTGGAGCCTTGGTGAGGAAGACCACCTGGCTACCGTCTGGAGAAAGATCATAATCTCCACTGCCACCAAATGGCTGCACCGGCGATTCTGGTCGTGTAACAGGAGCCTCCATTCCCTTGAGAAGGTTTGTCATCCATCCGGTAAAGTTCAAGCCTGAGGTGCCGTTCTTGAGAGACCCAGAATAGACCGCGAAGCGTTCCTGAGCGAGCCAGGTATCCCAGTGACGGACGTAGATGCTGTCATAGAGTCGACCAGTGGTGAGTGGAGTGGATGCAAGCTCTGGATTGTATGCAGAGCCATTGTTGGCATATGCGAGGCAGTTCAAGACGAAGTTGATGTCTCCAGATTCGGTCTGAACAGCCTTCAGTCCGGAGTAAGGCGCTGGAAGTGAGGCCACGAGCTTGCTGTCAAGATTTAGCATGCAATTTTTGTATTTCAACAGCACAACAAGACATACCTCGTGATGGGAGAATCTGCCAGATCTGCAGTCCACAATGAGACTCCACCAGGATTCACATCATCGCTCGTATCATTGATATACAGCACGCTGGTATCAGTTGGTCCCACCCACACAATCTCCGAAGCATCGCTCGAAAGATCAAGGTCCGAGATCTCGCCTGTGGGGATGTTCAAGATCTTCCRCACAGTGCTTGCTTCATGAGTTTCGAAAGAGTAATTTGTTGAGGTGTACACCGCCCACTCTCCGCTTGGATTGGGAGATGCTGCACTGTAGCGAGGGGCAGAAAGCATAAGTCTGAGAGATATATCAGTCAGTATAGCTCACCGCCTGAAGAAAAGGTAGAAGAATGGACGTACTCAGGCGTGATGCTGTGCACAACGGGCAGCAATGCCGCCGTGACAGCCGCGACCCATCCCATCGACATCTTTGCAGGATGTGAAAATGAGGATGATGTGATGATGGTAGCAACAAAAGTTATTATGCTACCTATATGCTTGATGCCTGCATCACTAATGATGCACTAGCAACTCACGATGGCTACGGCGTTACATCCGCACGTGCAGCTTTCATTATTTCATTTCTTGCCGTGACGCAACTTGTACGCCGATCGGACGGACATGCACCAATGAGGAAGGTGCCTGACCTATCCAGAATTGCCAAGACTCAAGAGGATAAGGCGGTACCAAGATCGACGCTTGAACTGGTAAAGCTGCGACAAGCTCAGGCCCGATGACCGAACTCCGAGTTGAGAGAGCGATAAGGTACCTAAGGCTGCGAATGAGAGAGGGGAGCAGTGCCGTGGGAGTGACATTTGGTGCAGGACAACCAGAGTTGTATTGTATATGTATCGGAGTAGATTTATTTCCATCTCTCCGTTGCTTGGCTGAGACCATGTTAGCCCGTTGGTCTCTAGACGTTTTATTCCCTTACGATGCCGTTGGGATGATGTAGAAATGCTTTCATGCGGAAAGCTCTCTTTTCCAGTCCTCTCCTCTGAGGCGAATCTCTTAAATCATACAGGAAGGTAAGGTAGCAAGGTAATGCAACAAGGTAAACTGTACAACCTCCTCCTCCACACTTACGCATCTCTACCAGAAGCAATACTCGACTCGCCTCTCGTAGGCATGTTCCTCAATTGTAACTCGCTCTCAACCAACTTCCACCTCCCAATGGACTTATCCTTGTGTACATGCGTGCGACGACTGTTGTGGACTTGAACATTGGGCGTCGCCTCCAGCATCTGTAATTGTTCCGTCTCGTGCAATTTCTTCGGCGCTTCTTTAGCAGCGAATGCATCGTACAGGTCATTGAGCGTATTTGCGTGCTGGAGTGAAATGTCGGCGACGCGCTTTCCTGTGAGTTGCATGGCGCGTTTGAGGATCTGTGTAGCATAGTCAGTGAGGATTCGAATCGAATCTCGCTTCGATGGGAACGGCATACCGCGAATTTGACACGAGGATCGTTTAGTTTGAAAGCCATGAAGAGTTGACCGCGACCAGATGCCAAGGCCTGTGCAAGCTCAATCCTCAGCGACTCTGGATCACGCTCTGCAGATGGAGTCTCTGAGATGCTGTCCAGAATCGCCTTCTCCTGTTTGCCGTTCTCGACCACAGCAGCGCCAGACTTGTTGGAGACAATTACGCCGCGAGTAGAACATTCATCTTCCTCGCTGAAAGTCCTCGCATTGCAAATCTGCAACACATCTCGTCCAGCCTTCTTCAGAGTCAGAACCTCCGCAGTGATATTGTGCAGCAGAGCCTCCCAGTCCTCTCCCTCAAGTTTCACCTGCTTCGGCGGCATGAATCTGCAACCCTCATTAGCCCTCACCATCTTATATCCCACCGCCAGGTATCATGTCTTCTTTACTCACCCAACATACTTCTCCCCCTGATCCGCCCTCTGCGTAACCCAAGCCTCACTCCCAATCCTCTCCATCCCCTTCCAAGTCCTCGAAACCACATAATTCTTATGCGTAGTCGGATGCACCACCGCGGCAACCTTTAAACGCCCCTCATTCTGCGACTCATCATTCTTGACCTGTTCATCAGGGCCCGCCTGTCTTATCGCTTCCAATTGTTTCTCGCGCGCGAGTTCAAGTCGTTCTTCCGCGGCTTTGGATTCTTTGCTACCGAAGAGTGAGTCCTGGATGCGTTTGTAAAAGGGCTGCGAGGAGGCGTTTCGGGGGTTGGAGGTGCTGAGTTGACGGGTGGATTGCGCGAGACAGGCGCGGCAGATGTAGGGTTGACGAGCAGTTTCCGTGGCGAGGCTTAATGCCTGCCCGGTGAGTCGTGCGTTTCGCATAATGGGGTGGTGTGTGATGGTGGATGGTGAGATTCTGAAGTTCATCAATGGAGGATCCATCTCAAGTTCGGCGCGCGAGTCATGATTTCAGGTGAGCTGGATTGGCATGACTTTTCGACGGCTTCAAAATTAAACATCAATGCAGAGCGCGACTCTCATACCGCTCATGATGCCACGATGCAAAGGCAATTGGCAAATCGAGGAGAGTCGAGAGCTGGATGTATTCATTACTCAAACACATGACAACCATCCCCCTCAAAATACATGGAATGGAACCTGGTGACATTCATCTACAATTGACTACYATCGCTTGCTTCTTCACACATCATACTTCATAACATCAATGCAATCGATTCCGCTCTCGCTTTTCTTCCGTCACACCACTTAGGTCTTGACATCAGGCTCAACACGTCCGATAAACTCCTGCAGCTTGAGCAACTCCACGCTCATCTTGACATTCTCCTTCAGGTACTCCTGAGCGTCCAATCCATATGTCTTGGGGTCCGACTCGTGCCTCTCAATGTACAAGCGAATGGTTGCGCCCGAAGATCCAGTACCCGAAAGTCTGACGACAATTCGGCTACCATCATCAAACTTGACGTAGATGCCCTGGTTCTTGCTGACGGAACCATCAAGGTCGGTGTAGCTGAAGTCGTCCGCTTCGATAACCTTGCGCCCGGCAACAGTCGATCCAACAAATGAATCGCGCTTGGTGGTGATGAGCTCTTGCATGTGTGCGACCATCTTGTTGGCACCCTCAGACTCAACACCCTCGTAATCGTAACGAGTGAAGAATGTGCGGCCGTAGATGTTCCAGAAGTCGTGCTGGATGCTCTTGATTGATGGAGTCTCGCCCTTCTCCTGACCCACACCAGCGATGATGTTCAGCCATGCGACAACGGCCCAGAGACCATCCTTTTCGCGAATGTGGTTGGATCCAGTACCGAACGACTCCTCACCGCAAATGTTCATCTTGTTGGAGTCGAAGAGACCGCAGAAGAACTTCCAGCCGGTGGGGACCTCGTAGCTCTCAAGACCCTTTTTCTTGGCTACGAGATCAACAGCACCGGACGTAGGCATGGAGCGAGCAAGACCGTAGACACCCTGCTTCTTGAAGTATGGAATCAGCTCGGCGTAGTGAGCGATGATTGCAAGTGAGTCTCCAGGGGAGACGAAAGAGTTGGCGCCGTAGATCATGTTGCGGTCACCGTCACCGTCAGAGGCAGCACCGAAGTGAATGCCCTCGCGGTCAACACGCTCGACCAGCGAGTGTGCGTATACGAGATTGGGGTCGGGGTGATGACCACCAAAGTCCGGCTTTGGCACACAGTTTTGTGTGCTACCGGCAAGTCCTAGCTCTTTCTCGAAAATGTCCACACCGTAGTTGCCAGTCACACCGCTCAGGCCGTCGAAAAGAACCTTGAAGTCTGGGTGCTGCTTGAGGAAGCTCTTGATCAAGTCAAAGTCGAAGATATCCTTGAGCATTGCAACGTAATCGGTAGTGCTGTGGACAATCTCGACTTCGAGTGGGCCGTATGTCTTGGTGCCAATGGTGGAGAGGTCGACGTCGGGGATGTCGGCGATCTTGTAAGAAGTGAGAGTCTTGGAAGTCTCGTAGATTTTGTTGGTAACGCTTTCTGGTGCGGGAGCTCCGTTGGCGAGGTTGTACTTGATGCCAAAGTCCTCGGTAGGACCACCTGGGTTGTGGGAAGCAGTGAGCAGAATACCACCCGTAGCCTTCTTGATGCGAATCAAGTGTGATGCTGCTGGTGTAGACATGATGCCATCTTGGCCGATCAAGAGCTTCTTCACGCCATATGCTGCACCAATCTTTGCAATGAGCTGCGTGACTTCGGGGTTGTAATAACGGCCATCACCGCCAATGACCAGATATGAGTCCTTGACGCCTTCGGGGATGGAGAGCAGGATCGAGGCGACGAAGTTCTCGCTGTAGTTGGGCTGCTGGAAGACCTTGACCTTCTTACGGAGGCCAGATCTGAGAGAAGTCTGTCAGTGAGTGCTGTCATACGGGGGATGTATGGCGGTAGAGACTCACGTTCCAGGCTTCTGATCGGTGAATGGCTTCACTTCGACCGTGCGTACGCTCATCTTTACTGTGATGTGTTTGGATATGAGGGAGAGTCGGTTTGTTGTGTGAGTTGATTGAGGAATGGTGAAGGAGGATTGAATGCTTTCAATGGCAGTGAGACGGGAGGGCAAGTTTTGTTTTGGGAAGCGTTGATCAGCCAATTCACCCCACTCCCCACCTTCCCTCTGAACCCTGGAAGTGACATCGTGGTGGGGCGCTCAACAACGTGTACGTCCGTCACTCGCCCATCCGCCAATGAGCTTGCATGTTCTGCCGCGAAACGGTGTGGCGAGCTGTATGCAAATGCCCCGAGTGGCTTACAGTGCCTCACTTCTTGCCAGCATGAACATGGAGGGAAGAATGCGTGAAGATTGTGAGGACAGTAGCATCTCTGTTTGGTGGGACATGATCCCTGCTCTTGGAATCCGCTCCGACTCCTCAAACGGGCCGGAGAGGGAGATGCGGGCGTTGAAACTTGACAGTCCAGATTGAATGGAGCTYGCGAGATACGTTGATCTCAGCAGCTGCAGGGAGAAAATTTGCGCCTCATGGGTGGGATTTGCCTCCGTCCTCTCAACCACGACGTTGCCCATGGCTTTGAGGAGCTTCCGGCCTTGGAGAGACATGTTCGAGAAGGATAAGTCATCATCGGTGAACCACTAACAGGGTTTCATTCATGCGTCCGACAGCATCTTTCCTGGCAGAACCATGCGGCATAGTCATCTGGACTACATCGTTCAATTCCATGCCTCATCACTGATCCAAGCAAGCAAAATTGCCAACCCAAACTCCATGCTCCGCGCTTCATGATACTCACAACCCAACCCAATCTTCCTCAAGCAGCAATATCAAAACTGGTTCCGCATCCGCAACTGCTCTTCGCGCCCGGAATCCCCGTAACCTTGAACTGACTCCCAATCAACTCCATCGTATAGTCCACACTACTTCCCTTCAACAACTCCAATGAAGGCTCATCCATCACAACCTTGGCCCGATATCCCACTTCATTAYCCTTCTGCACTACCTCCTCATTCTCAAACACGGTATCCTCCTCCGCATCAGCTTCGCTGACATTCGTCAAACTCATGAGATATTGGAAGCCGTGACATCCTCCTGATTCTACAGATACACGGAGCGCGAGATCCGGATTGGCGTCTTTGGAGGCTATTGCTGTGAGGCGGTGGGCGGCTCGAGGAGTGATTGAGATGAGCATTTCAGCGCCAGAGTCATCTTTGCGCGGAYTGGTGATAGCTTTGACAAATCTGGGTGAAGTCGTGGAGAGATGTCGTCGTTGTATGCGAGGCGGTAGGTCGCGACGTGCTGCTGAAGGCAAACGCCATGCGGGAGCGAGAAAGTCCAGATGGAGTGGCGTTGGGGTGTTGTGCAAGTTGCGCGCTTGAGAGAAAATGATTGCGCTGGACGGACGCGATGTTCGTAGGGTCCGTAGACATGTCCGCGAGATCGTAGGAGCGGCCATGATGGTGTTGTTGTTGTTGTGGAGGCAAGTGATCTGATCATCATGTTTCCTTGATCTCGCTGGCGGATCTCGGTTGGTTGGTCATCATCTCGAGCCGATTGCCGGACCAAACTTCTGGCCGTTGGACATGGAACCTTTCCATTGTTCCTCACATCACTCACAACCTTGAACACGACCGCACCTTTGCTACTATGCAATGTGTCTCCGCATGATGAGATGGGCGGATTCTCACATCTCAAGGAAATGTCACGTCACGCATTGAATCCTGCCTGGTTTTCTCATTTCAGTCCAACCACCATGCATTCGTCCTTTCACTCTATCGCTTTTCTCAGAACATCCTTTCCGTCTCCATTTCTAGCCCGATTGCTCTCATGCTGTTCCATCTCCCTGTCTGCGGCCAAGTCTGAGGATCTGTACGAGTATACGAGCGGAAAGTGGCTGTAGGTCGTCCTACGAAGTCATATCAGCCTCAAAGGCTCGACTGATTCTGGAACTGATTCTGGCAGCTGGAACGATGCCTTCAGACATGCTGAACGCAGACGGACTTTCAATCCTGCCGGCTTGAAGGAACTTGCCGCTGCGGCGGTAGATCGGCCCTCGCAAGACGTTACACGTTTCGAAAAGCTGGCCGAGGGTGGTTTCGATCGCACATTTCTCGTGTCCATGCGCGATGGTTTCCAACTGGTTGCACGTATCCCATATTCAATTACGGAGCCTCAGAATCTTCTCATCGCAAGCGAAGTGGCTACGATGGACTATCTTCGCGCTCGTGATATTCCTGTGCCTAAAGTCTATGGCTACTCGACAGATGCGGAAAATCTTGCAGGAACTGAATACATTATCATGGAGGCTATGCGTGGAAAGAATCTGGGAGACCTTTGGTACCAGCTTGGTGAGAAGGCTAGAATCGCGGTGGTCGAGAGGCTCGTAGAGCTTGAGTCACGATTGTTCTCTCTGGACTTTCCCGCCAGTGGAAGCCTTTTCCACACGAGTGATCTAGGATCTCAATGGGATCAGGTACCGATCCCATTGGAGGATTCTAAATGTACAGACACTTTCAGTATTGGGCCTGATCTAACCTTGAGTATGTGGTACGGCAGACGACAGGACCTGGATGTATCTCGGGGACCTTGTAAGTGATCATTGGTGGCGTGTCGTTGGATTCACTATTCGCGACTGAGCTCACAACGTCCAGATAGGGATGTGCAAGAGATGCTGGCCGCTGGAGCTCGCAAGGAAATCACCTACCTCGAGAAACACGGACGTCCACTTCATCCGCTGCAACGCCTTCGTCGAGAATGTTTCGACTTTCAACGACAATCTCACTCCGAACATGCAGACCTGTTGAGGGACTATCTACTGACAGTCGAGAGCATCGCACCGCGAAACGATCCAGCAATCACGCAGCCCAAGCTAAGGCACCCGGATCTTCAGCCAAACAACATATTCGTTTCGGATAATCTGGAGATTACGGGACTGATCGACTGGCAGCATTCCACTATACTTCCACTTTTCCTACAAGGCGGTATACCTGGTAGTCTCCAGAACTATGGTGACGAAGTGTCAGAGTCGCTGGAAATGCCCATCTTGCCGGACGAATTCGACGACCTTGATGAGAACTCGCAAATGAGAGAAGTCGAACTTCTCCGAAAGCGACAGCTTCACTACCACTACGTCCAGAATACCATGAACTCAGGCTCTCCCCACAGTAAAGTCCTGACTGATCCACTATGCGTCTTACGCCGGAAGCTTTTGTCGCGCGCAGGTCAACCCTGGGAAGGCGATAATGTAACATTAAAGGCCGATCTCATTGAATTTGCAAAGGCATGGCCCTTATTCGCTCCTTCTCAACCTGGAACTTCAGTTTCGGACTGCCCCATCAGATACACAGAGGCAGAACAACAAGAATGCGCTGATCTAGAGACTGCACTGGAAGAAGCCGATTCTCAATTCAGAACTTGCTTGAATTTGGTTGGAGCGGGACCTGAAGGTTGGGTGCCTTTGGAAATTTATGACGAAGCACAGGCACGCGCCGAGCAGTTATTGATAGACACGCTCGAACATGCGGAGTCTGATGGGGAAAGGGAAGAAATTCGAGAACATTGGATCTTTGCTGATTTTGATGAGACTGAGTATTACTAGATCCTTTAAACTGGACCGAATATCTCTGTACAATATAAGAAAAGTGATGGAATATCGCTGTACTAGCTGGCTGGCTGTATGCCGGGTCTATGTACCATGCTGGACGAAAACATTTGCGCGCCCGATTTTTGTCGAAAAAATAATCAAGGCTCCGCTGCTGTTTAATGACTGGACGATGGCAATGCTTTTGATCGAATCACAATGGACGCCATCGTTGTCTTGATAGTGGATGTGCTCTAAAAGGGTCTGGTGGTTGGCGCGGCCAAGGTGGTCTCGAAAGGCCTGGTGGTTGGATCGACTAAGGTTCTTCGCGTGGTATAAAAGGGCCTGGTGGTTGGTGAAGCCAAGGTGGTTAAAGTGGTTTCGAAAGGTCTCGTAGTTGGATCGACCAAAGTTCTTCGCGTGGTATCGAAGGGCCTAGTGGTCGGATCGACTAGTGTTCTGCGCGTAGTATCAAAAGGCCTCGTGGTTGGATCGACTAGGGTTCTTCGCGTGGTATCGAAGGGCCTCGTGGTTGGATCGACCAGGGTTCTTCGTGTGGTATCGAAGGGCCTCGTGGTCGGATCGACTAGGGTTCTTCTCGTTGTCTCGAAAGGCCTGGTTGTTGGCGAAGCCAAGGTGGTCAGGGTAGTATCGAATGGCCTTGTCGTTGGATCGACCAAGGTTCTTCGCGTCGTCTCGAAAGGCCTCGTGATCGGTGAAGCTAAGGTGGTCAAAGTGGTCTCGAACGGCCTGGTAGTTGGCTCGGCCAATGTAGCATATGTAACCGTCGAGAGAGTCTCTGCCGAGACGAGTGCTGCAGTTGCAACGAGGGCGAGGAAGGAGTACTGCATATTGAAATTTGTGTCTGAGGATGTTTGAAAGTTGCTTTTAATCAAGTATTGTTGTCGATGGAAAATGAGTCTGAAGGCGTGGATACAACTTCTTTCGAACACGCAGAATGTCTGCTTTTTATCTTTCACTCTTATGAAGTCTCTCTTTCATCATGTTTATTCTCGGCATCTCAGGCGTCCTGTACTACCCCATTAGGCAATCCCACGTTGTTGATCAAAATAGAAGCCGAATGCTGATCCCTCTGGAAGGCCTAACTTAAAGAGATCTTCCACCGTCATCAGGATCGCCCTATGTAGAGGCGTCCTTCGCAAAGATTGTCCTTTAGGGATAGCGCCGACTCCTAAGTAACCTAACTCATATAACCAATCCAAGCCTACTTAACCGCGGTATCCACTGCAGAGACCATTCTCACAAGTGTTGTACGCACAGTCCGCGTCCTTGGAGCATTTCGCATTGAAGTTTCCGCACTGCTTAATAGTATCCTTCGTCTGGCCATAGCAGGTCGAATCTCCCACACACTGCTCATCCAGAACGCAAGTCTCGCCCAATTGATAGGAATGAGGAGCGAGGAACCCATTACAGAGTCCCGCCTGACATGTATTGTACGCACAATCCGCATCGCTTGTACATTCCGCGTTGAAATTTCCACAGCTGGGAATGGTGTCTTTGGTCTGGCCGTAGCAGGTGGAATTTCCTTTACACTGCTCATCGGAGGCGCAAGTTTCACCCAGTGCGATGGAATGGGGAGCAATGTAACCGCTGCAAAGTCCGTTGTCGCAGGAGTTGTATGCGCAGTCTGCATTTGACTTGCAGCCTGCGTTGAAGTTTCCACACACGGGAATCGTATCTTTGGTCTGGCCGTAGCATTCGGAATTGCCAAAGCACTCGGCGTCAGTGGTGCATTCCTTTCCCAAGGGGATGGAGTTGTTGGGCGCAGCTGCAGAGACTAGGACTGCCGTTGTGGCGAGAGCGAAGATTGAGAAGCGCATGTTGTTGAAAGTGGTCGTGCTGATATGTGGTGTCTGATGGCTGGTGGAGGTGTGGGATATGGATGTCTGGTTGATTATGGAGTTGATAAATTCTTCACAGCGGAATTGAGAGTGCTTTGGAAGCAGAAGGGGATTACAGCTCGGTCTATATACACTCATCCAAGTTTAAATGTAGCAGTATACGGGTCGGCATCGTACCAGGAGATCTCGTGTCCGACATGGAAATAGCATTGACAGGGATGCTCTGGCCATGAAATTACATCCATCGACGTCAGTGCTCTCACCACGTTTTGCATGGAACATGGATTTCGTACGCGTCCCTTTGATAGGTTTATTTCATGTTGAAAGCAGTTTCAGATCAGGTTACATCGATCCGCCTTCATAGTACGAGGACGTACCTAACCGACTCTATGCTATCAGACAACCAGACCGATTAGTACCACGTCAAACGAGAATGTGACAACCAACTCCCCAACGCTCTCGCTAACTCAAAACATTCCTGTCGTTCCTCCTAAGCCAACCGCGCAACTTAACCCTCACTCTTCTTATCCCCCTTGCTTGGACTCGTAACTGAAAACTCAGCCGACCACAGACTCTCCCATCCATTGCCCGTTTTGGCTTTCGCAGGTGAAGTCTTCATCGGACTTTGTGGTCTTGTTGAACTTGAAGTACCCGCTGCGGGGTCCAAATGTCGCTGAAGTGAGCGGACAGATTTGGAGGGTGATCTGGATCGCGGGCGAGGTTGTTCGCTGATCGTCTGTGTATTGTGTCAGAAAATGTTGTGATTGGGAAGCGTTCCAGGGTTGCATGAACAGGATCGAGTGTGGGCGCTTCTTCGCTTCGCTCGACTCGCTCTCATGGTCCCCAGAGCAGATCTTGTCGCACCTGTTCATGCGGTTGCTGCGATGGCTGCGATGGCTGCGGACTCGGAACAGGAGGCGGACCCATTGAGCCCTCTCCAATCCCCAAGCCAGACACCGGAGCAGGGAGTGGTCTCAGTGGAGCAATCTGTCCACCACCACTAGCTTGACTTCCACTGCGTCCCCTACCACCAACAGGCTCAACAACAGGACTCTTCCCTCCTCTCTTACTGGTAGAACTGGACCGACGACTGTCCAAGCTCTTGTTAAGATGCTTGGAGGCATCATCGCTCTTGTTAGATCTCTTGATCCGGATACTCCCTTTGGCGTCGACATTCGCCGTGCTGACTGTGCTCTTTCCAAGACCTGGGGTCGTAGGTGCAGCGCCTGCGGTTCGTTCTTCCACTGCATGGACCATCCACCAGGTCAAGCCGTCTGAGAGATCGAAGGGGTTGTCATCTTCGGCAGTTATGGAACTGTTCATGGCCTCTGTGCTGCCATGGAGTGATGCCCTGCGTTGCGCGCTGAGATCGACAACCTTTTGCTCTACCTTGGAGATCCTCGCGACGATGAAGTCTCGCGTTCCCAAGCGCATTCCATCGCGTTCCGCAAGGAAGTAATGAGGACAGTTGATGTTGAACGCAGCCSAGGCCCCACCCTTGATTTGTCCTCCACGAGTTGGTAGGAAGAGCGCTAGGTCGCCTTCTTTGAAGTCGCGAACGGCAATTTTGGAATGCGCTTCGTTTCTCAGCTTCATGGCGCGGTCTTTGTAGGCGTCAGCACGCTTGGTGGACTCCTTTGACTCCTTGCTGTACTTCTTCGCGGTATACTCAAAGTCCTTGACCCTCTTCGTGACGGCTTCGGAGAAGGCATCGAGGTCGAAACGGGAGACATAGCTCAGGAATGCTTCGAATGAGCTTGCCTCGTCTTCGAGAGTCTGGGCATCGGCCCAGTGCAGGAGGCGAAGATCGGCAGGAGCCTGAGAGTCTGCCTCAGCAGCTGAAGACTTCCTTGTATGAGGCGGCGACACGATTGAACCCATCCGGCTTGAGTCGAGAATGGTGGTGCTGGCGGCCAATCTAGAAGCACGCTCGATGACCATGGTGTCGTTTTGATATGACACAACCAGGCCTAGTCGCTCGAGCAAACGATTGAGACGCAAATTTTGCAAGTACAGCCTCTGCGATATCTCCTTTGCACGCTCAGCACGCTTCTCCAATCTCTCAGAAGTCGTTGTAGCGGTGGCAATCTGTTGCTCGTGCTTCTTCGTCACCCGCATGAGCTCAATGTCAAGACTGTTGACGTGTGACTTTGCTTCTGCCAATTCGGAACTGAGCTTACCAGCCCGCTCTTCCTGATCGGTCGCACGTTGTCGCAAGACTTCAGACCCAGTCTCACCTTCGGCAAACTTGCTACGCAGCGAACGGAGCTGCTCCTGTTCTTGGGCGAGTTGTTCTTCCAGAGACTTGGCTTTGGCCTCCTCGGTGGCAAGCTTCTCCTTGGCTTGACGAACTTGATCTTCAGACTCGGATTGTCTCGCGGTAAGGGCCGCAAGTTCTGCCTTTTGCCGCTCGTTGCTAGACCACAAGGACTCATTCTCTGACTTGGCAAAGGCCACAGCTTCTTCCAGATCCTTCGCATGAGCGGCAGACTTTCGCGTGAGTTCCTCGAGTGTTGTTGCGAGCCCAATGAGACCGTTCGGAGACTCGCCGTTTGGAGAGAGATGCCTATGAGCTGCGGCGAGTGATTGGAGCTGCTCGGCTTCTCCCTCCTGCCTTTGAGCGATCTCAATGCGAAGCTTTGACAGCTCTTCCTCTGCACTGGCTCTCGCAGTCTCAGCCTGATTGAATTTCCACTCGAGTGAGTTGCGAGCATCGTGCTCGGTTGCAGCTCTTGCGGCATGGCCAGCCGCATCTTCTTTCAACCTCACAATCTCATCGTCGATGTTCTCGCGCGTATCCGCGATGCGTTCAATCTCATTCTCGGCCTCCTCCAGCTTGTACTTGATCTCACGCAACTCCTTCTCAAGTGCTCGCCTCTCATCAGCAAATTCTCGCTGCTGCGCCTCCATGTTTTCCATCAGATCCTTCTTAATGGAAATCGCATCCTCTACTTGCTTCTGTTGTTCTGCATCGGAGCTCTTTCTGACGTGCGCTTCTTCCTTGTGGGTCCGTAGTTCAGCTTCAAGATCTACTATTCGCTTGGCAAGCTTCTTCTCCTCCAGACCTGGCTGAGCTGTAGAGCCCCTCCGCTGATGGCTCAATGAATTGCGCCTGGAGGCGTCATCAGAGAAATGATGCCCCGCGCCCATTGGAGGTGTCGAGATTCGTCCAGAAAAAGTGCCTTCGCTTGTGGGGGTGAAGACGTCTCCCACACTCGCTCTGCTTATTTGACTCTGCCGATGAAGCAAGTCCTCAAGCTTACGCACACGACTCTTCTGCGCTCTTATCTCCTCCTCTAAGCGTGCATTCACCTCGCGAAGGCCTTTTGCTTGTTCATCACCACGGAGGAGAAGAGACGTGTCGCCAAATGCTGCATCGTGCATGCTACCGTTTTTGAAAGCCTTTGCGTGCTTGATCTGCTTCCTTGTAGGTCTGTCCAGATCTGCAATAGCCTGGCCAATCTCTTCCGTCACAGGTGATGCTCCGTATACCTTCAGCAACGTCGCATGGTAATCGTTCAGCTCCTCTCGGCTGACGACAGGCCAGCTTCCACCTTCATTGCGGAGGCTGAGCTCGATACCGAGAACACGGCTTTGTAGCGCGTCAGATCCCACGACGTCTTCTACATTACGAGCCCACTTTTTCCGACGCCTGTCTTCTTCGTCCTGGTATGTCGCGACCTCTTCTTGGAGGGTAGAAGAATCTCGCTTCATCTTGGCCACCCACTCGCGTCTTCTTACGGATTCTACCAGAAGATGCCCGTACACGATAGGCAGTCGTGATACGATGCCCATCATCTGGAACGACTGTTGTTGGTCTTCGGGTAGATCGAGATGTTCGATGTCCTGATATAGCTTGGCAAGTCGGATTTCTACCTCCGATAGCGTGCGCATGTGCTGCCAGGATAATTGGAGAGAAGCGGCTCGTTGATCGCGGGATCTTTGAGTTATTTCGTTCATCTCTCTACAGTAGTCGAGAAGATTGGGTAGGAAGGTGCGGGTGTGAAGATGTGCCGTTTTGGAAGCTTGCGATAGGTTTTGTGCCGTCTTTGGAAGATTTTGAACATGGCTCAGGTCGGACGCCATCTTCGTGACCACCAGTTCGATCTCATGGACAAGCTGCGAGGGATCTAAACCGCTTGAATCCACAGAGTTGTTACCAATTTGCTCTACAGCCTGTTGAAGCTCGTTGCTGCTTTCGGTACATCCGTCGAGCTCCTCGCGGACCTTGTGTATCCTAGCAGAGACATCATCGACGAGAAATTGTGCAGAAGATGCAGCCTGTCTGACCGCCGCGATATCAACAAAGCCCTGTAATGATACGAGCTGCTGTTGGGAGTTGCGTCTTGACCCTGGTGTGGTTGTGGTCGTTGTCGGCTGAATGAAGCGTGTGAATTCTGCCCGCGCAGGAATACGGCGCAGGCTGTCCAAGTTCTCCTCCCACCTCTCAGCATGGGTTGCCTGCTCTTGTACCAGTTCATTCTTCCACACGCTGCTTTGGACGTACCTCCTTTCTCCGATCTTGATGTGTTGTTGCATGCTGATCACGGCCACTCCCAAGCTTCGCTCAATAACCGCCTGCTCAGTTTGGTACTTCTCGGCCAGCTTCGCACGTTCAGTACATCCTTCCAACAAGGCCGCAGCCCATGCCGTCCTCAGTTTGAACAGCGTGAGCCATGCCTGGAAGTCGTTTTGGTTGGTAAGGGTATCAGGTGCCGCGCCAGGGTCGAAGTCTTCGCAGTCCTCGTCACCGTCATTATCACTGGTTTGCGAACTCGATGTTGGTACTGCCAGCCAGTCTGAGTCATAGACAAAGAGTTCATTCTCTGTCAACAGTGTCTGAGTCCGAACGGGTCTGCCGGATGTCGTCAAAAAGATCTGACTGCGCAGTGGGATTCCCGTCTGCGAGTGWATCGAGGCGCGCACAGCATCAAGGGTGCTGATCACGCTGGGGTCGAGGGAGAGGCGGCGACCGTTGTGCCCGAAGTAGACGGATATCGACATGAATTTGGAGATCCGCGCCAGCAACTGCCCGTCGTGCTGGCGCGACACAAGATTAAAAGCGTTGAAAGCAGGATATCTGTTGCAAGAAGTTCTGATGAGGAAGAAAATGGTCAGTAGGGAAGCGACAAGGTAGGAAGTGCGGCGATGTGTGAAGGTAAAGTTGATGTTTCGAGGACGTTGGCGTCACACGTGCCCTGCCTGCCTCGATAGCTTGCTCGGCGCGATAGCCGGGTAGATCCCGAGATACGGAGACGCGGATCCCTGCAGTACGTACCTACGCAAATCCCGTTGGCGGTTCGGTTGTCGTTCRGCTTGCTTGCTTCTTCAGACTTTCGTTCTCTAATGTTGTACGGCGGCAAAAGCGTATGATTGATGTTCTTTGGACAAGGAGTGCCCCATCCGATGAATCTTCATGTACCTTGCATCAGCCACACGACTGACCCGGCAGTCACTTGTTTGGTATCCTGACAGCTTGGGTCCTGACAGCTTCAAGCGGTCACGCTCTCCGATGATCCAGCCATGAGCCGCCGCTCCAAACACTGGTCACACCCCCCGCTCAGGAAAGTCCGCGAAACCTGCTATACATGGCGCGTGAGGATTGGTCTCTGTGTACAGTGCCTGCACTGGTGTTTGTTTGGTCTGCGTCAGCCGATCTTCCCCAGGTGATCCATGGAAGAACGAACACATGAACGTCTTTGGAGTCAGATCGACAGTTCCTGGAGAGCTTGGGCCTGAGTCGCCATGTGTCTGTCCCGGTTTCATAACCGCCGCGTTGCCCCGGATGCGCTACTTGTGCTCAGCTGGATTGCCTCGGGCCATGTCCAACTCATGGTCGCAGAGGCCGTGTCCATCACCATCGTTGTCAATTCCGTGCATTCGAATACACGGCCCATGGCGACTAGCCTGCGTCGCGCCTACTTCCACAAACCTCAGCTCGACTATCGAGCAAAGCTAAGTATGAAATACGATTGCMAAAGTTGACTAATGGCTGAACGATCTGAAAGAGCAGCACAGACTACCTAGATGTGAGACACTCTCGTCTGCCTCTCGACTTGCTGAAGGCAATTTCAATCAGCAAGTATCTTAATCGTTATTCAAACGACACGGCCACCACAGATCTGTTCGGCATGGAGGTCCAGATGACCGTGCCGCTTTACGCTCGAAAGTCTTATTGCTCTCGTTCATTTGTGTAAAAGATAGATAATGCCCGCATATTCTAGGGCACAAGGAAAACTTGAAGGTTTGTAGAAATTCCAGACGGAGCCACCTCCTTCAAAGTTCCGGGTTGCATCACGCTGATCGAATTGGACTCCACCTCATCCACCAAATCACTCGCGACATCGGCATCGACTCTTCAACTTGCATTTGCGAGCACTTGATTCCAGTCGATCTCCGATGAGGATGGAAGGGAGTGAACATCCGCCAGCAGAAAATGTGGCTAAACCACGCTTTGAGTATGGATCCCGCAAGGATCCACTCTGGATCTCAAAGCAACTGCCACGCTGCACGATCGGATTCCCATCGGAAGAAAGACAAAGTTAACGTCATGCAATGGTGAGGATAGCGACGGCAGTATGAATGCGAGTGGCGCTGACACAAGATGCTGGCCTTCGAAACCGAGGAACATGAACATTTGCCCGTGAGCAACCTCCATTTCCATATTTCCAATCCAGAGAAATGTGCCACAGAGATACAGTCTACAGAGACATTGATGACCCGGAGCTGACGCCGTGTAAAGGCCCACAGCGAGCACTAACGCCGAATCCCAGTTCATGAGCGAATCGTGACGCTCACTTTTTGCGGGACCGGCATCGAATGATGCATAGAATTCCGGGATCTTGCTCGCTGCGGCTTCTCGGCGGACTGCATGCGATATCATTACTGCATGGTGACACTTAATCTTAATGCGTTAGATCTTCTTGGCAGGTACATCACCCGTCTTGCATCGAGACGATGGGCCCCGAGCCAATGGCATCGTCGTTTCGCGCGATCGAGTGAGCCGGGTGATTCTCTTTCTGAAATCTCGCCACGCGAGCCCCGAGTACAGCGGCGACACGTTTTTTGTGGTTTCGCCACAGACCATCGGTGGTGTTGCTGCGAGGTCATGAGCTAGTTACTCGGATGCGCAATCCATGACGAAAGCCATACGTTGTGCGTCCATGTGCGGCCAGCTGCGCAAGGTGTATATATTTCCTTTGTCGTCTTCACCCTCTTAATCGGGTAGACTTGTTCCCTCGAGTCCATCACATCCTGCTTTTCCAATCGCAAGATGTACGCCAAGTCTGTGTTCGCATCAAGTGTGCTTGCTGGCATTGCTGCCGCAGCACCAGCACCAAGTGGTGTGTATCGTACTATCCCGATGCAGCATTGAACACCAGCTAATGTTACTTCAGCTCCGGCCTATGCTCCTGCAGCATCTTACTCTGGGATACCGGGTTATCTCAACGCTGATGCGCCTTATGCTAGCGAGGAGCCAACTCCCATCACCTTCATCCCTACAAGCTTCGGATTGGACTCCCAAATCTCAGCCATTGCTACTGCGGCACCGACTGGCACAGAATCGGGTGCCGCTGGTACTCAACGAAGCTCTCTGCCCACTGGACACACATCTCACGGACCTTTCGAAGGTTCAGCTACCACTACCGGAGCTGTTTCCACCACAGTGCTCGCCGCCAGCGTTGGAACTCTTCCACCAAACCCAACAGCTACATACTACAACACCAATGGCCTGCTCCAAGAGCCTCAACCGGCCCCGTACACCCCTGCAGGTGGACTTGGCACCAACGGCTCCCTTCCTCGATACATGGTCGAAAGTGACTTTGACTACGAATCCATCCAGCTTGGTCTGTACCAGGAGTGGATTGAGCTGGACACATTCAACAACGCCATCGCCACTTTCTCTGAGGAGGACTTTTTGGCAGCTGGTCTGACCAAGGAGGACATGTCTCTGATTCAATTCATGGCACAGCAAGAGCAAGGACACGCCACTCTTTTGTCAAACATGCTTGGCGAGACTGCTGCTCCGCAATGCACATACAATTACCCGTACTCCAATGTTCGGGAGTTTGTTGACTTTAACCAGATCTTGACTCGCTTCGGTGAGTCTGGTGTTTGGGGCTTCATCAACCACCTTGACTCCCGCGAGGTCGGTCAGCTTCTCGCCCAGTCAATCGCTACCGAGGCTCGCCAGGAGATGATTTTCCGCCAAATGTCAGGTCTTCACCCTATGCCAGTGTGGTTTGAGGCTGGAATCCCACAATCGTGGGCCTGGACCTTCTTGGCTCCATACATCAGCTCCTGCCCAGAGGGAACCACCCGTCTCGCATGGCAAAACTTCCCTGCGTTGCACGTAGTCAACCAGGCCAACATCAACCGCGTCTCCCCCAACGACACCGGGGACTATGAGCGTGTCGACAACCGCACTTCCAGCCCAGCTACTATTCCTGACCAGGAAGACAGCTGCATCAACGTCAACACCACAGGCTATAGCTGCGGCCCTGCCATCGCCCGCAACCGCTCCGAGCCTTTGTCTTTCCCCGGCAAGCAGATTCGTCTTTCCTGGGAGGTTCCCGGTCAGGCCGTTGGACCCAACAACAGCTACATCACAGCCACTTCTGCTGGAGCTCCCACTTGGGTTGCTTGGGCTAACCAGCTGAACCTCACATACACTCCTTTGACGGTTACGGGCGCGAACGAGGGTTTCACGTACCAGCCTGCTGGACAAGTTTATGAGAATGGGCAGGGGATCGTCAACGATACCATGTTCATTGCTTTGACTGATTCGGATATGTTCTTGACGCCGTTCAACTTGTCGATGATCAATCCGCACGTGGTTGCCCTTGGTATTTACCAAGCTGGTTGAAGAATTTGATTCGGTGTGGAGGAGATATTTGTAATGGGAGGATGTATAGAAGAACGAGTTTACCTTACTAGTAGTAATTCTTGTATGAGCAAATGAATGTATATCATCCCATAGTCATGTCACGCTCTCGTCAATGTTTGAAAATATGTCTCTTATCATCCCAGATGATTTATAGACCACGCATTGGAACCCTATACCTCCTTTCTCGGCGCGATCAATAGGGTAAGGGTTGGGGTAGTGCGATTACGCTTCTGAAGGCACCAACACTCATGAGCCGTTGCTAAGTACTGGTCACTTATATTCAAGTTTRGAGATATGGCGGAGGATATATTGCGGTCGCTGTTACATCCATTCGTAGGGACTCATTCCCTCGCCCACTTTCTCTGCAGTGCGGATCTGGAATGGACGCAGTGACAGCCAGGCAGTGAATCTCAAGTGTTTTTCGTGCTCTCACTTGGCGAATTTGATAGGTGGAAGAGAATCAAGTAGTCGGCAGTGGAGCAGAAAGTGTGTAGGAATGCGTTGGTGGTGGGTGGGAGTAGATCAGTCCATATGTGGTTGTGGGGTGAGGGTAAGTAATGCTCGGAATTCTTGCAACATGGCGTGCAGGATCAAGTTGAGCTTGAGATTGAGGATGCCTCGGGATTTGTGTTTGTTTTTGAAAAGGGAGGAGTGACGGAGGCTGGAGAGATGTGAATGTGAAGCGCCCACATTTCGCTTTGACGGCTTCGACGGTCTTGGAAAAATATATCTGCTGTTTGAAGACTGGGAGCATCGCGGTTCGTGAGGGTCGTTCTGTTGATGGTTTTGCTTCGGGACTTCTAGGTAAAGGTAAAGCTTCCTGACGCCTGAGTATTCGGTAAGAGTTTGTGTTTGATGCTGGATATGAAGGCGAGGTGAGGTCGGATATATGAGCTTGTGCAATATGGCAGCAAGTTTGGAAACTTTCCATGTTTCCTTTTCCTTCTTCCTTCCCGTACGTTTGGGCTGAATGTGAGAATGGAAGAAGATGGTGTTGAAACGGTACTTGACGATCACGTGATGAGTATCCCGAGCGATAGCTTTCCGGCTTACATGTGGGTTAAGAGCATTATGCCAGAGTGAACAGGGCGTTCCAAAGCTGTACAAGAGCATAGCAGTAGCAACATGAAATCTCTCACCTCTCACCTCTCACCACAGACATCCGCTTTTTTTGGTACAAAGGAAAGCCATACGCGTTCCCTCTCCTCAAACTCTGGTATTCACACTGGCTATGTTACACCTCCCCCTCGGGTCATCTCTCATTTTGCCCATCTAGTGCTTTGCGGAAGTCTCCTCCTCAGCCTCCTCAACCCACCAGTCCTCCACAGGAGCAGCAGCACCTTCAGCAGCCTGTCCCTCAACCTCGGGAACTTGCTGCTCGTAGGCCTGCAAATCGTTCTGCAAATCGGCCTCTTCGGGGGAGACGGGGGTCTTTGGGATGGAGAATTTGTGGACTTGGCCCTCGGAGTCGTTGGCCTTGATGGCAGGCGCTTTGTAGGCTTTCAATTCTTTGAGGTACATGTCTTGCACAAGGTCGGCTGTTCACATGGCATTAGCGAATGGTGGTCGGAAGCACGTCTGCGGGATCCTCACCCTGGCGCACGGCGGTGGGCGCGATAAAAGTGCGGCGGGCGACGGCGCTGGTTGGGCGGACAGCCGCTCGGGCGAGGGATTGGCGCTGGAGAGGGTCAGTGGGGGTGGGAATCGCGGAGACGGCGACATTGTGTCCTCACCGAAGCCCGGAGTGTCTGGCCAAACATGATGTGAAGTGTGTGGAGAGGAATGGTTTGGGAGTGTCAATCTCAGTCTCAACCGCCAAATCGTGAGGTTGAAGCTGGAGAAGCAAGAGCGGAGCATTGCCGAAGGTCTCAGGCACCAAGGCCAACATATTTCCGACGCTCGGCTGCGAGCCCGGGGATTCATCATCAGCCTCTTCACTTGCGCTTCCACTCGCTTCCACCTCATCTACCACCTTCACTCCACCATCACCGCCGCTCAGACATCTCCTCCGTCTCCGCCACCCACACACGCACCGTCACCGTCACAATCGAATCATCGAGACATCGCCATCGACCACTCCGTTGCTGGCCAACTGATTCCGAGCGCGCGCTCTGCACTGGCCATCTTTCTTGTCTTTCACATTCCACACTTTACTGGAAAGTCGAGGACGCCTTTACTGGTTTGAACAAACGGCCACCTTCACCGCGCTCCGTGACACGACACCTCCCCTCCCCTCCGACATCACCTCTCACTCTCATCTCCACCAGCCAATCTCCCGGAGACGTGAGTGTGAGTTGTCACCCTCCCCCACCCTTGCTTGTCTTKCCTGTCTTGTCTGTCTTGCCGGTCTTGTACTGCTGTTTGCGGCCGAGACGACGCGGCGGCTTTGTGTGGCGCAAACAAAGAGCGGCAGCGACGACAAGTACCAGCGCATGTGCCAGCACGACGCTCTAGCTTGCTCTCCTCTCACGTTTGCTTGCGTCGCTGACTCTGATCACTTAGTTGCGATCTCAGTCACTTGACACGGAAATTCACCCCATTGTGACAATTTCCACTGTATTGTGGAATTTGTGCACGTGCCGCGCGAGGAGGATCTAGAAGAACTTCTTCCAACACCTCGCAACCGCCACCACGTACTCCCCACTCTTCATCCGCTCGTTCGCAAAAGAATTCAAACTCCACAAGTCCGCCAAAGGCATCCGCAAACGCGCCCACTCACGCTTTGTCGAGATCCACACGCGCCCGACTCCGCCGCGCAAGCCGCTCGCCGTTATGGCACAAGTCCTCTCCCCAGGCGCCGTCCCCGACGAGCTCCTCCCCCCCAAGGAAGAAGAATGGCAGCAGAACCTGAACGTGCGCATGATCTGCCGTGACTGTCAAGATGACCCACCCAACCTTCGCGAAGACCACGCCAGTGGTGACCTCATCTGCGGTGACTGCGGTCTCGTTCTCGAGCAACGCTCCATTGACACCAGCTCCGAATGGCGCACATTCTCCAACGATGATCAGGGCAGTGACGACCCTAGCCGTGTCGGTGACGGACCCAATGCACTCCTCAACGGCGCTCAGCTGAACACGGGCATCGCCTTTGGTGACGGCAACATGCGCAGCAAGGAACTGCACCGCGCGCAGAACAAGACTTCACACGATAAGAGCAACAAGAACTTGCTCCAGGCTTACAAGCAGATTGGCGCGCTGTGTGATGGCTGGCAGCTCCCCAACGCCGTCTCCGACAMGGCCAAGCATCTCTTCAAGGACGCCGAGGAGAGTCGCCTCTTCAAGGGCAAGTCGACCGAAGTTATGATCGCCGGTGCAGTCTTCCTCGCTTGTCGTCGCAACAACGTTCCCCGCTCGTTCCGCGAAGTCATGGACTTGACGAAAGTCAGCAAGAAGGAAATTGGCAAGACCTTCAAGCTCCTCGAGGCCTTTCTCATGCAGAAGAGCAAGGAGAAGAATGCTCAAGGCGGCGTGTCCACTGTTGCGGGAGGTAAGTCGTGCTCTCGTCACTCTCATTTCATTCTCTTTCCATCAATGCTAAACGTGAGTGACCAAAGGTATCCTCGTCGCAAACGACACGTACAAGGGCAGCGCCACGGCCGACCCTGCAGATCTCTGTCAGCGTTACTGCAGCATGTTGAACATGGACCAGCGCTCCACCAACGTGGCCATTGCCATCGCTACCAACATGACCAAGGTTGGCGCACTCGCAGGTCGCTCTCCTCTCTCCTCCGCCGCGGCCTGCATTTACATGGCCAGCCATCTCATGAATGACGCCAAGTCCGCAAAGGAGATCCAATCCGTGGCGAAGGTTAGCGACAGCACGATTCGGCATGCCTACAAGCTCCTGTACGGCGAGCGCGACAAGCTCATCGACGCGGACGTCATTCGCCGCGGTGCGGACCCCGAGCGTCTTCCCAAGCCCGCCTAGAAGAAGGGCGAGGGTCCGGATGTTGCTGAGGGTGTTGTACCTCCCTGCGAGACGGAGCAAGTTGTGACGATGTCTGCTGGGGAGAAGTTCTTGGTGGAGCAGATGAAGAATGCCGAGGTCCTGGGGGTTAAGCTACAGGCCAGGCCTGGCAAGCAGTCGAGATTGTCTAAGCGATGATTATCGAATGAGTCCACTGGCGTTTGGGGTGATTCCCTCGCCGTGACCACTTTCAGTCATTCCGGAAGGATCGACAAACATGGTCGATGACATTCGACCGATAGACGTTACATCATCAGTCTGTCTTTACGAGGCTTTGCATGCGACATGCTCTTTTACAGAGCTTTACCAATGGGAGTTTAACGACCCCAACAAAACAAACCCGAAAACCAAAAACCAAAAACATTATCGGCGTGGTGGGAAAAGTTCATGGGCTCTCTTTCGTTTGTTCTGGATGCTTTTCATGCTGCTTGCTATGGGAGCAAAGTATGGTGAGGAATTGTTTTGCTTCTTTAACGATACCCAACCAAACCAGATTGAGAGTTTCTTATTGCCGAGGATGGCATTGCATTCACCGAGAGTAATGCGAGAGGGAGAAGGGGAAAAATTGAAAAGATGAGATAGGTCAGATAGACATTCAATGATGTGCTGTTCCTATCGAGTATGCTAGAGATGGTGCTGTTGTGCTTGTGAATTCGTCACGTGTCGATTGAGTACCAGAAGGAACATCTGTCGCTGCATACCTACCTATGATCTCATTGACCAGCTGTACCCTGTGTCGCCGCGTGAGTTTGCATGCCTGTCCGCCGCTCAGTTGCATGCAGTCGGTTGATGATGAATGTTAGTTTGGTTCATCACCATGGTGGCAAGACACGGAAGTGCGGATATTTTTATCGTTCGGCGTTCAACGATGACCAACGAGTCTGCCCTAATGCAGGGAGGCAATAATGCAGAGATGCCTAATGCTCCCACCTACGAAGTACAACAGCATGAAGTGAAGTCGCGACATCCCTCCCTTCCGGTGCTTACAGAGCTTACTTTACCTGAACTTACCTCACATCCCTTGAGCAGATAAAAAGCTTACCTACACCTCCGACATACCTCAGCCCGCCAAGTCCAATGCAACGGCTGCAAAAGCTTCGATTGTTTTCTTATTTCTCCGTTGCCGCCCGCTCATTTCTCACCAGTTCTCCCAAAGTACTTTTGCACGTTTCGTCCCGAAAGGTGTCTTTTAACGTGGGCCATGAATCGGCACGGTTTCACGGTCTGCGTCACAAAGCTGTCTGCCACGTCACACACCCTACCAACCATCCTCCTCGTGTCATTGTTCTATCATTATACCTCAACTCACGGCACCAGCCCCTCGGAGACCCCTTTCGGCGTGCAGAAGCGAGTCGCGACTCGCAAGTCAAGCCGGAGCCGCGACGACTTTTTCCACTGGCGAGTGGCGCCAAAAGCCCTACCGTAGTTAGTTCCAAAGCGGGGCTCGGCTCGTGGCCAACCGCTGAGCATGGCTCCATGACCAGTCAACAGCCCGTATCGCCTGGCCGATGCGTTGAGCTTGCGGCGCCTGCTTGTGGCAAGCGTTGCGAAGCGTCGCGAAGTTCAGGCGAATGAACAGCTGCCGACGTTCTTGTCTTCAGGAACGGGTTTCTAATCTCAGGGCTCGGTGGTGATTTTTCCTAAAAAGCAGCTAGGACGATGGCGCACAATGTCTCAAAACGCTTTCGCTTGAACTCAAATTGCTAGAGAAGGAGATTGGGAGGCTTTTTCACTGCCTTCAAGTCATTGTTCTGCTGTTCTACAACACGGTAATATGAGGAATCTGTGAGACTGCACGGCAAGAGAGAGGTGCACTCCCCAATTGATATCAAATCAAATAACTCCAGTGCGCACAACGAYACGAGATGCCGTCTTTGGCGTGCAGACTGCTAATTCACTGTGCAGATACGCGGCCGAATATCCGTACTAAAGTTTGATCTGCGGCACATAGTGGCATCTAGGCGCGGGCTGATCAACAAATACGAGCCACAAGTGGGCCCCTTCAAGCGTGCTAGAGTTATTACTTGTCCAGGATCCTTGTCCAAAGGGAACTCTGTTCTTCTACCTCTTGTCGCGCAAGCCTTCTTGCTTCTTCTTCAGAACATCAACATCTCGGCGTCTTCTCGCCAAACACCACATTCATTATGAAGTTCCTCAGCATTGTTACTTTTTTTGTTTCTTCCATCGMCGCGCTTCCCACTACCAACAACTTATCGGAACGCCAGTCCAGCATTGTTGTCGTATCTGGTCCAGGAGGAAATGTCTTGCCGAGATATGAGGTCCGACAGCTCAAGGACAAGTTCTACAACCAATGGGTTCTTTTCATTCTAGGTATGTTGGAGAGATGCACCATCATCCACCACATCTAACATCGACCAGCGGTGGCACAGATGCACACCACATCCCAGTCCAGCCCAGTTGGATATTACGGCATTGCCAATGTTCATGGCGTCCCTCGAGATGATTACAACGGCGTCCGACAATGCAGCAGCTGTGGCGGCACCGACGGATATGGAACYCACAACAGTGTTCTTTTCCCTCCATGGCACCGTGTCTACATTGCTCTCTTCGAACAGGAGATGATCAAGGTTGCCAAGTCCATTGCCAACTCATACCCTGCATCGAACAGACAGACAATGGTCAACGCTGCCAACCAATTACGTATGCCTTACTGGGACTGGGCTGCTGCCCCAGGAAACGGCAGGCCCGTTTTCCCATTGATGATTTCCGACGTGAGCGTCACAGTTCCCGGCCCTAACGGACAGAAGACCTTTACCAACCCTCTGTTCCGCCACGACTTCCAGGATCCTAGTGGATTGTACTACGGCAACCCTCCATTCACCAAGTGGAAGAGAACCTACCGCTGGCCCAACAACCTCAGCGACAACCCCACCAGCCAGAATGACAAGGTTGCAAACACCTACCAGAACAACCGACAGAACTTGGCGGATCAGATGTACTCCCTCTTCACGCSTTGCAACGACTACCTGCACTTCTCCAACGACATGGCAGGATCTAGCAGCACATCATGCTCCACCAGTTYGGAGAACATTCACAACACCGTCCACTCCATGGCTGGAGGCCCTGACAACACTGTTGCAGGCCACATGACCTTTATCCCAATTTCTTCTTACGACCCTCTCTTCTGGCTCCACCACACCAACATCGACCGCTACTTCGCCATGTGGCAGCGCCTGCACAGCGGTTACGTTACCAACCAGGTTCAGCCCACCGCCACCTGGACCATCGCTCAGGGTTCCACCCAAGGAATCGACTCCCCATTGACTCCCTTCTACAAGGACACCTCCGGAAACTTCTGGACCGCCCGTCAAGTCCAGGATTGGACCGTCTTCAAGTACACCTACCCCGAATTCTCCAACTCGGACGGTTCCTCCGCCTCCATCTCTCGCTATGTCAACAACCTCTACGGCCCCAACGCCAACGCCGTCGCCGGCTCCTCCAAGCGCGACGCATCTCCTCAACTCGGCGGTCTCGGCAAACTCCTCCAGATCGGAAACCCGTTGGTTGCCAACAACGGTTCTGTATACGAGTACACCGCCAACATCAAGACTCCCCGCTACTACTTTGGCAGCTCCTACACCATCTTCATCTTCAACGGCGCTCCCGCATCCGAGGATCCTCTGAACTGGTACTTTGACGAGAACCTCATCGGACCCATGGGTGTCGCCGCCGGCGTCGGTGGTCAAGACGCACAGAGCATGAGCATGCACCCAACCGATCTCATCATCTCCGGCTCCGTCCCTCTGACCCGCACTCTGCAAAAGATGGTCGGAAACGCAGGCATGCTCACCGGTCTCGCACAGGCGCTCGTGGTGCCTTATCTGAGCAAGAACCTACAGTGGAGAATTCTGGCGAACGGACAGAGCGTGGACCCCGCTACCGTTCCGGGCTTCTCGGTTACAGTCGCGAGTTCCACGGCCAGTCAGCCCCAGAGTGATGATGAGCTGCCCACGTTCTCCGACTTTGTGAATTTGTTGGATGTTACGCAGGGTAAGGCTGGAGGTGGCAATGCCTCGACTCTGGAGATGAACTTTAGCTTGTCGTTTTAAGATTATGACGAGGAGAAGTGAAGGAATGCACATCTTGTATATATGATGAAAGTACATACCTTCGTTAATTTTTTTTGATGCCATGAAAAATACACATTTCATCGCATATGCCTCTCTCCCTCCCTCTCCGGAACCCATATCCTTCTCTACCTCTCTCTCCAGAACCCAGGATCTCTCGAACTCGCACAACATCCAATCCCCGAAAGTTCTCGCAAAATATGCAACCCTACCCCAACCCTAACCCGAGAACTATTCACCCATATGAAAGTGACCCATAACGAGGCAAACGCTACCAGTGCTCCATCCCTCTTCAACATCACCTTCCTCAAATGATTTTTTTTGCTTCAAGAAGTGTGTGCAGCTGGAGAGCTATAATAGATAGAGTTATGCATGTAACAAAGTCAAATATGACTCTCGCCGAGTAATTAAAGGTTTCTCGAGCTTTTGAATAGGAGGTAGAGGGTGTACTGTACTCACATGGAAGTCTTGGATGAGATTTCTTGGCTCTTGTCATTGAAAGTGAAGGTTTCTTGTCATAACTGCCTTGCCCTTTTTCCATTTAAGACATTGATTCATTCTAAGATATCACAGCATCTCACAATAACCAAATCTATAATCCGCTTCTTGGCTATTTCCCAGACATCTTTCCTGCTCGGGGACGAGAGGGAGAACTATACCCTCAGAAATGATCGTATGGGTAGACTACACATACCACATCACAATCTACACTTCGGCCAGCAGATTCCACACATCTCTTGCTTGGAAAGGACATGATTACTCATGTGGCGACAACAACCGCCCTTTCGAAGTGACCATGTCGCGGAGGCATTCCTAGCCTCCCGTCCAATAGGGAGACTATGATGATGAAGCTTTCTATGAGGGAATGCTGGTTGTGGTTGTCGGGTGAATTCGACTTGGGGATGGGATATTTTGCGGTTTGGTTGTCGGTATTGATTCGATTCGGTTCGATACGGAGGTGATTCTAGTTGGGCTGGGGATGCTGGGGGTTGTTGTATGGGACTGGTGAGGAGATGATGACGAAGTTGGGCAGGGATCGTGAATGGGCTGAAGTTATGATTGTAGCTGGAGGGGATGTGGAGTTTGAGGATGTAGGAGGAATTTGAGGAGAGATAGTGAAGCTGCGATATGTAGGGTCATTGTCGACTGCTTCTTCTTCCTCCCCTGATGTTGTATTTGAGTCATTCCGAATGACACGAGACACAGCTTCCTCTTTCAGGTGATTGTCATGTTTGGCACCCTCGTCTGCGTTGGACATATCGTCCAAAGGAGCTGCCGTAGCATCCATGCATGGTATAAGATTGAAAGGAGAAGCATGTCTTCTTGATCGATGTGGAAATTTATGCATGAAAGAAATGATGAACTGCCGGCAGTCGTTTCATCAACCCGAACTCACACTTTCATCCAGAAAAACACCAGATTCGGCCTGTACATCAAGAGGAGCATGCCCCACTTCAACATCTCACATGTTTCATACCTCTTGTTCAGTTCCCCCTTTCGGATAATGCACGTGCTTTTGATTGAGGAGAGCGGAGAGTTGCAAAGAAAAAAAGGTTCGACTTAATTTGCCGAGGTAGATCCCGAGAACAGCTCATCCGGCTCCTGCAGGCCCTCGGAACTCTCTTCCATCATTGTCACAAGACAACAAACACCCTTCTGCCGACTGGTCAGAACATTGTTATAGGCGAGCATTTCTCCTCCCCAAACTGTGAGTTGATCTTTCGCATATCCCCGGACAACAACATCCCTTTGACGGCGGCAAGGAAGGGAGACGATAACCTTTGCCACGCCGTCATAAGGTTTATCGAACTGCTTAGTGCATCGCGTCCCAAGTTGATCCCTTCATCATTCTTCTCATTCATTACGCATCTTCTTCTTCTTCCATCTTCCTTACCCTCCCCTACGAGGACGAGTCAAGATGGACAGCCCCTTGCAAGCCCTGAGATTTCTCTTCCCCCAACTTCCCTCCATTTCCTGGGCCGCGGCACAACATACGCTGGGTCTGTCACAGACGTCTTCCAAATGGGATCTTCGAACCGAACTCACTGTCCACGTGCTCCGCTCATTAATGGCACCGAAGAGTGGGAGGAAGATTCCTCCGCTGTCGAAAGTTCAAGCGGGGACGGTTAAAGAGCCGGGAATCAAGGGCAAGACGTGGATTGCTGCGGCCACCATTCCCAGACCTTCAGTAGAGGATGAGAGGGATGGGATGGGATTGAGGGATGCGGTGTTCAAGTCGATCGATCAGATGAAGAAGGAGGAGGTGCGGTATACAAAACCTGAATTGGCGGATGTGGAGGTGGAATGGACGGGTTTCAGACCTAATGCTGGGAAGGATGAGCCGCTGCCGGATGTCAGTGAGGAGGAGAAGTATAGATTGATGATGGAGGAACCCACACGGACGAGTGATTTGACGATTCTGTACTTTCATGGTGAGTCTTCCATTCCAGCTTGCTTCTGACACGGCGATGACTGACGGGATACTTGACAGGCGGCGCTTACTACCTCTGTGACCCTCGAACCCACCGTGCCCTCACTTCCCGCCTAGCAAAGGAAACCAACGGTCGGGTGTGTTCCGTCCGCTATCGTCTCGCTCCTCAATCCGCTTTCCCAACACAACTCATCGATGCGTTCATGGTCTATCTCTCCCTCCTCTACCCACCCACAGGATCAATGCACGATGCCATTCCCGCGGAAAAGATCATCTTTGGCGGAGACAGCGCGGGTGGAAATCTCAGTTTCGCTTTGTTGCAACTTCTCTTGCAACTCCACCGCGCCTCGGACGGAATTCCCGTGGTCAATTTCCACGGAAGAGATGTACATATTCCTCTCCCGRCAGGTGTCAGTGCGAATTCGGGATGGTTTGATATCAGTCGGGCGATGCCGAGTATCGTGGGAAATGCCAAGTATGATTATTTGYCTCCCGCGAATCATGATACGGGAGGGATGGGGACATTCTCGAAAGATTCAATCTGGCCGACGAATCCACCTCGAGGAGATTTATTTTGTGATTTGAGTTTGTTGGATCATCCGTTGGTTTCGGTCGTTGCGGCGGAGAGCTGGAAGACGAGTTGTCCGTTGTGGATGTGTACTGGGCAGGAAATGCTGACGGATGAGGATGTCCTTGTTGCGGCGAGGGCGGCGGGGCAGGGTGTCAAGGTGCATTTTGAGCAGTATGAAGGTGAGTTGATTAAAAATCTGTTTGCTTAAGAGGTTGTCTTGCTAATGAGATTGACCAGCTATGCCACATGTTTTCGGCCTTTTACTACCACAATTACCAAACACGACTCGCTGTTTCCGAAGTYGGGGAAATTGGGCGAGGAAGTGTGTGGAGGAACCGGAAAGTCTCAAGACGAATGGGACTTTTATCCACGCGAAGAAGAGTAAAGAAGATGCCGTGGATGTGATGAGGATGCGGGCTGTCAATTATGAAGAAGCTATGGGATTAATCAAGACGGCGAAGATTAGGAGGACCAAGGCATTTCAGGGAACAGGAGAGGTGCTTCCACAATTGAAGCCCGCTTTATAATGTAGTTAGATATCGACAGTAAGATTACCAAGGATGTAATCATTTCAAAGAATCGTCTCTTCATGTGTGATTGAACAATACTACTACTACAAGGGTACCATTATCAGATCCATCATCTACTGCGCAGCACCACTACTAGTCCCATCCTCCGCACCAGGCAATCCCTCCTCATCACCAGGCTCAGTATAAGTCCCATCACTCTTCGCCGCACCCCGAGTCCGCTCTTCAATAATATTAGAGGAATCTATCGCTTGCTCTTCATCRCGCTCTGTACAAAACGAAAAAAAGAAGAAATTAGCCATACTGTCCCGTCCGTCATCAAAGCCTTTTTCAAGGTTAAGTTGGGATGGATTCATACATACCCAATTGAGCATCTGAATCGGCCGTTTCGGCGTCAATAGGATCTTCGACCCCGGCGTCGTCGCTTTGGACTGGGACGATGTCTTTTTGTCCTGTGCGGGAGACGTAGTCGTTTTGGGATGGGGCGTTGTCTGTGGAGTATTCGGCTTCGGGGGCGGACATTTTGACTGGTTTTGTTGTTGGTGGTTGAGGTGAAGGTTGATATGGAAGTGTATGTGTTTTGTGTTTTGTGGTATGTTGTTGTGAATGGTGTTAATACTACTTAATCTCAAGTGCAGATACTTACTATATACCCTCTTTGCTTCTTCCCTCCTCTTCTCATCTTTCGCCGTAGATCGACGTCCATGGCTGAGAAATATCGTAGTTTCGACGTCACGCACTGCTCATCCATCTCATTCAATTTGCATTCATCACATACGACGACGACTACGAAACGTGAGAAGGGTCCAATTATTGATTGCCCTGACGACATTTGTGGTAAGAGGCATGGTCGTGTCCATGGTACCAATGGCTGCCGGAGCGACCGCCGAGGTGTGGTGTTTTAATTTGATGGTTGGTGTGGAGAGGGAGAAGTGCATGCAATGATGATGTCCTTGATAGAGTTAGTGCAGGAACAAGGTTTTCCCCCTTCCATAGATCTGGTCGGCGGGTGAGATCTGATCTTGAACTCTATCTGTATTATTGCTCCGGGGCCCGATGGCCACGGCTGAGGTGTTGACGTTTTCCAGTGATGGAGATATGACGAGGTACCGTTGAGTCGATCACTGTCCTGTCTGTCGATGGATGCGATGGGGATGATGAGATGATTTTGATGCGGTGCTATGCGATGCTGCTCTCTGTACGAGAGCTACATCTGGGGTATCGAGCTAGGTAAAAATGCATGCTGTGATGTGCTTCCGCTGTTCTTCGTGCAACCAGTCTTCACACAGTCTGCTGTAGAATGCCTCGATCAGGCACAATGGTCAATAAAGTTTACTCAGAAGCGGCCTTCTTCTTCCTGCCCTTGGCCTTGGCTTTTGGCTTCTCGATAGCCTCCTCCTGCTCATCATCTGGCTCGTCGAGAGGCTCCTCACGCGTAGCGGGTGCCTTCTTGGTAGCCTTTGACTTCTTCGTGGCTGCAGGCTGTGGCTCATCGTCCACTTCCTCCGCTTCGACTTCATCACTGATAGGTTCGGCTTTGGCTTTGCGAGCACGAGATTTCTTTGCAGGCTCAGGCTCAGGCTCGGCCTCCGAGCGAGCTTTCTTCGCTTTTGATTTGTTCTTTGCCGTCGGCACGTCTTCATCAGCTTCGGCATCCTCATCTTTGGCTTTCTTGCCGCGAGCCTTCTTTGCGGCAGGTGGGGCCTCCTCCTCATCACCCTCGTCTTCGGCTTGCTTGCGGCTGCGCTTCTTGGCCGGCTTTGACGAACCGTCCGCTTTGGCCGCTTCTTTCGCGGCCTGAGAGCAAGCGAGCGAACGATTAGTGAATGTCTTCACATGTCGCATGAGTCAAGATGTACTCACCTTTGCCTCCGCCCTCTCAATATTCTTCTTCTCAGTGGCTGTCATTGGCTTGACAAACATGCCCTGCTTCTTATTCTCTGGGTCATATCTGTTGCACTCCAGGTCCTTTGTAGTATCACATCAGTATGAAAATGTCCAAATATCGGGCGGGGTTCGCTTACGCCATTCCAATCCTCGTCGTCAACATGACCCTGTTCAAAGGCGCGTGCGACCTTCACCTTGCACTCGTCAGGAAGCTCGTCATAGCCATCGACCAAGTCCATGTCTCCGCCCGATGTCTCCTTCCAGTTGAAGATGACGGATGGTGTGACGCAGCCCCTGGGTATGTCAGCGCTTGCAAAGAAGAATGGGAGTACGTGTACAACTCACCAGTGACGATACTTCATCGATTGGTAGTCGCCCATGTCAACCAAAACACCATTTCTGAGCTCGCCTTTCTGGATCTTACTGCACGATATAAGCGGACATGATTAACCAGCGTGGAATTGATTGAGACAACATACATGCCCTCCTTCTTGCAGTGGACGGCTGTGCAGCCAGCACGGCCAGTCTTTGAGAGCTCTGCATCGTATTAGTGTCGATGCGATGGCATGTTAAAGGTGAGCGATATGCCCCACCAACTCTGTAGGCCATCCTTGGCGACGCGACGTGGCACGCGTGATGGATGTAAATGGTCGGATGTGAAGAGTGTCGTGCAAGGCTTTGAGATGCCACGCGAAGGTCCAGAGAATGTGGATGATTTTTTCAAAGTTGAAGTGGATGAAGAAGAGTGTTTGATGATGAGAAGAGGCATGGATGCCTTGTTTGGACGTCGCCAGGCAGGCAGACATGGATCCATGCATCCAATGATCGGCAGGCAGAAATTCGCGCTAACACACGACTGRACATCATCACCTGGAATCTTTTGCCTCCTCCACTTCATACACCTACTCAACTTCACTTGGTCCGTTGATTCCATCAACACCGCAATGCTTCAGCACAGATGAGAAGATGGAACGGTCGTGGAGCGCTGGCGATTGCGGGCCGCTCTGGCAGAACACGGAAAAGCTTCGCCTCGTTCCGCCAAACACGACTTGCTTCATCCAACGCCAAGTCACCCAAGGCTTACATCTCCATTGATGAGAGGGATGGCCCGGACTTCCAGCAACATCAACATCGATATCAACATCAACATCAATATGCCGTCTTCCAAAAGACACCAATCCCGGAGCGCAAACCCATAGAGGTATGGGCAGCTTTGCTCGAGGGGGCCCTTCCGCCTCATCTCCGGGACCAGAATGTCTCGCCGCCACTCTTGACAATCTCAGCCACGGACCTTGCAGAGATTCTTCTGGCTGCTCAGTATACCAAGACGAGTGATAGATGTGGTCACGACTTGCTTTATTATCTCGGCTTCACGCAAGGTAGATGGAGTGCTGTAGTCTGGCTGATCAAGAAACTCGTGGACCGCTTTCCCATCCCACCTCATGCAGACGTAGACACCTTGAACTATCTGGCTTTGTGGGAACAGGCTCCTCCTTTCCGAACTCCTCTTTCCACGAAATCCCTAATCAAAGATGACGGACCCCCCCGTGATCTCACCGCAAATGCTGAACACGTTGCAAGTAACGTCGAAGAGCGACCGCTTAATCTCCGAATGGACACTGTGCTCAATGGTTCGCATCTGATCAAAGCGAGATCTCTTGACGAGATGACTGGCCCACGTAGAGATGATCTTGCCCACGATGCTCTTGGTCAGATATGGCGCACCCTTGGGGCAATGACTCAGGTCTGTGCTGGAGGGGATATTCGACCAGAGGTTTTGGAGATCATTGCCTATCTGCACCACCGCGAGATCATGCCAACGTCCATCTATCAATATCAGCCAAGGATGGACAAGTCTGCGATACAGCAACCACCGCTTCTCCCTCTGCTTTCCTCACGCATTCTTGCGTCTCTGTCAGATGCCGCTTGGCGGGCCCACGAGAAGCTGATGGTGGAAGAAGCGAGAGCGCGACAGGGCGATGGTGCTTTAAACAGGTCCAATGTCCTTGCTGCGCCGTACCGTGCGCGCGTTGACGGTTTGTTTCCAGAGGTCTGGCTCGAGCTCATTCTGTGGTCTTGTCTGCATGGTGGATGGCTTGAGCAAGGCGGCTTCATTTTAAAGTCTGTCGTTCAGCAAAAAGACTGGAAACCGTTGTCCTGGCGGGAATACGAAAAGGCTCTGTCGCCAACTGGACGATTGGACAACAATGATTGGGACGCGTGGGACTATCTGTTCAAGACGAGAGGCGCGAAAAGCATGGATCCGCCGAGCGATCCCATCCCGGAGGTCCGAAGAACGATCAGTGCCGAGGTAGTCAACGCATACATTGATGCGATTGCAGGCATGCCGAGTGTTAAACTGGTGCCAGGAGGATTTTATCCCGTGTTGAGGCTCCTGGAGTTTAAAGAATTTCTTGCAAAGCAGAATTTGGGACTCACAACTGGCTCATGGGATGCCTTGGCTATTCGCGTGATGGACAGTCAAGCCGAATCGCGCGTGAAGGATACTGGACTGCTTGCGAAGATCGTTGAGCTCTCACCCGGTCTAGATCAAGGGCTCAGCTCGAAGAATATGCAAGACTTGCCCGCATATGTGCTAGACGGAGGACTGGCGATGCAGGGAATTCTCAATCGGGTTCTGCACGGAAGACTTCTGAATGGTAATCTGGAGGCAGCTCTGAGAGCTTTTCAAGACATGCTCGCCAGGACTGACCGGGACAAGCAAACATCCTTGGCGAGTTTCATGGAGGGTTCCAACCCACTCCTCCGCGCCCTTCACCAAGATGAGATGTTCACCAGTAACGTGACGGGAATCGACTATCCGGCGTTTAATCTGCAAATACCGACGACCACCCTGGCCATGTTACTTGATCTCGTCACGCAATCCAAAAAGTATCAATTTGGACGCTGGTTGCTGTACAGCAAAGATGCCGACGGGCCCGTCATCGGGAAAGATTTGTACAACGACCCCTTTCTCATCCCGGCATTGGTCAGGTTCGCCGCAGCTACGCAGGACTCGAGTCTCTTCTCCACCCTACGAGAGTTGCCCAACTTTTCCATCTACCTGGTACTCGATGCTCAGATTGATGCCATGCGGTGGGATGCTGCCACGGGGATTGTCGAACACACCTTTGAGGACACAACATTCGGCAAGAGGGTGTTGAGGTGGACCTGGAAAATGGATAATCTTGCGAATCTGGCTCGTGTGATGCTATCCCAAGTCCCCGACGCAGCAGCCGGCGAAGCTGCATCTCGAGAGAGTCTGCAGAGCGCCATGAAGCTGTTTACAACAATGGTCAACAAGGTGTCGAGAGGAAGCTTCTTGGCTGTTGGTGCTAGTGTTCAGACTCTGTTGACTGCACTCGCCTCGGTGGACGAGACTTGGGCAAAGTTCTGTTTTGATCTGCAGAGGCTAAAGGGTCATCACGATTTCGAAATGACATCGCTACAGTTCAACCATCTGCTTGGAGGTGTTGTCACGGCGTACGGCAGCAGCGCAGGGATACGTTTGTTGGATTTATTCTGGCCTCGATCAGTACGTCGCTCACACCGAGCATCCTCATCGCCTGCTCCATACAGACGGGATGCGTCTGTCCGGCCGAGGATTGTGGTCCCGCTGCCTGGCATGTCTCATGAGCATAAAGCGGTCGTATACGGCGGTGTGAAGCCCAATGTCCAGACTATAACCATTATCCTGCAAAAGGCGCTGGAGGAACTTGGAAATCCAACAAATGACGTAGCAAAGACTTCTCCAACTGGGACAGGAACCCAAGCCGACAAAATCGAAGCTGAGACTGGCGATGGAAAAGGTGAGATGACGCCACGTGGTATGGTCGCATGGGCCGCTAGACAAATGGCCGATCTCTCCGATGTCACTGGTCGCAGTGATGTGGTCTTCAACCTTGGTAGATTCCTGGACTCGCTTGGGATGGAAGAACTTCGCGGAGCCCTCCCGGATATTGTGGAGAGCGTAGGGATGCATTTGTCTCGTGACTCTGTTGAAGATGATGGATCTCATGATGTGGCGTCTGAGGCGGAGGAAAGGATTGATGGTGTTGAGGCGGCGGCAAAGTGAATAGAGGTAATGCACAAGCACTGCGAAGGGAATATTTTGGCAACATGTATCGCTCARGGGACGACGAATCTTTTTAGCATTGCACTGAATGAGATTGCAGGTTCAGATGACAGTTTTTCTCATCTATCGCAGAACTGGAAATTCGGGTATACCTCTATGCCACAGCATGTCATCATTTCACCACCTCTGACGCACGAGCACTCCCGGTCAAGTATGGCAAGGAACATGTCCACGCTCGTCCTAGCCGACCAGTATCATACGGGCAATCCCCAAGCCATGAACCTTCTACAAAGGTCGAACAGCATCGACTCCGGTTAAATGCGGCGAACTTACTTGGACTTATGCTTTGGATTTGAGGACTTGTGACCCACGGGAATGGAATATGGCACCCAGACAAAAAAAAAAAAAAAGAATCCCTCCATAAGAGCGTCGTCTCATCTCTCACTCATCTCCTCCCACTTTTTTCTCATCATCACCATCTTCTTCTTTTACAAAACAACATCACGTCTCGCAATCTCAAGAGCGAAAACTCTCGGACACCAAACCAACAACATCAACACCAATACCAAGACCAACAACAACAACAACAAAACCTCACACATCATGCCTCACACCATGTACCACACCGAACTGAAAGAAGCCACAGGATCCGCCGCAGCATCCGAGAAGATCATCTACACCTCCCACAAAACGCCCAACTACGGCGGTACTACTACCACTTCTCTCGGCATCATGATTGTGGATCTCGAGGCCGCGATGCCTGACGGAGAGACGATGAGGGGGATGGGAAGAAGTCAAGGGGATTTGGGGGTGCGAATTGCGAGTTGGATGTTGGTTGGGTTTGGGGTTATGCTTGTGGGGGTTTGGAAGTTTTATTGAGGATTTTGGGAAGAGGGAAGGGAAGGGAGGAAGGACTGGGTACTTGATTGGATTTTGGGAATGGGGATGCTTGGGTTTAGTTTACTGCTTGAGAGCTTGATTGAGTTTGCTGCTATATGTGTCAGATGGAGGAGGCGGGAGTGTTGGGTACTGTTACCTACCTTACGTGGCCTCTCATGCTCTCGGACCTTGCGGAGGGTAGTAATTTGGGAAAGTTATTCATATTTGATATTAGACTTTGGAATTACCAATGTGAAATCCAAGGTTGAGAATAAGGTAACTCTGAGGGTGACGAGGAAAATGGCGGCGTGGAAAAAGAGTGGCTCGTCTGTTGAATGACTGGTAGGATTCTCTACATCTCTTTCCTTCCTCTCCTTCCTTTATAACCTTCATTCGACTATGTCTATTAGAAAGGAACTTCTTCTTGCAAACCGACCTCGACGATCAGCAACAACAACATCACCACTTTCAAACAACGATCCAGAATCAAAAAATGTCGCAGCATACTTACCAGGATGAAGAGCCCGCGACTTCACTATCAGCGGGTCAAGACGGAGGTGGAATTTCAAAACTCACCGGCCCATCGTCACCCGATGAGCTCACGGATATGCATACTGCTGCTACTACTACTACTACTACTACTACTGCCGCTGAAGACTTCGACGACGAGTTCGATTGGGAACCTGCGTGTGGAGGACATGTCAATGTTGCAACGGTGATTTTGGGGGGTTTCGTGGTTGTATTCTGCTTTGGAATTCTCGAGAAGATCATGTCTCCCCTGGGGTTTGAGAGGGGGATTCTAGGTATTTGGGTTGAAGGGGCAGGGCAGGAGATAGGGAGCTTGGTGTTGCTCGTCTATCCACCAAGGTTGGAGCATGATCTGAAGGGGAAGGGATTCGCTGTGCGAACCGCCCCTTCCCACTCGAAAACAGAACTCCTCCCGACTCCTATCAGACAATACTTTACTTCGACCTTATCTCCCGAGTCTCCCATAGCCGCCGCACCTTCGCCAAAAGCACTTTTCGGAAGGAARGATATCTTCAAGCAAAACGACAGCGAAAAAAAGGCCAGAACACTCCTCGACCGAAATTCCTGTTATCAGTCCGCGAATATCTGGAAATCCTTCATCATATCTTTCGTAACTTGTATGAAAATCAGCTGGAAAGTCTACGGGACGTGGATTTTTATTCTGGGGTTGATTATTGGGACGGGGGTCATGGTTGGGAATGTAGGGACTACGGAATTTATTGCTTGGGGGTGGACTTTAGGGTGGATAGTTATTGGGTTGGGATTTTGGAGGGTTGTTAAGAATGAGAGGAGGAAGGGTAGATTGTGCGTCGTGGATGAGGAGGTGCCTTTGTTGAGTTGATTTTTTGGGGCTAGTTTGTGGGGAATCTTGGCGTTAGTTTGGCGATGTGAGTGAATACTTCGCCTCGCATTACGTAGAGACTAAAATCAAAATTAAATAATACCTTGACGCAACATATTTTCTAATTTATCGCTCTTACTTCTCCCTCTCGCTCTCTCTAGAAAATCTCTCTTCTATCCCTCTAAATTTAACCTCTATACCCTAGTCCCCTCTCTAATAGAAGAGATCCGAATAAATAACTAGGCGTACTACATAATCCTCTATACGATCTTCGTATTGCGTGAAAATCGCAACTAACTATAACTAAAAAAACTACCTAAACGCAACAAATTATCTAATTCCTAGCTCTAATATATCCCTACTTCTCCCTCTCCCTCTCTCTTAAAAATCTCTCTTCTATCCCTCTACCTTTAACGTCCCTACCTTAGTCTTCTTCCGCGATATAAGAGATACTATTAATTAACTAGTCGTACTTATTATTTTCGCATTACGTAAAGAAACTCCTATTTTTTCGATCCCCCTTCTAACCCTCCTTTCTATCCCCCCCCTAGCTCTCCTATCCCTACCTTACTCCCCTCCCTTAATAGAAGAGAGACCCTTAACAAATAAGGCGTACTACACGAGCTTCGTATTAAGTAAAGAAACTCCTATTATTCTCCTCTCTCTAAAACCCCTCCTTTCTATCCCCCTACCTTTAACATCTCTACCCTAGCCCTCCTCCCCGATCGGAGAGATACCCGTAATAAAACCAGGCGTACTATAACTCACCTTATCTCGCATTGCGTAAAGACCGAAAAGAATAAATAAACGACCAAGTCTTTCCCTCGTTAACTTCACGCCAAGAGACACCGTAAAATCCTTCTTTTCATTCGTAATTCCATCTTACAAACTCCTCCTTTCCTTCTATATAGGTGGTAATTCTACTTCGCTTAGTTAATGCTATTATAATCCGAGCGTTCCTTAATAAAAGAGATGCTAGGGGTACTATAGCTCACCTCACATTACGCAAAGACCGAGAACGTAAATAACCTTAAGTCATTCACTCACGCGTCAACTTCACGCCAAGACCTACACGCATCCACATACTACTAAACGCCGGGGAAATCCTTATTCTCATTTATATTTCCATCTTACAAACTCCTCCTAACCTTCAATACAGGTGATGATTATGCTTCGCTCAGTCTTTGCCTATTATCATTCGAGCGTGTGTGTGTGTGCTCGCGGCCGCCCACTTTATCCAATTTCACACCATGTCATCCATCATTCTACAAGCAGCCGTTGTTCTCTTTCGTAATTCGATCTCACAAAGCCCCCCCCCTTTCCCTTCAATACAGGTGGTAATCATGCTTCGCTCAGTCATTGCTATTATTATTCGAGCGATCCCCAATGAAACCTAAGATGCCAGGAGGCGTAACACAGCACAAACTCCTCCTTTCCTTCAACGCAGGTGGGGATTAATGCTTCGCTAGGTCATTGCCATGCCATCATCCCCGGTCACCTCCCCGTTCCCTAGCTTGTTCAAGGCCTCTTGGATCCCTAACGAGCTGCAAAGAACCACGCCTCTATTGTAGAGAGCAAGGAACCAACGTGTGAGCGCAGAGGACTTGTCCCTCAATGCGTGCGAGCAGGGCAAACATTCATTACATGCATTTTCGGAATTTGATGGCATTTGATTCAGTATTCATTCAGCATTCATTCAGCAGCTGGGTGCAGCGGCTACCCATCCATTCTACACTACGTCGTCATACTACGAGCGGCCGTTGTATCTGGACGACGCGTACTGACGTCCTCCACCTCCACCACCACCACCACCACCTCCATCGTACCGACGTCCTCCGCCGTTGTAGCTGCTGCCACGGTTGTCGCCGTAGCAGCGGCGGTCGGCACTCGGACCCGATGGGTATCCTCCTCCGCCGCCACGAGGGCGATCGCGCCCATCTCTCTGTGTGTCGTTGGCCGGGTCTCTGGGAGCAGGTCCACGACGCTCCTCGCGAAGACGGTTCTGCTCCTCACGCTCGCGGGCCTGCTCATCCACCTCCATGGTATCGTCGGGGATTGGCTCGGTGTCCACGACGAAGCCCACCGCAGGTGGGGACGAGTCTCTGTTGGTGGGACGCTGTCCCTGCCAGTAGACGGTGAGAGGGATGCCGTCCGCCTGAAATGAATGTTAGTGATGTAAATGGTGTAGGTGATGGGGATATCACTAACCTTCTTGCCGTCAAACGTGTCAATGACAGTCTCAGCGCCCTCGCGTTTGACAAAGCTCATCTCGGCAATGACGGGGTCGCCGTTGATGAGTCTGACGTAGTTGACCTCGCCTCCTGCATCAATCATGACCGACTCAATATCGGCAGCAGTGGTTCCCGGAGCGAAGTTTTCGGCGATGACGATGTACTGCTCGCTGGCAGCGCCACGAACGTTGAAGCTGTTGGTGTTCGTAATGCGAGGGGCGGGGCGAGCATTGCCATTGCCATTGGTGTGGGCAGGAGGATTGGCGGGGCGACGGGCTGGCAGACTCTGTGGAGGTGGGCGCGTGTCTACCAGGTCGCGGGGAGGAGCATCGTAGTAGTCGTCCGAGTGCGACTCGCGTGGTCGGTTGGAGCGTGTGTTGTTGGATGGGGGTGGGCGAGGGCGGGGGCCGGATGCGGTGCGCTTGGAGGAATGGGTCAGAGGGACAGAGAGGATTGCAGGGGAGGGAAGGAAAACATACTCTCGGAATGCCGGCGCGGCTGGCAATGCTGCTATTGAGGCTTCGTGGTGGGTGCTGCGACTGAGGCTGCAGCTGCTGGCGAGAACGGGAGCCAAGAATGGCCTGCGCGCGGTTCTCTTCCGCCCGTTTGCGGCGGCCTGTGTAAAGGAACGTGGGTCAGCATGGAATTGGTGGGGAATGGTGTGGATTGGTTGCTCTTACTATCTTGCAGCATGGCATCGAGCGACAACCTCATTGCGGCGTTTGCGGCTTCTCTGGCTTCGCGGTTTGCGGCTTCTCTGGCTTCGCGAGCGAGGTCGTTTTTCAGGCGGTCTTCCGCGTAGACGTCGGCGGATGGTGCGCTGTGAGGGGTTTGTCAGTGACGCTGCCTGGAACGCGCCCAAATCCAGTCCAGTACAGTCCAGTCCAGTGGTTGAGTCCAGTCCGGTCCAGCTATGAATGTCCACTCCAGTCCTGGTGGTGGTTGTGGTGGTGATGAGCGAGCGTGGTGGTCCGGGTGTCGGCGTCGTGTACGGGCAATTCGATGCGGTCGGCGGAAGGATGGATGGACGAATTCACAGTCCAGTCAAGCAAAGCAAGGCGAGGAAAGGAAAGGGTGGTCCAGTGCCGGTGTCGCCGATGGAAGTGGAAGTGGAAGTTGAAGTGGAAGTTGAAGATTGTCCAAAGTTCGACGTCGCGGAATTCTGGAAGCTCGAGCCTCGAGCTGCAAGCTTGAAAAGGTTAGCGCGCCCTTTGCCGAACTCCGAACCAGGGCTCGGATAATCCCTGTCGAGAAATTGTACAATCAATGTTGATCACCCAAAACATCCAATTCAGAGCCCCATGCATAAATATATTGTTCATTGATGCTGTAGAAAACACAAACTAATATTGATGATGAGAACATGTTCCAATAATGCAGAGTTCTCTCTCGGTCCCAGTCCTGCCGTACAGTACCGCAATTCTCAGCACTTTCAGCATCTTCAGCATCGTCCACTTCGGATTCTCTCCCCTGATCCACCCAGCTCAGCTCCCGCGCCGCCCCACACTCCTCGGCTCCAACCACATGCTCGACCCTACCCTGAAATCCATTCCCACTTTAAACTTTCCTCGGACCTCTGCGCGCCTGCTCCCATTTCCCATCGCATTCCCATTCCCAGGGATTCCTCCCTTCTTCCCGTCTTCTCGCGACTTCCCCCCTCCCCCCATCCTCCCGCTCATTGTATCCCCTCGACGCCCTCYCCGTCCMTCTTATTGTGGGAATCACCGAGCACGTCCCTCCAAAGCAGGAAATACCGCCGCCATGGCCGTCGTAGGCGCACGGAACCTGCTGTTCCTGTTCGCCGCCATGGCCATTCTCCTCATCTTTTGGACCTCCTCCTCCTTCACCACCGGCTCCAGATGGACGCCCGACATGGCCAAGACCGATCTGCTCAATCCCCTCAAAGACGTCAAGAACGCGCCCGAAGTGCACGGCCCACCGACCATGGCCGAGGAGTCAGATGCAAAGTTCAAGGCCGAGGARGAACAGGCCATCAAAGAGAAGGCGGAGAAGGAAGCGGCGGAAAAGGAACGGGTCAAGGCGGAGAAGGAGGCGGCGGACAACCTCGCAAAAGATGACAAGACCCGGCCCAAGAAGCCGACGGCAGCGGACAAGGACACCCCATCCAAGGTGGATCCCAATGCTGCAGCCACCACCACCACCAAGTCTGAATTCAACGAGGAGAAGTACGCCTTCCAGCAAGATCTCAAGCTCGAAAACCCCAAATTCGACACGACATCCCTCCGTCGCTACAAACCACACAACTACCGCGGACCCGGCCATGAGACCTTTGCCACCTACTTCTCTACAAGAGACTCCTCCTTACATGACCCTTACTTCCTCGCCGCCCAACAGCTGGCCTACCGTCTCCTCTGGGATCCTCGCAGCAAATCCGCCAAACATCCCCTGACCGTCTTCGTCGCTCCCTTCATCTCTGATGAACAGCGGGATCTCCTCCAAGCAGCTGGTGCCCTCGTCAAAGAACTCGATCTCGTTCCTTGGCATCCCGCTGTGGCCACCTACGCCCGCTGGAGAGATCTCTTCTCCAAGCTCAACATGTGGGAACAAACCGACTTCTCCCGCATCACCTTCCTCGATTTGGACACCTTTCCCGTGGAGAACATTGACGCCATCTTCGACAACGCCAAAAGTCAGAAGTGCAACCCCGAGCTCCTCCCTGTGGAAGACAAGCCCGCAGAAAAGGAAATCTGCGACTACACCTTCACCGGAACGGAAGTCCCCGGCTACAAGGAAATCAACGTCGGAGTCATGGTCTTCAACCCCAACAAAGCCATGCACACCCGCCTGATGCGCGAATACGTCAACACGGAGAAGTACGACTCCAAAATGGCCGAGCAGGCCTTTTTATCCTTTGCCTACCGCACTGATGGACCCTTCCCCGCTGCCTTTGTGGATCGCACGTGGAATGGTTTCTTCCCGCAGCATGATGAAGAGGGGAAATTGAAGATTATCCATGAGAAATTGTGGGCGCAGAATGACCATTTACCCTGGGCGAATAGTATGTTTGGGGATACGTGGAAGGCGATGCGGGAGTTGTATGAGAGTGATGCGTTTGTGGAATTACGAAAGAAGGATGGGAGGAGGGAGTATTAATTGGATGGAATTGATGGATGGGATTGATTGTACGTGAAAAGAGATGGGAGGTGGGGATTTACGGCGACGCGTGTTTGTATAGTGTTTTGTGCGTGTGTGTGTGATGGTGGTCATCATCATGTAAGAGGGTAGGATTGGCAGGTACCACAGTCCAGTGTATGTTGTTGTTGGGAATTGTGTCATCATCATCATTATTGCAAGTTCCTCCACGTTTTCGGATGAGAGTAATGCAGTGCAGTGAAGAGTAGTCCTCCCCGCTCTCTTCTCTTCTCCCAAGAACCTACGAACTACCTAGTATGAATACATACATATCCATGAATAGACGATTGCTTTTGGTTGACAATGCCAAGACTTTCCACTCTCCTTTCGAKAGCTGGGGCTTTTGAACAACCTCATCCCGCAAATCTCATCTTGCATCTACCTACACCTGCCGATTGTGCTCTCGCTCCTAGCCGGCTAAGACAGACAGCGCTTCCATCGTCCTATTGATTTTTCATTTCTTCGTCGTATTACTATCATTATATTTTCTAGCGCCGTGTGCGTGAATCTCGCTACATTACATCAAATCTGCTATTCGATGTTGTTACAACGATCCTACGCTTCTCGCCTGTATATCACCTCCCCTCTACGCCTCTCAAATATCAGGAATTATTCCGCCCTTATTGGGGACTCGGGTCGTGAATATCCCCGTGGCACTTTACTTCGACGACATCCTCAGGATAGCAGATTTGACATTTATAAAACCGAGTTCGTTTTTGCCTCCAATCCCATCCCATCCATACAATATCATTCCATCTTCTGATAAGCCAGACAGATCTCAAGGCAAGACCTTCATCTTCAAACGTGTACCGAAACCCGTCTTCGATCTCTCCCAACGCCTTGCGAATGATATTCCGTCATCACAATGCCTTCGAATGCATGTGGACTCCAACAGCAAAGAATCTATTCTCGTGTATGATTATTTTCGAGATACTTTGCTTTCTCTCCTCGAAAATGATCCCGCCTTCCCACCGGATGAACGGGCGAAAATCATCATGCGAGGTGTTGGAGAGGCCGTCCAAGAACTTCATACGAATAGTTGGATTCACGCTGGTATGTTATCGCCTTGTACACGAATCAGTCATGTTTGGAGCTGACCGATTGATTCTATAAGATATCAAGCCAGATAACATTCTAGTCGATTGGACAAGCGATAGAGAGGGCAACAAAGTCGTCACGCGCGTGGCACTAGGTGATTTCGACATTGCCTGTAAACTTCGAGAAGGCGAGGTGCATCTGACACCGCATGCTATTGGTAATGCCATGTGGCGGAGTCCTGAAGGCCAAACGGGTTTGCTAACGCGGGCATCGGATATTTATTCCTTGGGATTAGTCGTAAGTCTTGTCCTCTATACATACATGCGACGGGGCCCGTCTGATTCTGGTTCACAGTATATCTACACCCTAGGAGGCGGAGAACTCCTCCTATTAAACGATTACCAAAGTCTCCTCAAAGCAGGAATCCCCCCCCCGAGCAAGAAATCCTCACGAAACATTTCTGCTACTTCGGTCCCGTTCCCGAAAATCTCTACAAGCAAATCAAGGATGATGAGAACTGGAGGCATGCTTTACGAATAATGGCTGCTAAGATGGCGGAGGTGGAAGTGGAGGAGAGACCTGTGATGAGATTTGGATTTTGGGGTCAGGAATTGGGTGGGGGTGGCGATCGAAATGCTGTCGGGCATGACGTGTCTTGATCCGATGGGGAGGTTGGGGATTGAGAGAGTGTTGGCGAGTGCGTATTGGTTGGAAGATGGGGGTTGAGGGTTTGCATAAATGGGGGATGGGAGAGGATAGGCGCGGGCTGAGAGAACTTGATGGAACTGTATCTAGGAGAGAAGTCGATGTGTCGTGTACGATCTTGTATAAGGTAGCCACGTTAAGGGAACCGAGAATGTCGGTATAGGATGAAATTGAACATTATTTTTGCTCTATACGTAGAGAAATTAGTAGTAGAGAAAGAGATGTTCTAGACTTGTAACCTTGGGAATATCTCCTAGAAGTACCTACCTTTTTGGCGTTCGCTTAGCTTATTAGCTTGGTGAGAGGCGATAATAATCTCCGTAATGCCTATCTCCTTATAGAAAGGACTTGGTAATAATGTAAAAGTTGACGGACGCCCCTTGTGACCATCTTGTCTTGAAGGAGTGTTTAGCTTCTATCAACTCCCTTTACTCTCACATAACCTTCACACTCACATAACCTTCACACTCACATAACCTTCACACTCACATAACCTTCGCACTCACACAAGCTTCACACAAACTCGTCGACTATAGAACATCTCCCCAATCAACGATTGTCATTCTCCCACCCTCCCAAATCCGAATTCCTCCTCTCGTCCAACCATCCTCGAATCGCATCCCAATTAAAACAAGAATGTCTCTTCGCGTCCGCGAGATAGATATCACTACCATCCGCGGTACAAAATCTCTTCAAAGCAGCAGGAGTGAGATTCGGTCGACATTGCAGACTTTGACGAATATGATTCAGACAATGTGCAGTATGCTGCTGCTGAGAAGAGGGTGACCAACTCCTACTCTTCGACGAAGGGGAGTGCGTCTCTGATGATGATGTCTTTTCGAGTTCTTTGCGGATGGTGGCATTCACGCAGTGTAAACTATGGAAAACATCCAAGGCGATGTGGAATTTTCCCGTCAGGGGATTACGGTCTTGTTCGGTGAATGTCGCTGCGAGATCGTCGTTTAGGGTGATTTCTTCGTTGGATACGGCGGGGAATTTCTCCCCAGAGAAGACGGCGCCAGGATTCATCGAGCTGTGGACTTGGCGGTCCGGTGTATTGTAATGAATCTTTGTCGACTGATCTCCAGATTGAAGAGGTTTCGTTGTCGAATTGTAGGGAGTCTCTGTAGTCGAGATCGACTTGCGTTCGGGGCACGGGTATCTGGGAAACTGGGTTGACAGGTGAGTTAGGTGTGATTGTCATTCGAATTAGGGAATTTATGTACCAAAATCGGAAGAAAAGGTTTGCGTGGTTCGATTGGGGGTTTTGTTGTAGAGTACTGCGAGTAATGTTCCAGCCCAGAAGATTTGTGAGATCCAGAACGCAGCAAGTAAAGCCCGTCGAGATAGTAGTCTATCGTCTACTGTATGTATCTTTTTCGACAAGAGAAGGTCTTCCGGAGCGTCTGAATATTCTCCTATTTCAGGATCAGGATGCTCTGATTGTAAACGCATGTCGGTTTTGATGATGATGATGATTGTGGTATTGTAGTCTCTTGTGCGGAAAGAATACTGAACACCGATCGTCTTCAAGCTGGAGATACACGTGGGTATAATCGGGGAACATACAGACTTGTTGAACAATCCTCCTGACGTCGGGCCCCACAACCAACATCTCAAAGGATGCAGTTCTCAACATTGCCCTAATCGACTACGATGAGGCAGGATCATAATCCATATCACATACTATATCTGACCTCAACGGATTGGTCACAACGGCAAAGATCGAGATCACTGCCTTCACGACCCACTCATCATCCTTTCCCGTATATATATATATACAGTAAAGTAGCCGTCGCTCACACCTTAATCCCTGATCCAACACCATCCAGCTCGAGCCACCACCTCCTCATTACCATCTCTCCCCACCCGATACACCCACAAGATGCGTGTACAATCCCTCCTCACACTTTCCGGCTTATGGATGGGCCTCGGAGCTGCAGCATCTGAATCAACTCCCATATCATCAGCTCCCGCTCCCCTTTTCGGTCGTCAAGTCGGCGTGCCACCTCTCTGCGTAAGTAAGACAAAAAGAATTGTGTGCAATGCTTCCCCACCCCCCCCCCAAAGATCAATGTCTGAGAGAAAACTTTCACAGTTCTGTAATCCCTGCACGATGGATCCACCTGGTCAAAGCTGTTGCGCAGCTGGAACGAAGAGCTGCTGTAATGATGAAACGAACAATTGCGCTTGTTGTATTGTAAGATGTGCTTTCATTCTTGAGGCTTTGAGTTATGTTGACTTTTGGATTTTTAGGGCGCGACTTGTGGACCCTGTTGAACAGGTACCTACTGAAGGTCTGAATTTTGGATGTTCACATCTTGCTTCGCCATGAAAGCTGGTCTGCCTTAGTTTCGGTCTCAAGGGACCAAGTGGAAGATGGGCAGGAGATGTTTGTTTGAATGTCCAATCAGTACCTCTTTGGTATCAGGGTTGTTTATAACTCGTGTCCACTGTCATTATCAATTGATTGGTAGCCATATAAAGCCTTCTGTGGACACATCCTCTCCATCGAGAGTGTAGATACCGCATATATCTACGTAGGTTAACGGCCAGTTTCTGTTTGAACCCTGGTGACAAACATGACGCTGTCTCTATAATTGCAGAGAAGTCGCACTTAGCTCAGCGGCAATAAATCAAATTGAAAACGATTTTGAGAAAGGAATTGGTCTTCCAAGCGATTCGGGTCACATGGAGAGTGTCTGGTAAGGTTAACGCTATCTTCTGGCTAGTCTATTCAGAGGTGTGCCTCGATTCCGTCTGGTTAGAATACCCTTGGCGTGGTCTATACAAAGAAGATCGCCGCTTAGATAGCCTTAACTAGAAGGCGCTTAGTTAATGACCTTTATTAGTAGACCTTTAGTAGAGTGCTCGTGCACTACTTGGTACGTCGACGGCTTTGTGCTATTGCTACCACCAGTCACGATCGCTTACGAGAGGAAGAGCTTGGAGAATTACAGAGATAGACTCCGGGGAGCTCGCAAAGGTAACAGCCTCAACGAACAGTTCCCAAGAAGCAACAACCTAAAGGAACAGCCCTAAGTAGACTAAGAAATCCTACAAAGGAACAACCCTAAACGACAGTTCCTATGAAGGAACAATGCCAAGGACTGCCCCTCAAGAAGGAAATGTCTCGATCTGATGATCATCTGTGCAAATGCCGCTGTTCGGAAGACGATGATGATCTATATCGTCTGTGATGGAGGAGCGCAATGTCCTGATGTTGCGGAATGTTTGCAAGAGTGTGAATGTTGAGGATATTTATGGGGAGGAATGGGGAAGCTGGAGGGGGGACATTTTTATGGATTTTTTTTTTGATTGATTTGGATTACTGAGTTGGAGGCTGTTGGCTATAGCTACAACGGATCTGATTGAGATTCAGAACGTGTCGTTGTACTTCAACAATTATTGACATCGTCTTCGAATGTAGTGCCGTAACAGCTTCAATCAATACATCTGCGCTGAACAGTCCTTGAATTTTAAATCTCGTGTCTTTTAACTCGAGCAGCAACTCCGTTCGCTCTGAAACTTTGAGCCTTGTACTCGTTTTTCAATACCCAAGTCGGTGAAGAATGCTGAATGTTCCATTTTGGCCTCTTCTATGCACTGTAGAGATGGAGAGTAATTTCGGCTAAAAAGTCCAAATTGATAAGAATTTTGCTATATGAGCTCACAGTAATTACAGAATGATTCCTCGGGAGATCCCTCTTCAGATTTGGAATGTGTACCAGTTTAAAGTTCAAACGACCGGGATGGAAATCATTCACTTCGGCTATTCGGGTGAGAGTTTTTCCGGTGTAGCCGCCCTTTATCTGTTTGGGAACGAAACTTAGATACTGTCAATARATCTCTTGGCATAAAAATCTGCTCAATATCAACAAGATCGGAGTGTCATTATGTTTGGGCGGAGGTCAAGTCGTTGCTAATGTACGAAGATCAGGATGCTTGTGAGGACTCAGGGGATCTCCAAATTCTCAGACGTAAAGAGATCTTACATGACACAAAAGAGGCTTATAATGTACAATACTCAGAACGAAAGAGGTGATTTTGAGGCGAGAGGATCGATCAAGGTTGCATCATTACAATGCCCTGCTCTCAGAAGTATTCCTACACAAGCAGATCGTATCAAGTCCAGAATCTCAACACAGCCATGTTGCCCAATCCGAGCATTTATATGGCTCGTGCATCAGATTTCCTAGATAACAAGCGAGACCAGCTCTCGTCTACGTACTGTCCTCGCCTACGCAACAATACTCGCCTATACGCTGATCATCAAGCGGGGCTCTCGTTCAACGGTTCCTCGCCACTCCACGAGTCACTTGAACAAAACAAACAACACCAGATTTCATTCACTCATCATCACCAAGCAGACAGAAAATAATGGAAACCAGCACAGAAAATCCCACAAACTCATGGGAAATGCCCTTAAGCCCCCCATCCACACCACCATCCACACCACCATCCCGCCCAACCCCGATTTTTTTCATCTTCGACGCCATGCGTACACGCTCCCATCTCTTCTTCCGCTATCTCTCCACCCACGCGAAATTCCATCCCATTTACCATCCTTATCTAAACGCTGCGATTCTAGGCGAGGAACGATGGGCGAAACCAGCGGAATGTTGCGAGGAGAGGAGGTTTGAGATTTGGGAGGGGATGAAACTTTTGCTTGTTGATGATACTTTTGAGAGTTTGAATGAGGATTTGAGGGGGCGTGTTGAGGAGGGTCAGCGAGGGGTATGTTCTCCTCGCCATCATGTTTCAGACAATGAGGCTGAATGTTCAAGGGGAGAATTCCACTTATCAATGACCACATCCCTAATCTCCTACAAGAGGAAATTCTCTATGGTTTACACCGGAACACCATGACGATTGAAGAAGCTATGAGGACTAATCCCACACACACATCCCGGATTCCATCTACGCGAAATTGACCCCTATCATTCTAATCCGTCATCCGATCCTCCAAACGGATTCTTCCTTTCGAACTCTCACGCAGTATGGATTTTAAAAACGCCCCGACAGATGAGGATTTTCAACTTCATCAATCTACTCGGTCGACGAGATTTCTTTTCGATCTCTTCAGTGCTCAAGGACGACGACCGATTGTTGTTGATGGGGAGGATTTGTTGTATCGGACTAGAGATATGACGGAGACTTTGTGTAAGAGGTTGGGGATGGGACTGGATTTGGAGGGGTTCTGTGATATGTGGGAGACGACGCCGGAGGAGGATAYCCCTAAACATCCTTTGGTGAGAGGGTTTACTAATACTCTTCATTCTTCCACGGGGATTGAAAGACCTGAAGGCGGGAAAGTGAGTACCAAGATTGTTTGAAAGAGTTTTCAACAAAACTGACTGACTGTGCTTTCGCAGCCTGAATCGCCGAATCTGGAAGCTATGGTCGAAATGTGGACGGAGAGATATGATGTGGAGACTGCTATGGGGTTGAAGAATGTGGTAGAGGGGAACATGGCTGATTATGGGTATCTATTGCAGTTTAAAGTTTGATGGGAGTGTGTGTGGGTGTAGCTGGGGTGGCAGTGTAGACTGTTGTGATGTTGAATCTTTCGTCACTTCCGAGGAAGTCTTTCCCCACTCGTGCATGCACCAATGCCACTTTATATAGTACGAGCTGTGTTTCTCTTTACGCTCACAAGACGAGTTAGTTCCAGATTCTACCGCCTGCAGAGCCTTGAATGTTCGTGATGGATGTTTTTGGATTGTATTGATTGATATATGCCTGTTGCAGTATGGCGAGAATGGCTAGAGATACACACTATTACTTGAACYGGAACATGAGCTAGAGAGAGGGCCGTTTGTTTGGGTCAGAAGATGCATGCCGTCATGAAGTCTGGGTGCGACACATATTGCACAATATCTGCAATCATTCGAACGGCCAAGAATCCCATACGGCTTCCGAACAGTCCGACAAACCTTCCGATGGTGGTCCCCACGGGTTCGGGTACTTCCTTACCGTATGCGCTCTCCAAGCTCTCCAGACTTCGGGRTGGATCTCAATGTCAAATTCCCAACCCGCAGAGTGGTCCAGGAACCAACGACTATCCCGCGCCTCAAATTTCAATCCTTGTTGTTCCTCCCCATATGATAGCAGAAGAAATTTGATGCGAGGCATTCTGCATGCCGCACGGCCTAGATTCGAATAGAACTCCTGAAGGACAGATTGAGGGCGCAAGTAGGAGTTATCATCGAAGAGAGTTCTGGGTATTTGCTCGAGACAGAGATGTTCCAAAAGGGGCCAGGAGTCTCCTTCCACCCGATCGAATAATTGAGGCAGTACTTCCAGCCCCCTGATGGTCAGACTCTTCAATTGTGTCGAAAGAACCCGAAGACTCTGGGATAGGGGATCCGGGAGATGATCGAAGCGGGGAGGAGCGGGACGATAGGGGCCTAGGTAGTTTATGTCCATCTCATCAGGTCGGCATTGGAGATGGAAGACACGCACACTGCGTGGGACTCTCGAAATCATGTCGGCGATTGAATCTCGACGCTGCATAACCAACGCACGCTCAGCTTCGGGTATGAGGGGTGAGCCATGTATTCTGATCTCGCTCAGAGCTTGTCCCCGGCAAAATGAAGCAATAAATAATGCTGCATTTGGATGGATCCAGCTTTGAGCTGCAAACGGCGATGTCCAAAGCGTTTCACGGCCGTTATAATCCGATCGAATGTAGTTGATCGGTACAGGACTCCACTCCTGTGGAAACTCCAAGGAAGATATGCAATTGACTGTTCGCAGCTTGAAACCTGCGGAAAAATTTGCCCCGTACTCTCCAATGCAGTTGTTATAATTTCTCTCCTCACTTTCATCGTTTTGCAGCGTGTATATATTCTCTGCCTGGAGGGCGATGCTCAGGGAGAAGGGATAATTTTGATCTGTCCAGGTAGAAAGTAGGTCGAAAAGACTTGCCACACCACTCGTAAAGGCTTCGTCATTCTGATCGGCGGAGCTGTTGTGGTATAATAAGGTTGGCAAGAATCGTGGGGTGTTGTTCCCGGCGTCAACAGGTACGGCCTCAGCGACATTCGAGTCGTATTGATCGCTTGGTAAAGTCTCGCCGACTCCAACCATGTGGTCGTATCCATGATGCGGCACAGCGACGTGGTAAGCGATACTTCGGATGGCCGCCCGGCGGGCACGACACCACCTTTCTGGCCCTCCAGTGACAGCGGAAAGTCTTTCCAAGGTGATGCCGCATTTGTCAAACACTCCATAATTGCCGTCCACTCCGAGGGAGATGGTTGTGGTCTCTGAAGGGCTGAGTACTTTCAGAGACTTGTAGATATGTGGTTCGAATACTGCTTGCCAGGCCTTGGAAACCAGTGCATATGGGCCTAGTTTCTCATCCTTGTCATCTCGTTCCGCCGCGTAATCGGCGATCATTGTCAAGATCTCTAGTGGCAGGAAAGGCGCGACGATGGGTTGGGACATTGTAGATGATAGAGGTGTTGTAGCCATGATGCAAAGCTGAAGAGGATCAAGGATGATGGAAAGCTGAAGAGGATGAACAGTGGTGAAGAATTTAAAGGGGAGCTTGATTTTGGAGCATCAGCAGAGGGTCGAGCCGCTCTTTGTAAGAGTTTCAAGGAACTATTTTTGCTGGCTCGGGGACTGTTGGTACAACTCGGTGTGGAACGTTCCTGGCCGTTCCATGGTTCCAACAACCAAGGTACTAGGTAGGGCTGTGTTAACAGACTTGGGTGTCACAATGGGAAACTCCCATGGTTTGGATATACTCAGCTTCTGTATTTCACACTGAGAATCAAATATATCACAACTACTCAATCTGAGCCAAGAAAAGTCAGAGCGTTGAGTTCTCCCGGTTACCAATATAAACACATGTCGTCTCCCAAATCGAGCAAGGGCGATGCTTACACATTTTGAGACGTGGCAGGAAAAGTACTACCTCCAAACAGGCGCTCCTCCGTAGTTCCGAAATTAGCAAATGCCGATGCGTATAAAGCAGGTAGGTGCGTGTAAAGTTGGTAGGTGCGCGTGATAGAGGCAAGTACAGGTACGGGCGTAACGTAGGTAGGTACCGTCATTTTGGTTTCTTTCGGACTTGTGTTTACTTGGTCACCACACACAACAGCAATATTAGTCACTACACACAACGGCAACCACATACAACGGGAATACGAAGGGGCTGTCTTGGAGATAGGGAAAAGCTTCCTCTGGTATTCCGCTTGTGAAGGCCCTGATCGAGCTTACCTTAGTAGATCATCCTGAACTCCCGGCCCGTCGGTACTGGAGCTTAAGAAACGTGTTCATTCTTTCCACAAGCTGGAACGACTTGCAGACCTGCGCGCTTTGTTAGAGAGAGCGACGGGACCAGTTCAGTTGAAGAAGGCGGTGGCTAGATCGCAAGGTCACCTTCCTTCGGGGTCTATCGGGCCATACTGTCTTACAACTCTACATATCTCAAATTTTGATTTCTGAATAACTTCACTGAGGCTATACGGAAAAGAATCGATCTGACGGTAAAAGCTCTCGCGCGACGTGTCCGACTCAACTTAAAGTTCTGCAGGGAGATCCACCCAGGACCGTGGATGCGATCATACAGTAAGGTACCTGTCTTGAGACGATGTTAGGATTTGACAACGACCCTGGAACTGCGGAAAAGATGCCGAGTCACGAGTACTGTATGATCTAGACCGCTCTGACCGCGAATCCAGGGAATATTTCACTGGCGTTCGGCATGTGAACGCCAAGATTGATTGCAGGCCCTAAGCTCGCTGGCCATCATCTCTCCCGCGGCTTTACGACCTTCTCCTACAACAATGTCACAAAATTTTGGAAAATGGATTCTTCATCTCCCCAACTCTCCGAATATCAGGCAGGGGCTAGGCGGTAAGTTGGCATCGACTCATGATTTGCATTACAAGATACTGACTATCCCCGTAGCCTCTACGCCAGTGGCGTGCTCACTGACTTCACAATCATTTGCGGTGACAAGCGCTACGAAGTCCACCGCGCGATTCTCATATGCCACTCAGCATACTTCAAGGCCTGCTTTCTTAGCGGGCTCAGGGAAGCAGAGCAGCGTGTCATCGATCTCAAGGTACAAAGTGGAAATTAGAGATTCCCGAGTTCGTTCTCAGATGCCAACTAATTGTAGGACGATCCACCACAAGCCGTTGAACTCATGATTCAATACTTCTACGACCAGGAATACGACGTGGGCGTTGATGAGGAGTCCAAGAAAGCCGCCCCCTATACCCACTCAACCGTCTACGCCGTTGCCGACAAGTACCTGGTCCCTGCTCTCAAGGCACTCGCGCGAGTCAAATTCGGACTTGCACTGAAACAAGGCGTGTTACCACCCGGCGCAACCCAGCACATTTACGAGTCCACCCCAGAAACGGACCATGGTCTTCGAGATCTGATTTTCCTCGTGTACGCCACACACATCCAGCGTGAGAAAGAGAACAACCTTGCGGGATTGTCGGGAAATGTCCCTCGTCTGATTGGGATGTACAAGCATAACTACAACGAGTCACCGGAACTTGCGGCCGAGATCGCCACGTTCGCATCGTTTTCCCAGGCTGGTGTTTTGCGATCGAGAGGGGTAGTGGGGGCGGAGGTCGGGTCGCAAGCGCTCATCAACGATGTGTTCGCCTATCTGGGGATGCGGGAGGACAAGACCAGAGAGACCAAATTGCGCGCACTCACCGATCTGATCGGTATCACATCGTGATCCGAGGAGGTGGTAGAGAATATGGGCTTCGGGATGTGGGGATAGAGGTGGCAAGGTAGACGAATGGCGTTTTTGAGGGATTTACCCCGGAAGAGATAATGGCATTACCTAGAAGTGTCCGTGAGCTGCTGACTGTTTTCTTCCAAGCTTCACCATTTCCATGAAAGTGCTTGACTCAGACTTGTGGGCGTTGAAGTGCCGTGAAAGCTCAGATTCGCTGCTCAAGCCGACAACTCTTGCCCACTCGCTGGTCATTCCTGCAGAGAGTACCTTGTAGATGACCTCTTTCCACGCGACACCATGCGGCTGCCATCTGGAACAACTACCAACCGTCCTGCTCACATCTTCTAGGTACTCTGTCGCCGCAAAACTCCCAAGAATTACATAAAACGACGTCCATCCACAATGGCTGCGCGCGACACAGTCACAACACCCGACCTCGAAGCAGGAAATGCTGGCGAGCATTCTCTCGCAAAGGACGCGTTGCAGTGTATCCATACAATCCCAGCGTTTTCAAGTCACACATTTACTTACAACTCCCAGCCAACCTCGAGAAACCTCTCACATTGAACCGCAAGCGATCGGGTTGGTTCGGCAGCGCTCGAGAAGCCCTATCCAAAGGGGCGCTGCAAGCAAAAGGCATTGTTGATTCTATACGTGGTGCGACTCAAATCAATTCAGAGGAAAGGTACGATACGATTGGTGGCCTAGATTGTGCGAGTAGATGATACTGACATTGAGAGAACTGCCAGACCCACGAGCCGTCTCGAAGATGTTCACACCGAGCAACACAGCTTCAGCCCAAGAAGTGCCATGACCTCATTCCGTCAACATGTCCACATCGGCGGCTCCAAGTCCAAGCAGAAGCGCGGTGCTCTAGCTGACTTCTGCGACAATGTCACCCGTGATGGCGCTGCAGATAGCCCGCAAAAATATACACCCACCAAGGACACAATGTCATCTCCTGGAGGACTTGTGAGGAAGCTCAGTCTGGGGAGGAACTTGGTCGGCTCCATACGCAGTATGACTACTACGAAGCACACCCGTAGCCCACCCACAAAGGAGAGATTGGATGAGGTTATATCGCCACCAAACAGCCCGCCCGCCTCATCACCAACCGCTGCGCCTTCTCTCACCCTTGATATCGGCTCTGGTGAAGATTTACTACCGGACGGGTTCGGCAGAGTTGGATTCAAGAGGCGCGGCGCATCGTCTTTCGCCAGGCCTACCATCACTATCTCCCCAGAGCGGATGTCCAATACCAGTGTTTGTGTTTCACCACCATACGATGGTAATGATCCACTAAAGGATGTCATTGTCAGTCCGATCTCGRGTGAGGATCTGGATACGACTAGCGATGACAACACACTTGAAGACATATCGGAAGTCTTTGAGCGTGGTGTTCATGCCAAAGAGAGCAAATCCCTGAGACGGATGATATCTCTCGACGCAATGGCTGAGCGGTGTGTTTCAACTCCAGATTCCGGCTCCCTGGCGGGATACACCAGTTCAAGAAAAGTGTCGCAGATCTGCTCGTCCATTCGTCCAAGCTCGGCTTCTAGCATGATATTCCGCCTGAACGACATGGACCCGCCCATTCTTCAGCCTCGTCGGTCGCAAGTACCCACAGTGCTTCTGGATAGCCAGAGGGATGGAAGGTGGAGGAGCGACGATCCATTCGCACCGGGTACTCCATCCATCAAACTACATGGCCCGGAAGTCGAACTTCCTTTCCGTCCCAAGATTGCGCCGCAGAAGCCCGCCAAGGAGCAGGAAGACGCCCAGGCAGATCTTAGCAGTCTTGATGGACATGTTTTCACATCGCGCTCGGCGGCCATCATATCGTCGTCATCTCCCGAACAGCACCGGCTCAGCCCGGCGGAGAAACACCGTTCTATGGTTGTTGAGGTACTTGAGATTGAGGAAAAGGACGGTGAGCTTGATTCGGATGAGGAGTCGTCCAGCAAGGAAAGTTCTCCAGGCCGACCGATTCCCAACAGCCCTACAGACTCCAATTGTGGGGTCATTTCTGAGCTATGGAACCGCTTGTGTCTCGAACGGGCAGAATCTATATTTTCGGAGAAGATCGAGCATGAAGGGAGTGACTGTCCGTCCAACATGGCCGATACCTGCTCACCCCAACACAAAGCCACTTCTCTCCCCATACACACGACCACACCACTTTCCGAGAAAAGTGATGGTTCCGAAGGTGCAATGTATGATGCTATGGTGGACAGCTATGATTTACAGGTGGCTCTTGGAGGTGTCGACATCGTTTGCGATGAGAAGCTCCGGGCGTGGCTGGACGAAAGTGATGACGAAGATGAGAATGAGTCGACCGCTTTCAGCCCATCTACTATCAAGAGCTGCGAGCAAAACAGATTGATGGATGACGTTGACAGCGATACCTCTGAAAGCGTCAATGCATCGTCTGKTTTAAAGACAGCAAGCCGGGAATCTGTCCTAGAGACGATGAGCCAAGAGATAGAGGATTCCCTGGATGAAGCGCTGGACATGTACCGCTCATATAGTGCGGAGAGTGATGCAGAGACGGCCAAGGCGTTGTTGACTGCCATGAAGAGTCCCACGGGTCCCGACTTGTCCAGGTCTGGTCCCTCGACGAGTCGAAAGCCATTACCGGTGCGATATCGATCTGTTCGTGGTCGGAAGTGATGGATGTTGGAGGTCAAGATTGAGTCTGTCCTGAGGGCAGTTTTGGGACTGGCTTGGAGACATTGCAGAGGAGAATGGATTGGAGCGGTGATATCGGCAGGGTTGGAAGAGTTTGGTTGTGTATTGATACGCCGTAGCTTGATGAGAATGAGTAGGATGAAGTCTTCTGTCTTGTAAAATATTGCATTCGGTGCTATTAAATGAGGACAAGTTGCATGGCTGTTGTAAGTCGCAGATTGTATCTAGATGAGTGTTGTGTCGGGATGGAGGACAAGGTGGAGGAGGGTGAGGTGAGGTCAAGGGACGCCAAGACTTTCAGCATCACCTCGGACCTCTCTCCTAGTGCAGGTACTGTACATACATCTACCATCTCTCCATCAACTCCAGCCAATTCGACATGTGATGCCCCGTCTTCAGTCTCTGGGCCAGAACGCAAGTCGTCTCTGCAAAAAGAGACAATTCACCAGCCATGTAACTTCTTCCACCACCACCAATCCGTCCCCGCCGGCGAAACCGACGCTCGCCGGCAAAACCATTGGCATCAAAGCCAACATTGTCACGGGAAACCCCCACGCCGCCTCCAAGACGTTGGCGAATTATGCCACGCCCTTTGACGCCACGGTCGTGGAATTGCTCAAGGAACAAGGTGCCATGTTACATCCCGGACAGAATATGGATGAGTTTGGCATGGGTTCGCATTCCCAGAATTCATATCATGGAAGCGTAAAGGGCATTTTCCACAGAGGTGGGATGGAGGTCTCACCGGGTGGGAGTAGTGGTGGCAGCGCGATTTCCGTTGCCAAGGGAGAGTGTTGGACTGCGTTGGGGACGGATACGGGGGGTAGTGTGCGCTTGCCGGCTGCGTATATGGGGATTGTGGGCTTCAAGCCGAGTTATGGGAGGGTTTCACGGTGGGGGGTGGTGCAGTATGCGAATTCTTTGGATACGGTGGGGATTCTGGGGAGGGATGTCCGGGATGTGTGGAAGGTGTTTGGGTGTTTGGATCGGTGGGATGGGAGGGATCCGACTAGTTTGGGGGTCGAGTTGAGGAAGAGGTTGAATGCTAGGAGGGGCAGGAGGGATGTGGGGAGTTTGAGGATTGGGATTCCCATGGAGTATAATTTGGAGGAGGTCTCGAGTGTTGTGAGGGAGACGTATGCGAGGACTCTGAGCAGGCTGCAAGCTGCGGGACATACACTGGTTCCTGTCTCTCTACCAACCACACGTCTGGCACTCTCGGCATACTATATCCTGGCACCGGCCGAAGCTTCTTCCAATCTGGCCAAGTACGATGGCATCCGGTACGGGCATCGAACGGACACGTCAGATGCATCGCCAAATGCCGACCCGGCACTTCCTCTCTACGCTCAAACTCGGGGAGAGTCTTTCGGAGCGGAGGTGAAGCGGCGAATACTCCTCGGCGCCTATAATCTCAGTTCGGAAGCCATGGACAACTACTTCCTCCAAGCGCAAAAGGTCCGACGAATGGTGCAGCGGGATTTCGATCGCGTCTTCACTTCTGCGAATCCTCTTCTGGACACTCCTCCGATTTCCCACGACGCAGAAGAAGATAAAGTTGATCTCCTTCTGATGCCTACTGCTCCTACTCTCCCGCCTACGGTAGAAGAGCTGAAGAAGCAATCTACAGTCCAAGGCTACATGAACGATGTCTTTACCGTTCCTGCCAGTTTGGCGGGATTACCTGCCATCAGTCTTCCTGTTCCTCTGTCTGAGAGGCAGTTGAAGGGTATGGATGATGAGGATGTCAAGACTGTGGGCATGCAGCTTGTTGGACAGTTTGGAGATGATCGGTTGTTGCTTAGCGCTGCTGCTGGTATGGCGGAAGTTCTGGCCGGGCGGGAGGAGATTTGATTGCAGATTTTCGAGGCAATGTGTCACGCCAGACAACCACCTCGCAGTCTAACTTCAAAGAATCCTGCCAACCTTGTCGAATGACTTCCTCGCCTTGTGCCGCTGATTCACAAAGTCAACTCCGATGTCCCATTATCTCGGTCTCGCGCAGCTTCAGAACTCTTCGTCAAGCTAGCAAAGGAGTACTGCGGGAGATAGTGTAGGTTCCATGGCCTCGATTATGAGGAGTGTTATATTGGAGGAAGCACATGTATGGGCTGATGAGAAGGAGTGACTGGAATATGCCGTATTTCTGAGCGTGTTGAATAGGAGGTTGGTAGATGTATTCGATCGGATCTCGTTCGAGTTGAGGCAGTGCGAGGCTGTGAAGCGTACATTCGATATCACGATTCTGTGCCTCGAGAAATTGGGCCGAGAGGAAGWGAATTCCGCGCAGACCAACACGAATAGCACTAGAAGAGTGTCGGACCATGGAATCTATCATTCTTACATGGTATGGTAGGAGTAGCTATGATGATATGATGATGAAGAGTCAAACAGCAGCCGAAGGAGGTATAAGCTACAGGCAGATAGGTGATGGAATGCCTAGCTGTAAAAACTGTAGACTTAATCTCGCTGTGAGTGGTCTATTTTCTGCTGTTAGCTTCGGAGTTCTTTCAGCGGCTGTAGCTGTGATCACTCTTGAGGAACGCACAAGTTAAAGAACGTGCTGTTTACTGGCGAGATACCTCCTGCAGGTATCTTCTTGCAGTCGGTATAGGTTGCGGATCATATGTTTCTGTCTTGCACATATTGGCTCAAGACATTTGGCACTATTWTCAAACTGTCTCTCCTGTTTGTGGACAGGTACAGGACGTCTCGGTCTTGGAAAGAAGTCATCGTTAAACATCCATGTGATACAATCACGCACCGAAGTCGCATCCAGAGATGGGGATTAAGACAGCGTGGGTTGAATGTCGCACGTACGTCAGTTGAAATGATTGTCGTGAAAGACACTGGTTTGGGAGATGATATTTCTGGGTATAGATACTTGGAAATATCCACCCGAGAAGCAATCAGTTCGTTCAACAACAGCGTTTTCAAATCGGATACTCATCCCCTTCGATAGTCAACCTTCACATTCTCCCATCGTCTGCTCGTAATTCAATCACCAAAGAATCACTAGTGGGTATCCGGTAGTACTCCTTCCCCTCTACAAGACAAAGGACAAATAAACTGCCCTAGGCTTGCCCTCAAGATCACGATCGTCGCTCTTCAGAGCCCTTGCAATCCTACATCCGTACTTCAACGACTCCAACCAACAAGATCATGGACGCCCAACTCTTGGAGGAGCTCCTCGAGGCAAACAAGGAGCTCAGGCGGCAATTGAAGCGCCAGAGAGCCGGTCAACAAAGATGTATCATCGATGCCAGGGTACTCTCCCGCGAGCTGGCCATCGCAAACAATCGAGTCGCCAATTCTGAAATTATTACATGTTGTCTGGAAGAAGAGAGAGATACATTGAAAACAGAGCTTCGGAATATGACTGCTTCGCGGGAGCAGGAAATGCAGGAACAGAAGTTGAGAGATCAAGAGAGGAGAGTAGAACACTGCGTGCAACGTAAGATGATTGAAAATCTGGAAGAGGATCTTGATGGGGAGAGTAATCGCTCAGTTTAATTAGTTGCGGAATGCTGGAATCGAGAGGAGGAGGCTCGGAGACTTGTTGGAGAGCTTCGTGGAGTGGTCGGTCGGTTGAGAGGGAGATTGGCGGAGTGCGAGGTTGAAATTGAGATGCTTCGTGATGTGGCGAGGGCGCTTGCTTAGGGGATGATAGAGCAAGGAAGATGTCTTGTGCTTCTGTTTGGAGAGTTTGACCGGAATTACCAGTACTATCCCATACCAATACCGAACAAAGACTTTGGTTCGCACCACAACCGAAGGTTTCTCTCTTCGTTACAAAATGAAGTTGATGTTTGAGGCCTCTCCTTTTAAGACGCTACTCTCAGCGTAATGTAGCGGGTAGTTCTTCGATAACGTTACACCGGCCTCTGGAAGGAATCATCGACAGTCACGGGCCTCGTAAAAGAGATATGATGGTTCTTAAAATCTCGAAGACCGAAGAATGTTTGAWCATCAAAGTATTCAGCATGTTCAAAGAATTTGACAGCGAAAACGATTGCCTGAACATCAAAGAATTAGACACAACGGCTCTTCCCCAAGATCCGCATCCTGAGCTCACAATCCATCAGCAAAAACCAAGCATGAGCACTCCACCTCCTACACCAGTCTCGAAATCAAAGCCAGGGAGAAGATATTGCTTCAAATAGAAGAACTCGGCACCAATATGCACGAAATCGCAATGGAAATTGAAGCGGCGATCAAAGAGCGCATTCCGGACAGTGCAACATCTCCCTCAATTATTAGAGCGTCGACCAGGCTTGAGGAAGTGCTAGACGACCTCAGAGCCTTCTTCTACGAAATGCATGATTTGGAAGGAGAACTCAAAGCCGCTATCAAGATGCAACACGAGCTTTACTGTGATTTGAAAGAGAGATATACGAAGTTTTAAGGTCGAGAACGATGAGATGGCGAAGGTTATGGCTCTTCTTGTGCATGGGATGGCGATCTGGGAATTGAGAAATCTTCATTATGATCTTCGGGGGCGGGCGAGTCGAGATTTGCTTCAGCGGTTGAAGGATATGGGGTGTGTTTATCGGTTGGAGGATTGGGTTCAAAGGGGGGAGGAAGATTGAAGTTTGTGGGGGGGGTGCTAGTGGATGGATCTAAGATGCAGACGGTATTGAGAAATTGAGATTGCTCTGATGTTTTCAGATAATGGTGAGTGTCTCCATGCCCCTAGATTGGATGACTACAGACGCAATGTTTGTAAAACACTATGCCAGAGCCTCCCTCGAAAAATGCTTGCATTTCCGCATCGACAGCATTCTCACCCGTAAGCAGTACAGTGTCGATGATATCTCGAACCGCCTTCTCATCCATACTAGCGTAGTCCAGATCAGCGTCCACTCCCGTTTGTTTAGACTAGACGACATCCTAAAGCTTTGTTCAGGGGCGTCTTGTGCTCCCGCGAATATCGCACAGTAGAGCTCTCATCCTCGTGCACTGGAAACGCGTCCGGCGTTTTCCATCTCTTTGAACCCATGATTAGAGAGAACTTGGGAGCCTGAATTTATAAGACTTGGTACTCTTGCCTTTTACAGGGTACTTGAATGTGCGTCTGGCGTGTAGTCGACGGACAAAATGAGCTTTTTTGAATGCTTGGGGAAGTTTGGAGGGCCTTGTGGTGGAAATCTACAAGAGCCGCCTTCTATTCCTAGTGTCCTGGTGATCAAGGTGCCGGGATAGTCCAAGGAGTTATGTTTTCACAGTCGATGTGAGGGACCGCTATCTGGTATCACAATCAATAACATTGATGTCGTGGGTAGTGACCACGACTGATTTAATCTTGGTTACGAGATAGATCTCTGCGGATTAGAGGAGTGCTTCGAGTATCGATGCGAGTGGATTAACGGTTGAGGAGTCATACTAACTGACATGCTTAAGCAGGGAATGATGCAGAACATCAAACAAGATGGTGATATCAATTGGTGATTCCCACGAGTCCGGCCCACTTCGCAATGTGAGTGAGTGAATCAATTCGCCATGTCTGATAATTACCGGATGGAAAGATCCTTCGTTAGTACACTGATAGCATCTGATTGATGCTCTTCGTACTCCTCTCTCTTCTTGTCAGCTGTCGAACGGCAATGATTATCTTTTTATAGACTTGCACCATTACTCTCAGGCGTCGTTTGAAACCTCATTATGATTTGTCTTGCTGGTTGCCGCCATTCCAAGCTATCGGCTTCCATCAACCACGGTGCCTGAGGAGGGCTTGTCACCATCTACGCGGATGGAACGAAAGTGGTACAGTCCATACCGTGCTACTGCGTGTATATGTACACTCAGAGTAGAGAAATTAGCACATTCGACCATAGATGTATAAAAGCAAGGAATGTACGACGTCTACAGTAAAACTAAAAATTATTTACTTACTACTAATTACGTAGTAGATGTAGCGGTGTAGGAGTATAAACTCCGGAAGTGACTTTTAGAGGCTAGTACTAGAGTCTAACTCCGAGTCCTAGATTACGACTACTCTGCCTCGGATTAATACATACTATATAAGTAGAGACCGGCTATCGAAGTTCCGAGGGTTAATAAGGGGCGTACATTAAACGAAGGCTTAGTATCGGTTAGAACGCGACGTTCGTAAACCTAGAACTAGGCTTTACTTATAACCCTATACTTGCCTATAGTATTTAACGAGCTAGGAGACTTCTCCTATAGTATTAACTAGCTTAGCTTAGCTAGGAACCCGAAATCTAGCATACTACATTTATAGACTAGTATAGTAAAATAGGATATATTTATTATCTAATAGGATCGAGCATCTAGAAACTAAATCACGATAGCGATAATGCATTTCGCTAGCGATTATGTATTACTATATAGGTCTCGAAGAAGCGGTAATAGGTTTATACTCTCTATAGTACGTCGTAGTAGATACGAATTTAACTTGTGCGATTCTATACCTACTATATAACTATTCTAAATGCTAGTTATACTATATACCTAAGTTTCTAACTAGTTAACTTTACTCGACTTCTTCGCTAATATATACTCCGTATACTAAGGAGAAATATTATATATTATGCTTTAGACAGAATTAGCGGGAGATATACTATACCTACGTATTAGACGTACTAGTCGCTACTACCGCGTTCGCATTTATAGTAGAGCTAATAGCGATAACAGGCATAAATATTATACTAGCTCCTAAGATCTTACCTTAAAGGCATCTTATTTCGGACCGCCTATAGAAGCGTTTCCTTAGATTCTTGTTTCGCTCTTACCGGCTAACGAATCGGTCCGGTTATCCGTAGTAGTTGCCGTTCTCGACTATAGCTTTTATAATTATCTTTAGTAGAAACATTTCGGGCCCTCGGTAGCTACGA